AAGCAAAGTAATATTAAGAAGTATAGCTGCAAAGGGACAAAGATAGTCTAATATATACTTCTATAATGCCTAAAGTAAATAAGCTTATAAAAGCGGTATTTTAGTAATATAGTAGTAAGTAACTTATCGAAAATACTAAGTAATCCTACTTTAGCCTAGAAATTTATATTAATAATAAAAGATATAAAGCTGCTACTATAATTTAGGTAGTACTTTAAAGACTCTATTGCAGATTTCAATAAAAACAAAAAGAACTAGCCTTAATAGGCATTTAGATATTGTAGAGCTAAAACCCCTAGAAGTATAACTTGAACTTAACCTAGCGCTTTACTTAAAGCGTATAAAAAGACTTATATAAAGCTTAAGGCCTTATATGTTTATATTCTAGAAATATTATAAAATACTAACTGTTACGCCCCGCAGGACTTACAGCGCACGGACACTCGTTACTGGCTCGGTTAGGCAACCAACTACGCATCGCTTGCAGCGCTCGCAGCGAACGCAGTGCTCGCAGTTCTGCCAACTGCGAGCAGCCCGCACAGTGCGAGCACCTTTAGATATATAATGTTACTCCTTTCGCGATAGATAGTTTGCTCCTTAGTTGTTAATACATTTATTACTGAATACCCTAACGGAGCTCTACGTATAAATCGCATTACTGTTGCAGTGTTTAGGCTCGCTATTCAGAGCTTACCTTCTTTTGCGTCTATAGCTTGTCACTACCTGCTAAGCCAACCTAGCTTGTATACGAACCAAGCTAGTCGTTGCACGGCCCTTGCATAGGCAAATAACCGTTATACTTTAATAACTCTGTTATAGACGAAAAACGAATTTTCGTCGATGTTACCCTAGATAGGTCGCTAACCAGGGCGTTGCTGGACTCGGGAGCCACTATGAATATAATGTCCTAAGATTATGCCACACAGATAGGCGTGCCTTTAACTAGGAAAACGCATCCGTATACAATGGGCTTAATCAAGCAAGGGGAAGCGCTCTCAGTCAAGTAGGAAACCAAGGAAATACTAATAACGAGTAACAAGCACAAGGAAAGAATAAGGTTCGACATCTATCAAGGATTAAGAGACGTTTACCTAGGTGCACCTTGGTTCAAAAAATGGAATCCAATACTGAATTGGAAAGCTATAACCGTAAAGATAAAAAGCCGACTACTCAGAAGACCTGAGAGTTCGGTCAGCGCAAATGGAACAAAGATAGGATTCCCTGCCCGGAAATACTGGATAAGAATAAGGCGGGAAGCAGCAGCATGCAAGAGAATCCCGACCGAATACAATGACTTCTTGGATGTGCTAAAGGAACCCGAAGGAGGGTTGCCTCTCCCTGAGCATACGGAAGATAATTACGAAATCATAATCGATGATCTAAGCCAGCTAAAGGCTGGACCTATATATAGGTTGATATATGAAGAATCTAAAGTATTGAAAGAATATCTGGACAAGAACCTGAAAAGAGGGTATATATCAGAATCAAAATCGAATATCGGACAGCCGATTATTTTCGTAAAGAAGAAGGATAGAAGTTTGCGGCTTTACGTGGATTACAGAAGGATCAACAAACTTACAAAAAGGGATCGGTACCCCCTACCCCTTATTTACGAGCTGAAGGACAGGTTCGCGAAGGCAAAGGTGTTTACCTATCTTGACCTAAGGGATGCCTTTAACCTGGTGAGGGTAAAGAGAGGGGACGAGTAGAAAACCGCATTCAAAACAAAGTTTGGGTTGTACGAATATAACGTAATGCCCTTCGGGCTTACGAACGCCCCGGCAACGCTGCAAAAGATCGTTAACAAAGCATTGTACCGGTTACTAGACAGAAACGTTGTCGCTTACATAGACGATATCCTGATATATTCGGAAGACATAGAATTATACGTAAAACACGTACGAGAAGTTCTCCAAATCTTCAAAGAAAAGAACTTAAGAGTTAAGTACGAAAAATCAACATTCTATACTAAGGAAGTGGACTTCCTTGGGTTTACAATTACGCTAGGGAAAGTCGCGATGCAACACGATAAGTTGGAAGCTATTAGGGACTACCCGGAACCTAAGTCCCTTAAAGACTTGCAGTCGTTCCTTGGTTTTACAGGGTTTTACCAACACATAGTAGGAGGATATGCTGGAATAGTTGCACCGTTGTTAGATATGCTGAAGAAGGAGGTCGGATTCCACTGGAATTACGTACTAAAGTAAGCCTTTAAAAAGCTAAAAGATGCGTTCGCTTTAGAAGAAGCGCTGGGACTTTACGACCCAGATAGGGAATCTACAATTCATGCCGACGCGTCAGACAGAGCAATCGGAGCCTGCATATCGCAGGATAAGAAACCGATAGCCTACTATTCCAGGAAATTAACACTACTAGAAGTGAATTATACAATAACAGATAAAGAAATGTTGGCTATAATAGCATTATTACAACACTGGAGAATGTATACAGAAGGCTGTAAGCACCCTGTCAGGGTAATGACGGACTATAAGAATCTCCTGCCATTACTGGACAACAAAGAGTTAAACTAAAAGCAGAGCAGATAGATAGAAACAATAGCTAGGTTCGACTTCTACATCGAACATATCAAAGGAACAGAAAACACCGTAGCGGATGCATTAAGTCGCAGAAGCGATTATAATATAGCGCCTAGGGAAAATAGACTAATGCTCCAGCAGACAACAAGAGGGCTGGAGGCAGCAGAACTCTCAGAAGATACGCGAAGGATTATCGCGGAAAATTATAGCTCGAGAATAACAGGACACTAGGGAATGCTCAAGACATGCAAAAGGATCTAAGAAAAGACAAATTAGAAAGGCATAAGAAATAACGTAGAAAAATTTATCGCCGGTTGCGAAATTTGCCAGGTCTTTAAGAAACGAGGAAAAAGGGTAGTAACAAAATACTATGCGGTAGAAGTGCCCGAAAAGCCCTTCGACATAATAGCTATAGACTTTGTTACTGGATTTCCAGAGTCCGCAGATCCGATTACAGGGGTTCTATACGACATAATAGCTACAATTATCGACAAATTCTCCAAATTCGCTAAGTTCGTACCTTGCTGTACAACAATAGACGCACCGGACTTGGCGAAACTCCTTATAAGGGAATAGTTCTGCGATAAAGGACTTCCTTCAAAAATAATAACGGATTGGGACAAACTTTTTACGTCTGCGTTCTTTAAAGGACTGTAAGAGGCCTTGGAAATAGGAACGGGAATGTCAATGTCGTTCTATCCCTAATCCAACAGGCAGACAGAACGAATGAACCAAACCCTAGAAGGATACCTAAGAACGTTTTGTGCGGATGAACAGCACAATTAGGCAGAGTTGCTGCCTACAGCGCAGATGGCAATAAACTCTTCATAGAACAAAGACCTAAAGAGTACCCTGAACGAGGTACTCTAGGGAACGAGCATTAGGATAGGAAAAACCGACACTGGAGCACTAGCGGTCAACAGCTTCGTTAATAATAAGGCCAGGTGCTGGGAGAAATTGAAGGAACGACTTAATAGAGGAAAAACGCTTATGGAAAAGAAGAAAAATAAAGGACGAAAACCTACAATCTTGAAGCTAGGCAATCTCGTGTACCTTAGCACCGAGAACCTAACAGATAACAAACTCGAAAAACCGTATATAGGGGCGTTCGAAGTCAAGAAAGTCAAGGATGCAGTAGTAACACTAAGCTTACTACAAATAAAGACGTTTCCAAAGTTCTACGCTTCGCTGCTAAGGGTTGTACTACCTGGAGCAAAGCTGGCAACATTATGGAACTATGCTAACAAAGAGGAGTTTAAGGTGGAAAAAATACTAGAGGAGTCCGATAGCGGACAATTCCTAGTAAAGTGGAAAGGATGCCTAAGTTCGGAAAACACATAGGAGCCACGTTCTAACCTTAAAAACGCCTAGAGCGCCTTGAGGAAGTTTAGGAAGTAACATAGGGGGGTAGTATTACGCCCTGCAGGACTCACAGCGCACGGATACTCGTTATTGGCTCAGTTAGGCAACCAACTACGCATTGCTCGCAGCGCTCGCAGCGAACGCAGTACTCGCAGTTCTGCTAACTGCGAGCAGCCCGTACAGTGCGAGCACCTTTGGATATATAATGTCACTCCTTTTGCGATAGATAGTTTGCTCCTTAGTTATTAATACATTTATTACTGAATACCCTAACAGAGCTCTACGTATAAATCGCATTACTATCGCAGTGTTCAGGCTCGCCGTTCAGAGCTTACCTTCTCTTGCGTCTGTAGCTCGTCACTACCTGCCAAGCCAACCTAGCTTGTACACGAACCAAGCTAGTTGTTGCACGGCCCTTGCATAGGCAAACGACCGTTACACTAACCTGCAGACTAAACCGAGACTATTTACTACTAGAGGAGATAAGAGGGACAATTAAATAATTAGAAACATATATTATATATATATATATATAAAAGAAGAATTAAGAAGGTATATATATACCCTTAGCAGTAGCTACAAGTAGATACCGCTATAGATATATTGGATATAGGGGTAAATAGTAGCTAGGGACGGTCTATTAGGGGGGTAAATATATTAAGCTATATAAGCAAGTAGTTGCTAGCGATAGTAGGTAATAGGATATCTAGCTGAGCGCTGAGCTGCAAGTATACACTAAAGGACGTTGTCGCGAAGGCAACTACTATGTAGAAGTGTATTTACAGTTCCACGTATATTTAGATTATAGTCGAGATAGAGCCGACCAATCAGATAGAATGCCGCATAAGCTTAATAAGCTTGGGTCGGACTATGAATACAACCAACCAACCAACCAACCAACCAACCTTGCTCACGAAACATCCACGGTTTCACACCATTTAGCCTGGTAGAATTGCTTATCTATTTCGTGAGCGACAAGACTCTCATTATGAGGACAATGGCCTCTTCGATGTTCCCTTGCTCTCATTGCGATATGACTTGACGCTTTCTATGTGCCTTTCCCTCAATCCCTCTACCATCTCTGTCCTGCTCTCGTCAACGATGGCAGAAGCGATGCCTGCCTTCTATATATGCCATGATGATGTCAAGCGTACGGCAGTGACTCACATACTTCTCAGTGAAGCCCAAGCTTGTGATGTATGTATGAACGAAAGCTTTTCCTACTTCGCAAATTAGCTAATTCCGCAGCCAGTACAATACATTGACGACTACCATCACTACAGACGTCTTTCAGGCACGGGTGAGAGCTTTGCTTTCCAGTACCCTATACGGTGACCCAGCCGAAAGCTCCTCCGGCCCATCTGTGCCAATTGTGCCTCCTTTGACCAAGGATGATACATATCTTGCGCCTGAGACCATTACACCCCAATTGCTGGGAGTCGTAAGTCCTTGGATAGATTTATGCTCCCCCGATCCGATCATTCACAACATATCACGACAAATTTTTAAAATGGAAGTTGCATTCGCAGCCTTTTGTGGTCTTAATGCTCTTGTTGTACCTGCGCCACAGACGTACAGCAAAAGGAAAGATGGTCTCGTACAATATGCCAATGCCATACAGGAAGCACTAGAGATTGGAGCGTATATCCATTTCTCGATTTGCACGCCATTGATGGATAGTGGCGAGAATCAGGGACCCTCTGATAGCAGCATCGGCGTTTTAGGCAGACAAGAGTACCTCAAGAACGCGGAGGTACCATCTCCGCCCTTGACAGACGGGGAAAGCAAGCACAACTTCTTTGGCAGCTGGGATGCATGGGATACAATCAGGTCCATCTGCAAGTACAATGCTAGACTGCTTGTAGGTAAGAATGACATCGTGCGTCTCCTTTCAAACGAACATCCCTAAGTTTTTCTCTACTCTTTGGATCCTCAAAATGACCCCTCGCGAATTCCCATCCTAAGGGTGCCGTACCTGCTGCTCCTGTACGCATTCGTTGAATTTGGAGGCTGATAAGAGCCCCAGATCTTGTGATACCTCGCAAACTCCCTCCTTCAGATGTCTGTCTGCGATGGATGTCTGAGCCCCTGCGCATTCTTTCGATCGATGCATCAACCTTCTACCCCAACCCTTCAGGCTATCCAAGCTTGACAGCAAATCATAGGATGCTGATCAATCAATACATGGGTCTCCGCCATGCGCCTTGCATCTTGCTGACCGGGATTGACCCGATATCCAGTGAAACGCTCACGACGACTAGCAGCTCGGGACAAGTAACTCCAGGCGTTTTCCCAACTCCGAGTGAAGCCCAAGCGAATGAGGCTCGACGCAGGTCTACCAAGTTGGCGCCTCAGCGGTATGATCCACTTGCTCACATCAGGTATCTTCGCTGGCTCCAATCAGAGCAGCCGAAGAAGACATATCTCGAAGTACAAGGTGAAGGTTACCAGGACTATTTGCAAGCGCCTCTTCAACCCTTGACAGATAATCTTGAGAGTATGACTTATGAGGTTTTCGAGAAGGACCCTGTGAAATACGATCTTTACGAGCAAGCAATATCGAATGCTCTGAATGACTGGCGAAGCCAGAATAAGCCCCCTACAGTCAAGGCCAACCCGTGGTCGTGGCTGTTGTAGGAGCTGGCCGCGGCCCACTTGTCACTCGAGCTTTGAATGCAAGTCAAGCGACGAACGTGCCGATTGAACTTTGGGCTTTGGAGAAGAATCCGAATGCATGTGTGATGCTCCAGCGTCAAAATGCCGTCTTCTGGAACAATCAAGTCCGTCTTGTAAGTTCCGACATGCGACAATGGAAAGGGCCTGAAAGACTGGATGAAGGGGCGTCGACATTGGTCAACGGGGCTCCTCAGAGCTCACGCGACTCTCAGCCTTACCGAATCAACATTGTCATCTCTGAGCTTCTGGGATCGTTCGGAGACAACGAACTGTCCCCAGAATGTCTGGATGGTATTGTTCATCTGCTTGATTCTACAAATGGCATTTCCATTCCTGCATCATACTCTACCTACCTGACGCCCATAGCGGCTCCAAGGTTACACGCCGACATCGCTGCGAGAGCAATCACTGACCCGTCAGCGTCAACTACACCCTATGTCGTCCTGTTACAGTCTTTTGACTACCTCAGCAGACAACAGCAGTCTATCTCCGGCCCATTTGATTCCTCAACCTCACCAACCACTGACGCTAGACAACCCTCATCAGGTAGCCGTGCTAGCTCTTTCATGTCAAGCCCTCCGCCAACAATCTACGAGGCATGGTCCTTCAGCCACGCTCACAACTCTACTAACACCTCATCATCTAACATGCACAACAACCGCCATTCCTCTCTCACCTTCCCCCTAACCAACCGCGGAATTTGTCATGGCCTAGCAGGCTACTTCGAAAGTGTTCTCTATCCTGCCTCAGCCAACAAGCCAGCCGTGGAGCTCTCTACCAACCCTCTCACAATGGAGCAAAAAAGCTCCAACATGATGAGTTGGTTCCCAATATTCTTTCCACTGAAGACGCCGTTGTACGCGCCTGATGGGGGTGAATTGATTGTGAGCATGTGGCGGAAGACTGATGGACGGGGAGTGTGGTATGAGTGGGTGATTGAGGTTTGGGGCGACAAAGAGAGATTGGGGGTTAGTGATATGATGAGCTCGAAAGAGAAAGCTTGCTTGATGTGATGCGATTTACATTGAAATGAAGGAGTGGGTTGAGGTAGTTAGTGGAGAGATATGTTCGGACGACATGGAGGACAGAGGGGAACCATCTTGACGAATGAGATGTATTGGATGCTATACGATAGCAAGTTGACCAAAAGTTGGAGATCACAGTTGCGAGTTGAAGCGCATGCTGAGCGTGCAAAGCACGATTGCATTGCTTAGACTAATCAATTAATAGTATACGTCTTAGTGCTCACCTTTCCTGCCCTTGCGGACGCTTTCTTTCTTCCTTATCCCGTTCTTGCATTCGCAATTTCCCAGTGACCACTGTATCGTATGCCAGTATTGCCTATTCGGCTTTGCGTCTATTCATCCGAACTAGAAGTATATTGCTGCAGTCGGCAAACATGGCGCCGAAGCACGAGATCGCTTACCAACCAACTTCGACGTCTGCAAATGACGGAATTCAATGATTATTGAACGCTACCCCACTAGAGCCGCATATATATGTCCAGATCATGGGTTCATGCTCCTTGACCATTGAGCCAAACACATGCACCCTACCACTCGTCTCTTTTCCATAGCCTCCCAGGTCACCTCCAGAATGTCGAAATCGATTGCAATCATCGCGGGCGTTGGACCAGGCGTACGTACCAGCTTCCTTCGCGGACGACTCCTACTACTATATACAACGACGACTGACCACAAATCCTCCAGACCGGCGCAGCAATAGCACGCCAATTCGCCAGCAACTACCCAGTCGTCCTCCTCTCCCGCAAGCCTGAGAACTACGAACCACTCGTTAAAGAACTCAAAGACGCCGGAAAAGACGCTTTTGGTGTTAGCACCGATGTCTCGGACTCCAGCTCTGTCAAGTCCTGCATTGAGGCCGTGAAAAAGCAGTATGGCAACGACGTGAAGGCCGCTGCGGCGATCTACAATGCCAGCGGGGGCTTTGTGAGGAAGCCATTCCTCGAGCTTACGGAGGCGGATTTGGAGGGGAGCTGGGCAGGCACTGTGTAGGTTCCTTTGATCTCCGATTGCTTCTGTCTACTCTACTGAAAGAGCAGCAAAGCTGACTAAGACACAAATACAGCAAAGGCGCATTCAACTTCACCCAAGCAGTCCTCCCCCTCCTCACGCCCGCCTCTGCCTCCGCTACCCCACCAAAAGAATCCCACGGCCCTCCCACCCTCATCTTCACAGGCGCCACCGCCTCCGTCAAAGGCTCCGCGAACTTCTCCATCTTCGCGGCACCGAAGTTCGCCGTGCGTGCCATGTCGCAGAGTCTGGCGCGGGAGTACGGACCCAAGGGCGTGCATGTCGCCCACGCGATTATTGATGGTGTGATTGATATTCCACGGACGAAAGAGTGGGCGTTGCCAGAGGGGGGAAAGATTAGGCCAGAGGGCATCGCGGAGGCGTATTGGTGGTTGCATGGGCAGGATAGGACGGGGGTGGACTTGGGAGGTGGACTTGAGGCCGGGAATAGAGAAGTGGTGAGAAGGGAGTGAAGGCGAGAAGAAGGGGGGTTGAATAGGATGATAGTATGGTAGGTGTTGGTTTCATTTTTCACTATCATTAAGCATCTCAAATGAAGCTTTAATTCAGGTTGTATGAGCTTTCCATCTCCCGATGGAGATCATAGCCATATTCGAATCTTTTCGTATGACCGAGTTGCGTTCTCCGCCTCTACTCTCTTTCTTTCTCGTACACAGCTCATCTATTTTTTGGATAATTCACCATTACCCAATCATCCCGTCCCCATCACCTCCCTCTCTTCCCAGCCAGCTTTCCGCCTCCCCAGCACAAACCCTCGCCCACCTTATCCCTCAATTGTACAGTAGAACCTAATGAACTTCATTCCTTTAGCACTCTCAAGTCTTCGATCCCGCCCGTGAATGCTTCCCGTCCCCCTTCCCCACGCCCACAGCCTTCTGTCCTTTCTGTAGTCCAGCTGTCACAGCGGATGACGGAGAGTCCTTCGCGTTCACCTCCAGGAAATGATATAGTACTACCAGAAGCATGGAGATAGAGCCAAGGAAAATGGCTAGGGAATTGAGCCCGTCGTCTGAGATCATTTCTGTGTTTGAGTGATAGGCGAAGGATTTTCTGAACAGATGAAACGGTGATTGGTCTGAGAAGAGCGTGAGGTGTTCTAACGAGAGTGGTGGTTGATCAGTAGGTGTCTTTTGCTGGTGTGATTGGCGCTATTAAGGAGGCTTCGAGAATGGGTCGATGGCGCAAAGTTTTGCGACAGAGAATGAGGCAGAGGTCACAGCTTTGCAAAGGTGTGATAGTCAATTGATCGGCAGTCAGTTGAATGCAATTGTAGTCGTAATATCGAGAAAGTGAATAAAAGAAGTGACAGGTGAGAGTTGTCCGCAAATATACGGCGCTAGTCGGGCCAGCCGCACATGGCAATCGAGGCTGGACTCACTGCCACTTGCACGATCTTACAAACAACCACCGAGTTCAATTCATACGCAATTTTGGATTGTGTAGGAGTACTTTCTAGATCTGTGCTACATTTTGCCCCCTTTGCACGACCGTCAACGACATCAGACGAAAAGACATCCACCTAATCCAAGCGTCCGACCGCCCCTCACAATGCCGCCCAAGAAAGGGAAAGGCGAGCAGCCGAAGGAGAAGAAGGTGGCAGTGGACAAGGTAAATGTTGCCCATAGCCCCCTCTACATGCTCCCACTGACCCAAATCGCAGACCTTTGGCATGAAAAACGTACATCCCCTTCAAAAAGATCAAACGACACCTACCTGCCCTCTTCACCCCCTCCCAATCCTACCACACTAACCCCCCTCCCTCCACAGAAAAAAGGCGCCCAAGCCCAAAAAACCATCGCTCAAATTGCGCAACAAACCTCACAGGCCCAAACGCCCGAGCAAAAACGCAAAGCGGCCGAAAAAGCCGCTCGCGAAAAAGAAAAAGCTGCTTCTGAGCAAGCCAAAAAAGAGGCCGCTGAACTATTTAAACCGATACAAGTGCAGAAAGTGCCGTTCGGCGTGGACCCGAAGACGGTGGTGTGTCAATTCTTCAAGTCGGGCAACTGCGAGAAGGGGAAACGGTGTAAATTCAGTCATGATTTGGATGTGGGGAGAAGGGGGGCGAAGAGGAGTCTGTATACGGATACGAGGGACGGGGAGGAGGAAGGCGAGGGTGGGGAAGAGGAGCAGAAGAAGAAGGAGGAGGAGGATATGGCTGAGTGGGATGAGGGTTAGTTTTTTCCTTTCCATTAATGCCTCTTTACCCTCTGAGACCCTGTCGTGCCTACGGAGGATCTATTTACGTATCGAGGGAAATGGACTGGACATGCTAACACCACTGGAACCAACCAGCCAAACTCCGCCAAGTCGTCCTCTCCAAGCACGGAAACCCACGCGCCACAACGGACAAAATCTGCAAATTCTTCATCTCCGCCGTCGAGGAGGGGAAATACGGCTGGTTCTGGAGCTGTCCAAACGGCGGCGATAAATGCATGTACCGACACTCTTTACCGCCGGGCTTCATCCTGCGCACGAAAGAGCAGCGCGCCGCAGAAAAGGCGTTGATGGATAAGAGTCCGCTGAATACACTTACACTGGAAGATTTTCTGGAGATAGAGAGGGGTAAGCTGGTTGGGGAGGGGACGAAGGTGACGGAAGAAACGTTTGCGGAGTGGAAGGCGAAGAGGCTGGATAAGCGGGCTGCGGAGGAGGAGGCGAGGAGGCAGAAGGACGCGACGGGACGGGCGATGTTTGAGGCTGGGGGGTGGGAGGAGAGTGAAGGGGAGAGCGAGAGTGAAGGGAGTGAGGACGGTGATGGAGATGAGGATGGCGGTGGTGAGGGGTGGAATATGGAGGAGATGAGGCGGGAGACGGAGCGGTTGAAGGAAGATACGGAACGGAGGCGGATTGAAGGGTTAGGGGGGCAGGTTGCTATTGAGAAAGGTGGCGGTGGAAAGGTGAACGGGGAAGAGGGAGGCGAAGGGGAGGGGGAGGACGGAGCAGTCGGGGTGAGAGAATCATAGTCTTCATAAAGTTGAATTACATATCCTCGCCAAATAGAAGAGAAGCTCATAGTCACACCTCGAGTAAGAAAGTACAAAAGCCATACACACGCACGGTGCCGTGAGGCTGTTCGAAGCTGTAGTAATGCCGGCTTCCCTTACCCATGCCACCCTCTTCCTTGAATGTTTGGCCCGTTTACCGCAATACCGCTCGCTCGCTCACCCAATGCTAACATCACAAACCCATATCATATCAATGCTCACTGTCCTCGACACAAGCCACTATCCACGAATATATTCTCTCCTGTGAGAGTCAAGGATTGACAAGAATGGTAAGGATGAAATGAAGACGCCGTCGCTGTGCCAAAATCGTTTGTTGGGACTGGTACCCTAGACAGACTCATAACGAAGGATAAGGAAAACCGAGTTGCCAAGGACGTTGAATTTGGTTACGTTGCCATGTGAGTGAGAGAGCGTCGTGATTCCAAAAGAATTCAACGTCGAATGGGATTAAAGGCGATATATCTAGAAGTATAGCGGCGGCACACTCTCATACGAACTCGGACCATTAGGCGTCGGTTGCTGCTGCAGTTGCTCCGTTCCCTTTGCATTCCTTCCGCGAGAATTGCTCCTCAGCCGTCCCGTAATACCCTTGAATCCGCTCTTGAAATTTTCGCTCCTGCCCCGCTTGTGTTGACTTCCCGCGCCGCCGTCTGACGGAGGTGGCGAGCGCGTTGAATGAGGCGGCGGGGATCGCGCCGTGACAGCTGGCGGGGCGGGTGGAACTTCCACAACATTTGCTTCGTCGCCTGGTTCGTCGTCGAGAACTATGTTGATGGCGCCGACATTACTGTTGCTGCTTAGAGAGCTGTTTTCGGGATCTCTTGGTGCTGGCGGGGGCGGAGGTGGTGGAGGTGGGGCTTGCATGTTCAGGTGCTGGAGTTCTGGGAGGAGTGGAGGAGGAGCTAGTTCGCTTGCTCTGTAGGGGTGGCTGTCGGCGTAGAGGGTCTCATCGATACCTGCCGTAACAGGTGGGTGCTTCGCTGCATTCGCGTCCGATGAGCCCTTTCGTCGATGCTGCCCGATACTTCCGAGGGGTTGAAATTGGCTAGGACGCCTCTCTGGATTCAGACCCCTGTGAAAGGCGGGATGATTAGGCAAATGTTCAGGCATAGGAAGACGTGGCTGTTCAGGAATGGGAGCGGACATTGAGCGAGGTATGTCGCGCATTGGACCTCCAGCATAATACAACTCGGGAATATTTTGCACGTCTCCAGGAATTTCCGGGACAGCGGGGATGCTGTCGGTATCCTTACTGTCATATCTTGGATGGCGCATAGCTCGAGGCGTAGCGGGTAGACCGTATGATGGTGCAACTGTCGCTGCTCCTGCTCGGCTGCCTCTATCGCTATACACGGAATTTGCTGAGTTTGGTGGGAACCGATCCGAGGTGGCTGAGCGTTGATAGCTAGACGGGCTGTTGGTCAAGTCTGTCTGTGCACGACCGAACGGGCTCGGCCTTGAGACGTCCTCAGGTCGCAGAATTGGTGGTGCTTCTGGATTTCTGAGCAAAGACTCTCGCCGCGCCTCAAGCTCCCTGGCGGCAAGCTCCTTCCGCCGAACCTCTTGGGCTGTAAAACCACGGCCAGCTGCCTCTGTCTGCTTTACGAGCTGATCAGAATTGCGCCTTGGCTCAACAGCAGAGCGTGGCTCATCAATTTCGGAAGCACGAGCTGAGCGAGCTTCTGTATGACGCCTTCGGCGATCAGTCGAAGCACGGGAGACGCCTCGATCTGAAGGCCGCCTACTGCCACTCCGATGTCTGGATCTAATCCGTTCACGGTTGGCTGCTACAATGCGGAATGGATCAGTCTCGTCATCGCTGCTATGATAAGTCCCAGTTCGAGGAGATAATGGGAGCGGAGAAGGTGGCGACCCTGCTGCAGAGCCTGCGCGATTTTTTGATTGACTTCGTCCTCGACGCTTCGATTCAAGCCTTCCTCGTGGGCTCTGTTGGCGACTGCTGACTCTGCTGTGTGTTGTACTTGCGTATTGGCTGTCCAATTGACCACTTGGCGACCGGTTGCGGATCGTTCTCTCCGAAAGCTCTGACACTTTTGAACCGGAACGATACTTTTGGCTCACTTGTCGTCCGCCAAAAGCATCACGAGCAGTCTTGCTCTCGCTACTAGTCGTAATGGCATCGCTTGGTAATCCCTCAGCTTCGTACTGGTAATGATCTGGTGACATTGGTACTGGCGAAGACGGAGATCGCTTAGCAGGTCGGACGTACTTCCTGCCGTCTCTTCCTCTGTCTTCAGACTGCTCGCTCTGTCGATGGCCATCCAACGCTTTGCGCTCGCTTCGTCCTTCTCTACTTTCTTGCCGTTTCTTGTGCTTATACCTTCGAGAATGATTCGATGCGGCATCTACACTACGTATGTATTCGTCAATACTCCGACCACTAACGCTCGGACTTTTGGCTGAAGCTCCATAGCTCGCACCACTGAGTGAAGGACTCTTCGCGCTCGCGCTTGTGTCACTTCTGCCAGTCCTGAGGCCGCCTGAGTATGCCGAGCTAAGTGTGTTGGACGTCTTAAGCTCCGACGAGCCCATGACGATATCGCCCTTCGAGACAAACGAAGTTGTCTGTATTTGCTCCTGCGAAGGCATGCGTATATGGAGCCCCTCGGGTTTACGGTCCTTCGAGTGCTGACGAGACCGAGACTGCTTCTCTTGAAAGGCGGTGAAAGCATCTTGCGCGGGGTTTGGCAGCACAGTTGTTCGTATTGAGGTCTGTGGTATCGCCGTACTAGGGGTCTTGTTGATAGGTGTGCTTACTGGGGTATATCTTGCAGAGCTCAGGAGTGGCGGGAGATCTTCCACCTGCGATTGCTGCCTCTGCGCTTGGGCCGGTTGCGACTTCGTCAGTCTTTCTCGTTCTCTCTCAAAGTCCGAGCCGGAGTTGTCGGGCGTGGGTAGCTTCGAAGGCCTTGGAAAGGCAGGGACATTCACGTCCACTGGGGTCTCCCCAATAGAAGGCAGTCGCTGTCGGTAGCCGCCAGGCGTGGCTGCACGACGGGACATAAACCCACCGGGTGTTGCACCCTCAGATATAGCAGACTCGGCAATGGGCGTAATCCCAGGAGCCATTGTCGGAGTTCGATCGATCGAGAGAGGTTCCGCGCCTCCGAACCGCCATTGAGCTTGATTTTTGGTATTTTCAAAAGATGTAATGACCTTGAGCGAAGAATTCTTCGCGGTCATTCTTTGTGTTGGTCTTCTGTCGAGGGGAGGTGACGACGGTGGGCTGAGCATGCTTGAGATGGTCGAAGGAGCTTGGGAGGACGAGTCCAACACTCTCGGGGACGGAGAGCCCCATGGAATTGGTGGCTCGACGCCGGTGCAGGTAAAACATCGAATGGCAAGCTGTTGTTGTGAGTTTTCAACCACAAACTCTCCCCATCGCCTGACCAGATGGGCTTGTCGCTGCCAGTCCAGGGGGAAGATGAGGCATGTCAATAGAATAGCTTCCATAAAAAAGCATCTTTCCACGTAAACTTCGACGGCATCCTCTCGATCCCCAAGACCGAGGAGGATAGTAGCTGATGTGTGAAAATCTCCTTGCTGGAGCAGCCTCTGCACAAAAGCCTGACCCATTTTGCCCATTGGATTAGAACCTCCCATTTGACTTAGAGCGAGGACCATCCAGTCTGATGAGCTGACATTACCCGAAGCAATGGCAGACGCCATCATATCTGAATCAACCTCACCAAGCCATTTCGATAGCAATACGGCGCTGGTGGACCCAGGCTGATGAAAGCTCAGCTCGTCCCTGATCAGGGGCTCGATATCGTCTTCCCAACCAAACACAATGCTCAGCATTCGCCTCCGCAATTCGTCTGTAGTCATGTTCTCCTGATCTATGGGCTGAGCTGGCTCATAAGCCATGTTGGCGAGCCGAATGCGTGTTCGTGGAAACAGATCAACAAAAGCGTCTTCCGGACTCCTGATTACTTCATTCCGTAGACGAGAGTTCTTCGATCGACGCCCGGAAGATGTGATCGACATTGTCGAAGGATAGAACGAGGTGCCCCCGGAGAACGTACTTTCCCGACCAATCATTGAAGGAGATGCCGTAGAAAAGGTCGTTCCGCTTGCTGCGCGAGTGGAGATGGAGGGGAGGTGGCGTGGATATCCTAAACGGTTAGAGGTGGTACTCATCGATTCCGCACGACTACTTGTGGAAACGGGACTTGACAGTGTGGACCGGTCTCGTTGGGCTTGCTCTATTGCCGACATATCGCCCGCGTTCCGTTGAATCGTAGACAGTGTCGCAGGACCTCTGCTGCTCTCAGACTGTCGAGAGGGGGCCGGACAGGCATCGGAGGTGCAGTTCCTGGTATATGATGGCCCTGAGATCGTGCTGACTTGTGGGGTGCCAACGGAGGATCCATCGGCAGATATTGCCTCTCCTTGACCAATTGAGGTGGTGATAGGTCATACTGCCGTATCGTAAAGTCTTTGCAAAGGGTGAAGAGTGTTGCGGTTGGCCCATAATTAGCAAGCCCTTTTACTTCACCAATGCTTGGAATTGGTTCAAAAGCGACATGCTTGGTCCTGACGTCCCATATCCAGCACTCCCTACAATTGCCCCAGGTCAGTAAAGGACAAGGGAACCGGCACAAATTGCACAATGCACGTACCCGTCTTGGTACTGTATGACCCTTCCATTCTTTGACCAAGCAGACCAATTGACCCCAAGCTCAACATTATCACCTCTCTTCAGAATACGAATAGTTTTAGGCGTTTCAGCAGTAGCTGGCTTCGCAACGCTCCAGACCCGTAGATCTCCATCAGCAAATTGGGAGGCAAGCATATCAGACTTTTGCTTAGTAGAAGATGCATGCCAAGCTAAATTGACAATAGGCGACGGCGAGCGCTGAGTGGTCAACGTATGAATAATATTGAAAGCAGGTTGCGCGCCAGGTACGACTTGCATGGTGCCGATGAGAATAGATCCATTCTTGTAACTAGACATCGATTAGTGGATTGCTCGATTAACACCCCGTTGACACAGGTACGGACCCAAGGGCATATGTTTGACAGTCCGTAGCGGGCGCGATCGCTGTAATAGGATCGAAGATTGTCTTCGCAGATATATGTTCTGAAGTTGGTGGCTCGAAGGCCACAATACTTCCTTGGGCATTGCCTGTAGGTTGTAAGTGCGAAGCCTCTCAAATCTTACGCAGATCATACCAAAAGCAATATTTCCGTTCCTCATCCATGCCGCAACCTTCAAAGCTTCATATGATATGAATCTCGATATCTCTTCACCCGTTTGTATTTCCCACACAATAGCAGTCAAGCCAGCATCGTAGCTGACGCAGTACCTTCCCGTTCCTCTGTCACTTACATTGTCGACCGCCAATAGCAAAACTTTTTCATGGTGCTTCTCGAAGCGCCTGGCAAGCTTCAATGTATCATGATGGAGGACCACAATGGCAGTTCCTTGTGTGTATAAGAACGAAGATCCAGTTGCTGCACAGGGCTCAAGATCGCTGTCTTCAGTCCGAGGATCGATCGGTGTCGCTGGTCGAATATCTCTGCGATATCTCGACCCAGCTGATGAGGATGAATGCTGCCTCGCCAAGCGTCCTAGGGACATGGCGGGGAGGTCTTCCCTGGCGACGAAGCCCGCCCTTGCTCTTGCAACTATTCGAAAACTTGTGCTGGAGGGCGCGCCCTTGCTCGAATCGATGGAGGGGCTTTCTAGTGTAGGAGAGCCATGCGCGGCGTGGGATGTAAGGAGGTTTGACAGTCGCTAGGATTGCTGCAGGTAATGTTCGTAAAACGGAGGTTGGTGTGGGTAAGTGAAACAAGAGCGTCTGCAAGTCAATTCGCGGCTAGCACCTGCTCTCCCTCGACCTCATGCACGTCTTGGGGCGCAAGATGCACGAAGGAGGGGTAGCAAAAGCGCAGCCGACGAAAGCAGATGGAAGGTGCTGCAAGGGGGGGTGAAAAGAGGGCTGAGAGATATATGTTTCAGGAACAAGCCATGAGAATGCTTGAGATTAATCTCGGAATAGAAATGATGCCGGGGTTTTTCCCAATCGATGCAGGTACTCGAAGCTTTTCCGATGGCGGAGCCAAAGAGCAGTCGGCGCTTGACCCTCGATATCTGACGAGGTCAAGGCGAGGTCAGGCGTGTCGAAACCCCGTGACTGCGGCGGGTTGGCATTGATGGGCAAGAAGAAGGATTCAGAGATTCAATGGGATGCTGACGGGAGGGTCTAGAGGCGTAGTGAGGAGTGATCGATAGCCCGAAACAGCGAAATGGACGAACCAAGGTAGAGTATCAACCTCGAGCATATTTGCAGATAGGTTGACTTTGGGCGTCTGGGGTCCCCTACTCGTCAAGCTCGTATGCCGTTTGTTCTTGCTCCAGCTAAAGAATTGGCACAGGCCGCCTGGCTGAGGCTGGCGAGGAGACTTGAAGGAGAGCATGGTGAAGCGACCGATTGTGACTGTTGGCGTACACGCTTGTGATGCAGAGCGTGTGATTTCAGGTACGGTGAGGAAGGAATGAGGATGCAATTGGCTAGACAGAGGAGGCACTATGTCCCTTGTCGAACGCTTATGCAGGAAAAGAGGCATTTCGGAGCCTGATTGGCCTCAGCAGCTGCAAGTAGGGGCGCTTAGGGCAAGTATCGATGGTTCCGCGAGTCCATAGACGGCAAGGAGGCCAAGTAGCCTCGCATGATTTACTTTTTATAAATCCATAGGATTTTCGTCTTTTAGGAGTGGTTGTCGTGAAAAGACAATGCGATTGTCGTTTGGCTATGAATATCTCAAATACTGGGACGGGTATTCCAGAGCCATGGGCGAGGCACGCGAGAGGCTTGAGATGAGCCTGATAAGGCTCATCCCTGTGAACCCCGCATAATGCATCACGCCAGCGCAGGGAGGAATCTGGATCGGGGCGGCGAAACTACGGGCCCTCGCTACGGCTACGACCGTGGGATACCCCCAAAACAGCGAAAATCACCCAGAACCATTGCACAACCAAATCAAGTCACAAATGATAATAATAGGTTGACAATTTTCACGTTGTATTTTGATAATCATTATTGTGGCTAGATCTTGTTTAAGCGCTTCTGATCACTGATCGACGACACTATCTAGGCGCTGCATCTTCGTCGTCGCCTCTGAAAATCATACAAGCAGCTGTCTGTTTGCGCATTGCTCCTCCCCCCGCGACTCAACGGCCCTCCAACATCTTGACCGAGGGCACTGGAGACAGCCACCGGCATTCACCATGCAACTCGTTTGATAGCGTTCCTGCAGTCATGCCCAAAAACAGACAAGATTCAGTCAAGAAGTCGCTCCGTTCTTCCCCCCATAGTCTAGGGCCTGCTTCTGCCGTAGCCGCCGGGAGAGACGGGGGTAAGGACAAGGGAGGGCGATCGCGTTTTGAAATTGCGCGCATTTCAACCCTTTCCTGACCTGGTCCCGCCACTCCTGTTCTAATTTCATTTCTCATCACTTCTTATTAAGCCTCCGAGTCCGCATCCATCGTGCGCTGGCACCGCATTCGAGACTCGGCCATGCTGATCGGTCGCAACATTGTCGCATCGCTCTGGTTTTGGATGTGACTGATATAGCGATACGCTGTGCTCCCGTTCAGTCTTCGTGATGATGTCTGTCACTGTCTAGACAGACTGTCAGACCTCGGTGACAGCGGCACTTGTGTCCATAAGGCTGTGGGTGCTGTGCGATGTGATCGACGCCTTGGTGAGAAAAATGTCGAAAGCGTTAAACTAAAGGCTGGACGCTGCCAATGCACGCGCTCATCAAAATGAAAGGTTTGAATGATGTCGTCGATATCAAAAACAAAAAAGATCGCCGTTGGTCTTCGCGGCAGTGGGTATCATTGGGTATCACAATATCGTTGCTCGTAATTCATTAATAAGGGGTATCACATTTTGCAAGTCGCTCAAAGAATCGCTCATCCTGTTTCCGCGTTAGCATTGTCACATTGCCTTTTGGAGAAAAACGACTCACCAGAAAACATATGCAGTCATAGCTCATTAGGTTGCCACTCTACTCCTCCGCGATCGGGCTCATACTGATGACGACCTTCTTCTTAGCTTCTCTACTCCTTCTCCTCCGGCCTGCCGGCTTTGCGACGACCGACCTTCGTTGCGCGATTTGAAGAGGAGGTAGTTCCCTCTCCGAAGGTTGTGGAGGTGGTGCACGGCCATAGCCCTGTGCGGCAAAGTGATCGGGTATCCTGATGCCGTTCCATAGAGGAAGGTTCTCCAGGTCATCCAGATCCTCATCGGTGATGTAGCAGGTCGCTTGTGAGCCCGACACTGTGCTTGTTGCTACCATGCCTCGGTCTGATGGTGACGAGGGTGCGGATAGTGTCTCGCTCTTGGGCCAGTCGGGATGACTCAAGGAGGCGAAGGAGGCATCAGAGAGGGTGGAAGAGCTGGTCGAGGAGCGCGACGAGGTTGGTGTGAGTGACAAAGAGTAGGCTGAGGAGGAAGACGAGGAGCTGGTCGAAGGTGGTGATGGTGTGGCCTTGAGAGGCATGTCCATGGCGAAGGCGAGAGAAGGAAAAGATCCAGTGCGACGCGACCGTGATCGTGGTGGCGAGTATGATGACGCGAGCATATCGCTTGGTGGTGAGAGTATGATGGATCGCATTCTGTTGAGAAGCCGATAGAGAAGTCGAGTGTTTATGGAAGTCGCAGTACCAGTGGCGTGGTGATGGGATGATGAAATGACAGGTTGTGTCATGTATTATAGCATGCTATGCCCACGTCGCGGGCTTCCGGCTAATAATCGATGATGTGAGTAAATAGTGCCAAGTCTTCGGTCCAAGTGGATTAGTCAAAGTGATGATGACAAAACTTCAACACAAAGCAATATGCGTCTTTTGAACCGATAAGTGTGCGCTTTGTGGCCGGTCAAGAAGTTGCGGGGAGGTTCTAGAATTTAAGTAATAATCCTCCTACGTGCCACGATGGTAGGATTGTTGTGAGTAAAGGTGTACTCCGTATTATTGATGAGGTGCAGGTCCGGGGTAAGCACGCCCTTTGCCGCGTCGCACAATAAATAGGTACAAGTCGCACGCGCCGCCGATTTACGTGCGTCGTTATGCGGACTTCGCGTGGCACCCCTGACTTACAGTAATCTCTGGGGATGTTTCGGGATCCGGCGTGGAGTGAGATCTTCTTGTGGAGGGTGCGGCCGATGGGGAAAGACGACAGGATGGATGGGAGGGTCTTGAGCTGTCTTTAATCCTTCACAAAGGGTAATGATCAAGACAGACGGGGCGAGCGAGTGCAACAAATAGTAATCAGGTGGTGAACTGTCGCGCGTGGATTGGGCGCAACCCAAGGCATCAACTGGCCCAGTTGGAATCACACGAGGCGGTCAAGCTTGCTTTAAGACTTTCGTTTATTATTCACACACCATACGATGCTCACCAATGCTCCTACAGCATAATCATATTATGATAATCGGAGAATATTGGGGTAACGCCATGTGTGCGTCTCCATTCACCGGTGTTTTATTGGAACGGTACATGCGAAGGGACTTGCGAGAAGGGGACTTTCAGGTCCACGAGAGAACGCCGACTCAATTCGCAAAGGAACTAGTTCAGGAAACTGTAGGCAGGGCACAGCGAGCAGACGCCTGAAGTGCGTGTGTGGCTGTGGGGATCTTTCAGGCTCATCCCCTTTACCATTCCTACCGATGCCCCCTAATTCCCTTGTCAATGCCGGAGAAAGTGGCATGCCCCATTCGCTGATACTGGCGTACTCGTACGGTGCTTGATGGCGAATGTTCTCTGCATGTCATCGTTTCCACACTGCTGACGTTACTGACTCTCAATCTACAGGATTCAGGCATGAGCCGTACCGCAGAATGGGGGAATTTACACAAGCCGATTACGACGTACTTAGGCATGAGGCATTATTTTTACCTAGCCAAAGTCCCACGTATCGCGTGGGCAAATGTGCCCGCGTCCTTGCCACGGTCAAGACGCGGAGCTGGTGAGTCACCGACAAGAATCGCATAATAATAAGAAAGTCGGTCCTCACCCCGTCAAACTCAACTCTCGGGTTGAGTGGTCTATTCGGGACTGTCTACCGAACTCGCTAGTCTAAGCTTTCAACGTTCTGATCGAATGAAGGGTCAGGCATGCGATGACCGCGATGATTAGGCAGCATAGTGAAGCCAAAGCTGCCAGTTGTACGACGCTTATGCAGAAGCTGAGCGTTGTCCAGACTGTTCCTCTTGGTCCAGCGGTGAAGATGAAGGGAAAGTCAAATATTGTTTGGCTCTCTTAAGTAGCGAAGTATATTTCCTCTTGACAAATTACACGTGGCTGTCGCAGTGCTTATTGGCATGCTGAGGTGACACTCGCCGTCGCATATTCAGCCCTTTTGCTAGGCATAAGCAGCCATAATCATGCTGAAGCTCGGCACGAGTGCACCGCCCTTTTGGCGGCGGTAACTCGTTTCTTTGTGTTTCTGCTGTGTGGCACTGCACAGCTCGCCTTACCGTGCCATCGTCTTTAACCTAGAACTACGTAGCCGAGATCCGTTTCATGCAAGAAGGGTGCGCATAGTCCCCGCATCGGCTGAGACTACTGCTATTGTGAATCTTCCCCCCAACGACACGACTCAGCTTATGGATGAGGATGAGAAGTGATAGAGAGGTGGTATGCCATGAGATCTGTAACTGTCCTTGATAGCTTTCGGAGACCGAGATCTTGACAGGGAGGGATCGGCTACGGACCGCTGATTGGCTTGTGGCGCCAACGGGATGGGAGATGAGGGTGATAAGCAACGGCGATTCCTCCATGGGGTCCACCATGACGCACGTGGAGACTCGCCATGTGCGATAGGGCTTCACGGGGATTTCATCATGTGGGATCTTTGTCCCTTGGGCTGCCTGGTAGAACAATATCATGGGGAAGTGGCTTCGTTTCACTGTAGATCGATGCTGCTCTGAAACTGACCATCTTCAAGGGTCGACTTACCCTGAGATGTTAGAAAGCACCTTCAGACTTCTCTGGGACGGAGTAATGACGTTGAGTGTGTGGTGGAGCAGTGTGGGAAAATGCGAAATGCCATTATTACTAAATAAAGCCATCAAATGCATTCACCAGGGTGAAGCTAGTACATCTCGGCTCCTTATTGTAAGTGAACTACTTTCGCAGTACAGTTCATTTCGGCCTGTTAGCCCATCACCTGTACGTACGACCGCATGTGTCCCGCTTGAGTCCTCCTCGCCGGGGACTTGCGATCACCACTCCCCGGCAGCTGCTGTTGAGCTACCGTGAGACGGCTTCGGCTTGGTGGTCTTGCCTGCTTCCCCAAGCTTGTCTCTCGGCCTAATGATGTTCTTATATTCACCGACTGAGGCAGCCGTTGTGTTTTTAGCGTATGCTCTGCTTTCTCCCTTCCATGAACAGAGAGGTGTTTCAGCCCCTAGATGACACAGTGTCGGCACCCTTGGTTGAATCAGAAACGTTCGTAGATGAGGATACTGGGGCAGCCACCGCAGGAGCTGTCGTGGAGGCATTCGTTGCGCCTGGCATTCCTGCCTTACCACGATGGACATTAGACGTATTGAGACCACCCCGACCAGCTCCTCCACGCCCTCTCATGGGACCTGCCCTTGGTCCTAGGGCGGGCCCACCGCGATTGTTGCCATGTCCACCGCGGGGAGGACCAGGTGGCGCAGGTCCGCCTCGTGGATTGTTTTGGCCGATCATAGGCCCACCGCGCACATTATTGTTGTTAATCGCGGGCCCACCATTTCGTAAGTTGGTCTTGGCCTGGAGCTGTGGCCCAGTCTTGCGTTCGTGTACTTGCACCTGACCTTGAGCTATCTTGATTGGACTGGCCCTGATGGCCTTCTGCAGACCTTCTGGCTCCGCGAAGTCCACATATGCGAAGCCTTTTTTCTTGTCAATCTCTACATGCTTGACCGTTCCAAATGCTTTGAAGGCTTCTTGTAGCAAAGGCTCAGTCACACCTTGAGAGGGATTTGCATGCTTGAGAAATGCTTGTGTTGATGTGGAAGATGGCGGCTTGTCCTTCGAAGAAGAAGGTTGCGCAGGCGGCATCGCTGCTGATCTTGGTGGGTTACGGTTTGCTGCAGGTCCAGTAGGTGGCTGCAATGTCGCTGGCTGGGAAATAGAGACGACATTCGCTGGTGTTTGTGCAGCGGCCTTGTTTGGTGCAGAAGCTTGCGGGGTCGGTGGGGATGAAGTGGTAGCTGGAGCAGACGCGGTCGCAGCTTGATTGTTTCCTGGAATACTCTTGCGTGTAGAACTTTGTATTACCTGCTTTGCACCTCGGTTCCTAGAATTTCCACTTAAGCCAAGATCCCTTTGTAGCATCTGCGCAGCAGCTTTGACATTGCCCCTCTCACGTTGTTTGTTTGCCAAAGCAGCATTAGCAGCGTTGTTCGGTACCACCTTTGGAGTGACCGTCTGAGGTTTGGGGCCTGTCGGTGTTTGCGAAGTTACTTTCGTATTCGCAGCTTGTTTATTCAGTACCTTCACTGCATCACGAGCGACTTGTTCGACTTTCATCGCCTGAGCGCTTCGCTTCTTAGGAGATTGTGGCGGCTGAGCAGCCGCCTTTCCATCTCCACCCTTGCCATCTTTATCTTGTCGAGCTTGCTTCGCACTTTTAGCTGCTGCATTCTCTTTCCCTTTGTTTGCTTTCTTGTCCCTAATAAACTGAATGAGAGGTGTCACAGTGACCTTCTCTTTAATTTTGGTACTTTCATCCTCTTGGTCCATTGTAGCAGCCTTCATGACTGGATTCGTAAGGCTCTCCAAGAAGCTCATGAATTCGGGATCTTGATCTATTGTGCCTTGTCGAGCATCTTTTCGCGGTCTCCCGCTTGGTGTTCGTCCATAAGGAGCAAATTCGACTGAAGGTGGGCCAAGAAGACATGGATCTTTAGTGGTACCTTTTAAGTCGACAAATGACGTGTTACGCACTTTGTCCGAGAGTGAGTTGATTTGAATTTGATTCGTCATATGGACATATGCTCTGGAAGGTCGCGAGGGCTTTGCGGGACTGAAAGAAGTCTTTTGAGCAATCACACATCTCTGGATATAGGGATGTCAGAGACTCACTCTTTAGATATTTTGCCAGCCTTGTAAGATAACCAGGAGACTTTTCCCCTACCCACTTTCCACTCATCCCCGAGACCTCCTTCGAACTCTGTCTGTGTTAAGCCAGGAGGCAGTCGTCTTATGACGAGCTTCAGACGTGAAGCAGACTGTGACGGTCTTCGTTCAGTAGCACCCCCAAATTTCTTTTGCGTAGCAGAGGCTGATACTGAGAGAACGCCATTGGAGCGGGTTGGCTTAGCTATGGTTACTGGGGAGGGCGTTGCCATGCGAGATAATGGAGGTAGTACTGCAGTCGCGACTGCTCGTTGGCATGAATGATATCAGCTTGGCTCACGCCTATGCACAGATCTCGAGCTGGTCTAAATCATTGAATATTAGTTACTGTGTTTCAATACCTAAGTATGTAAGAGGGGCTTACAACGGCCCGAGATAACATGCCAAAAGCCCTAAAAATGCCAAGACCTCGAAGGCTCGCCAGGCTCGAGGTGAGACCAGAGATGCCCAATTCTACTAATACTTCAGGCTATTCTAATTAATATCGAAGGCGTACTTCCCGCTTTGCAAAGAGCTCAATGAGATGCTCACAGGAATGTCTACCAATCAAAAGATTCCCAAGCCAGGCCCAGCAAAACTGAGTCAAAATGCGAGCGTGGACGAATGGCTCGAGAAGGCGATGCAAAATAAGTATTTGCCAGAGGCAGTAATGAAGAAGTTGTGTGAGATATGCAAAGAGTATTTGATGGAGGGTCTGCTGGTACAGCAATTGCTCTCAGATCGTCGTTGACAATCCCCCAGAATCTAATATACAGCCCGTTTCAACTCCTGTCACGGTCTGCGGCGACCTTCACGGGCAATTCTACGATGTACTCGAGCTCTTTCGCGTCGCTGGAGGGATACCCGGCTCTGAAAGGTCGGCAGCGCTGTCGCCATCGCCAGCTGGTGTTATCACTTCTGACGACATCGAACCGCCCTCGGAGATTACGAATCCTAAGCTGAAGAAGAAGATTCGAGGTAAAAGGAAGGTAGACGATAAGGAAGATAGCGTGATAAAAGACGATAAGGAAGACGTCACAAGCGGCATAGAAGAGGACGACGAAGATACTGTGGAGGAAGAAGAGCAAAGGGGAAGACCCCCAACGCGCACAGGTACAACATTAGGAGTAGAAAAAGAGGGACCTGCAGGCATTCCAGGAAACCAAAATTATATTTTTCTAGGTGATTTTGTCGACCGAGGATATTTCAGTCTCGAGACTTTGACGCTACTATTGTGTCTCAAAGCAAGGTAATTCCTCCATCGTGACCTACTTGACTACGACTTAATCTCCACAGGTATCCTGATCGAGTGACACTCGTCCGTGGCAATCACGAATCGCGACAGATAACGCAAGTCTACGGTTTCTATGAAGAATGTCAGCAAAAGTACGGCAACGCATCAGTTTGGAAGGCATGCTGCCAAGTCTTCGATTTCCTTGTCCTTGGTGCGGTGGTTGATGGAAAAGTCTTCTGCGTGCACGGTGGTCTCAGTCCTGAGATCAGAACACTCGACCAGATAAGAGTTATAGCCAGAGCCCAAGAGATACCACACGAAGGCGCCTTCTGCGATTTGGTGTGGAGTGATCCTGAGGACGTGGGGACATGGGCTGTAAGTCCACGAGGAGCCGGCTGGCTATTCGGCAACAAAGTAGCTACAGAATTCAATCATGTCAATGGGTTCCAACTCATCGCGCGAGCTCACCAGCTTGTCAATGAAGGCTATAAGGTTTGTCCTCCGCAATCAATGAACGCTCGGAACCAAAGCATTTGCTAATTTACATCACAGTGGCACTTTGAAGACAAATCAGTAGTCACCGTCTGGTCAGCACCAAATTATTGCTACAGATGCGGCAACGTCGCATCCATCATGAATCTCGGAGAAGACTTAGAGCCTAAATTTACAATATTCACCGCCGTCTCGGACAAAGATCGACACGTCCCCGCCGCAAACCCTCGACGAACAGAGTATTTCCTGTAGTAGTATATGGCAACGCAAGAAGATTGACGGACTAGATCATGTATGTCATGAGATACCCCCGGCATAGCGTGGAGCAGGCGTTTTACGATGAGCACAAACAGCGGAGCAAAGCGAAGCGTGTATGAACGAGTATTTTGCCTCACCTATCTCGAGGTGGGACAACATGTATGAATATATATATTGGGCGTGGAAGTCGGACCAGAAAGCCCAATTGGTGATTTCGAACAATGCCCTCAGTCGCTGCCGTCTAGCCCTCTCTTTCCTGCCTCTAATTCTCACAAACCCTCAATCCCCCCACAAAAAACCAATATACCCAACTCCCCCTTCATCCCACTCAAAATACCATCTCCACCAATCCCTTCAACATCCACTCGACCACCAACCCCAGCATCAACCCAAACAGCACCCCCTCCCACTGCCCTTTCACCAGCCCCCTCCCCCTCTCCCTCACACAACTCCACCAAATCCACTCCCCATTCTCCCTCATCGCGCTTCTCATGCCCGGCAGCCCATCTAACGAGCTCGCATTCCACTTCGCCTGATACTGCCGTAGCTGCTTCGACTCGACCTTTTTGCGCGCCCAGTCGCCGAGCGTGGCGCGATCGGTGAGTTCCTTGGCTGCTTCGAGGTGCTTGGTTTGGATGTCGGATTCCGATATGTCGGGGGGCGTGCTGGGACGGTTGGGAGGGGGGATGAGGGGGAGAAGAGGGGGACGCCGAAGCCGCAGGATTGTTGGACCTGGCAGAGGGGGTGGGTGTTAGGGAGGATAGATATTGTTGGGGGTTCATGGGAGAGGCAAGAGGAGAGGGGAAGAAAGAAGGGGGTGGAAGGGCTTACCTTGAAGATGTCGAGGAGAATCACGGCGCGGGCGCCTTGAATCAGACTTTCTGTCTTGCCCATCTGCTGGATCAGGGAAGGGAAAGAGGAGGTATCGGCTTCGATTACTGTGCTGTGGGCGTGGTCAGATGGGATCGTAGGATGCTTGACATGAATTGAACCGAAGCGGGCAAGGCAGAAAAGCTGCAGGGTCCAAAAAGGCACGCAGACTCTTAATACCTGGTCCCAACACGAGCGAGGACTAAAAGGGTAGAGAGTATCATCGAGAAAGAAAAGAAGGGGGACAATAAGAGAACCTACCCTTTGCAGAAGAATCTCACAATCTTCGGCGCCTTGTCAAAGCTCGCGAACATGATCGTGACTCGTCCATTTTCGTACACGTGCGCTATGGTCTCGCTTCCGCTGCCCGTGCTGTCGATATAGGCCTATATCCGTACCTTGGCTAAGCATTCCCAACCGTCACGAGTGGTGAGGAGAGAAGCAAGACTCACTTACAGCACGCTTAGGATTTAGTATAGAAAACGTAGCAGCTGGTAAGCCTTTCGGCGAGATATTGACATGGGAGCCGGACAATGGAGCGCTGGCTGTATAGAAAAGGTGTTGGTTGAGCGCCTAGTAGTTGGGCTTGTTAGAGAAGGGATGATTGAATTCATTGGGCAATCTAGAGGAGAGGAAAGGAGAGCGTATAGAAGTAGAATTCGAGCGAAATTGTATTCTCGCCTTTAGAAATCGCTTCTCAATCGGAACAATAAGGGAATACACAGTTTGATGCAAAGAGATTATGGCATTTTTGAGCGAAGAGGATTTTTATCAAGTGGAGAACGCACCCATTCGTGCAAATGCTCTGGTATGGAATCATAGAAGGTAGGCATTGTTGGTCACTTTTGGACGGATAGAAAGAGGGCGACGAGCGGAGAAGAAAAGGTAGAATGACAGACAGCTTTTCACATGAAGTTCAAAGGGTTATAATGATGGAGGGGTCAATACCGATTGGTCTTGTTGCTTACGGCTTGTTGAAGATGAGTGGTGAGCTCGGATGAGTCAAACTGGTCTAGAACGGTATCGGCACAGGAAAAGGCTGGTCCCTTGGACTTTTCAAGAACAATGAGACATCGAAGCACAATGGGCCTCATCAGCTTGTGAATACTATTACATTTGTCTGTGCTTCCATATATATGGCGTTGATATCAAGGTGCAGCCCCAAAACCGTGAAAATCTTTTCCCATACCCTTCGTTATGTCATTGCCTAAATATGTTCATTGCCCCATGACTAAACCACGATGTATTCCCCATCCACCCTATCCATAGCTTTCCGCCATTTGAAACCGTTCCCCGTATACTCCCCAGCTCCCATACCAGTCATAGGTTGCATACCGGCTCCATCAGAATCGTTGCAATCGTCTCTCCATGTCTTCTCCAACAGTTCAAGACAAGAGATGTTGTTGAAGAAACCTGAGTCTTTTTGAATATCAAGGCATCGATTCCTGATCAAAAATCTGCCCTGCTCGCTGACACATTCGGTCCCAGTGATGAAAAGAGGCCAGAGTAAGAACACATCAGACTTCACGTTTGATATGTTATACAATGCCTGTGTGACCAGTGACTGGAAATTTGGATGGGCCGAAGGTAGATGTGGGTAAGCTAATCGTTCCGTATAAAGTAGAGCTGAGTAACGGAATGACTCGGAAATATGTAGGAGGTCTTGACGATCTCCCTGAGGGTCTGAAGACTCGGTCGGTGTGCGTACTGAGCCGTCAAACTGCCAGTCCTGCAGCTGTTGCCGAATTTCCGTCCACTCTGGCCAGAACTGGGAACGGGAATCAAGACCTTCGACTTGCGCGTTGGAAGGGAGCTCAGACCAGCCATTACCGTCAAAGCGATTGTTGTTCATGCTGTAGTAGTCCTGGCTTGGCGGGGTGACAGATTGGCTGGTCTTGCGGATAGGTGAGCTACGAGGTGACGATCCCTTGGTCGTCTTGTTTTGACTGAGCATGTTTAGTCGACCTAATTTAGCGATGGTCTTGAAAAGTCGGCCGTCGCAGCCAGCTAGGTTTTCCAATGCCCATTCGTCACCACTAAATTTGGAAATATCAATGTCGTCGCCTGATAGCTGGCTTTCTCTATCATTTACTGTGGCCGCCATAGCATCGAACCAAGTAAACATGATCGTGAGCCAATTCGTGGCTTTCGAATTGATGCCTTTCGTGCCGCCTCGGAGGGCAAGAATCTTCTTCACACCGGCAAATTGGGTCTTGAACTTCGCAACACCTGTGTCACAGATATGATAAAGACAAAGGATGAGCAGACTAGCCAGGATTGAGTCATCTCGTCTTCGGGCTGGATCGGTGAGCTGCTCGTTGAGTAGTTTGATAGCCTGTCCTTTGTGATAGAGCTCTTCGGTAGAAGGTTCGCTCGTTGAAGTTTGAGGTAAGCCCTCAGTCCTTGTGTCCATGAGGCTGTGAGCAAGTGAGGATTTGCGCACTGATTGGTCGTGTGACGAATCGTCGGTGCTCTGCAAGCTCCGATTCGTTGAAAGCGGATTTTGAGAACGCCTCATGCGAATATTGCTCGATGAGAGTGCTGCAATAGCATGCTGTAGTGTTTCACTCTCCACAGCAAGACTCAGAATGTGAGATCGATACGGATTTGTGGGACCATCAAAGGCAACAATGACCGGCGATATGACCTTGTCATAATAATCAATCAAGAATTGTAATTTCGGTGAATTTCCGATGCTTAATGATGAAAGCGACCGAGGAACCATGAGAGTGTGGTGATCTCCGACGTCGTCAGGTACCAATGGCGGTAGGTCACCCGCAAAAGCCTGAAATTTGGAGTCGATCATGAAGTTTACTTCGCTTGGTGCGCTTGAGATCGGAGGTCCTTGAGAAATCAGATCTTGTTGCAAAGGTATCATACTCTCTGCCACGCCGAAATAACCCTGCACATCTTCGGCACCGGTTCGACTACTACTGTGGTCGGAGGCAATACTTGATGCGTGATGCGCTCCTGACCAGGGAAGATTACCACTTGTAAAAAGATCGCTTTCGTATGAGGCGCCATGTGGCTGCGAGTAGGTCTTATGAGAAGGCGAAGCTATCTCATAACCGGAAAAGGCAGGTACCATCGGTGAAATTTGCGAAGACAGACCAAAGTCGTGGTGCCCGTACCCGCCAACCACACTGGCCGTCATTGGCATCACACCATAGTCTCTAGCCGGATGCATCGAAGTGACCTGAATTGGCTGAAGAGTATGCCTCCGCGGCTTCTTGTCAATGAGCCGCAAACCCCGCGAGTGCGACATAGAAGCGGGTCTTTTCCATTGGAAATTGGGCGATGGGTAAGATGGCGAGGTCATCGCTGATGACGCAGAGCTAGGATCAATGTTGACGAACCCATAATTGGTGGGCGTAGAAGTGGAAGTTGTACTTGCTGTTCTCGTCGGGGCGCGGTCGAGCTGGCTGGAGCTTTTCGGATCTGAGGCTCGTCGCGGGGGACCAAGCTTCGCAACCTTCTGTAGTGGACTCTCATTCGACTCCTCGTCATCGTCGCCACTCGGCGCAGCTCTCTTGGAGCTGGCAATGGGCAATGAGAGCCCGCGCAACTTTCCCCGACTGGCGACACCTACGCCCCAGGTCAAGGCAGTCTTGTATCCCGAGCAATCTTTCCCAATGTCCAGACAGGGTGTACAGTAGGGACGTCTACGATCGCATTTTGCCTGTCGCTCTTGACAAGCAAAGCAGTCGTCAGCAGCTCCAGTGGCCGGTGCCCTTCGGCGTCTTTTTCTAGGAGAAGCAGTCTGTATAATAGGCTTTGCGGCCTCCATTTGGGGCTTTTCAGCTTCTGTCTGTGTGGTAGACATTGTAATCCTGGGATTGTCTCCAGGTTGGAGATAGGGAAATGGGTGGCGTTTGTATACTAGAGCTCTCGTTAGAACAGTCCGAGAAGTGAGTGGCAAATCGTACCTCGAGCGTCTCATTGGCGAAACGTCTGGATGTAATGGATCATATGAGCTCTACAATAGATATAACATTAGGCGGAGGTGTCTGTTTTGTAGCTTGTGACAGAAATTGCACATGCCCATGCGCCATAGAGGTAACGAAGTACCTTAATATACTGATGACGAGAGGGGCTATCCTCCGGCACTTTGCAGAACGGACGCCATTCAAAAATCGAACGGCTCGGACGCTGGTGGGGGGACGCGAGATTGAGATGGTGCAAACAACAGCTAGCGGAGAGGCTAGGACAGGGCCATGGGGACCTTAATTGTTGCTTTCGCTCAAAGCTGCTGTTACATCCATGGTTGCAACGGCGAGTAATGGCCTTTGTCTCTTGGAGCCGAAGTAATGGCAAAGGGCTCCCACCGTCTAGCGTCCTCTAGCCACAGGTTAACGGTAGGGGATTGAGGGTACGGAGAGGCCGCCCGCAGGCGATAACGATAGCCATGACCAAGAGATCCCTGGTGGGGAGCTAAGAGAAGATCCTATTTGGAGCATAAGTCGCTAGCATCGATTGGCCCCAGCGCCGGAATGAAGAGCCAATGAACCTGAGAGGGAGGTTGCAGATGGACGGCGGTGCTTGACCCTCTCGACTCGCATCGCACATACATGAGATCCTGGGAGCAAAAGAGTGGGCGTGTAAGATGGACGAATGACCCTCTTGAAAAGTTTTCAAGAGCCGTTGGCAGGCGGGCATGGCCGAAAGAAGCCGATATGGTCGAGGGATCGACATGAGATGGATGAGAGAGCATTCTGTAAGCGAGTTCCGGTTGGCTGATGCGAAGGAGAAGAGGGTGGGGAGGGGATATGGGGACCGGGATAGCGGCAGATTTGGCGTGCTGCTAATCACGCATAGAAGCATGATAGAACGATGCAGTGCCAGGCACTTGATGCTTTGACTCTCTTAGTGCGCTGAGGGACTGAAAAAGCATCTGTATGTGATATGCAGGACGCCGCCTGACAGCTGGTGCGGGGAAAGATACGACCACATCATGGCCCGTGGAAAGACTGAGCGCACCTCTCGTGCCATCGCCAGCCAAAGGGCAGAACCAGAAAACAGTTGGAGCTCCGGCGTTGCACCTCTGGCCCATGACAATAAGTGACCAATCCAGAGCATGCAGCTTCGAGTTGGGACTGGAAGGAAATGAAGGCCGGGGCAAATGAGTGCTGGGGTGTTGTAGGCATCGCAGATTCACGACCTGAACGGCGAATATTTGTTAAGGTGATTGTTGATTGAATGGTGTCACCCGCCAAAGAGAAAAGCTCTTGATAAACTGATCTACACCGCTAGAAGTACGGGTATTGCCCCAGGCAAAGCTAAAGCGTTGTGATGGTGCACCTCGACCCTTAGCACCCTCACTCAACCCTCCCTCAAGAACCACTGCCTTCGCTCGGACGAAGACCGAGGTAGTTGCTCACAAGATGCAGTCTACTTTCGAGTCCCCACCAAACTTCCAGGCTAAGTCCGTCTCTCAGGGTTATACGAGCAAGACCTATGTGGGCTCTTCTCTCGCGTCTCGGTCACCAACGGAAACGCAAAGTCCGATAGACCCCCACTCCTACCTGCTCCCTCCATCGCCTCCACCCCCGGACCACCACACAACTTGCCAACACCGTCACCTCTGAGCCATGGAGCAGCCAAACTCCCGTTCGAGCACCATCACCTATCCTGACGTCCATGGCTCGCTACACTGCCCATTCGGTAGCTTCCCGTACCTTGCAGTGTCTCGGGTCTGTCATGTTAGCTTCAGCCCCAAACACGGAACATATAATCCAAGCATTTACCGAGAGATGGTTGGATCACACCTCTTTGTGCCGCAAGCAGGCTGAGAATCATGCCCTCGCTCAACGCGGACTAGCGCATCTGTCTTGATATGATGTGGCGGATCGGGCCTCTCGCCACACTCGGCGAACATTACCTGAACTCACCTCCTCCGTCTTCAACGCTCCAGTGCTATGAAGTAAATCTATTTTTGTAATTCGGTGTCGCCACTGAAGTTACGCCTCCGTATCATAGGATGAAGGACCTCGGTGTAAGAAACGTCGGATCTCAAGGGGTGCTCTCGACCCGATACGAAGCTCCAAAAAACAGTTCATGATTCACAAGCTTACTCGGGTGGGCTTGTCTTCATTTCGATTCCGAGTGCCTGCGCCCTAGCTCGGCGTCAAGTCTTACCGTCGATACCAATTAATACCAGGAGCCTTCATTGCTAGCTTTTCAGCCTGGGCTGCGGACAAGGCGCTTCCACTGACTCGGTCAGTCTTTTGGCTTTGATTGAAGAAATCAATACGATTACTTGGAAAAGTATATCATGCGGATCAAGTCCCGATGGATTTTGCTCCGCCGCTCGTGGCAGGAAATTTGTTGAATTGAGCTTCCACAGCTCATGTCCTACGATTAGATCGAGATCAGCGAAATCCGGGTAGACTGTCTGGGCGTCTAGAAGATGTAGGAGACCGGCGTTGAGATGCCTAGCCTTCTCGACGTTGGAGCGAAGTTCCCTGGGTAGTCCTTCATGGATCGCCGGTAGATATCAAGTCTTTTCTCGTGAATTTGTACTTTTAGCATTTACTCAGTTATCGTTAATTTCTTTGTGCTTCTCTCAATTCTATCTGTTTCTCGGTTTTTCAAACTTTCCCTACTCAATATCCACAATCTCTTGCCGATCAAATTGGGCACTTGGCACCTAGATGACGATCTCAGCAAATACTACACTCCTTCTTTCTAAGATAACATATCTATGATTCATTTACAATCTACAACTAATGAAGGACGTTTCACCTACATGGATATCTACAACGTGGTGATTGGTCTCCTGTAGCGGTCCGAAAATCCCGGATCGATTGGCAGCTACAGCCACAGCAACCTGCGAATAAGTACTGGGCATCACCAAATGGTCATTCGCAGACTATTCCTCAGCTGAGTGACGGCAAGCTATGAGGGTACCTCATTATCATCAATGTTGAAGTCATAGCAAGGCTGTTGCCAAACTAGTGCGGTCCACAATCTCAAATTTTGGGTCTTCTTAGCCAACGGATCACACTCAGCCTTAGGATTATGGCAAGCCGCAACACTATGCTGAAGCTAAGAATAAGCCTATACCTACGTTCACTCCATTGATCCGCAAGACGCTGCTTCCGCGCTCTCCGCGGCGGTTATCCATCTGCCCTACTGCAAGTCAGCTAATTGTGACAAAATCCTTCCTCCAAAGGGTACTTGACTTCACCTTCTGCCAGCAGTGTCGGTCATAGCGTCCTCTCAGTCCTCCCATTGGTGGCTGCCTATAGAGTCACGCGGTAGTGGCTGAGGAGCGCTCGCTTATTGCATTATAAGATTAATGACTGGCGTGATACCCTCAAATTGTTAGGAAAGAATTCAACTAGTAGAGTTCAATCGCTCCTTCGCGCGTTGGCTAGGTAGTGAACCTTTTCCAATTTCAAGTCGGTCGCTCTAATATTCACACATCCAGGCAGCCATCGAGCCTTTGCCATTCTAGCGTCAAGGGACTGCATGCTCGGCTTCATCTTTCATTGGGTATACTGCGGCGATCTTGATGTCACCCCAACAGTGGACTTTCGATGGATCGTGTTCCTGTTGCAAGGGCTACCTCATTTGAATTGGATTTTCTTTGAAAAATGTGATAATACACGTCAGCTGAAGGTTGACAAATGTCTGTTCCGTAGGCAACGGTGAGTAGGGATCCCCCTGAATCACTGCCCCCAGAGCCTATATAAGCCTCTATCTATCTTTATGATCCTTTCGTCTTGCGACTTTCAACAGATTTAAAGGGCTTTTCCCATCGATCTACATTTCAAATTCAGTAACAAATATCAGAAAGGGGAAAATCACTCAGTCGAATTCTCTCCAGATTTTCATCTTGCCCAATACCCCTTGAGTCCGCATCATCGATTTTTTCCGAAAATATCAAAAATGGCTCCAGCCTTTGATTTCGATGTCAGTTCCTTCATCCCCTCAATCTCTAAGTTCACGATCATTTTCACTAACAAATCTTCAAGGCTCCCATGTAAGGAAGCTCACAAATATTGAACAACGTTATCTCACTTAAGCTTCACAGATGCAATAGCAATCCTCACCAACCAGTATATGAGTGCAAATACTTCAGAATCTGTGGCCAATTTGTCCAGCAGCCGGGCAGTCGTTGCACTTATTGCATTGTACGTGTTTCACCATGGAAATCACTTCACTTTGTTGATCAAAGGAAAAATTGACGATTCATGTGGTTAGGGCGCTGGTCGCGCGGCTTTGCCCCACGGTACACCTGAGGACCGTTTCGAAAACATGGGCGGACGGGGACATGCTGTCAGAAAGATGGATGGTCCTAGATTCATCGGCTATGCAAACAAGAACAGCTGAGAGATACAATCCTGATGACAACAGCTGAAGCTTCAACGATCCTAAAAGTTGCTGATGGAGCACCCAGCCTACTTTTCCTTTCATTACTTTGTCAAGCTGGCGGGCAACTTTGTCGGCCCTTGACGCCTACCACTACATTCTTTTGCCTGAAAACACGAGAAGTCTAATCATGAAACAAAGCTTGATTTTAAGATCGAATCATTTCACGATGATTGGGAGGATAGATTGTCAACGCTGCATTTCGGGGGATGTTTGAAGTGGCGGTGGAATACATTTGGGTGGTTTGAATTCTATAATGGTACACTCGCGCTGGAAATTCCGGTCATTATCCTTAACTTACGAGAAAATGAACGATTGAGACAATACTCCTTAGCTCACATGTATTCCAAATCTATATTGGTGTTGCTCGATCACAAGAATTTTTCTTGTCGCAAGCTTCTATGACTAGATCCTTGAGCACATCATCACAACAGGATTGCCTGCACTCCGCACCACGAGTCTGCTCCTCTTGATCCTACTCCCACTACCCCAGCGCTTAGAGGCCCATCCCGACACCTTTTGTCACAGCACTTAGGAAACGAACCATAGGAATGCCGTCGATCTTCACTAGCTTAATTCGCAAGATACAATTGATGACGCGTTAGAGCTCCAGTCTCCATCTGTTCCTTCTTGAAAGATTTTACAGCCTCACAGCTTGCACATCGGCTTCGGTCTTTGAGGAAGAAAGGATGACACCCTGTGAGATGTGATCCTTCTGATTTATTCTCCGCGAGGCGTATACCGGGACAACCATGGACTTGGTGGTCATACCGGAGATATAACTTGCGTTCGGTGATCATTGAAGGCGAGAAGATCTAAACGTGCAACGATTGACTGTCAGCCAACATAGGGCTGAGGGCAGAAATAAGCGCTGAAGGATGCAATGACAGGTTGCAGGATCGCCACGAGTTCAAGCACAAGGATCGAAGATTGAGAGGCTTTGTGAACTCTAATGAAGTTAAAAAGCCACAGAAGGCAACAAACAGGCAGGAAGTAGCGATAGGGAATTCGCATGCTGAACATCGCACTCAGCCTTGCTCGATCAAAACCCTCGTTTGATATGTGACATGTTTGCCGACCAGTCATTTGCTCGTTTTCCAGCTAATATGCCACAAGCACCACAGCCTCTTCAACTTCATGGAGGTCCATATAGTCATAGAATTGCTCTTCCCTACTCCATAGCCTCCCTTCAAGCCTCTCTCCTCTTCTTAGCCTCCTCCCTGCCCGCCTTCGCCCTCTCTAGAATTTTCTCGCGATCCTTATCCAGCTTCAATTTCGTAATGGCTACCTTGCTCGGGGCGATGCCTAAGGGAACACTCTGTCCATTGCTCTTGTCTCTCGTTACCCGCTCGACATGGATCACGTATTTGAGGCGGTAGACCGAAGTAACCTTGCCTTCTCGGCCTTTGTTAGAGCCACGAAGAATTGTCACTTCGTCGTCTTTGCGGATGGGAATGGAGCGGACCTAGAAGGGCAAGGCGTCAGTCTATGTAAAAAGTGTGGGCAATTGCCCTCGTAGGAATTTCGCGAGATGACATGACGAGTCTCGCTAGGAATGGATGGAGAGTGTACAAGGGTAATCGTACACTATATTTATCTCGTAGTTCTTTTGAAAGGGTAGCGCTCATGCGAACGCGGCGCTCAGAGGAAGGTGCGCTGAAGTGTGCTTTTCTTGATTTCCTCCGAGAGGAGGCGAGACCTAAGTAAGGAGATTAGCATCCCTCGAATACACTCTGGATCAAAAGAAGCGTCTCACTTGTCTTTGGCATGACTGCCGCTTCTCGATGGGATTATCTTGTTAAAGAGTCCGCTCGGATTGACAAGACTTGCATGTATGAGAGAGTGTGCCGCCAAGACTGATCACGCTAAGAGCTCGCTAAGTGACGCTTTACCCTTTTTGGCGGAGCGTGATTAGCAAATGATTTCAAACACCCAAGATACAACTGGAACTCAACGTGGTTAGGGAATTGCGTAAAGATGTGTGTGCAGTCAAGGCAACAAGCGAATGATCCTCCTTCGTAGTAAGAAAGGTTCAAGCGAAGCCCTTCCCAATGCTTGACGCAGCGCGTCCGAAGGCTCGTCGCGATCTCATTCGGTCATCAAGTCCATACTCTTTTTCCGCGAAGAAGCGCTGAACGACACAAGCTCGGGCATGTCGTATAACGGCTACAGTCAATACTCTCCCTACTACCAGCAGCAGCAGCAGATTTCTCAGCAGCAGCCTCCCTACCAACAAAATCCAAATTCATTTCCTCAAGATTCGCGAATGAGCGATTCATACTCTTCCGCCCAATACCAACCGTTGAGCGCATATCAAAGCAAGACCGACCATCAGAAGCAGCAATCTCAAGGTTATGAGACCGGTGTGAATAATCACGCCACGGGCTACAGCAGTCAAAGTTCTGGCCATTTAGGAACGTCGAGTGGAGGGACTCAAGGTCGCCTAGATGCATACGTGAGCAGTGGCCCAGACACTACAGCCCTTGGCAATCTGGCGTATGCATCAAGCTTGGGTCAAGGCCAGAACCAGAGCCAGAATCAGTCGTCTTTATCGCAATTAATCGACTCGAATCGCGCTAGGAATACAAGCAAATACGGGAACAGTTCGCCGGTTCCCCACAATCACCAAAGAGGTGGCAGCGGGGGATTTCAAGGTCATTCTGATCAGCAAGCGCGGCAGTCTCAGTCGTCTCCAGTCCAATACCAGGTCCCCCATGCCCAACCATCATTCTCTGGTCAAAATAATAACGTAACCAACGCTGGGCGGAGTAGTCCTGCGCAATATCAGTATTCAGCGCCACCGCAGCAGCAGTCTTCACAGACTTACCGTCAGTATACTCCACAGGTTTCACGTCCGGCAAGTGGGCAAGCCATCCAGCGGCCAACCTCAGGACTTGGTAGGCAAAATGCTCAATCTACACCAATTCCTAACAACCAAGCCCATCAATCGAGCATGCAAGTAAAGACGGGATACCATCACGGACTGCCTCAAAGCTCTACTATGCAACAATCCCATCAACGCCCATCATCATCGATCTCCTCGGCTAACCCTGCTACGGCGTCTCCTAAACCAATTGATCAGGCGCCGAAAGCCAACTCATCAGCAAGAAGTGCGCGTCAAACAGTTGAGAGTGGGAAAAAGAATTCTAAAAAACCGTCGAAGAAGCAGACACAGCTCAGTTCTGGAGCCAACGGTAGCGCGACTCCACAACCTCCCTCGATAGATGACCAACATCCCACAACTGTGGACCCGAACCAGGTATTTAACCACTACGAGTATCAGCGGAGACAGGAGGAAGCCGAAGCCGCACGCAAGGCTAAGGTACAGAACGCATCCACTGCAGGCTCCAATCCATCAATGGCAGTCTCTCCGGCGGTAGATGATGTGACCCAAGCAGCACAGGCTTTGATGGGTCAAAGCACGTCCAAAACCGACTCGACTGCAACGAAGGAACAGATCGAATTGGAGATGAAACAAATGATAGAAAAGATGCGCGATTACAAGGCTAAAGATCCTGGCTTATTTTCGCAAGTCTGGGAGGAGGTTAAAAAGGTACCCAAATTGAAAGCCTCTCTTGAACATATATTGATATTCTAGTTAGGGACAACCTGCCCAAGCCCCTACGTCTCGCACAAGTCAAAGTGGTCCCGCAGCATCGCCAATAGTGAATGCACAGACGATAAGCCCCCAGCAGACAGATCTACCTGCCGAATCTGATCTCCCTGCTGCTTCGATTCCGGCAGAATTCGATCGCGGACGGTATCCAATGCTTCGCAGGAAAAGAGGCAACGCCTTCTTCACACCCGACAAGGCTTCAAACAGCAAAAGAAAATCTACAGGATCTAGTGCCCAAATCATAGACCTAGAGACTTCCGAGCCGTTGCGTCCAAATTCGAGCGAAAGGCGACCCCAGCAATCAAGTCTTTCCCAGGAAGTCTCTGCCTCTAATGTCGCGCAAGTACTTAAAGCAGGAACGAGATCGCCTTCAGCCGCTCAAGCTGGCAGACCCTTACCTGTCGGCAAGACTCACTGGCCAGAACACAAGAAGAGAGCACTGGCAGACGCAGCTCGCCAAGCACTGATCGCTTCGCCTCAAAATGCCGGAAAAGGTATAACGACCGACGAGATTCATGCGCTGTTAGATGGAAACCCTAGTTATTACCAGCTCTGCGAACATCTCGAAGGCAAAGGTTTCGTAATAGACCGGGGGTCATTTGCTCGAACTTTACTAACGGCGATTCCGGATTTGAGTCAGAATGCACAGCAGACAGTCAACCAACCTCCAGGACCAATTCCAACTGCAATTCCACCCTTCCCAGTCCCAAATGGCTACGTTCCCTCTCCAGCTTCTCGAACAGCAAATTCATTCCAGGCGCCAGTTGCAAACATGCAAGGATCGGGACCTTTTGGTATCGTCTCCCCTGTACCAGCAGCAAGTGGGCAATCACCATTGTCGGTTGAGGTCAAGCCAGAGATAAGCTCTGCGGCTCCGCAGAGTAAAGAAGAGAAGGCGAAGAAAAGAAACTTCGGTGACATCGTAGATTTATCCATTCTATCTGATGAAGACGAGTTTATTCGCCACCGTCCGAAGCCTCGAGTCGAACAATCTAAGCCTGCCTTACCCTCTCAAAATATGCTGAAGGAACCTACCAGGCCATTTTCCAATCAATCCTTAAATCAGAAATGGGGACTCCCTGCACCCGAGCTCAACCAGCAACGTGGAGTAAAACCTTATAATTTCCAAGAACAATATACTGGTCCACAGCGAAGCAAAACACAACCTTCCGGAAAGGAGGACTTACTATATGAGAAAGTGGTCGAGCCAATGAATAGGCGAAGAGATGCTTTACGTAGATCAAATTACGACCCGAGGACGATTTGTCGAGACATATTACTGGCCTCCGGCAGACATCCTACAATGCCCTCGCTAAACAGCCATCTCGACGGCCTAAGCGAGCGGTTCGTAAGCGTTGACGTCAATGCAGATCTTTCGACATTCCGTTGGGATCTTGTTGACCCTGGAGGTCCAGCTCCACCAAAGCCGATATCTCAGCTCGCCAAGCATGAAGATCAAGATACCGGTGGGAAGGAGAGCAGTTTAAGGGAGTCAGCTATGTCTGCCCCAAAGATGCGCCCAGTCGTCGCAGTTGGTCAACGTAACCGTCCAGACTTCTTTTCACAGCCTATCGGAAGTGGTGAAGTTCCAGTTGTTCGGAGACGTGGTAGGCCGCCTAAACAATCCGGAACCAAGAGCCACCAATTTGGAGAACAGCAATTCACACAAGGCAATCATTCAACGTTGGCGCCTATTCAAATGCCATCGTTCAGTACAACCTCAAGACAATCAGTAGGGCCAATTGACACTACCACCTCTCCCTATTTCTCAGCCGCTACAGCTTCAGCTCATAAACCACCGAGCGATCAAACATCTGAGACAACTCCATTTCGTGTTCCAGGTAGGAAAGGACGACCACCAGGTGCTAAGAACAGGAATCCACGAAGTGACAAGGGCGTCTCGAAAAGAAAATCTCAAGCGCACGAGTTACAACAGCCACTCGAGCCTTTCATCACCGCTTCATTGGATCAGGTGAAGAGTGAGGCATCAACTCCGACGAGGCTGCATGGTCAGCAAAGTGAGATCACGCCAACCTCAAGTCGCATAGCCATCGTTGTCCCGACCCGCTCCCCCAGCATTTCTAACCCAGATTCTGGCCGAAAAAACAGCATAGAGCAAGGGAAAAATGGTAAGCGTCCATCCTCCCCTTCTTACACAGTCTACAAATGCCACTGGGAAAGGTGTCCTGCAGAACTACATAATATTGAGATCCTGCACAAACATGTTCGCAAACAACACCGAGAAAGACTTGGAAAAGGCCCTTGGGCTTGCAAATGGGCTGACTGCTCCGTCCAATTGAGTAGTGCCCATCCCAACCAGGTCGGAGAAGACGACGAGTTAGCAGCGGTTCAACGCCTGATGTTTGATAACGAAGATGCGTGGGATGACCACGTGGAGGAGAAACATCTGAGTCCTTACGCGGAAGATCTCAACGGATTTATGGAAGAGGAACAGGCAATGAATAATCACAAAGTGGATGGAGAGAGTGTAACACAAGGGGCCAGAACCTTAGCAGCGAAGAAGAAGGCAATTGGCGGCATGGGTATCTATAAGACAGGGGTGAAGGTGGCAAATGATGTGAAGCGACGGATTATGGCCGACGGTGAACGTGATAGTGAAGAGGGGGCCGAGGAGGTGCAAGAAGGTACTAATAGCGAGAATTAACGAGATATTCATTGAAAGGGCGAGCAGAGGGAAAGCGATTGACTCAGAGGAGGTGTATATATATATTGGTATGCCCATATTGTTTGTGATCCACTCAACAAACTATCAATCTTCGGACGAGATGATCTGCACCTGATTCGTCTCCCCTACTCAACACATTCCAGTCTCTTATCTTCGTGAACATACTACCTTCAGCTGTATCTTGTTCTTATGCTCCGTAGTATCTGGCAGGGTAAGGATCTACCCTACGCGCCGTTCGGGAGCCACAGGCCGGGTCTTGAAACGCGGTGTTCTCTTATTCTTCTATATTTAGTGTAGCACAACTTTGACACAATAGACGCCGTCCGAAGCCCGACCGGTTGCGAGTATATTGAGTGAAAATGAAGTGGGTCTGTCGATATTGCAAGAACGGAGACTGTGGGCGTCACGGAGAGAAAGACTCATTACGTCACATACACGGCGTACAACAGGGTTGCAGCTATCGCATAAGGTTGCATGCTAGTCTGATGAGCACGAGATCAAGAGGTGGTCAGGCAACATGCAATATGACATAGTGAATGGCCGGAACGGTGCATTCAGGCTCCAAAAACGGTGCGTCCGAGAAGAATCAGGCATGTGTTCAATGCACGACAGTCGTTAAAACAGCAAGAGGTGTCTATTGAGAGCAATCTAGGCCGCAAGGTAGGCATGCGCTATGACATGAGTAAACATAGACAGCTACGATGCTTGATTTTCTCTGTTGTGGGGAGTAAATAGCTGAAACGAACGAATCTGAGAGCGAGAGCGGTTTCGGCTATCGCAGCATTGACGCCCAAGCCAGGCCTGATACAGCACCAATACATGATATCAAACACATGGCGGTCATTTACCACTGAGGCTCCAAAGAGTCGAGACCACGAAGGATCACCGATCGCAGTCAGTGCGCCTTCTTTCGGTGAGAGAACGAGGAAAACAGCCAGCATCAACCATCCTGATCGCAGGTGCCAGAGGCTGGTTGTCAAGACGAATGAGGACGAGAGCGACAGCGTGCAATAATTGCTCGCAGAGTGCAGCTTGCCAAGGCGGACAGCAGCTTCCACCACCCATTCGGCCAATCGCAATAGTCACCGGTAGTAGTCTGAAGCTCGCGGTCTAGGATCGCTGGTGGATCGCTCCAGCACAGACGGGCGCGTGGCTGGGGCATCTTGTTGGTCCCAAGTCCCAACTCAAGTGTGTTCTAGAAAATCCTTCTAGAGGAGTCGAGTCTTTCATTTCACACAAAATGCGGTGAGAAGTCTGGCGCGGATACCGGAGCGTCGCAAGCGAAAACGCACCATCACAATGGACAAGGACCTGTAACATAGTCTAACATCATCCTATAATCTCATGGTTATTTTCGACCAACTGCTGCAGCCATTTCAGCTTTGCCGTGCTGCAAGAATTCGCAACAGATCATCTCAGAAGAATTCTCCGAGAACACGAAACGGCAGTGGCATGTTACATAGCCATCCACCCACAATCGGCACACGCGGCGAGAGCCACCAGACAGAGCAAGCCGAGCGTCATGGCGCGGGACAGAGAACGAAAGGGAACAGATGACTTTCGTTCCCCCTCTCAACCCCTTTCGACATCCATGTGGTGGCTTGCTGATGATTGCTCGAGAAGGCATAGACCAATCAGTCTACCAGGTCTAGCTTTCTATCTTTCCGCTCAGGACCTGCGCTTGCCTGCGTGGAGGAAAAGTGATGTGCATCCTCCCGGCACCACCACAGAAGCGGCATCTTAGGCCCCGTCTTCCGGGCAAAGAAGCTCCAGGGCTTGTACCGGTATCAAAATGACCTACCCGTCACATCTTGACCGAAGAGGATTGCGCAGATGAGAGTTTGCGCACTCAACGAAGATTCTCGGAAGAAAGCGACTCGCACGAGATGAGCTGCATCCTAACAGCGAACGGTATGCAAGGTCGAACGGGGGCATGCAGGGGATATATATTTTGGGTGTGCGGGTCCTTAGAAGCGAACTTCTCCAGCAACATGGCTGCGTCGTAGATTGGCTTCCAGGGTGGAGAGGTGGGAGCAGCTGCAGTTCAGGCATGCATCTATGAGACAGAGCATCTACGACACCGACCAGGGCTCAAGTCGCCGGCCAGGAGGCAAGAATAAGCCGAGAAGAAAGTGTGAGAGCAGAAAGGAATCGCTGTGCGACGCTGACTCGAGGTACTTTCAGTGCTTTAGTAATCCATTGGGTATGCGCGAAAGCACTAGCACCTTCCAGCACCACCAGGTCAGCGTATATAAGAACGAGGTGCGCAAGCGCTCTCTGAGTTTGCCAGAATCTCGCCTGAGTCATCCTTGAGAAGCATAAGCATTATCGAGAAGGCTGTGTGAGACGAGAAGAGCGAGATTGTGCCTGGACTGTTCCCACCAGCATTACTGTGTGGCCGAAATAGCGGTCGCCTAACGGGGGAGTCAGATCGCTTGCCGGTTTAATCATCCTACACAAAACCCGCAAATAGACGTCAAAACGTCGCATGAATGCATTAAAGCCTACGTAACTCCTCGTACGACCGTAAGAGTCAAATAGAAGTCCTCGGCCTTCAGCTATCGACCGTCTTTGCCTCTTGTATGGGCGCTTTGCTCTCTAGCTGTGGGCGACCATCTGATCTCGCTGGAACGAATCACAGACCCGGCTCTGCTTCTCACAGGCGGCAAGGCAACTGAGGAACGCCCTTTTTGCCGCTTGGGAGCAACGTTTGGTGCGTGTTTGAGTCTAAGGAATCTTAGGAAATCTTAGCCACCATTAGATTCAGCGCTTTCGACTTCCTCCATGCACTAGTATCGGACGCTATATTAGTGTATCGAAAAAATACAAACACTGGCCCGGTTCCCAGCCTCTTCTTAAAGGCGAAAATCTCCTCACCTCTTATTACTTACTCCACAACGATCAACATCGTCCCGAGAAACCTACCAAACTTCGCTCTACAGCGGTTTAGGAGCTCATACTATCCCTAGGATCCTGTCTCTCACACGGATCCATCCTTCACCTCCGTCGTTCCAACGTACTTGTACGCGACCGACCCTATGTCTAACGAGAGAAGTAACCAGCGTCAACATTCCTCTCCTCGACATCGATCAAGAGATAGTAGCTCTCTAAGACTGGTTGCGCACGCAATACACAACGGCCTTGGACCAGGACGCGGGCGACCACCACCTCCTTGCCCGTGAGGTCCACCTGATGCACGCGTCGCCACAACATGTATCAATACTCAGTTCCACCACCAGGATATGTCAGATATGACTACACAACTTCAGCTTCTACCTCACCTTCAGGCTCACCATCACCAGAGGCAGCCTATACCTACTACATCCCACCGCAATACAAGTCGCCACCACCGACCAAGGACTACAAGAAACATTCAAGATCCCAAAGCTATAGTACCCCTAAGCGACCAGGTGGATGGCACGCTCCTGCAGAGTTCCCATCGTCAAGCTATTACGCAAGGCAACCAGACTTCGCGTCGCCACCTGCCAAATACCAGGAGCATGTGAGTAGTAGAACCTTCTCGCGTGCGCCACCCAAACCACAGGCTCGCCGCGATTCCGCAACCGCCGATCCCCGTGGCGGGGGCAATTGGACAGGCAGCCATAGCTACAATGATCAGTTTGGGCACAGAGGGGAGACCAGGCCGCAACGCCACGCGTCTACGCGATCACCGCAGCAGAAACAGCATATCATTATTGATACGTCTGACTCAGCCGATGACTCGCCAACATTCACATACATCAAGCCTCGCAAGCCTGAGAAGCAATTACCCAAGCCGAAGAAGACTAACAATCACTTTTTCTTTACTCAGGCACCTCGCAATGACTCACAGCAAAAATCCTCCACCCGCCGCGCGTCAGCCGCACGACCCTCAAGCTCCAACAAACCTGCAAAACAAGTGGATCCGCCACGCCAGGCAACACCGGCTGACGCACTCAAGCATCGCATACCGGCCGGCTACTCGTTGAAGAACTGGGACCCAGATGAGGCGCCTGTGATGCTTCTCGGTAGCGTCTTTGACGCTAACTCGCTCGGCAAGTGGATCTATGATTGGACCGTGTATCACCATGGTGCCTCTACTCCGATGTCCGAGGTTGCTGGCGATATGTGGCTCTTACTCATCAAGCTCGCTCACAAGATGAAACGAGCTGATGCAATACTGCCTAAGGTTGAAGACGATAACGATTACGACCTAGTCGAAGAATTCCTTGACAGTGGGGATAGACTCTGGCATAAGTTGAAGAAGCTTTTGAAACAGTGTGAAGAATTTATGTGGAAGGTAGCGAAGAAGGAGGGCGAGAAGGATGGAGGAGCAAAGGGGAGTTACAAGATGGGAAAGAATAGCGGTTGCGAATTTGTCGACTCGATGTTCGGTCGCGACCGGATGCTTGAAGACACGGAAGATATGATGCAGAGGATCCGTCTTTGGAATATGCGCTTCGATGCGAATTGTGAAGACGTGATCAGGAACCCACGGGGTTAGCGGAGGTGCCACGGCACAAGTCTCAGCAGAAGAAAGAAGAAAAACAAGAAGTAGAAGGAGCCGGCCACAGTCACAGCGACGTTTGGTGTCGGATGGATGCGACATTGTTCTTGCCTCGTTTTGTTTAATTGGGAGGTCTATTTGAAGGACAGCTACATTTCTACGGCGCTCTTGCAGCACTATTCAATTATCGATTCGCGAAGATACCCCAATCCTCCCGTCTTCATTTGGGAGGATTACGTCGAATTCAGTCGATTGTTTTGCAGCAAAAGCATAGTTCGCAAGGACAGCAGCAGCAGGCCTACGGATTTCTCCCGGCTTTGGGTTTTGATTTGCAAAGGAGGATTCTCACATGGCTCCACTGTGAGTCATGATGGGTTTTGGGATTCAAGGAGTCAGGTGTTTGTGGCATGGTTTTAGCATTTGGTTGGCTACTTGATACTCTTGGTACATAGGCATTCTATCAACTACAATATACATAATTTTGATACCCCATTACATCCATCCATTCCCACGTTCCAGCTTCTCTCCCCTGCCTTTCCTTCCATACATACGATACGAACATAAACAATCATAAATCCAAATAACTTACCACTCACGAGGCAGCCACTCACCCCTCCCCTTTCCCTTCCGTTTCCTTCCCACAATCCCATCGCACAATCCCAACCCCTTCCTCCCTTCCTCCAACCATATCCACCACTTACAACCCCAGCCTTCAGCCTCACGAGCCCACCTCTCCTCCTCCCATCATTGGCTACAGATCGCGCACCCAATCACACCCCTCAATCCCTTCCCCAACCCCTCTCCTCAGCCTGCCTAGAGCACGCACGCGTTTGAGCTTCACTAAAAGATGTGCGCACATGGATGCACGAGGCTACCACACCGAACGCATCGAGCTAGAGATCCTACGAAGGAAGGGGCTAGCGGATATGCGAATAACCTTGTCGATCATGCACTGCTCGCTCTGTTCTAACCGCCCATACGCCTCCTAGCTCTTTACCACGAATTAGCTTGCTGTGATTGTTCCCATCACACACGGTGGGAGGGTGGGTATCTGTGTCATAGAGGCAGCAGTCTGCGGGGGAACAGCTTATGGATAGACTATGGTAGCGAAACGGTGGGTTGCGTGCAGGGCACCTCCGTTCATCTACGATCACCCATCCTGTCCTGCACGTGCTACCGAGCCCCCCAAACGTAGGTACATGTGAGAGAAAGTGAGGAGGTACGTACCCTCACGCCGTCCTATCCCATCGCAGAAGGAAGAAGCCGGTCAAGGAACGGCTTATTGGTTGCACCCACCCCCGTCTTGCCCTGGAGAAGGGCATTTCTCGGCAACTTTCTTCGGTGGCACCAGCGGCACCATGGGATAGTTCTAGGGATGGGACCGGGGAAAGCTTATGCACGTCAGCGCATCAGCGCTATCCATTGTTCTATGCCGAGGAAGATACCGTCTATTCTTGGGTGTGCCTTCCCGTCGCCATTATGCAGGTAAGGGGCAATGAGGTGGAAGGGAGGACAGGCGAGTTCTTTTCTGGAACGCCTAAAGCACAAGTCACACGGACGAGGGAGTGGGTGGACGACGATCTCTTATGGAAATCTCTGGCCCTTATATCCGAGAGCACAGTATGCAACATACGCAGTTTGGGGAGTCTATGATGAAATATGCGTAGGATATGGCCTCCATCGGATCCTTAGACGTCCAAAATAGACATGGATTTCATCGATTGCAGACCTCTGGTTGTCTCCACCAGGGACTTCGCTCGCCCGTCATTCACAGCCATCCTGTCACCGCACCACACTCGACTCCTCCACAGAACAAATCCGTAAGCTTCTCTCCGCCTGTCACACCTGTCCGGAAGTGCGGAATCCCCGCACCCCCGAGCCCCTAGCACGCATCCCTAGCGCCCCCCTTGGCCCAGAGTAAACCATCGGAGTCCGGGCGCCTACAAAAAATTGCAACAGAGTCGGGTTTTCCTTCGTTCTTTGATAATTCTGAGCGCTGTAAGACGGGGCTGGGTTTGCATATGGTTGCATAAGCTGGCACGTTTGGGGGGGACGGACTCGGGCGACTCGGGTTTTGCTTCTCATGAATAGGAGGGGTCGGGGGATGGGCAAGGTGCATATGGATACAGCACGATGTGAAAGAATACAGGAACCGTTGGTAATGGAGAAACGGCGGAGGGGGGTTGGGGGAAAGTCAATTGATGATGACTGGCATGGGTGTTGAGTCTCAGGTTTGTTGCTGAGGATGCCAGCCTGAGTGTGGGTCTGCGACGTGCTTACCTCGTTGGCTTATGAGAGGGCATGGAGACTTTCCCGTGGCTTGCTACTGCTGGGTCCATGATGACCACCACCACTCACGCAGAAGGTGCTTGAATACAAGCTTTGCCATGGTCAGATCCGAAGAACATCGGACGATAGGCGAGGCTGTGATACCATCACAATCGAAATTCAGCTCAGAGTCTGGAATGGCGACAAATTCGTGAAATTACGTACAACGGAGCCAAAGAACTTATCGATGAACAGGCTCACATGTGTACAACAAAGACCAATCTAAGTTACATATTGGGGAGGCTACCTTTTCAACCTCCGAAGTGCACAAACGCCGGCGTTTATAGTAGCCCTGGGCTAAAGCAAATGAACACACGAGTCCCAATCACAAGCTGCCATGTCCAAGCTTGGAAATTACACCTTTGATTGGTTATACTCTTGGATCTACTTCAACTCAAATGTGACGCGCTCCGCTCCTTCAAACATCAACGTCGAATTAGGCCAGCTTATGTTACTATGTTTTCCGCCTGAAAGTCCAAACCATTCGACTTTAGGAACAAGCTCGTGCTGGAAACGTCCCACTCCAACACGCCGGTAGGCTGCTGCTTTCTCGTCGCTAGAAAATACCTTATACTGGTTCTTTCTTTCTAAAGCCGAGCGAGGCGGTGGCTGATAAGGGGCAATTAGCAAGAAGTATTCCCACCTGCTTGATTGGTAAATCAACCCGCCCTCGGGACCCTCAGTGTCGATGTGCTCTGTACAATAGAACAGGAAAAGGCATCTGATATGGTCTCCTTCGCGGATCTGACTACATTTATCAAATTTGCATTCGACCTCTGCCCTGGAGCCTTTGCAGGACGGGTCTGGGTGATCAACGTGGAAGCCATATTCCCATTTTGATTTTATGACGTTAAAGGATCTGACCACTCCGTTGATATGGAGCGTAGATTCAACAAGCTTAGAGGTAAAGGGACTTCCAGACCATTCGACATTGAAGCTCTCGAGACTCGGCTCGAGCTTGTTCCTTTCACGTTCAAACCATCTGCCATGTACCTGGTGAAAAATAGGCTGTCGAGGGCGGTAAAACCAGGACCAGGAAGGACCTGTATCTGCGATATCTGCAAACTCACCAACAACGGACCAACTCAGGTCGCAGATGAATGTACTCTCCCACAAACCCAGTATAGGAGTTTCTTCCGTGAGGCGTTCAAATTTTCGTATCATTCCTGTTATGGCGGCGGTCCTGTCCTCGGACTTGGTCAATTCCCGAGTTGTATAGTCATTAACCTACCTCTACCAGGTTGCACTCGTCTTCGACAGACTAGTAAAATCTTCGTCGCGTGTCCTGCCAACTCTCGAGAACATGTTCAAGCTGTCGTGATTTCGTTCATCGTCTAAGGTGCCATCCTCGGACCTCAATCCAGAACGGCACTTCCAGTACATTTGATCTTCTCTGAAATGTAAAGATCTTGAGGACAGCATCATCTCTTGGAATACCCAGCCTCGTCGATAAAGTGGAGCATTGTAGAGATGCAATTTGTCCTCATTGGATCGTGGTTGAAGAAGCTCGCGAACAGAAGCAATCGTTCGAGGTTTGCCTGAAGCAACTCGAGATGTGATATTGAAGTGGGCTGAGGGTGTGATGCTGTCTAGAAAAAGACCGCCATTACAGTCAGGTGAATCGACTGCGGCAATGGTGAGACAACTGCCTTCATAGATTGAAGCCATCTTAGCGGCTTCTTGTTCCCAATCTACCAAATCGTCTTGGACAATGCAAAGCGAATCAATCCAGATACATCTGATGTTGAGTGCACGGGTAACGCTCACTGCGTCGTGAAAGGTCTTTGGTAGCGAAGACATGGGGATTGAAGATCTATGTGAGGCCTCAGTGGATCGAGTAGTCCGCAGCGGCATGTTGTCAGGATGTGCACCCCAGCAATGGCTCAGTGTAGTGTACTTCTCAGTATTTGCTATCCCACTACTGGAAACAAGTCTGGGCTCTACACCTCTGTCATGGTTTCCGATGTCGACAAATCGGCTGGGTAGGATAGAGTGCTCTTTCGTGCCTTGCGAGCATCGTGGATGATGGGAGTGGCATGCATCGAGAAATTCAACAACCGTGCCAATCCTAGCAGCAAGTGATGCCGTCCCGGCATGTGACCAAATTCCACGGTGTGCGAATTTGTCTACAAACAGTCACATCAGCAAGCTTTCTCTACTTCGAAGCCCTCCGCAGTATGGCAGTCGTCCACCAACAACGGGCACGGAGGTAGTAACCCAACATTAGAACTACTCCCGAACGATCATCCCGAGAAATGGAGGCATGATAAAGTAAACATACCTGCTGGGCTTATGCTGACCCCTAGCGTACTTTCGCTTTGCGAATAATGGCAATGTAAATATCGCAGCGGAAGCTTGACTTCCATCGGCTCTGGAAAACAGCGACTTTTACCCTGAGGTATCAGCTCGCCTTGAACACGCCCTAGAGATAAATCATATCTGAAACTCTTGAACTCCACAAGGTATTTGCGCTTGTGCTTAGTCCGCCGATCAACACCCTGGTCTTCATCGATCGCCACGATTTCTTCTGTGGAAGGCCACATGACTCCATTGCGGATTGACTCGATTGGAATTTCGAAGAATTCGCACAGAAAACGGCAACAAGGACAATGTTTGCTGGATAGAACAAGGGAAGCTAGATCTCGTCGGGTTCTGTTCACGTCGTATCCAAGCAGTCCTTGGCAATCTTTGCATGGATCCATCTTCGACGACTGACGAAGCGCTGCCACAAAGAGCGATTTCTCGTTCGTATCTGGCAAACGGGATGGCACGCAAAGCTGCAAAGCTGCAAAGCTCTGAGGATACCTAGAGTATGTACCACGTCGTGTATCAAGTGTCGGTTTCCAATAAAGTCATGCACTGCAGCGCTAAATAGCCAGTGAACAAAGGGAGAAATCCCCCAAATTTCATCAATGCTGTTGGCAATGTCAGAACGATGAATTATTCTATACTCCCGTGTGGCCTAGCCTGCAATAAACTTATCCCCAAACGAAAGGACAAGAGCCGGTGAAGGAAGGCTATACTAGAGCCCATTGGACTACAAATTGGCAACAAGGCAGAATGTGACACAAAGGGACAACCTTTCAGCTCATTCGTGCTTCTTTCGCCAAGCGGGGTCGTGTGGGCGATTCCCGAGATCGGCGTCCTTGCAGGAACTAGAACCAAGGCATTCTAGACGAGGCGAATGAGTATGTATATCTTGGCAAAAAGTCCGATATCCATGCTAGAATAACCTTGAAAGCAGGACTACGGAGAATACCTAGTTGGACTTTTCCCTTCAGAGATGAGAAAGGGAAGCAAGCCGTCTCACAAGGAGGAGCAAAGGAGCAACCCCTTCCGAAACATTACCATTTTGTCAGTATCAAGATGTACCTGAGTATCACATGTTAAAAACGGACCCCAAACGCTGTCTATCCAGAAACGACCTCCTGTATCGTATATTCTAGAAGCTTCAAGGCCATCCAGAAGCCTTCCTTCATCGCAGCGTGGGCACCCCATAACGCACACAGTACCTATACTCTCCTCTGTCAAAGGAAAGACTTGCTACTGGCCAAAGACCGATCTTACGGATGAGGCACCTGTACCTTCCCGTTGTCTGAGCCGAAACAAGAGAGGACGTCGGTGCCCAATCCGTCTTGCATTTTCCCACGCAATTTTTTTGTCCTCAAGCTCAAGCTCAACGTAGCGTCATCTATCTCCTCCAGGTAACCTAAATACAACATGAAGCGTCGAGCCCTAACCCGCATCACCGGTCGTCAGCATCATTCACACACCAAGATTCACCCACTCCATTTTACTTCCCACTCACCTCCTCAATTCCATAGTCCGTCAACTTCATCACTATCCGCTCAACGCACTTAGTCAGCTAAATTCTTCCCATTGCCTATTGCCCCTTTTCCCCTTTACCGTTCACCACCATTCCCCCCCAGCCCCCGCACACCCCTCCCCTCATACCCCCCTTCCCTTTCCTCAAAACCACAAACAGAAGAAGAATATCACATACCCCGACCCCCCTAATCTCCTCAATCTCCTTCCCCCCATATATCATCCTCACAAACTCCGGGTTCTGATCCGTGCGATAGAAATACATCTGCTTGAGGTGCTCGACCGTCGCGTCCGCGGGGACATCGCGGATACTGATCACAGGCCCCGTGGCGGGCTGGACGAAGATGTTACGGAGGACGCGGGGCCCCACGGAACCAGCTTGAGGGAGATTGGCGGGCGAGGGGGATGGGGCGGCTGTTAGGAGACGGATGACAAAACCCTGTCGTGTGGTTTTCTTGTAAGCAGGTGAAAGGGGGAGGGAAGAGGAGGGAGAGGCGAGAAAAAGGAGGGGGGGGCGGGGGGCTCACATCGCCAATGTTATAGCTCTCCAGCGTCCTCTGATCATCCAGATACTGGCCCCCATATATGAGCCGCTGGTCGCGCGGCTGCACGCCCTGTCGCTCGGCGATGAGTTGTTTTAGCTGCGCGACGAGGATGGCGAAGGAGATGTTGGGGAAAGTAAGATTGCTGCCATCGAGGGGGCGGACTGTCAATGTTGGCATGGTGGCTTATCGGCTTCTTTGTGCGGTTGTGGGAGGGGAAGGGGCATGGTGAGAGTTGAGATGTTAGGAGGAGAAGTTGGGATGGGGGATGGGGGAAGGGGGAAGGGGGAGAAAGGCAGGAGCCGACGCGACGAGGCTGAAGGGTGGGATTTGGTATGGTGTGGGTGTGTGTTGGCAGACGCGAATTGAGGGACTAGGATAGGGGTATGAAGACGAAAGTGAAGCGGTTAGCGTATTGAGCTTGCTCAGCCTGATCTTCAACTGCACTGGACTGCGTCTTCCTGTTTTGTTCCTTTTTTATGGAAATCTGGCAACCCATTTGTAGACATTCGTGGGGTTGCCGATGGCTCGTGCAGTCACAGACTTATGAAATCTGCTGCAGTGACCGAGTTGAAGCATAACGAAGGAGCCATTTCGATGGTCGTTTCTTCGCAGGAAAGTCTGAAGGCAACGCAGTACAAGAGATATCACGACGTATCGCGTTGTCAAAGCAAATCAAAAAGTCCAATCCGTAGGTGATGCATCTGACCACATACCTTAAGTATTTCGCTACTACATGTCTTGCAGCCGAGTATTTAAACACCAGTCATCCACAACCTACTCTAAATCTTTCCAGATTCACCAAATTCAGGAGCACGTCTTCTATATCGAAAGCTTCCTCCAAGCCCCTGCGTCGACCATCCGCCAATTTCTGCCCTCTACCCCCAACCAGATACGCTCGCAGGACATTGTCCAAGATCGGAACACAGATCAAAAGGGCCATGACTTCAAACAAGGCACCCGTGCTGGGACAAAACGCTTCCGGATTTGTCTGCAGCACACCAACCCACAGGAGCCAAGAGGCCATATACCGCAGCACATGAAGCACGAATGCCCAGGCGCCCGCGATCTTCAATCTCAGAGGGTTCAGACGCTCCCAGTCCACTTGGAGCCGGTCCTCTGAGGGTTGCTGGGTCTGGACGAAGATATAGCTTGGGCGGACTTTGTAGAGGAGATGGAGAAATAATATGTTCGCGAGGATGCCGATTGCGGAACCCGCTTGGGCGATGCTGACCTGTAATGGCCCCCCTCCTGTGGTTGCATGGGCCACTGTGCCAAACCCGACCAACGAGATGAGGCTCAGCAGCGTATCGACATATGTGATTTCCGCCGCTTGAAAAGCGTATGAGGAGGGGTTGATCATCACGAAGTAGATGACTAGAGGGGTTGCGAGAGGGCGCGCCGTCCAGAGGGCAAACATGTGCCACGGCGAAGCAGAAGGATCGTCTCTGGTAAAGATGAATGCTGTGCCGACTGTTGCACCCACTTGCAGGATGAGGCTGAAGATGACAGATAGATAATTCAGCCTTTTGTCGAGAGATCTGCTTGAGTCTGGAAAGGATTTCCCAAAGTCGCTGCTGCCGGTGAGGTGTGCTATGATTGCCCGTGACTGTCTACTGCCAAGTGCTAGACTGGCGATAACGGCGAAGATGTTGTAAAACGTGAACCAGAGCAATATGTAGCATGGCTCAATGCAGTCTCGAGCATTGCTATACAGAGATGCTACTTCCAGCAAAGCTACTTGTGATCTACTAGGAGATCCTGGACGAAGGGAGCAAGACGGTTCTTTAGGGCACGATGCCGAAGAGCTGGGCTCTGAGCTGCCTGTGATTGGATATATTGTAGTTGTCATAGGTGTCAGAGACGTCCTGGCCGTGGTTGCTTTGTCACTAGAAGTCGTGAGAAGGCTTGTTGAAGATGGTAGTGCAGTAGACGCAGATTTAGTTGTGTCTGTAGCTGATGATGAGTCTGAGGTCTTTTGACTTGCTGATGAGGAGCTTGATGAGCTGGTAGTCGGAAGATCTGAAGTGACACTGGTTTCTGAGGTTTCTGCAGTCTCTGATGAGCTGGACGTGACAGTCGACAAGTCAAAGGAAACGTTGGCAGTGACCCCTGCCATCGCCGCAAGGACTGGCAACGGATCGAGAGAAAATCGATCGTTTCCACTCTGGCAGCACCCAGGCAGAGATCGATCGCCATCGCAACAATAATTGCCATATTCACACTGCAAGATGGCTTCCCCGTCATGGATCATACCGTCTATCTGCCGTTAGCATCGCTATCTCGCATTAAGCGGGGCGAAGATCTCACCATTGGTACAAATTTGAGGGCAGTTTTCAGACGTCCATGACGAGTCAGTACAAGTAAAGCGACCATAGTATCCAAATTTTGGGAGGTAACAGAGCCCATTATCCACGCAGTCCCAGTCCGAGGGGCAGCAAGATTGTGCGTCACTGTCTCCTCCGCACGGCACGTCCGTTGGGGCAAGATGCCCGTCCAAATAATGGCATGAAAAACTCGAATCCCATCCTCTCGAGACAATGGAAGATGTCTGATGGTAGTTTGACAGGCTTATTGCCAGGTGAGGGCTAACAGGCTGACCTTGGCTTCTTACAATCAGCGAGTAGATTCGTCTGGGGGATTGATAGCTGGGAGGGTCTAGGGGCTCACAGATGAGCGCTAGAGAGCGTAGCAAGTAATAGTGAACAGCTTGCGGCTATGAATGCTGCTTGGAAATTCATCTATGCCGGCCAGGACATCATTCAGGAGTGATACGTCCCACGTGTAGTGCACGATAAGGATCTTCGCGGAGCATACTGGAAGAAGGTCTGTAGATGTGTGAAATGGATGTGCGGTCTCTAGCTCAGGCTCTGTATATAAGCCTCGTCTGTTTCCCTTCAGTGACCATGAGCCTCAACTGGATGCCACCTAAGAAAGGGGCATCCCTGCCTGCCGCAGCGGGCGGCAGGGCAGACCCTGCACCCTGACTCGTACGAAAGCAGCCACCACGCAATGGCAATTGGTGTAGAGCTCGCCCTATACAGCCGCCGAGAGGGTCTATTGGCCCTCGTTACTGCTGCCTATTGAAAGTGCCCCGTTGGGCAACGCATTAGGCGCTTTATCTAGTACTGGCAAGTGAAGCTGGTATAGATATTTCTCGTTTTCCGTGCAAATCAGTCATTACTAGGTCGTCAAGTAAATGATAATATCAAACATCACAAGCCAGGTGTCACAGCAAGGAAGATACTCTCAACTCTAGGAGCGTGTTCCAGGACCAAAGAGCATCACCAGTCCCGCCCAGATCTTAAGGGGAGCCAACTGCCCCTAAGCCTTCAGCGCCTTACGCCACAGAGTTTCCGTCAGTCCCTTGGTTACAAGCCCGAAATGTAAGAGATATACATCTTGAATCGAAGTCATTGCCCGTAGGCATGCAACTTTGGAAGGTGTAGAGGCTTCCTTGATTGCTGAGTATGATTTATTGGCTCCCATTATACATCTCGGTTGGAATCGTTGGGACTCTCATAGTCATAGCGCCGTGCCTTTGGTGGACGTATAGAGAGAGGCGAAAGGAGTTGAAGCACATCAAACGTGACTTGAGAACTTCCGAGAGAAGAGCAGATCGACTACCGGAGTTGGAGGCGGATCTTAGGCGCTTGAGGACGGAGCGAGATCGATTGAGGACGGAGCGTGACAATCTCAGGGCAGAGCTAGCCGACGTCAGAGGGCAACACAATGCAGCAAGCCAGCGATTACAGCAGCAACTTCGTGACAGCCAGGCTCATGGTGATGATATACAAGCCCAATTACATGCCATTCAAGGAAGACATAATGCGAATGTCCATCAATTGCAGGAAATCAGAGCCGATCGCGACGACATAAGGGCTCAGATGCGAACCCTGGAGGAGAGATACGACTTCGTTACTCAGCAGCACCGTGAGATGGCAGCACACAACCGAGGATGACGAAACCTTGACTGTCGATATTGAACGACTTCCGAAGGGTTGACGCAGCTTCCTTGGATTTCATGACTGAGCTGTTCCGACCATACGGCCGCCTGTTGGTGATGGTTATCTCAAGTACCAGGCTAGCCTGTTCCTATAAAGCCTTCATCTTCATTCCAGCCTGCACGATATTGTGATGTATCCAGAGGCCATTCCAAGCTTACTCTTCGACGCCCTCTGACGAAATCGGCATCGCAAACCGTCAAATGTTGTTGAGCAGCGCGAACCCAGTAACTTTGCGAGCAATTGAGGATGATTTTGCAATTCCAACACCAGGTCCTGCCGCAAGAGTCTAAATATAAGAGTAAGCCACGTCAACACATTTCAGAAGTGCTTCATCTTGACCCTTGTTTGGACACTCCATCTCATGACAGCCTCCTTGTTTCTTAGTGTAGACACCACAGCCTGCGCCAGGACACCTTTTGTAATACTTCCTTTTATGCTCATCGGTCTCCTCATCATTTGCATACAACTGGTGGTACTCTAAGCAGGTTTGGTTTTCGTGCCATTCAGAAGAGCATCTGAAGCAGCTGAGATAGCCGCAGGATTCGCAGCGCATTTTGGGGTTCTGGGCTGGAGGACACGTCAGAGGTGATTTTGAGTAGACTTCAATACGAGAATGTACCTCCACCAATGTGTATTTGCCCATTCTGACAGTCACCTCCCGGTCGGTTACATTGCGAAAAGTTCGGGTCTTGTTTCATCAAGTTCCTGTTAATAATGTCATGATATCTGCCAAAGTATGAGTTGCGAGTCAAAGACTTGACTTCAGGAATATACGTACCTCTCAAAAGCAGCACTCGAGGCAATGGCTTGGATATCCTCAAATCGAAGCGATAGTCCACAGCCTGCAGAGGGACAGCGAATACTCTGCCAACGGCCGCCTTCAATATCCGAGTCGACTTGGCCTGTGGCGCATTCACTGCAGACCTGATTTGGATGTGAGCACTGTGCCGTGAATCCCTGGCTGTCATTGTGGACTTTGAAATCGAAGCAGACAATACATTCAAAGCCAGCCAAATAACGGTATCTGCGGCTCGTTAGCCTCCAAGCCATAGCAAGCAATCCAAGTCAAGACATCCCTTTTCAGTACGGCTTGCTGCGTCGCTAGACGACGTTCAATCCTCCGATGGTTGACTTCTAGCTTCGCTTTGCAGTTTCTCGTGTAGCATTCTTGCCGCCCTTCCAACACGCGTAGAACAACATCCGCATCGCAATGGGTACACAAATATGGAGGGAGCTGATGGCTCTTGGGACATCGAGCGGCTTCGATAACAAAGGACGAATACCGTTTATATGGGAGAAGACTTCGTCTGCAACTAGCACAAGTTGTTTCGCTGCCGCGGGGAGCAAACGGGAATAAACGGTCTTGAGGTTTTGCGACGAAGGCATCGTTGATAGCCCAGCAAATCCTCCATTTTTCCGAGACACTCATAGTTTAGGCGACTTTGGGCAAGTCAAACCGTTTTCAGTCCATCTAATTGTGTTGTATTGAGGGAGGAGGCGTCGCTCCGCGGTGCTTCTTGACAAGCGGACAATCGCGTATATTTTGGCCTTCATGCATCGCTTTGGGCCACCACAGCAAGATCTGTAGAGATAGCCATGCTCAATTCACTCGTGAGTGACGAAAGTTGTGCAGAAATGCCCAAGATCACTCCCGCCAGAGCATAAAGAGCGTAGTTTGTAGTATTTGAGTAATTATGTTTACGAGCTCTTTCGGAAGCATTCCGCAACAAGATTCTCTTTCCGGCAGCTCTAGGTACCTCGCCCCTAGACAGCAGCCCCAGGAACGGGCTTCCTTAGGGAGCTAAAGCCCCTTCCATGTGGCTATCTTGACCAACCCTCATGAATAATATGTGGAGGGACAACCCGTTCATACTCTCAAGCTCTCAAACTCCCAAACTCCCAAATTCTCAATGGCATCTATCATGCTGTTAATCTCTGTTGCTTGACCTTGCCTGGTCCCTGAGATCTGCTTTCTCATCCCCTTCGTGTCTCCTTCTCCCCGTCCAGCGTATTGTCCTTCTTAGCTTTGAGTTCACAAGCATACTGTATCTGCTTACCTTCCTGATACCCTAGCAATCTCTTCCCAGGATGTAAAAGATCGAGATGTTTTCACATTAATGGTGACAGCTAGACGGGCAACGTAAGGGCCACGATTCGCCCAATGACAACGTTTGCATCACCAGCTTTGTTGCTGGGTCATGCACTGTCATGTTTGATGATATCAGCCGCCTTCTCAGCGACCGCATAGACAGGCGCCATGATATTTCCCGACACAGACATGGGAAAGACACTAGCATCAACGACTCTCAATCCTTCCACCCCAAACACCTTCAGCCTATCATCAACAACACGTCCAAGACCTGCTGTACCTATTGGATGATACTCCGTCCTAGTATTCCCACGTACGTACTCCTTCCGATTCGCAAGATCATGTAGCGGGAAATCCTGCGGTGGAAAGTTTCTTTGTCTGATCTTCTGCTGCAGAGGTGATGTCTGGAAGACCTCGTCCGCAATTCTCAGTCCATGAGACAGCATCTCCACGTCGAGATCGCGTTCCAGGTAGTGAGGGTCAATCAATGGCTGTCCTTCCGGATCCTGTTCATCGATATGTGAAGACCCGCGGGAGAAGGGGTGAGTGATAGCAGCAAGAATAGTCACCCCTCTATTAACGACGCCCGGTACCGGAACAGGTCTTGACCCGTCGACGCGACTGGGATCAAACGAGGCAGGCAGAATGAGAAACTGAAGACTTGCTGCACTAGGGTTTCGCAGCCGCGCTGAAAGCGTTTCGTATTCATTGCGCGCTGCGAGGTCTTTGGCTTGCAAGACTGTCTCGTTGGCCAAACTTACCAGTCGATCTATTTCTTGCTCGTCTGTGCTTTGCGCTATGGAAATGAAACCAGTGGACGTCAACGAGCTGGACAAGGGACCTCCTTCGCCTTTCATGTATTGAGCCGTGGCGTTTTCAGCAAAGCTTGGATCGACCATGCTGTCAAGCGAGAATTGTCCTTCCACAAGTTCGTATGATAAAGCGGTCATTACGTGATCTTCGAGGTGTTCACCTACTGCTTCATTCTCCATTATGCATTCAATCTGGCATTTTTCTAAAAGTGACCGCTTGCCGATGCCCGATAGCTCCAGAATCTGTGGCGTGTGTACCACTCCGGCTGACAAGATGATCTCCTTTCTGGCATTGACGATGAAGTCCTCCCCGCCTTTCGCCACTTTGACACCTATAGCCCTCGGTTTCTGTCCGCTCTGATCAAAGATCATATTCTTCACAACCGCTTCTGTCAAAACGAACAAATTCGCCCTATCAGCATTCGGCTTGAGGTACGCGGATGCAGCATAACTTCTCGTGCCTGAGCCTTTACTGCGGTCAATCGTACTCAAATGCGTAAAACCACCAAGGAGGTTCCCACTCCACGCATCTTTTGGTGCTTCCCACGCCAACCCTGCATTTTTGCTTGCTTGGAGCCACTCCTCCGCCACCGGAGCGACCCAAATTGGGAACGTGGTCTTTATAGGTCCAGTCATGCCATGGCTCTCGATCTCGTACACAGGAGGAGTTGTGACCGTCTCCAACTCCACCGATGAGCCATCTCCATTGATCTGCGGCAGCTGTGTAGCCTTCACAACCGGTTCTACGAAGCCTTCGTGCTTGAGAAAATACGGCTTCAACCCCTCCCATCCCCACCCCGAATACCCCGTCAGTCGAGCCCAATCATCGTACTCAGCCGCCTGCCCTCGAATATACATCATAAGGTTAATCGCACTCGATCCGCCTAGAACCTTGCCTCGGGAAAACGCATGAACCATCCCTTTCGTGCCAGCCTACGTAGATTTTTCGTCAGCACCATTACCCTACACCACGCCCTCCTCTCCCCCCCACTCCTCCTTCCCACCTCCCAACAAAGAAAAAGCAAACCAAAAACCCACCTGCGGCACCGTCCTCATACACCAATCAAACTCCTCATTCCCAATCAACTTCGTAAAAGCCGCCGGAATAGCAACATTGACATCATCCAATTTCGCGGGCCCAGCCTCCAGCACACCAACCTTGACACCCGGGTCCTCGGACAATCTCGCCGCGATGGTAAGGCCAGCCGTGCCGCCGCCGACGATGAGATAGTCAAAGGAGACGGAGAGGAAATCGGTGAGGGTTTTGAGAGCGGGACAGGCGGTGGTGGGGACACTCATGATGATGTCGATGACAAATCGAAGACGAACAGCGTTTGAACATTGCAAGTGCTGACGACGGATTTAAGCTAATCCGTTTAATCCATCGATCGGCGTCAGAGCTTATCCCTGCTAGTACCTGCAGGCTTACATTCACCAAGCAATGCATTTCCAGGCTGTAGACAGCATCAATTAAAGAGTGTCGTGGATATATTCTGAGGCTACAAAGTCATTGGAATTCACTGCCTGAGAACGGACGGAGTCGAACTACCCCCGCGCTGAGCTCTACTATCATAGTCCTAGAGCTTGGAATGATTTATCATCGTCCTTGTCATTTGGCATAGTATGTTGGTACACCTGAACTCAGACTCACAGTACCGTATTAACGATCACTTGCCAGATGATGACAAAAGCTTTTGAATACTCCAATTACTCTCGAAGGGATTTCTTCTTTCATTAGGCTCCTACTAGAATTCTCAATATGGCTAGAAGCTTCAATGGAGATTTTTTTGGACCACCTCCGTCATGGAGCGATTTTCAAACGTGATAGCTATCCCAGGTATCCCTACAAGCCCACAAAGGCACAATTTACTCTCTTTCCTTGCTACTGCTCAGGCGTTGCACCTCGAGTTTTTACCAATTACATGGCAATCTGCTCGCCAGGAACTGGGCATAGGCGCAACTTCTATGGTCAATGAAGCTTTTGCTGATCTGCACACAAGCTTTGCGTTCAAACGCGTCCAGGAGGAGGCAAGATTGGAATCTAGCGAAGAAGACATTTACCGTGTGTTGACCAACGAGATCATGGTTCAGTCATATCCGCCTATCCGAGAACATCAGCACATCTCACAATTACAAGGTCTTTGCTGGGATATCGAGACTGATGGAAAGGTCTGGCCTGTCCTTCTGTTTGAGAAATCGCATTTGGGCGATCTCTATAACTTTTTGAAAACGGATCTAGGAAAAGAACTAAGCGTTGATGAACGGCTCAAGATTTGTGAAAATATCGGAGAGGCCATCTCAGAAATGCATTCCTACAGTAAGCCATCAAATAATCGAATCAGTGTTTGAAGTATGTTGAGCTTACTAGATGTCATCCACGGAGACTTGAAACCAGAGAATGTACTTGTCTACAAAGATCGCACAGATATGTATCACGTCAAAGTCATAGATTTTGGTTATTCAACCAGATATACGGAAGACACACCTTCAGTTCAAGTGCCAAAGTCAGAGCCCTGGAATGCGCCAGAGCACGACCGTCCCAAGCGTATGTGGAAACCATCTGAGGCAAAGAAATTGGACTATTTTTCTTTCGGCTTTTTATGTCTTTGGATCTTGTTCGAAGAACATGTCGAGTATGATCACGAAGAATCGGTGAGTACCCTAATAGAGCTTAAACAGGAGGGAAAACTGCCAAAAGTTGCGCAGCAGCGAGTAGAAGCCGAAAAGTCTCTGAATGATGACATGAAACGTGCTTTACAAAACTTCTTTGAGTCCACACTAGATCATGACCCAACAAAACGACATCCGAGCATCGGAGGGCTGTTCAAAGGACAAGTGGAAAGCCATGGTCCGTATCAGCAAGTGCAAGCGACAGCAGCTAATTTCCCTGACACTGAGTTCAAGGTGAGGTTATCATGTGCGAATACACTGATTGAGACTGACCGCTTCTAAAGCTCGAGGCTTCTCTGGGCGAACTTTACACATGTGACTACAGGGTTCGCTCATATATCACGACCTGCCTTCAAGAGACATTTGATTCGGCATCCGAAACTTCAGACCACACTTTGACGGCAAATATTGCATTTCAAGTCGCACTTTGTTACAAGCTTGGGTTTGGTATCAGCAGAGACGAAAGAAAGTCAGCAGATGCTTTGCAGAAAAGCAACGAAAGTGAGATCAATTTCGAACACCTGATTTCTTATTGGGAAGAGATGGAGGAAAAACGTTTTCGAGCGTCAGCTTTGATGGCTTCGAGGGGTAAGCACCACCTTCAGTACATCGACTTCGGCATCCACTACTCAGAACAGAAGATTTTACAGGATGCGGAGCTACAGCTTCTTCAGGACATTGCAAACATAGAATTGAACCTTGGGGCCCAAAATGAGTTTTTGTTGTTCCTCAAGAACGCTCTAACGTCCCTTTACCAGACTCAAGGGCGATGGAACCAGGCCGAGAAAATCCTTAGGGAAATCATTCCTGCAAGTATAAATTTGCTCGGTAAACAGGCTACTTCTACGCAGGTGCTCATGCTTCGCTTAGCAGCAATGCTCAAGTTTCAATGGCAGCTGGATGAAGCCGAAGGATTGGAGAAAGAGGTCATGAGTACCTTTACAATGACTCATGGGCCAACTCATGCTGTCACGATGACAAGCATTTCGAGAATTGTAGGAACACTTGTTCACCAAGGTCGACTGGAAGAGGCCGAAAGGGAAGAAGCTCGAGTTTACAAAACGAAGAAACGTTTGATGGGTGATGAGCATCCCTTAACACTTCTGAGTCTTAGCAATTTGACCGTTCTCTTTTATCTGCAAGGACGGTGGCGAAAGGCTGAAAATTCAGCAAGGCGCGCTTGCAAGTTGAGTACAAGGGTCTACGGCTCGAAGCACGTCAACACTGCTCAATGTGAATCTAGTTTTGCTTCATGTTTGTTGGAGGGAGGCCGGACGAAAGATGCGGAGAAGAAGTTCAGAAAGGCCATTAAAACGATGGAACAAGTATACGGCAAGAATAATCCTCGTATGTTGTCAGTCAAGGGTCATTTAGCCCGCACAAAAAGCTTGCAAGGCCAATGGAAAGAAGCCGCGAAATTGAGGGTGGAAAATCTTGAAGTGAGCTCAAAGACTTTAGGCGAAGACCATCCAACAACGTTGAATCAGATGAGCGACCTTGCATCTACTTTACACGATCAAGGTCAGTGGAGTGAAGCTGAAGCTTTGTTAACCCGAGCATTTGATTTATCAGTAGGAAGACTGGGTCAAGAGAATATCAATACGCTGAATATCATGGCTAATTTGGCATCTGTGGTTCGGGAGCGGGGCCGGTTCGAGGAAAGCGAAAAGCTCCAAAAGCAATTGTTGGATGTCTGCATGAGGAAATTAGGTCCCAAAAGCCTAATTACAATATCTTATGAAGCACATCTTGCATTAACCATATGCAAACGTGGTCGGCTGAGCGAGGCTGAAGAAATGTTCAGGCGAGTTCTGGATGGTAGAGGGAGCATGTTGCGTCCCGACCATCCAGATACAATTACCAGCACGATGGATCTGGGATCCACACTTTGGAAGCAGTGCCGTTTTGATGAAGCTGGCAGCCTTTTCAGGAGAGTGATAGCAGCCAGAGAGAAGAGCTTAGGCACAGAGCATTCCGAGACATTGAAAGGAATGGATCATTTGGCATTGACACTGTGGAAGCAGGGCTCGCTTCAAGAGGCTGAGGGTTTAGCACTTCAGGTACTGCAAACTCGAATCAGAACGCTAGGCGAAGAGCATCCTAATACTTTGACGAGCAAGTTTAATCAAGCAGTCATGCGCTGGGAAATAGGTGATCATGAACAGGCTATCACATTGATGGATACCTTTCTCGAGCCTTCGGGCAAAGTCTTAGGTTCAACACATCCGTATATCGTCGGGGGAATAAAATACTTGGAGACATGGAGGACAGCGCAGGAGCGCTCTGATGAAAGCAAAATTGCGCAGCCGGAAAAATATGCCCGAGAGGTGCAGGCGTCAGTGATTGAAGCAAATAAACCTGCGTGAAAGGCGTCTAACCCCAAGAAGATGTTCAGAGAGAAATGTGAAGCGACAGTGGCTTGTAGCGATCGGGTATCATACAGTCATTCTCCCCAGCATCTCTAAGGGCTCTATTATTTTCTGAATAATCCGTGCAAGTTCATCTGGACCTTCTTGTTGGCCTGCTTCCTCGCTCGGCACGTCGTCGATGTTGTTAAGTCTTGAGTCTATGCTTAAGCAGAACCGAGTCACCTCCTGATACACAGCACCCATCTGTGCCCCGAGACGAGGCACATAATTTTCCAGCAGTGCCTGCCGAAGTCCAGAAAGATCCACCGTTGGATGTTTCAGGGACCAATGGCGGAGCGGACGCCAAAAGCCAATCTCTAACAAGATCAGACCAAAGCTATAATAGTCGTAATCCATGTGATATCGACCAGTGCGAGCGTATCCTGGATGCCGATATTCTTGGAAATTCTCTCCGCTCGCCGGCCCTTGAGTGTGCCAGGCATCTCCGCCAGGTCGACTCTTATTTAAGCCGACAACATATGGCTGGACGATTATTGGGGAGAGACCGTTATCCTGGTCGATTTGTGTGGCCCTTCTAACGAAGAGAACATTGTTCGAATTGAAGTCCTTGTGGAGCCAGCCTATACAATGAAATTGCTCCAGAAAGCTTGCGAGCATAGCTGCGAGCCTGTATCTCTCTCCAAGTGTCGGTGGATACTGGACCTCGCTTATGTATGTCTCTGGACTTTCCAGCAGCTGAAGAAGCGTCGCAAACGAGGAAACGGACTCGGCCCCGTCTTCAAGGCCTGGGATCTTGTAGATGAAAGCGTAACCTTTCTTTTTACCGGTACTTTCGAAAGCACCGACGCAATCTAATATCCTGAGACTCGAAGGTTTTGGCTTCACGCGGAAACCTTGAGCTTTTAATCCCATCACAATCGCGCGCTCATGGGGTGGGATAGCTTTCCATGCTGGAGAGTAGTACATCCATTCCACAAGGACCGGGGTGGTCGTCTTGAAAAGACCCAGCGTATGTCCTCTGGCTGACTTACCAATTTGGACGTCCTTATGGGACAATATGGAGTCCTCAGGGACTTCTGTTGGATTTGAGTCTATCTCCAGCCGTATCTGCTTCATCATAGCCATAGCTGCTCCTTCTTCATATGCTGGATCATCCTCGAGCCTGAACGAGTGCTGGATTTCATTGAAATACCCAGGTTCTTCGCATCTCAATATAGCTCGGATCCAGAAGGCCTCCCCCTTCCTCCGGGCCTCAGTCGGCAAACAATCCCATAGCAACTTGACTGATTCTTTTATACGAGTCTCAAGCGCCTCAACATGAGAGCTGTACTCCAAGTCATGATCAGGACTCTGATTTTGATCTCTCTGTGTTTGGTGATCATGGTCTTTGAATTCAAAATAAAGCCTAGTCATGATCTTTCGGATATCATTATGAAGGTGGGCCAAATCTTGGATAAGTGAGAGTGTCGGGTCGTCATCATGTAGGCCTAATATTTGACCAAAGGTGAGGAAGCGCTCCTGTTCAAACCACAGCGTCATCCCCATTGATGGCCGATCAATTGGGCGAGCACATCGCTCTACATGAGCTTGGAACAAGGAGCGAACAGCACCGAAGTGAGCTTTGAGGCTGATGAATGTAATCTCAACACATAGATCCGCCATCTTGGGACGATCGTAAGGGTCCCCTTTTAATGCCCTTCCCGCTAGTCTTGCTAGCATGGCAAGAGGGGAGGAGGTCAAGGCACCAGCCATCAACCTTGTCAACCATATCTGGACTTTCGGCTTGATAATCCCTTCCTTACCAAAGAAGGAGTGGTCTGACCATTGCGGGTCGCGTCCAGGACTTAATCGTGATTGACGAAAGTCTTTCAGGCTACGAGCACCTTCCTTCATATACGTAATCACCTCAACTATGAGACACCCAAAAGCCCAGACATCGATTGCTCTGCCCACATTCTGATGCACAAGATTTTCATCCATACACTCAGGTGCAAGATAGTCGTCCGTGCCAGCCTTCCATCGCGTTTGAGACGGTAGGTCCGCTGTTTTAAACTTACCAAGACCAAAATCTGCGAGAATGAACGTCTCTGAGCTTACGAGTATATTCGCAGGCCGAAGGTCATGATGGTATCCAACGCCGTCAAAGTCAATCCCATGTCTATTCCCTTCAAGGTGTAAGTTATGTGTATGGCGAAGTGCCGAAGCCAAACCTTCCAACGCCGCGTAGAATGTAATCGAATGCTCGAATCGTGCAACTGGGGTCTCCATTTCAAGAAACTCTTCGAGGTTCATATCAAGAGCAGAAAATAGAAAATAGTGTTCGCCGCCATATGAGTATGAAGCAAGTAGACGAACGATGTTAGGATGCTCTAGACGATTGAGAAGTACTAAGCAGCGTTGCTCATTCCGAAATGCCTTCTCATAACTCTCTTTGCTCTGGCCTTCTTGAACCCTTATTTTCTTCCTAATAACCCAGACATGCTTACTCTATTGTATCGTGAGTGATAACTGCTTGAGAAAAGAACTTTGCGCTGCACTCCACCAGAAGAGACTTACCGCAATGGGCATAAATTGTTGAAGCAAAGGAAATAGTTGAACCCTCGACACGTCCCCAGACGCACCACCGGATATATATTGGGAGGCATCGAGATAGGGGAGAATTCTTCTCTTATTGATCTGAGTGTGAAATTCGCTCATCTCTTTTCGGAACACGAAGGGCAGGAACTGCCATTGGTATTCGGATGCAAATATAGCACCAAATTCGCCGGTTATTCGGACTGCGCACTCTTCACTCAACGGAAGGCTACTATCCGTGACACCGTGCTCACGAAAGGATATGATTGAATACTCCTCTCCACACCTCACTAGGATTGCAAATGTTCGGACTGCTTCTTCAAAAATTTTCCGAGCCAACCCAATGCGTTCGTGTGCATCGCAATGCAACTCGTTGACGGCTCTCTCGATATTCTGTATCGTGAAAATACTTTCAAGGGCAAAATCGGGGAGAAAATAGCGCCCGGATTCAGACAGTATCATCCCACTCTCGATCTGTCGCTTCATAAAGCGGATAGTGTCTTTCTTGCTGGACATCGCCAACGGCAATGTTGACATTGTTATCTCTACGTGATGTTGTATGTCGTGGCTGCCTTCAAGTGACCCTCTTATTCGACCTTGAGGCCTCGTAGGCTTAGGATGAATGACCGCTTGAGGGTCAATGTATTGCCTGAACAACCCGAAGAATCTGTCACCCGTCCACCGTATATGTTTGATGGGACCGTCTCATCGTTGTGAATAAAAGTAAGGGAGTTGATACCTGCCTTCTGTTCGGATAGGAACAGAAACTTTATGACCGTGCTGGCATTGACAAGCTACAGAGACAGCGGAGACACTTTGCCTTAATGCTGCCTAGATCCCTGGGGGCCAGCATGATAAGGCTCACGAAGGCTTGCCGAGGTCATGCGAAGCAGCTGGGAGGGATTACCAATGCATATACAAGGCCAATAAGACAGGACGAAGAACACAAATAGCATTTCATACTGCCCCAATCTACGGGCAAGTGGAGTGACATAGATTGAAGCAGCTATGCTATTGGCGCCAAGTGATGCTTTCGATCTCCTCCTAAGCCATCGCAATTTAGAGGACGCTGGACTGCAGAATAGATTGAGCTCGTCTACCTTGGTGAGCTTTCGAGGAGCTGTGATTTCCATCTTGCCACCTCCCTTCTAAACAAATATTAGCGGACATGTTAGCGTGCGGATTCTTGCAGTCATGAGTCGTACCACGACCGCGTAGTCGCTGCCAAAATTTGTTTGCAAGAGCTCTCTGAGCTTCGCGTCGAGCACATACCTCGTCTCCAGGATAGTAGTTGCGGACATGGAGTATGAAAATCGGGGAGGCTTTGTTGTGTTTTCCTGTACGTCCCTGCGGTGATGGCTCTTTTCAAATCGTAAATGTACTAAAAATCGGGTCGTATTGAATAATGAAGCAGAGTGAGTGGAAAGTGAGGCCGAAAAATGAGGCAGTAGAATGCACAAAGTACGATGTGTGAAGGAGGACGCATAGAGCAGGACACATGAAGCATTTATACACTAGAATTCGATGCTTGCTTTGGCTCTTGGCGAGACTATTGCGAGCGCGAGGGCGAGGAGTCGGTACCGAAGATCCCGACCCATTGTACTGGTTGGTTGGTAAGTGGATCCCAGCAACAGCACCCTGCATCTACATGTCGCCCAGCGATCTACAGCGCACTGTCCAGTGTTATTTATTATATAACCTAAATAAAATATATGTAAAATAGTTACTATTGATAGATAATTATTCCTTTAATGTATCATGATTTATGAGTTGCCCCGGACAATAGTTATTCCGCCCCGCATAGTGTAGTTGCAACGTGTACGGCCGGTAGGGGAGTCAACCCTTGCATCATTAGGGCAAGATGAAAAACTTTACCTCGCTTGGACACTTTCATATCAAGAGTATGTCTGCGAGTAAGCAATTACAGAGCAGCTTCAAAGCAAGGGCGTCCTCGGCAAGCCTAACAGCTACGAAGGTATCCCTTCGGCTGTCAGGTGCCTTATTTCAGAGGTATCTTCAAATCTATAGTGTTTTTGTCTTAACTAAGTCTATATAATCCTTCTAACACTCCTTATAGTTATATATACTTACTCTATATATACTATAGCCCTTAGTAGTTTTCGGTATTCGTTTTTGCTATCGCTAATTTATAGGAACAATTAAAATATTCGGCTATAGTTTACTTAAAATTTTCCGATTTACTTATTTCTAATAAATATTATATTTTTTTATAAATTTGCAAATAAAATATATTTTTAAAAGGCTTAGCTTAATTATTTAGTATTTTTATAGTAAAGTAAAATAAAGCTATAATACTAAAAAAGCTAGAGTAGTAGCTTATAGCTTTAATTATCTAATTAGCTTGTTTATAAACTTAAATAAATATTACTTATATAAACTATAAAAACTTATCTTATAATATATATTCTAGGGAAAAGTAATACTAGCGATATAGTAATTAGTTATTATTAAATTAATTAGGAAATAAAAAGGAATTATTTAAGTTTTCTAATAAATTCTTTATATAATATAATAAAATTATAGTTAGTTAATATAGTTAATACTATTTATATGATAATTATATATATTAATAAAAATAGAAATAAATAGTATTTTAGTAATACTTTCTTTAAAAAGTATTTTAGATGTTTTTATATTAATAGCTATTTTTATAAGTTGTTATCGCTATTATTTTACTATTTATTTACTATTTTTAATAGTAGTTATAAAAAATATAATCCTTTAGTTTTTCTATACTAACTATAAGACCTACTTATTATTACTAAAAGCTTTATATAGCCTTTTTTATAAAAGCTAAGTTTTATACTTTATTTATATTTTAGTAATTTCTATTTTAAAACTATTATTCCTTTCTTTTAGCAAGTATTTTCTTTACTTAGCGGTTTCTAACTTTGCTTTTTATAACTTATAATTAGTTTTTTAAATCTTTATAATATTAGCTATATTAAAGCTATTAAATCTAAGTTGTTTAAAAAGCTATACTAATATAAAAAAATTGTTTATCTAGATAATATACTTATTAAAAGTATAATAGAAATATCGCTTTATTAAAAACTTTAAAATAATAGAAATATTACTTTACTAAAAACTTTAAAACAATAGCTTAAATATTGGAATAGCTTTACTTTTTTATTTATTTAAAGCTTATATTTTTAGTTTATTTATTTTTAAATATTATATTTAATTTAGAATAAAATTTTTATTTGCTATATACTATATTTTATAACCTTTTAATATTAGTTTACTTAAAATATTAATAATATACTTAGATTTCCTAGTAAATCTAATAATTATTTCATTGATAGCAAAGTATATACTAATAATAAAAAAATATTTAAAAACTATTTTTAAATACTTACTAAAAGGCTTTAATTTATTAAAAACTATATTTAATTTTTCTATTTTATTCTTTAAAATATATAAAAATTAAGTAAGTTATTTAAACTAAATTAAGCTTATTCTTATTATAATATAAGTATAAAAAGGACCTAGGTACTTTTATTAGTTCTAAATATTTTTAGCTTTAGTCTTTTAATAAATAATTAGCTAAATTATAATTCCTATATATATTTAAAGCTTATATAGTAATATTAGTTTCTAAACTTTTAAATATAAAGTAATTTCTAAAGCTTAAATTAAAAATAACTTTTTAGTAATATATATATTTATTATATCGACAATAAAGCTAAGTATTTTATTATTAAAAAATAAGCTAAAAATATTATAAAGTTTATTAGCTTTTACGTCTTTTAGAATATAGCTTTTTCCTTAAATATATAATTTTTTAATTTCTATTAGCTAAAAGCGTAATATTAGCTAAAAAAGAGAGGCTTATACCTTCGAATTAGTAAACAATAAAAATAATAAGTCTACTAGCACGTAATCTATATCGTTAGATACTCTATTACAAGGTATAGTAGTTGTAATAATCAAAAAATTAAAAAAAAAGGTGGCTGGAAAACGCGTAAAATTAGAGCCGGATTTAAGGCAGTTAACAGCCGAGGGGATACATACAGAGCTCTCTGACGGGAATCACTAAACAAGCCAGGGTGAAGGGCATTGGTACGGGGGTACAAGTACAAGATGAGGCGTACTTGAGACCATTCATCGGCACCGCCTTGCTACATGCCTGTGAATTGCCTTGTCGCGCACACTCAGGGCGCCGAGCACCATGGAAATACGATTCGATAGTAGATATGAAGCCACCTTGGGCAAACGGTCAAATGTTTCGGATATGAGACCCACGGAGAAAGTCAGATGTGCGACCAAGTCTCTCTCGTGCCTCCACAATACACCAAAAGGATGTCTTCACCCTCAGATGGGAACTTTGATGGATATGAATCATACCCTCTCAATCTTCTTCAAACGGACATCGAACATCACCATATTAGATGCTATCACTCCCAACTTGAGGAGATGTCGTCAGCACTGTTCGTCAGCAAGAGCGCAGACTGTAGAATGGATTTGATGGAGATTGTCGATGCAACCTCGACTTCTCTTCTCGTAGATGTAGACAAGGTGGGACTTTCGCAAAGACAGCATAGTGTCCACCAGGCGACGCTCCAGATAAGCCAAATATCATCGCTGTGCCAATTGCAGGATACCTTGCAGGTATGTTCGATCGCACCAGAGTGAATCTTCTAGTAACAAAATTGGAAAAGAAACAAATTTCACCCGGCGGATCCAGACTTCTGTATGAATCTCCACAATTCCAAATATGTTTATCCCTCTAAGGCGTCTCGGCTAAGTATTCGTCTCTCTACTTACTCATATGTGATAGCATCCTCTACAAGGCGAATTCTTGGAGCCGTATGAAAATGACTGTGCACATGTTCAAAGCCCTTTGCACCTTCGATCAGATATCACCCGACTTTCTTAAGATTTTCTTCGGCTTTGGCAGAAAGCTTTCATCGCTCGACGAAAATTACATGACTTGTTATTATCGATGCTCTACAACAATGCACGCAAGAAGACACGATATGACAGATAACCGAAAGAAATACGCAGATAGGGAGAGCCGAGGAGAGCTGGAAGTTGAATTTTTCGGTCAGTGAGCGTCTTTCCATTCTGATTTCGAGATGAGTCGATGTAAAAGCATATTTGCTCTTTCTTTACGAACTTCGTAGTCGTGAGAGCTTCATTAGTGCTCGAAAATTCGCGAAGTCAACAGAAGGAAAATTGTTTCGAAATTGCCCAACGATCGTGGATTTGATAAGGTGGGAATGCTTGAGCTTTCAATAACGTTATCGCAAGTCTCTAATGCACCTCTTACATCTTTCCTCTCAAGGTGATCTTGACCTTATCGCGTTGACTTCCATCTTCGAGCAGAGCTGAATGCTTGAAATAGAGCTTTGCTACAATGTCCGCCATTATGAATTACACGGACGCGATCTTGATGATCCATGGTCATGCCGACAATCGGCCATACATCAGAAATATCTCATAGTAGATGGTAGTTCGAAATGGATCGTGATACAGCCGCCGGTCAAATTCTCATATACGTTGTGTGACATTCGATGCGACCAGACAGCGTATCCAATGGATGTGCACGTTCATTTTCTTGCAACTGCTACAGCATCATGGAAAGACTATCTCGATTTCTTGACAAAGGAGCTCAATGAGCTGGTATGTGAGCCCAATACTTGAGCCCAGCAGGAGACTGGAGTAAGGAAAACGACTGACTAAATGCCAAATTGGCCATACATTAGGACGACAAAGTGTCATTCCCAAAACCATTCAAGAGATACGATGCCAACTTTTCGCACATCCAGAAGATCCATTATCTACGCCACAAGTTACTTCACGCTCATATGATACTCCAAAATACCCAAAACTTACTGGATTCTCTCGCGGTACACGCAGAGAAACTCGCACAGGTCAGCTTTTCATCGCCGATCCTGGGCTTGTCGTTTCAATCCGCGCTTGAGAACCTCAGCTCAGATGTCAAGAGCTATGTCACCGTATGTGACAAGCTCCTGAAACTCTCCGAAGACACACGCTTCATGGTATGTCGTGCCTCGCACCACATCGGCCCCCCGCACAATCCGCAATTTCGAAGTTAATCCTAGCGAACGTGGTCACGTAGAGCAAAGATATCCTCCGCTTCCGCAGTGACGAGCTCTCCCATGAGAACAGCATCAACCTCACTGGAATTGCCCAAGCCGAAGCCATCAGCACCAAGATCATGGCGACCTCATCCCACAACACGGCCTGCGACTCGCGCACAATGCGCATAGCAACAATAGTCGCCTTGATCTATCTCCCAGCCAACTTCGTCATGGTGAGCTTTATCACTCCTTCCATTGCATACATGCATGCATGCAAAGGGTTCATGGCAGGCACTGATCCCTGTTTCTTTGGACATCTATAGTCCTTCTTCAGCAGCAACCTCGTCGAATTCCACAGCTATGATAGTTCAAGAAATGGGGGCTCGAGCTCCACGGGGATGCGCGTTCATGGTCAGATATGGGTAGCATTGCTCATAATCGCTGTGCTTGCGTCGTTGACTTTGTTGCCGACGGCCTACTGGAACTGCAAGGGGAGGGCGGGAAGACAACGTAGCGTGGTGTAATCCAATGGGTTAGACTCTCGACCAAGCTTCTAAATGGCTCGAGCCTTTACCTAGGACATTTCGCTTTCGAAAGGATTGAGATGTAGGAACACATATAAGAGGTTAGACATGCAATCTATCATTGAAGCGCCTGGTGTTGTTCTGTCACAAATCAATTGGTTACCAGTGCACGTCGCGGTATCGAGCCAAGAGGCATACAGATGTATGGCTCTTAATTGCGTCTTGACCCTGAAGACTATTGCACCTCCGTGTGGATATCATCGCTAGCAAAGACGCGACATACCGCCTATTGAATCTACCCGCCCATCAGCCCCTTTGTACAAATCTGTTGTGTACAATTTTGCTCTCACGGCGCCACAACAGCAGCAGTTTCACTTCCCGTCAATCCTTTACGGATAGCGAGCACACTATCAACAATCACTGCGTCTATACCTTCTTTCACTTGCAACTATTCGGAAACCAAGTCAGCTCTGGGTTCAGTATTCAAGAAATTCCCGAGTAAAGTAAGGGCGAAGAGTAGCTAGCTTACCTGCACTTTCTCCGGATCATTATTAAGCGTTCCATAACTCACACACACAAGCCCACTCTCCTTAACCACCTTCACTAGCCTCGGCGCCAGAATCAATGGCTCTGCCGCAGTCACCACACCAAGCAGATTCCACCTACTCGCAAACCTAATCGCCTCTTGCAAACTGCTAGCCCTGATATCGCCAACCGGCGACGTCCCCGCGTCCGAGAGAAAGAGAATCGGGATCGACGGCTGCTTGAACGAGAGCAAGAGGCAGATATCCGGATTAAAGCTCGAGAAGATAATATTTCGCTTCTTTCCCAGATCGTACACTTTTGTCAGAACGGTGTCGACGAAGCTGTTGAGTTCTACGGCGTAGGTGTCCATCTCCTGCTCCTCGCTTTCGTAGAGCATGGGGTATTTCATTTCGATGTTGAAGCCGATGCTTTCGGGGAGGGTCTTGAACATTTCTTCGAGCGTCGTGAAGGGTGCTTGGATGAAGTTGCCGCGCGAGTTGCCCTTGAAGCCTTTTTCTTTGAAGTCTCTTGTGTGTTTCATGCGGTCGGACATGTGGCTTTCATCGTTCGATAACGCGCCTAAGGACATGGATCTGCCTTTACCTGGTTCAGATGTCTTATCGACAGTCTTGTTGTTGCCATTTGTTCTCCTTTGAGGCGATGGAGCCCGTCTGGGCTGGGAACTCTGACCTTTATTCACGTGTAGGAATTGTTCAAGTGTGAGTGTGTGGACTGGTGCATCTATGCCTGTTTCGCTGACAAGAAAGTCGTGATAGATCACAGGTACGTGGTCTTTGGTCAATTGCACATCAAACTCCACATAAGAAGCGCCGAGGTTAGCAGCTGCAATGAATGACTGTATCGTGTTTTCGCCCAGCTGAAGAGAGTTTCGGGATGCAGAATTCTTTCCCAAGCCTCGATGGCCGATTAGCATAGTCGAAGTTACGCTTTTCCAATATGTCAAGTCCTCACGAATGGCCATGTTAGGATGCGAGAATGGTGTGATAATGAGAAAGTTGAAATGCACGGACCCAATAACGTCCATATTCTGGACAGCAATGATGGGAATCGTAAGATCCCCTTGCAACGACATTCTTTTGGAGCCAATGCTAGGCTTGATGCTGGATAGAAGGGCGACACCTCGACCTACGATCTTCTCGGTAGAGCCCGCATAAGTTGGTACAATGTCGAAAAACAATTTCACTTTTGTCGGATCTGAAGCAGTGAACACGATGGGCTCCGTGTTAACATTGTCTTGAACTGGCAGATCGATGATGGAAGCTTGGCCACTGGCTCCTGTTGCAGAGATATTGACAGAGAGTGCTGTGTCTAGCTGGGTAAAGTGAGCGTCAGCAAGTGGTATACGGTCAAGATTGACAGCCTCAATTTCTTTGCGGGTATCCATTGAGCCCAAGTTAACAAGTATCATTGTCTCATTTTCCAAGAAACGATGGCCGAAGCTTTTGATAGGCTCTGGCCTCTTTGATACGCCATTGCTCACGCCGTTTACTTGAGCTTTGGACTTTCTCTCAGCTAAAGACTTGTTTGTGTGTGCTCCGTTGACAATATTTTCGCATTGCTGATATGCCTCTGGTGGAGCAGAGATTTGCGCAGTGTCTGCGATTGCCTTCGCGATGTCAATATGACCACGCAGCGCCGCATGTTCTCGGGCTGTCCAGCCAGAGGTATCAGGCTGGTCTAAGGAAGCACCAGCCTCGATCAAGGAGTCGACAATCTCGATGAAGCCATCAACGCTGGCAATGTGAAGTGGTGTCCATCCAAAAGTCTTCTCCATCTTTTCTGTGTCTGCTTTTGGCCCATCGAATTCGTTCAGCAGCAGTCTTGCACATACTGTATGCCCAAAGCGAGCTGCAAGGTGGAGTGCCGTCTCGCCTTGGTCATCCTGATGGTCAATATTCACTGCTACACCTAGAAGAGTTTTGACAATTCCTGTGAAGTTGGCCTTCACAGCTGCTGCAAGGATATCGCTGGACTCCCATAATTGCTTATTGAAGATCTCAACTGCAGAGCTTTCCTCTGCCATGTTTCCAGATGCTAGCAGAACTTCGGTTGTCTGAGGGTGACCTCCAGCAACGCATAGGTAAAGTGGTGAGTGGCCTTCTTCGTCTTGTTCGAACACTGCACGGAGCCAGTCGTAGGCATTTGAAGTATCCCACGCTCTCAAGTTCTCTAGTATCGCTTTACAAAGAGGTACAAGACCATATTGAGCTGCATAGTGCAATGTTGTACGTCCGTAGGCATCCCTTGAGAGTATTGCCTGGCGTTGCAGCTCGGAGAAGTGCTCGAGGAGGTACTCAAAGACGCCTACAGCTTTATTGTCGTGTTGAAGATCGATGACGGCGTCTTTTTCTTGCTTCGAAGCCATGGGAGTGATTTGAGTAGGGGCAGTGGCAGGTTTCAAGTATCTCGCACCATTGACTTTGAAGTCCTGATCCATATCATCCCCTGTCTCTCCATCAGCCTGCATTTCTGACTGCGTCTTGGCCCTTCCAAATGTGATGATAAAGCGGTGTAAGCAATTACGCTTATTGATATCACCACGGTCTTCCAGAGTATCAATGCGCCCTAAAAGCTCTCTGATGCAAGCTTTTGCCCTGGCAGAGAGTGCCCTTTGAAGCAATCCCAAATCGAAAGCAGTATTATTTTGGGTCAAGGGTTCGCGATAAGTCTCGGTCCTTTCCAGGAGGGCGCCCATACGTGCTGCATCGTCCGAGCGAATAGCATATTCGAGACCTTCAAGGAGCTCTGGAGGCAGCTTGAGCATTGATGACGAATTCATCCTGTGCAGAGAGTGGGACGAGTGTGTGGAGCTTCCGTCATCGCGAACCTTGACGTCTTTCAGCTTCGATAGCCAGTCATTGACAATATTCATCGTCTTGTTCAGCTCGCTTTTGGTCGCAAACTGTTTTTCATCGACCTTTGATTCGAGGTATCGGTCCTGGGTAGGCCCGACATTCTTGTCAAGCTTCTTCGTAATCTTGATAAAGCCTCGTCTATTTACGTCTCCGTACCAGCTCAATTTCCTCAAGAGGCCCCTCAATTCAAGCAACGCTCCCGTCAGCTCTTCCATCTCTTCACTTTCCATAACTTGACCTATCGCAGTATAGCTACCATAACGATCCTCAAGCAGCTTAAGCCTTCTCGCAGCGTCCACGTACTTGTGATTGTAGAAGCGGTCGACATTTTCGAGATTCCGGTCCAGGAAAAAGAAGAATTCTGGTTGCGTTAGCTGAGACCACAGTGGGTCCTACTGCTTGAACACGCAGTACCAGCAGTATCCGGCGCTTCTCCATGTTTCACTTCTTCAGCGGCCGATTTTATCAACTTCTTCAATTGTTTGTAATTAATGTAGGCTGTATCCCATTCTGGCACGACATTTCGAGGCAGGTTACGGCCAAACTTCATTTTGTGAAGAATGACCTTTGCTTCTCCTTTTTAACCTTGCTAAATGAATGTAGGGGACAGGACAAGCCACAGCAACCAGAAGCTCAACGGGTCGTAAAGGGCGTTATCGGGCCGAAGAAGGCAGCACGTAGGCGAACAGGGGGAGGAAAGCTGGATGCAGCCATTTGAGTTGCAGACGTGGTTGTGCTCCTGGTGTAGGGGTAGGGCGACGATAGTACGGATAAGAATGTCGACTATCGGGTTTGCATGCTTTGGAGCGTGCCTCAATGCTGACCGCTCGTTGGCTAAGGATAATGACGCAGGACAAAGGGCCAGCCCAACTGTTCACTGTTGGTGGCTCCAGATATACAGCTTGGTGCAGATTGGCACTATAGGAAGGCCTCAATTGATAGGGGAATAATAAGCAAATTGGCAGGGACAAGCTGCGTGATGCTCCTCTGAATTTTGAGGGTCTTGGTGGTCCAGTCAGCAAAAATCTCAGCGAGCAATTGTCCAATGACGTATGGGGTTCAGCCCTGCTAAAATTGGGCCAAGCTCGCCCCTGGACAGTCAGCTTTCAGGGCTTCTAGGCCTCACACTTCGGCGGCTTAATATCAGGACAAGACATGCTAGTCAGGTGAGCACAGTCATCTGTAGCGGAATGCTTTTGTATTCTAAGTCTATGATGAGTTTAAAGATACTCATAGTACCCGCCTCCTGGTCCTGCGGCTTCCGTCTGCAATCAATGCTGGGTATCTCATGCCTCTTGTGGCGGAATGCCCTCAATTATAACAATCACGCCCCCCGAGAATGCTGAATGAAGTGATAGTTGTCGTCGGATCAATGAGCTATTGGGTCATGGTAGCCTCCATCCAATTGCTGTTCTCAAAATTGTGCTACTGAGTCCTTACTCAACTTTCCGACCCATTCTTCTTCTGCTTTCTTAAGTCATGCTGAGATCAAATGATACTTGGGAACTTTTCGTGTTGCATATCGTACAGAATACTCAAGCCCTGGGATTCATCTATATCATGGCGTGCAGCGTGATCTCAGTCTGTTTTGGTGTTCTGACGAAGACGACGAGCCATAGTATCTTTCTCTTCCTCCGCAATCTTGTTAAAGAATGCGTCCACTTCCTTGTAGTGCTGGTCATTGTTGGGATCTGCCCGTCGCTGAAGATAATCCGCTTCAGTAATCTGCGCCGCTGTAGAGGGATTTGGCTTGCTTTGATTATCATTCACGGCTGTGCCTGACAATTCATCTGCGGACCCATCGAATCCAAATGGAACTGGTGGCCTTGATATGCGTAAAGTCTGCTTGCTTTGACTGGACAAGGAGCCACGGACTTGATTATGGCTTATCTCACCCAGGGGGGTCACGGCGCTCTCATAGGACGAAGATGAAGGAAGATTGACTTTCGCTTGGCGGTGAGACGTTGAAGCCCCATGTTGTTGATGCACGTTCGACGTTTGAGACTTGCCTGCCCCATCGTATTGAGGGAGGAAGCCACTGGCATGATAAGACGACGAGGCAAGTGAAGAAGCTGCCTTGCTTGGAAGGAGCCCATGATGCTCACTGATGGGAAGAGACATCGTCTCCAGACTGCTTATTTTCGGAGCCGTCGGATTAAGCAATTGACCGGCTTCGTTTTCCTTGTTGGAATGCTCACCAATGTGATGAATGGCTAGAGCGGGCTGCAGTGTAGGAGATCTAATTTCTGGAGGCTTGGCCTTAGTGTGAGCAAATGAGAAGTGTCCACCTCTAAGCATGTCACGAAGGAAAGTGTCGTTCGTGGATCTAGCACAAGGTTAGGAAGGGAAGCAAGCACTCAGATGACACGCATGACGTACTGTGACACTGAGTTTGACTTCACTTCGTTTGAAAGAAAAGCATTTGGTGCAGATTCACGTTTGGGCGCTGTGAAGATCCATGGAGGAAGGTTGACCCGTGGACCAGGTGCAGGCTCTGGTGCAGGCAAATTTGGTTGCCTTTTCCTGTCTGAGAGTAAGCAATCAAGTCAGAATCTTCCAACATTGTAGCTCACAATGGGGATTTCGATCGTGATCTCTCATAAAGTTCCTTCGCCTTTTTTGCTGCTGCACGTGGACTCAATTGTTGCGTCGTCCTCGAAATCAAATTTCGCTGCCCCTTTTCGCGCAGCCTTTTGCTCTTCAGCTTCGCTCCAATGTCAGAGCTGACACTTGTGGCTTGTGTGTTCTCCGAATCTGTCACTGACTTCTTGTCTCTTGAAGATTTTTTGAACGCATGTCTCTGTTCACGTAATGGTATAGCTTTCGCTACTTTATGCTTGCTAGGTATTCGTCTTAACGTCATCTCAGATTTCTGTGACTTTACACTTTCGTTGTAAGCTGAAGCCTTTGGTACATCATTCTTCGGCTGCAGAACCTCAGGTGTCTGGTCCGTATACGCGGGTTGGTCTATCGTCTTTAGGCCTGCGTCAGAATCATGCAAGACGCTAAACGACGCTTGGTGATCCTCCATGGAACGTATCGGTCTGTCTTTCTGTGTGCCCTCGGATTTGGTGGCGAGACCAAAAGTTTCCGAGTGGAGCTTTTGCAGATCATCTCGAGTTATCGTAGAGGTTCGACGTTTAGCTACCTCTGCTCGGTTGTTTTTGGACTTGTTAGAGGTGTCTGTATTGAGCTGCGCTCTTTCGATCTGGATCTCCGGATGTATGAGCGTATCATGGGTGAGTTGCTTAGACGCCTTCAATCCTCGTGACTCATCTGGATGGGTCTCTTCCTCAACATTCCAAGAACCTTCCAATTTGGGCTTAATGTTCCTCAACGCTCGCCTGTTGGGATCTACATACGGCAGTAGTTCGCGGATATCCAGAGGTTTTCGTTTAGTTGTAGAATTCCGTTCATCATGATAGAAATCATTCCCAGGGAGTGGTGCTATCGATCTTGAATGTACTTCCTGATCGCGGCGGTAGTTGAATGCACTGTCATTCCAATCCCATGGGCGAGGATGTGATACGTGATCAGGGGTTTCGGATGGGAAAGGGATTGGATCTTTGTCGCAGATAGCCCACCAAATATCTTGTTCCGCATCATAAGCCGGGTCTTTGCTTGACCCTCCAGCACAGCCATAAAGACGAGCTTGCTGCCGTACGCGCTTAATCGCCTCCTGAAATTCTGGTACAGTAGTGCAAAACCGCTTTTGCCCATCTATGATATTCGTTTCATGTATCGCCGCATAGAGAATGTCACTCTTGTGAATTGTTTTCATTGCAGGATCTGAGGGAATCCGACGCGGTGATTCATCTTGGGCAAAGCGACGAATATGAGCATGTTCGGCTAGTTCGGGAAAGTGGTTGGTTGGGGCGCTATCTGGCATGCCAGGCAATGCTTGTCCAAGTAGACCAAGTGAGCTTTCATGGTGGATTCGAGCAACAGGCCTATTTTTTTCAACATTCACCGGGCTTAATTTGCTATTGCTTGGAATGAAAGGCGGAGCATTGGGCGACAAGGGTTTGTGAGCCAGGTCATGAGCTTGCTCTCGCATGTTCGCATTGTCCCGCCTATCTTCCCTGGGCGACAAGGCTTTGCTCGATCGAGACAGGTTGCGCCGGTGGATAGCACGTCTCTCAAGATCCTTTACGCTTACGATTGGCAAGTCCTGCGAGGAAGGCTCTTTAATTCTGCGGATCTTATCAATCTCTTCAACGAGACTTCTTCTTTGCGAGATCAGAGTGACTCGCTGCTCTTGTTTCAGTTCGTAGTGACGTAGCGCAATGTTTCGATCGAGTTCATGGAGCTCTGCCTTGAGGACGTTTTGGCGGGACTCTAGCATTTTCAAGTGCTGAGAGCCGAGATCCTTGAGATGTTGGGATGATCGAGAGCCTAAGCTCGAGACTCGGGACTGATTCGTCGTATTCGCTAGGGGTCTTGGCTCCCTAGGAATCTGTTGAGATACTGTGTTAGATTTTCGCTGAATGCGAGTAGTTCGTGGTTGAGCAGAAAGCTCTGTCTGAGTTGCAAGGGGGCTTTGAAGAGCAAGTGCAGACAGGGGTTCGACGACCGTGCCGGTTCCATTCCAGTACATGCGATACATCGTACCATTACATGAGGTGATCAAAGAGCCATCTTCCAGACTGCCAATAGGAACAAAGGAAGAAGATTGGGCAGAGAGGTTTGGTGCCGGATACTGGGAATCGTTTGTTTCATCATTCATGCTGGTAGACAAGAAATTGTTCTGAAGACCCGGGTTCGGCGAGATCATGGGGTGGAAATTATCGGCTGTTCGAAATTGAAAGTCAAGTGGTGAGGTCTGGGGTACATTCCAAGCACTCTGCGCCCTCCCATTGTGGGTGCTTCCCTGCTCTCGTAATGACTGCTGGAAGAAAGTCTCACGACGAGCATTGTTCATGCCAGTCAAAGAGGCATAATCGAACATGGGCGGGGGCGCATATGGTCCTGTCGGCACTATTCGGCCCCCAGCCGTAACGCGATGGTGTGGTGGGGATGCGTGCTGCTTCAGGAAGCGTACAAATCCTGCATGCTGTTGAAGATTCGCCTTGTCCGGTGGACCTAATGGCTGGCGGTCGGGAGTCCCAGCAAATTTGCGCTGCAGGTTTAGTGATGGGAGACTTCGGGTGCCATCCATCCCTCTTTGGGCGTTCGAAAGCTGAGACAAACCTCGGGTTCGGGCAGGTGGTTGCTGGAGGTGATAGCCACTGATGTACGGAAACAAGTTATCTAGACTCTATGATCAGCATATTCCAGAGCTAACTAGGCGCAACTGCCGGTGTAAGCTTGAATGTCTACCTGCCAGAGCTTCTGGCTTGATTTTCGCAAAAACCGAGATCCCAGACAGCGAGCCTCTATACTCCATCAAAGTTGCAATGTTGTAAGTCTTTTTGCCCACGATTGACGAAGGGTGATCATTTATGGAAGGGTGAGCAATGACATTACTGGATTCGACGCTGTTGGTTTTAGGCGGAGGGGTCTTGAATATGTCCCGTGGCGGAAGATCTAGCTCTCTGGAGGCTTCTGTGTCCTCGCTTGTGTGTCTAGTTCCTGATTCCGTCGTGGCCCAATCTATACGTTTCGAGATAGTCGCCTTAGGTGATCGAATATCTGGGTTGTCATTTGATGCTATGTTTTCGGTCATGGTGGAAACGCGGCGAATATAGCAACCTGTCTACCTGTCAGCAAGACGTTTGATATGTGTGGACATCTTGAGACGGGCTAACTTGTTGTCCGTTTGAATGCGGCTGGTCGGATGACTACCACGACTGTCAATGCCGCCGGTCAATTCTGAGTAGGAGTCAAGAAGGCTGGTAATATCGAGCAGATGTGTACGAAAATCCGTCGGTATTCAAGAGATTCGGTCAGCAAAGACACTTGCGAACGGGGACCGCTCAGGCATGGAGGAGTACGAAGGATGGTATTGAGAAAACGCGTATATACATGATAGCAAAGCAAGACAGCAGAGTATTGCAAGAGTAGCAAATATATTCATCGCGACTGCCATTCATTTCTCGATTCAAGCGCAGCGAGCAACACATATACTGCAAGTGCATTTGACAGAAAGTAGTTACAAAATATGGCAGGCGCTTGCATCTCTGGGTGGACATTTCTGGTGAGTGTCATCGTCACGTCGCGGTGGCAACGCGGGGAACTTTCCCCTTAGCCACTGAGGGCGAGTCGGGGACCCACATGACTAGATGGGAAAATACCATTGAAAAGAACCTTTAATTGTGAACGCTAGCAATCATTTGAACATGGACGGTTTGTAGACAGAGCAGTAGTACAAGAGTAAGTAGGCCCTGCGGTCACAATGTAGATCTGTTGATTCATGCGTCAACGGGTGGAAAGTGTGATCGAGTGGTGGTAATAATCCTCGAGTTATACCTCTTCCACGTTTAGTCATAATGATGTTGATGAATGGATAGAAAATGCCCACGTCAAAGAAAGCATCCAGCAGGCAGCAGACCAAAGGCCAGGGCAACGACATACGCACAGCTCTTATCACGCCGGCGTAGTATTCAGTCTGAACTCGAGAAAGCCGAGCCAATCAGAGGGAAGTATCTTCTAGGGTTAGGGCATGTTGTGCTAGGGCACATATGTAGGGCATCGCCTCATCCTCATCGCCGTTCAGCATTAATAGCGATACTCGGAGTCGCGTGTGCCTTGGCCACTATGGTGTTCACGCGTGGTAGGCAGTCGACTGAAGAGGCAGATGCGACCTCGAGCACAAGACATTGGTCACATCTTGCCACTGACTCTCCAGTTCGTTCTCGCAAGAGACGCCGTAGCATATCAGACAACCATGACTCAACCCCTTTACAGCCTAACTACCCGAATTCAGCTTCACCAGTGGTAACTCAGAGCATTCCGCTACAGTCAAGTCTATCGGATGGCAATGCGAGCGCAAATAATGACGTTGGGCACCCGCAAGTCGACACATCCATAAACGCCGCGCGGGAAGAAGATAATGATACGCAATTGGCCTCACAATTGGCCCAAGAACTTCTACAGAATGGTATGAATGGCGTCATGTCAGAGTATAATGCGTCAACAACCTCCGGGTATCATCCACAGTATTATGATCATCTCGCGATGGCAGGCCCTTCAGGCTTATTACCTGATGCAGCAAATAAAGAAACGAAAATCCAGAGTCTTCCAATGCTCGATAATCTGGTTAGATGCCTGTGCAAAGTGCAACGCTCAAGCTGACCTCAACAGGCTGTACAAATTTTGAACATCATTGCGAAGTCGTCCTATCAAGAAGTCGTTCACATGGCCATGAAGAGGGAGACAGAGGCTGGCAGGAATTACGAGACTTTGAAGGATCTTTTCAATCATGCAAAGAGGGTTTACTCTGAAAGCGAGCCTTTCTTGAATGCCCGACAAATGGGGTTCTTTGTGGGTTCTCACATTGAAACAATAAGGAAAGCGAATATGGCAACATTCATTATCAGTATCCTCGGAAGCCAAGACGTCGGGTTTTATCACCTCAACGAATACTTCATTGACACATTTGTCGCCGAAGGACAGCAGCTCGAAAAAAAACACGCTGACCTTCTGCTGGAGCTCAAGACCCAGGCCTACATTTCAGCCATATCAAATGGCGACCGCAGCCGCGAGGAGATCTTGTATGACCTATTTCCGGAGAACATGGAAGAACGTCTTGCATCAAGGAGACCTGGCGGAAAGAAGCTTACTCCGAATGAGAGAGAGTTCCTCATCCATGCCTCCAATCGTAGAAAAGGCCTGTTGGACGAGCCCGATACTCCTGAAGCTGTAAAGCAATTGCCAGAAAAATACATATGGGCTAAATTCCTGAGAGATGTGAGCGGCTATATTGTCAAGACTTACAGTGCAGTCTCGCCCGACCAGGTAGCCCATCTCTCACTCCTCAAACTCCTGTCGTCCTTGCTGATTGTCGAGATTTAGGATCAGAACGACTCCATATTACCCAAGCCAGCTCCTTTCGCCCCGCCAGTGTCGAGCGCGCAAAGCCAAAGCCAGCAAACGCCGCAATCAAATGATGATATTGCCGGAAAAGCTCAGCGGGCTGCCCAATTTGCGATGCAGGACTATGGATCTGGGCAAAACCCTTCAGGAGACGATCAAACTACACGAAATACTTCGACGGCAGCACAATCGATGCCCACACAAGCTTTAGGTCCGGAGATACAATTTCATTTCGAAAACAAACTGCACCCTAATGTCCCTGGACCTCAATTGACATCATACTATAACGCGGTGACCGGCCACTATGGTCCAATGTATGATCACTGGGGCGCCCCACTGAACGATCCGAACTACGTCCCTTATCCCACACAATCTGCGCCTACACAGGTCCTTTACGAACGTGCACGAATGGTGGCCTCCGCTAAATCACAGTCATCAGTGCGCAAACCCGGTCAACCAAACCAACGACATCCCTGGACCTTGGAAGAAGAGAATACGCTGATGGCCGGGCTCGACCGAGTAAAAGGCCCTCATTGGAGCCAAATCCTGGCTATGTTTGGCCGTGGAGGCACAATCAGTGAAATATTGAAAGACCGAGGCCAAGTTCAGCTCAAAGACAAGGCCCGTAATTTGAAACTCTTCTTCTTGAAGAACAACATCGAGGTACCTTATTACCTGCAATTCGTTACTGGTGAAATGAAAACTAGAGCGCCCAGCCAAGCAGCGAAGCAAGAAGCAAAGAAGAAGGCTACTTCTGAGGAAGATCGTGCACGAACCGAAGGTATCTTGGCTTTGGCAGCTGGTCCCTCACGGGGTGAATCTTCTACTTCTACTTCAACAAAGGAGCTGCCTTCTAGACCGAATGAGGCTCTCGAGAAACCCCCGACCAATCATGAAAACCCCAATGAAGGCAACCTGGATCCTCATATTTCATCACCGACCCCCATCACCGCTGGCCGCCCCAATTTCGCCCCCATCCCAGACATGATGAGCGGCCGAAAATCCGAACCACAACTCAGTTCACAACATCCGAATAAAGCCTTCCCCTCTCAACCACCGCCCACCTTTTCCGCGTCATCACCTCACGGTATCTCTCCCGCTGGCCAGGCACGGCCTGGCATACCAATGTAATACCACAGAAACTCTCCTTCTGGTTACTTATTGCCTCTAGCTCTTGTTCTTGGTCAGGAAAAGCATTCTGTGGTGCAGACTTCGCTCTTGATTCGGAGCGAAAAGGTTGCAATACTGGCTCTCACGGAAGGCCCGCGCAAAGCGACGTTGCTCACGAATCAAATATGTATTCAATCATATCTCCGTGGACATTTTGGCGGAGATAATGGTGACGATGGTAATGATCGCGCTAGAGCGATGTACGATAGACGAATGAGATGCCGCAATAATGTGAAGTCCGTCACATTTTGGACTCATCGCTCTCAAAATCCTTGACCCTTTTTCTATGTCTCTAAATAGATTGATACCTCCCTCGCTCCGTTGAACACCACGCAATGCACCCAAATAGTCCCCTTTCTCAGATATATCCATGCAGCAATCCAGCACGCCTTATCAATGCCACCTCACCCACCAACCCCCGCTCACCCCTCCCCTCCCCCATTTCTTCCTCCCCCACCAGCCCCTACCGATAAAACTCCCCCTCCTAACATTAACACCATACTCGCCCACCGCACACCCCAAATCCTCCATCGTAAGCACCGCCTTCCCAGCCGCTGCCCCCGCCCCCGCCGGCGCGCCTCCAAATCCAGGCCTCTGCACACCCAGTACATGCCCCAACCCCCCTTCCCTTTATCCTCCTTCGCCCCTCCACCAACTCCACCCGCACCCCCAGCACCCTTCACCTCACCCCCTGGCCCTGCCCCTCCAACCGCACCCGCACCCCCCGCCCCACTCGCCGCCGTCGTCTGCGAACGCATGCGCGAATACTGATACGCGTCCGCCGCTACATCGGCAATGAATTTTTGCGTCGCGAGCGCGAGGAGGCGCTGCAAGGGCAGAGGTGTAGTTGCGGGATCGAGGCCCGCGAGGAGGAGGTGGTGCGCTGTCACGGCGTCGGGGATTATGGGCGCGTAGTCGTCCATTTTGGAGATGAAGTCGCGCAGGGAGATGTCTTTTTTGTGGGTTCGCGGGGTTCGGGGAGGGTGGGGGAGTTGGTGTTGGGGTCGGCGTCGGGGTTTGGGGAGGTGGGAGGTTTGAGGTTGGAGTTGGGGGAGGTGGCGCCGTCGAGGGCCATGTCTATGTCGAGATCGAGGTCGGGGTTTGAGTCGAGGTTTGGAGGGGCGGCTTGCTGGGTGGGGGGTGAGGAGGTGGGTTGGGAGTTGGGTTCTGCCATTTTGGTGGAGAGGTTGGGGTGGTGGTGAGTAAGAGTGTGGTGATTAGGATGATTGCCTGTATTAGGAGAGCATGGGGACCTCAGTACGCTCACATACGCTCTGGTTTGAACAGGAGTGCTTAATATAAAAGGCAAGCTTTTGTTGTCAGAAGAGGGACAATCTATGCCTCAGCCCTATCAGTACAGGTGGAGCCGCTTAAATCATAGCCCGGGGCCTAGCGATTAGACCGGCTTCGCGGAGGAACCCGGGGCGGTACAGGGGGCGTGCAAAACTAAGCTTGGAGATATGCGTTTGTGTGTACGACTTCTATTATATCAATCATCGCTTTCCCTACATTGATCTATCCTGACATATCCCCCTTCAATGCCTAGAGCGCAGTCTAGCTACCCTATGCCCACTTTTGCTCTCCCCCAAATAATCAAAGACCCGTGTAACCCGCTTTCTTCAGGTTACGCCTATTCTGCGCATTGTCCGGGTCACTACCACCACCTGCCTTTTTCTCTTCTGTCAGATGACTATTTATGCGTTGGTTAGTATTTCTCATGAAAGAAGTATACGATAGCAAATACGATGTCTTCATGAATGTCTCGAAGTAGAATTGTCAAGCACGGGACTGATGCAAAGGTAAAGCAGAGGGTCGGGCCTTACTTAGCAACAATGTTGCCCAAATGATCCCCTTTCTCTGTTTTGTTACTGTCTGTGCCCGTGGCGGGTTGAATGTTATTGCCAAGATTGTTGGTGGCTGGCTGACTTGGATTATTCATTTTTAGTGAGATGGTGGAATGAAGTCTTCGAGGTCGATGTTGTGGTGTGTGAAGAAGGGCAGTGAGCATGAATCAATGTCGTTTGAGATTGAGCTGTCTTGTGGTGAAGTTTTACTTGAGTGAATAGAAGGTGTTATATAGGCTGAAGTGACCTTGACGATGTTAGTCAGCTGAAAGCATAGTGTTGCACTGGTAAGCCTGGGTTGCATTGTAGCGAGATTTTGACGACCATTGAGAACTTGATTGTCATCGTTATGCAGAAGAGACTAGTAGAGAGCAATGCGCATCTTACCACAAGCAAAGAAATTGAGTGCGATTACTTTTGAGGCAAACAGAACAGCTCCCACTCGGCTCTATTGACGAGGCTGAGCCAATGGTCTATTGCATAAGCAGCTAGGTATTTGGTTGCGAGGCAGATCTGACACTGAATAGCTTGGGATGGGTAGGTACATGACGACCGCACCGTATCCACTGACTTCGCTGTCGCCGCTAACACTGAGCTGCATGTTCATTCTCGTCCAGATCTACAGTCACCGTAATGCAGCTCAACCAATGAGACTGCTCATCTCTTCTCTCTACACATGGGTATTGGCCATTTCTGACGATTCTCGCCGCAGAAAATGAGAGTTGCGTACGCAGGCTTCGGGAGAAGACCTCCTTATGAAGAAAAGGGCGTCAACCATCATTTCTCATACAGCCAAGTTTTACCCGACTTATCTTGTAAAGTATACGCCTGGACATTGAGTCAACCAATATTTCCTCCACGGAAAGTCTATTGGAGTATTTCTCAAAGATCATCTCGGAGACATCTGTTATAGGTAAATAACTTGCAGAACTGTTTCACAGATACTGTGATATTCGAATTATCAGACAAACAGTTGCATAAACCCAAGTCACTCGAGCTTCTTTGATACGGTCACTATGATTAAGATTTTATTATGAAAAGGCGACAGACAACTCACGACACTCATCAAAGCTCTTCGATGTCTCGCGCTTCTTCAGATAATAAACCTCTGACAAGTGGCAGTGTCAGTGTCACGACATGGAGCGTAGACAGAGATCCCCTTGGTACCTACATGGAACAATGGGGGTATTGCACACCCTCCCAACAACCCAACTATCTGAAAGCGAAATCAGAGGTGTTTGAATCTCCAGAAAGTCTCTACTCGTATTTGGACAAGGTACGAAAGACACTGCCAGGAGAGTGACTTGATCATAACGATGCTAGCGATGCTCAGGACGCACTCTCATGACTCTCACGTAAGGCCCATGTTGAGACAAAAACGTCAAGATGACTCATAAGCTCGAAGACATGCACACAACGCTCCTTGGGCATTTGATCGCTTTGTAGGCAGCGGTGCTACTACAGATGACCCTGACTACCGAAATCCCTCCCAATTTGAGGACTGGTTTGCACCAAACGCCCGCCAAAACACGGCTAGTCTCGACTGCTATGCTTGGCCATGCTCGTCAGACGAAACCCGCATGCGGCGGGAAGAGATCCACCATCAAATAAATACGACGAAATTTGCCCTCGATTATTTAGTACCCCACAAATCTCATACCCCCGAAGACTCACGCATCAAAGACCCTCATGCCTTTATTCTTCTTGGTAACGGCACGGACGGAGAATCTTGTCGCGTCTGTCACCATAGATTGTTATTCTAGAAGATTCAAGTCGCGCCAAGAGCATGTTCGCTTTCCACTACAGCCAACATCAGCGTTTGCTTCAAAAGAGCACCACACAATTCACTGGCGCCGAGCCGATGACCTCAACCTTGGACGATGTATTTCAGATCATAGACCATCAATGGTCACGTCTTATCGACGTGGCCATTGCCCATAACAGACATCTAGTATGTGGTGCTTGATCCTTTAACAATCGCCAATCGTCTTGATCTGATCCTCAATCGTGTGCTGAAAAAGTTGCAAGAACCCATGAAACTGATGGTTGTGTCTTAGGAGAACACAGTCTTCAGACAACCAGATGATGACGGACCGGCAAGATCGCTCTGGTCCGCCTCCAAATGTTGGCTGACGATTGAGCGCCTGCTCAATACTCATGCTCGTGAACAAAGGACGTTCTACGAGTCTGTTAACGATGTACTTACAGCAGCTCGACACAATGTTGGCGAGAGACGTCGTAGAGAAGACGACGCCTCTCAAAGAAGACTTGGAAGATATCTTGAAGAAAGACTTGAAACTCGAATCGCTCGGTTAAACCGATACAACAGCGTCGTACGAGAAGAGCTCATTAAGCCGACAGCGAACCTGCTTGACATGGTTAGTAGCCGAACCGCTTCGAGCACAAGTCTGATGAAGAGGAATACGGATAACATTGACCACAGATGTATAAATCCGTTGCTATACGCGACACACGGGCATCTCTGGAACTCAACGCCAGCCTCTGGCGACTGAGCTGGCTTACCTTCATTTGCCTGCCATTAGTCGTTCTTTCAGGCTTCTTCGGGATGAATGTCGATTTGCTCGCACATGAGCCGTCCGTCAAATGGTGCGCAGACCTAAATCCATTTCTTGCTCCCGAAAGTCCCGGACTGATCATATAGCTTAGGTACTTTGTAGCTGTAGCCGGGCTTGTAAGTCGAAACCTACTGAAGTAACTCCAAGTATCGAGCTAGACCAGGAATTGACCAGCAACGATAGTTCGTCTTGTTCTTCTTGCTATGGCTAGGCTTCAAGTGGAGCCACAAAGATCGCAAGCGCTCTCCAAAGACTTTGTCAAGCTTACACGTGGTGTAGAAAATCATAAATTTGCCGAATTGTTGTCATGTCTTGAAACGGGCATAAACGATATAGGAGACAAATGACCAGGTTCTTGGGTAAAGACAGTCATATTGAATTAATTAAAGCATATAACACATTTCAAATAACGGAAAATTCCTTTGAACGGCAATTACTGACCTCTCAGGCGGCTTTACGCATTACTAGCACCTTTCTTCGAAGCAGATACTGAAAAATCTAGCTAAAAGATTACGGGCATTCTTGTTCTTGGAAATCTCCGGACTTCATTTGAGTTCCAATGCAAAAAGTCCGAGAACAGCCCAATGAGTTAGTTAAGAACATCCTTTAACGCCACAAGTTCCTTGTCTTGCCGCCTCATACTCGCTTGGTATCCCCGCATCTCTTTGAACGTACGGAAGGATCTGTGATTGGGTAGTTACTCAGACTCGATTGGCATTTCTAAAGCATATCGATACCGAGATCTCATGAACGACCACAGCCTCACTTTCATTTCCTAGAAGCAACCAAGCAAAAGTAAAAGATCACTGAGACTCCTGAGATCCGAAAGCACGATCCAGACACAGACCCTCAGCCCACCAGCACTCGTTCACACAAAGCTATGTACTAGAAGCATCATAGCTGCATTCCTCGGATCTCAAGGCTATTTGACAAACTCGTAACACGATGCACCACCTGAGAACACGAGACTACACTAGCTTTACCCAAACCGTAAATTCGCACAATCGCGTCTGGCAAGAAAAGGGGTTGGGAAAGGGGGCAACCACCCCCTATCCACACCTCTCCTGAGAACGTGCGCAGACTCGACGAGAAAGACTCCGTAAATCTTAGAGAAGTTAGAGCGAGAACGCAAACTTGGGACGTCGAAGCCACCAGCTCCACCTGGGCTTGTCGTTGAAACCTTGAGCCAGAAACCAAGTCTTCAAGGGTATAACATAGGCCCCGCAGCGTCCTCAATGCTAGACCGTAGAAATTCCAAATCGGGTCAAGTCCAACCTGACTTTGTTCATACTGACTGATGCCTGAAAGGCATGCGCAATGCATACGACATCTTTATCATACAGCTTATGGGTATGTAAACATCGAACGACGGCCCATGAATTGCATACAAGAATACATCATTTCCTCTCCAGCCTCGCCTTCTGCGCCTCTTTCCTTCGAAGTTTGTCTATTGTTGTCTGTAATGCCTGCTTCACGGGTCCTTTTGAGAAGGTGGAGATGTCGTAATATGTAGGTGCGATATCCTGATCGCGCATATTAGTACGTAAAAGGATTATAAGAGAAATGGGAGAACATACAAGCAACCACTCCGGTTTCACCACCGTGACAGTCCTGATATAATTCTTTGTCGTGAGCACAAACTCGTTGTAGAGCAACCAGTCGCTATCCGTCTGCAACACCGAGCTCGGATGAATGATCACATTCTGGTTATCCTTGATCGTAACATAAGTCTTACTACTTCCATCCTTCTTCGCGACTTGCATGAAGAAGCCAGCCACAAGTGCGCGGCGGATATTGGTGTAATAGTTTTTATCTTCGAATGGCGTCGATATGAGCTCGATCTCATGAGTCTCCATTATCCGCTTCAATTGCTTGCGAACGTTGTCGGCGGCTTGCAGACTGCGCAGACCCAGAAAGTGGTCGTAGCACCATTGCTTGGGATCTTGTTGAGCATCGGGGGACATGAAGGCGTGGAAGACGTTCAGCATGGTTAGGTGATCGCCTTCTGGGTGGGCGAAGAGGGCTTTCATCTCATCAGCACGTTTGCGTGACGCGGCGGGGCGGACGAATATCTGAGGGACGGAGAGAAGGGCCGTGAGGGAAAGGATCTCATTCGAGCAATAGAATTCGGGGGAGGAAATGATCATGACTGCTAAAGTCGGGTCCAGGGGGAACTCCGAGGCGAGCTTTCCGAGAGCGGTGAGGTTGCCGTCGTCGTCGAGGCAGGCGAGGTAGTTGAGTTCTTCGAGGGCTCGGATGAGGGTTTCGGGTGCCGGAGGGTCCATCAGATCGAAGTGCACGAGGTCGTCTATGCCGAGTTTTTTCAAGTCAAGTACAGTGGAGGAGATATTTGAGCGTAAGATCTCGGGGTGGGTGGTCTCGATCAGTTCTTTCTTGAAAGCGGCTTCGGTGTAGAGGCGAAAGCATTTGCCAGGTCGCGTTCGGCCTGCTCGACCAGCTCGTTGTTGTGCTGATGCTTTGGAGATTGGGGAGACAAGAAGAGCCTCGACGCGTATCCGAGGATTGTAGATTTTCTGTTTGCTAAAGCCAGGGTCGACGACGTAGACAATGCCGTCGATGGTAAGTGATGTTTCAGCTATGTTTGTAGATATTATGCATTTCCGGCCAGGTGTTCCGCCTTTCGTTCTCGCTGCCGGAGCAGGCTCGAAGATGCGTTGTTGCTGTGCGGGCGGCAGAGTACCGTAAAGGGGATACACTTTCATTGGACCTGCGTCTGTTTCTCGTACCATTTCGTCCACCTCAAGATTGATCTTTTTACAGGTGTCTTCTATCTCTTCCTCGCCGGTCAAGAACAACAGGATATCGCCCTCTGGCTCCATAGCGTGAATCTGTAGCACAGTGCGGATAGAAGCTTCTACGTAATCTCGTTCAGCCTGTTGAGTGTAGAAAACCTCCACAGCGTGTGTTCTTCCCGGAACAGCGACCAGAGGCGCGTCGTTGAAGTAGCCTTGAAATTTCTGAGCATCCAATGTAGCAGACATGATAACGATCTTCAACTCTGGTCTGCGTTGTGCCACCTCTTTCAGTAATGCCATCATAGTGTCTGTAGCAAGCGTACGCTCGTGAGCTTCATCGAGGATTATTGTGCTGTAGCGACTCAGGTTGTTGTCACTCATTGCTTCCCTCAGCAACATTCCGTCCGTCATGTACTTTAGAAACGTTTTTGGACCAGTCATATCTTCAAACCGGATGGAGTACCCCACCTCTTCGCCCAACTGAACATCCATCTCATCAGCGACACGCTGGGCCACTGACATTGCAGCTACACGACGAGGCTGAGTACAGGCAACTAGTTTACGCTGAGTATGCGGCTGATCATCAAACGCAATGAACTGCGGTATTTGTGTGGTCTTCCCGGATCCCGTCTCACCAACAAACACAAGAAACTGGGACTTATGGTACATCTGAAGAAACTCATCTCTGCAGAGCTATCAGTATCATTTTGTTTAATAGGGGGGTTTGAACATACCTTTGAGCATGCACAGGTAGATTTCGTCTTGTACGGAGGATGTTGAAATATCTCTGGGACAATGCTTTTCCATTGAAAAAACTATTGGGTCCGTCTTCCGCCTGCTTGATTGTCTCTGCGGTGGCGTTGTGACGGCGAATCTTCACCCCATTACCCTGGCTTGTGCCATTTGATTCTCTCTTCTGGCCGTACCGGTAGCCTCCCCCATACCCGTTGTGGGTCGTGGTGTCCTCGGTATAGTGGTGGGCCAAATACGGATTGTTCTTGGGATCGAGGGTTCTCGTTTTGGCTGCGCACGGTCAGCGAAGGTGAACATTCGAATACTAATGTTCCTGTCTGAGAGATGAGACGTACTCTCGCTACTCGGAGGCTCCTCCTTGATCTGATGTCCACTACTCGTGTAGAGCGATACACCGCCGTCCGCATCATCTTCGTCTGATTCATACATCTTTGATTTGCCTAGGTTGTCGATCTTTCTCCGCTTAGTCCTCCCACTCTCGTCTTGATCCGGCCTTCTGTCAGTGGCGCCTGCCATGTTAATGTGAAGTCTTGCGAATGGCGCTACCATTATTAAGTGACGCTGTTAGACTACAGTACTTTTTTTTGCCAAGCTTGACTCCGGCATTATGTTATCTGCGAAGGCCGGGAAATGACAGTGGAAGATTAGCGCTGCCACCGCCAAAGGAAAAGAAGAAGAAGAAAAAAATAACAGCCATCGCCAGCGATGATTCATGTCCGATTCAAATCACCGAATCAAGGGACGAGAGGCTCCAAAAGTGGGTTCCCTTTGTTAGTGTCTTCAAATTTACTTCTTCATGACGACCTTCTGCTTACATATTGCAGAATACATTGATCACAGCCATAGTATCAATGACCAAGAAACGCGCGTCAATTCATGAGCTTTGGATCACTTATAATTTCCTCTCGCGAATTGATCGCTTTCAGTGAACTTGCAACAGCGTTGGTTGATATGCGCTTGCTATAGTCTTGTCCTGCTACGAATCTTACAAAGGGGTTCGACACGCGTTTCTGTATTTCCAACCGATTCAATTGAGCCGAGTAGTCTTTTGGTTCTGAGCGAAGATACTTCCGGCGGCTTCTGTGCTCTCGCACCTGAAATATGATGATTGTGTGACGGCCCATGCTGCTTTGCTAAATCTATGCACTCGTGGTGGTCATCCACAACTAATGACGGACGAGTTGGGCCGTCTTTCGTCCGGGTTTCTAATCCTCTGCATTCTCTCCTCCGCACACCACTATGGACTACGCCCTTTGCAATACTGCAAACAAGGTAACTCCGTTCCAGCTCGCGTGTTGTACTCTATTTTGAGCAATTGCAATTTCTATTTGTCATATGAGCTAGCCATTATATATGGTTGAGGATGCCTGATCTTTCAGATACTATTCTGTCCTTGAAAAGCTTGAGACCGCCAAAATTTGCTAAGTCTACCTCTTTAAAATTCGCAATATGTCTAATGTCCTCGCCGTCTTTGGCGCTACCGGCCAACAAGGCGGCTCGTTAATCAACTATGTGCTTAATGATCCTGAGCTTTCCAAGAAATACCAGCTTCGTGCCATTACTCGTGATGTCAGCTCAGAAAAGGCCAAACTACTCAAGGAGAAGGTCGAAGTAGTCAAAGGCGATGTGGCTGACCGGGCCTCTCTTGAAACAGCTTTGACGGGCGTGCACACTGTCTTCGCCATAACGACACCCGACTTTGGCCCTGACGGTTTCGAAATCGAATACAACAGTGGCAAGACAATTGCCGATGTGACCGTCGAAAGGGGCATCGAATACATCATCTTTAGCACGTTACCGTCCATCAGTGACATCTCGGGCGGCAAATACACCAAAAGCATCCACTTCGACGCCAAGGCGAAGGTCGAGCAGTACATCCGTAGCCTCTCCATCAAAAGTGCCTTCTACGCACCGGGTATCTTCATGCAAAATTTTCAGATTTTCCCCCTATGAACCCACAGCGAGCTTCCGATAGCACCTGGGTCCTGAGTCGCCCCACTTCTCCAAAGACGCGAGCACCATTTGTCGACGCTATTGAGGACACGGGCAAATTCATTGGCGCTATCCTCGCGGAGCCCGATACGTATGAAGGGAAGACATTTTGCGCATGTACGACACTATACAGCTGGGAGGAAATAGCCGCCATCTTGTCCAAAGCTACTGGTAAGACTGTTGTCAACAAAGAGATTTCACCCAAGGAATTTGCGGAAAGCCTACCGTTTGGAGGCGATATTTTTGTAGAAACATTCAGCTACTTCGCTGAGTTCGGCGGTTACTATGGCCCAGGGTCTGAGGAGATGGTTGCCTGGGCTATTAAGAACGCCCGAGGCAAGCTTACTACGATGGAAGAATACCTGGAGAGACATCCGGTTGAGCTGATCTAGCGTAAAGTCAAACGGCAATACAGGCGTAGAGAGACAATGCTGCAAGGGACAGTGTTTTGTGGTGAACTCTGTTGAGGAAGCATCAATTCGACCATTGTGAATGATATGCATGAGGGAAAGATGGCAAGGAGGGGTTGCTGAATAGAGCCCTAGACCAGCTATGCAGGAGGTGGAAAACAGCAACATCTACGCATCAATGTAACCACAAGCTAGGCGCGACGATGATGCAGTCGAAACGAGCAATGAAAACATTCATTAATAGTACAAAGCTCTCATAATCTTACTTCATCATCAGGACGTCAGAGTTCGAGGCAGCTCCTCATTCTCCCATATATACCTCGTCTGGCTCTGCTCATTCTCGTCTCTCACCGTAAGTCCCAGAAAGCGGCGGCCAAGATTCCATATACCAGAGCCGACGGTACTGCTTGTAGCAGGTGGACGTGGCTCGATATATCTGTCGCGGATCGCCTGGGCTTTATCGTCGTCAACAAGCACGAGAGCTGCAGAGTGCCAGCCCGCCGAAGCGACTTTGAGGGCAAAATAGGCCGGAAGATCATCCTCATCGTCCTGCTCGTCAGTGCTGGTTGTCGTCTTACGAAGAGTTGTCGGGCGGGATTTCCGATCGCTCAGACGACCCTGCGAGACGGGGCGCCTCATCCATTTCCTCCCTTCACGTTCAAACCAGGTGCTCAGCTGCTCAGAGTCCTGAGGGGCATAAGCTAAGTCAAGCGTCGCAGTACCTCCGAGTCTGCTGCGCGTATTCGAAACCAGTGTCCCAATCCAGGACTCCATTAATGGTTCGAACCAAACAGTCCGCTTGTCTCTTGGGTCCTGAGGGATGTTGAGGCTGCCAGACCTATGCCAGCCTGCGATCTGGACGCCTCTGCACCCTGAAACAGTGGAATCACCTAAGCCTAGAGCACCGCAACGCTGACTTTCCGTGCCCAGGGAGCTGATGGTACCGTCACTGTGTAGGGCGTGCATGTGGTAGTCTCCGAAGGAGACTGAGACTACGTCACCGGATTGCAGTGAGGGGAGGACGTCCGGTTGGGAAAGTCTTTGCTCTACGCTCGGTAAAGCGGCCTGCTCGTGGAATACGTTCAAATAAGAATCTGTCGCTGTTAAGACATTTGCTGTGGATGTGACGATGCCGAAATTACGGAAAGATCCTACTAGACTGCGAGGCTCAAAAGCCTGGGCATTTGACTTGGTGCTTGCATTGTACAAAGTCGTAAGCTCGACGGGATTGGGGCGGGAAAACTCCGGCAAAGGATAGGTAGTCGTATAGCTGAAAACCCGGCCGTGGTGGGTGGTGAAAACGATGTGTGATTCGAGAACAATAAATTGCTTCACCTCGCCGATGTAGGCCTCAAGAGAGTCTTTCGCATAGGTCGCCTGGTCATGCTGACGAAAAGAAGTTCCTGGAATTGTGACGGTGTCTACCGTGACCCTCAAGCCTGTTTGCAGTGACTCCTGGCGTCCGCCCGGTACAAGATCACTGTCTTGCTCAGTTGACCAATAGATGAGGCCTACGCCTTGGACAAGCATTGAATTCTTGTTCCAGCCTATTCAGCAATTAGCGTTCATGAATCGTTTTCGAAACAAGCTGAAACATGCCGGCTTGAACCTCGAAGACCGTTTTCTCCTTGAGGTCTACATTGAGAGGAGCGATCAGCACAGCCGTCTCATTCTTCCATTCCCAAACAAGTCCACTATCCGAAAGACCTAGGACGTTCGAACGTCCAGTTGAATATTGCTTGATGGCTGTATCTGGCCAATATGTGACGTGGGATGTCATGTGGTACTGTAAAGGGAAATGTAACTGGCGTAGATGGTGACCATTCCTGGCTTGAGGTCTATCTACCAGACCGCCAAGAAAGCCCATGATGAAGACATTTCCATCTTTATTTAGAAGAGTGGTACACCATCCACTGTTCATTAAACTTAGCTTCGTCGTCCTTGGGAGCATGAACACGAATGGTAGCTCAGATACTCACCCACACTGTACATCAGATACCACACCAATATAAATGTCGACCCGCGGCTGTCTTGGCCACCCAGAGCTCTGGAGATGCGGATACTGCCTGAGGTGTTGATAGCCTTCTGGTAAAGGGTTGACTAGCATGCCGCTTAGTATGCATTGCAGCTGTTCATGTTTCAGAGGGGTTCCCTACCATGGCCAAGGTTTCCTTTTTTGTTATCTCCCCATGTGTAGATTTTAGTCTGGGTCAACAGCTTCTTGTACAGCCATTTCCAGCGTTTTCCCTCAAGCAGCGGCTGTGGTGGAATGCGAAATGTATTTCGCGTGAGGGCAGCCCAGAAGACTGGGTCTTGTCGATATGGGAAGAGCGCGCGCTGAGGATCACTTGTGAGCTCGTGATAGATCCTCCCAGCGGAAAATGCTAACCGTACAGCTGGTGAAGTTGACGAAGTTGTGTAGGCCTAGGTAGGGAAATATGCTGTGGAGAATTTCGGGCGCTGAACGCGTCAGCCTGATGTTCTTGATGTCCTAGTGGAAGGTTGCTCACGTAGGTCAGTGACTTTCAGAGATAGCTGCCCCCGTGGTCTTGAACTCATCGTGATTTCGATCAACAGATCAATAAGATTGCGTATTTATGGAGCCTGTCCTGGCTGGAAAGCTCTTCGTGTGCTCTGCCTAAAGAGTTGATGTTCAATGATGACTTCCGGCCGCGACGCTAATGTTGGAGCTGCGACGATAAACTTTAGGCACGCGACCAGCCGCTGTCAAGCAACCTTCAAGTCTTCAAACAGTATCTGACAATCTTTTGTGGTTGCAGTCCTTGCTTCTAGAATCGAGTCTCATCGAATTTAGAACTAGGCTTTTGGCTTTGAGATGTCGACCACGAAGCGGCTTTGCTATCCCCTTTTTAGGCCAATTTTCAAAGTACAAGCCATCTTGGTGGACCATCAAGTATGCCCCCAACCTTGATCGCAATTTGGAAAGCCAGTAGCTCCAAACGACTTCTTCAACTTGCTGCTGAGTTGAGTTGTCACTCTTGTTGCGAAGGCCAATCGTTTGAGTTTCTCCTGCACCAATTCAAAAATCTAGATCAATTTGGTTGAATCATCAATTTTGCTCTTCCTATCTGCTAGCATTGTCCACGAATTTTGGGGCTGAACGAGATTGGCCTGGATCATGGAAATTGTTGGGTGATTTCCTGCTGCAGACTGCAAGAATCTATCCTCATTGCAATGGACAACGACTGGGTCTTGAAACGTAGGATTGCTTCGGACACTGGCGAAATTGAGACAATGCTTCAAAACACTATATGTCCACATCATTGCTGCATGTGCAGAGTCTTTTTGAACGCACAGGCAGGGTTTTATAAAACCCACCATTAGAGGAGGCGTTGTGGTTGTTCACGCGTCTCTTGTCATCGTAAAGGCGAGTAACTGCACCTACGAAAAGTGTCCTCATATTCACCGCACTCTTTGTCCCTTGTGGGACCTTGTCTGCAAAAAGTCATAGCGTAAAGTTAGAGTATCTGCGAGTGATAAGACAATCATGAAGCGTAAGGGCGGGAAGTCTAATGCAAGTGGGCGCGACGTTAGCCTCAAGCACACTCAATGTGATTGGTTGCGTTAATGCTGTATACAGATCGCTTCTTATAGACTCTCAGTTGATTTCGATCAATGAGATGAAAGCCACGGATGATGGAAGCCCTTTGGCTGACTCCACTAGCCTTTTGAATAGGTGGTTCATTCTGTCAACATCCCATGGTTTGGAACGAGCAGAAGATCTCAGCATTTGCTTGGTAAGCAAGAGTATCAAATACGGTTTCCTAGCTTATGATCGAGACCCTTTCTCTAGTGTTCATGGTTCTGTCGCTGAATATGACGCAAGGTAGAGAGCCAAATGTTGCTATTGAAATCTCTCGAGCTTAAGTTTCCTTGTGATCCGAAGAAAATTCTTCATAAATTACATGTTAAAAGTCGCACAAGACTTGACTCACTAGGTAATAATGGTATTGGCAGTGCCATGAAGGAATGACTTGTGATAAAAGATAAGTGCTACGATTTAGAGTTTCTGATTGAAGCAGTAAGAATGAATTCCACATCGCGAAGAAGGCTTGCATGGAAGCAGTCGTAAGCTATATGCTTCTCCGCAATTTCAAGCTTCTAGGTTTCTATCGCAGATGCTTGAGATCAAGACAGAATGGCTTCAGGTAATGATGATGCTTGCATGATCTACTGACCCTATCTATTCCCATCGCTATATCCCTTATCCTTGAGTGTTTTATCCCAATAAGATGCCATCATCAAGATCTTCCTACTCAGAAGAGGTCCGTACAAGCCATGCTTACTCTCATCAACCTATTCGCAAGCTCAAGAACCCTTTCCTTTCGTCGCCTGTGGCTGCTGCTTAGGCTTCTTTGGACAGAGACCTGCAGCAATCACATTGTAAAGATGGTTGAAGTCCCAGCCGTTGAGCTCCACAACGAGATTCGCCTCTACATAATTAAGGTCAGTGGGAATACTGTGGAAGATTATGGCTTTACAGGTGTACTAACCTCGCTGTTCCTCCTCCTTTATCATGGACCCATCAATACGATGCAGTCTTCCACACTGCTCCTGGCCACGGTCCCACGTTGGTTCCCACTCTTCTTGTTGCTGATTCGGGGGTTCGATCGTCAAAGTCAAACCCTGCTGGTCGTTTTGTGTGGGACTTTCAAAGTTTGACGGCTCGTCGAAGCCCGAGTCATCATTAGCGTTATCTGGGCCATATTCCTGGTTCTTCTTCGGGACAATTGTGATGCTTCCGTTGTAATCCTTTGGTGTGCCTGATATCTGTTGTCTAATGTAGTCATACAGAGCTTGTTCAACCTCGCATACGATGCCAAGATCATCAACGTTGTCAATTGTTGTGGCGCGGAGCGAGCCTGCGTTGGCGACTGAAGCAGATGGCATGTTTAGTCTATTTGTCGTACGGAGCCTTCGAAATCCGTGTGGAATTGGGAGTGAAATGTAACTATGTGTTCGAGGTATTGATTATGAGCCAGTGGAACTTGGGTGGGGATGGTTTGAAGGGACGAATTTATAGGGCCCCAGCCCAGATTCATACCAAGACGGGGCTAGACACAATAATAACATGACACAGACATGCCACAATCACACAAAGAGCTTCCTAATTGTTTAGTAGACACTGAACAGATTCTGGTGGTCGTAGACTCTACCAGAGCGACAACAGGAGGGCGAGCAAGACACTGAACAAACCAAAGAAGCCAGGAGAGGCTGTACAGCACAATGAGATAATTGTTGTCGGGTTATCATCCCTGCATGGAGCAATGAGCAGCTCTGCTTCGTTGGGAGCTGATTAAGGAGAGGGTAGAGCGGATAGATGCTTCGGAGGGCAACTGAACGGCTCATAGGGAAAAAGGAAAAAGTCTGAGCTTCTTGCTCTGAATCAAATTGACCACGACATCTACAGATTTATTGAAATCCTGATGGAGGTCCAGACGAACTCAGATTGCGTCTCGGATGCGTGCCTAACCGCCGTGGCTAGCCAACTTGCAGGCTTTTCGGATTGCTTCTAGAACTCCATGGATCCATCTAGCATATACCACGTCTGAAGCTGGCGGCAACTAGTTTTCTTCCCACTGTAACGTTGACAAAGCAAGTCTAGCATGTTGAAAAGATGTCCAGTCACCGAATGAGATGTAAATGCTAAAGATTGATGCCCCTTTAGCGGAGCAATTCCGCGTTTGCCAAGATTTGATCAATCACATCGCTATTTTCAAAGTTTTCATTCATCGCGCCTTGTGTGGGTTCCTACAAGACTGGCACTATCCAACTTGAAGGAGTTAGCATCATACGCGCAACGAGAAAGGAATTTTCGTCAACTTGGTGACAAGAAGAAATCTATGTTGAAGCTGCCCGCCTACACTTTATACTGGGACAGCGTCATTGGAATGTTGACTCCGTCTCCTATTGTACATGTGTTAGTGGCCTACCAAAGGGTCAAATGAATGAAAGAGCAGCAGACACCTCCATACATTTACTCATGTTGAGGGCTTTGTAGCGGCCAAAAGCGCCCTTTTTCCTGCTACATCTCGAGAAGAAACGTCACTACAGTTTTGTACATTTAACGCCTCTCGATCACTCTTCGCATTGAATGAGGCTACCAAAATGACGAACTTTACCGCCGGAGATATCATGTCGACCGCGAGTTATCTGCTCCGCAGCAAGAGCGCAGCAGCCATTGCTACAGCGAGTCCCGAGACGCAGGAAACAAACTTCATACTCGTCAGAGATTCAATACCTCTCTCAATGGCCTTCATCAACTGCTCAGCCCTCCCCACACCCTCACTCATCACCTCTTCGTCTTTTCTGACAACCAATACTCCAAAATGCGGCGTCTCAATGAACGAGGCTCTCCAATCCTGCTCCCACCCCTCGTTCTCCGGCAACGTGACTCTTCTCCACATCACACCACTCGTGAAACCGCCACCCTTCGCGGCCTGCTCAAATATACTCCTCCTCAGATGAAACGCTTCGAAAGTCACGAAACCAGTCTTCGTCATCGCATCAATTCTGGTGCCCACGCCACCTTCCACATCTTTGGTTGGCGTCATCGTGATCCAATGCTCTCCCTGCTTCCCCGACGAACGCACCTCTAGCGCCTTTTCCATCGTCTTTCGAGGCTGTTCGGACGGGTGGGGAACTATGCAGACGAAGTGCCCGCCCGGGCGAAGATTCATGTACGCCGTACGGAAGATGTGTGTCATTTGAGATTGCGAGGCAGCGTAATTGAGGATCCATGAGCCGAGGACGATGTCAAAGGGTGAGCCGGCATGTTTCTTTGGACGCGTACAGTCAGCGACAGAATAGGTTACTTTCAACCTGCTCCCGGTTGCGACCTGGGACATCGTGGCATCACGGGCGGTGTCGACCATGACTGGAGAGATGTCGACGCCGTGGACGCGGGAAGCTCCCCATCTGAGGCCGAGACGCGAGTAATGGCCTGTTCCGCAGGCAAGATCGAGGACTTTGGCGTCTTGGATGGATGTACAATTTTTGCGAAGATTGTAGGCTTCGAGCATGCCCGCTGGAAGGAGCTTCATGCCCGAGTATGTAGACCCGATGTGGTCGTATTGCGTGCCCATTATGCCAAGAATGTGACCCAGAAGGTGTCTTGAAAGCGAGGTTACCAAATCCTGTACAGCTCATTCCTTCGTAGCCTTTTGTAATCCTGGGGACGAAATATGCTTCCGCCGCTATTTTGCAATACTGGCATGGGGACAAGCGCGTCGTGATGCATCGGATTGACTTTTCGCTCCGGCATCAGGACCTGTTTCGCGGTACACAGAACCGGAAGATGGACCAAAGATGGGGAGCTCCCTGGACCAGGGCTGCGAGAGACAATCTCCAAAGTATGAGACGCGCTTTGTGTCAGGAACACTACTTTATTCTCTGCTCAAATCCCACTGGCTTCTGTGCTGCCGATGTCGGTCCGTCAATGAGGCGCAAGGTCTTCTTGATCGCTATTCGCTAGTCAAGTAAGCAATGATCTGAATAAACCCTGTCGATATCTTGCATTCAGATCCAGTGGTCTGGATATGCACCCCAGGCGAGGGTCAAAACGTGGTATCGCTTTGACATTGCGTCTAGATGATCTTGCCGTTAAGCGCAAGCTCGCCATGGGCCAGCATGTCAAACAAAGTTTAGGGCATCCTGAGCACGATCTTAAATTTGGTCAAACTTGAGCCTTAGACCCTGTGACCGCACTGGAACAATTGCGTTGCTGATAGGTCGAGATCAAAGGCGGTGACTGCGCTTTTGGCGAGGGGCCTTGGCGCCTTTCTCGATAATTTGCTTCGAGCGTGACGAGGAAGGCTATTCGAGATAGTCATAAGCTTCCCCGTACTGTTGTCTCAGGTGATAGTCACTCTCTGAAAGGCACTTCATGAGCTGGTGGCGGCAACGTAAGTTTCTACTGAGCGGCTCCGAGAGAGCTATCATAACTTTATATGCTGCAGATCCTAAGCTGAGGATTTAGCTTTGAACCTGACAGACGTCCGTCCGTTCATCGCACATCGATGCGTTAAATCTTTTGATTTTTCGACCCCTCAATTCTTTGTTTTCTGAGATAAAGCATGGCCACGAGGGGCTGGCACGGGCATAGCAATCGACCAGGGCTCCCTAAAGCTCGAGCGGCTGGCCCGACGAAACTTTCATTGCGCTGCCCAGTTCGGCATATCTACCGGTAACCATATATTGACAATTGCAGTGGCATTTGTGGACACTCCTTATTCGATGAAGCATTGATTCCAGCTAACAAAGGACCCCCAGTAGACGCCAGACCAAGTCGCATCCAGGAGTACGGTTATGTGAGTCATGATTGAATAAATAAGGGCGTCAATTTGACCATCTTGTGGCATTTTGACCGTGTGAGCGCCGTACGTGGTAATCGCCGTGGTATGCTCTGCCTTGATACTATGTCTTGTGGCGCATAAAACAGGAGCGACAAAATGATTTATGATGGGCTGTGGACTCTTCAAAACTGTGGTAATAGACTAACATTGTCATGGCAATATGGGTAGCTCTTCCCTGAGATACGAAACTGACTGGATGCGCATACCTAGGGCTTCTGGAAGACAAAATAATTCTCTTCGCTCAGCTTCCACGCATGATCGACTCACAGGTCCTCAATTCTCGCGTACATGGAAGAAAATTGCCTGTTGCCCCCAGGCTGATCTCCATTTACCTATTTCAGGACGTCATTATGCTCTGGGAGATTTGTTCAGAGTACTCCGCCCAACGAGAGCCTACTCAGAACGCCTGACTCTCACTGCGCTTCTTGTCTTTGGTACCCAAGGCTCACCGGCTTGACGAAGAGTTCACCTGAATTGAAGGATTTGAAAAGGTGAGGGGAGAAAGGAGGGTCGCCGACTTATTTGATTGGCTTTCGGATCTACAGCGCAGGCAACTTGTCGGCATCAGTGGGGGCTATGCTGCCTCGAGCTCTAGGGCTGCGCCACATAGCCTGATGATTACTTTACTTTTCACGCCTGTCTTCAACAGTATTCAATCTCAAATTCTTGTCATTACGACTTTATCAATCCCGACTTCTTCTGTATCCAATGGCGAGGGCAGTGAGACAAGCTCACGTCCAGGTTCGCTGCACTATTCTGAGAATGCAAATCTAACCGAAAACTTGAGAGTGGGGTTACTCGCCCCAAAATTGCTGGCACAGCTACGCACCAGAGTGATGTCTGATCCTTTGACCCTCGCCACCAGCGTCGCTGGGCTCATCACACTCGCGGAGATTGTTTTCAGCCGAACTTTCAAATACGTCAAGGCAGTCAAGGATGCCCCTAAAGAGATCTCAGTTTTATCTTCGGAGCTTGGTGCTTTGTATGGCATGCTTAATAACCTTCACCTCTTGATCAGCCAGCTTGAAGATGAAAGCTTTGATGCAACTGTCCAGACACACCACCTCAACGCGTGCAATGTAACGCTCGGAAATGTCAAGAAGATCCTAGACAAGTACGAACTTTCATCATCTGAAGAGCACAGACTCAAGAGGTTGAGGATGAGTCTAAAGTGGCCCTTTTCAATCGGGCAGGCTAAGAGTCTGGTCGCAGAAATTGAAAGACATAAGTCGACGATCTCTCTTGCCCTGGATACTGATGGATTCAAAGGGATTCTCCTCTCCTTATCCAGACAGGTGGGTATGGCCAAAGACTTGCGGGAAATCAAGGGCGAGCTTGAGCAGAGGCGCGAAGCTGAGACCCGCATTACTCTGGACGCAGAACGCCAGAAAGTCCTCGAATCTATCGGACCGACTGGACCGCAAGGAAACCACAAAGCGGCGTTGAAACTCCGATATCCTACGACAGGCTTGTGGTTTACCGAGGGTGAAGACTTCAAATCTTGGATGGACACTCTTGGCGCAAACTTGTGGCTTTATGGCATACCAGGAGCCGGAAAGACAGTGCTGGCATCTGCAATCATCCAAGAGGCGCTTGCTGCAACAGGTCGTCACGTAGCCTTAGCTTTCTTCTATTGCGACTACAAAGATATTGCAACGCAAGAGCCTGCTAATATACTCGGATCGTTGGCAAGACAGATTGCTCAGCAAGATGAGCAATCTTTCGAGAAACTGCAAGCTTTCTACAAGCAGCATGGTTTCGAAAGCAGAGGGCCAAGAATATACGAAGCAGACGATCTTTGTCGCCTGATTGTCGACATGACATCGTTCTTTGACAGTACGATGATAGTAGTCGATGCACTCGATGAATGTGGACCACAAACTCGTACAGTCGTCGAAATGTTAACAAGTTTGATTTCTGATGATGAGACAAATACAATCAAAAAGTTGTTCCTTAGTAGGGATGAAATCGATATTAGGGAGCTTCTAAGCGACTATGCGATGGTCTCAATAGCTGCACAAAGTAGCGACCTCAGACTGTACGTTGGAGCTGAGGTCGACGCCAGAGTACGTAGTAGGCAGCTCCGGATGAAAGACAGATCTCTAAAAGAAGAGATCTTGGAGCGATTGGTGGATGGTGCAGACGGAATGTAAGTTAACACTACCACTGCTGAGATCATTTGGATGATTCGCTTTTGTATGCAAAGGCGAACATGCAACTACTCTTGAATACCGAAATGTGCCTAACGACTTGCAGGTTTCGTTGGGTTGCCTGCCAAATAGATTATCTCTGTGAGCTAACGAATGATGCTGCTCGTAGGCGAGCTTTGAAATCTTTGCCACCCACTTTGACCGCAACATATGATCGAATTCTAAGGAGCGTCAATAACAGCAGTAAGGATAGTCAAAATCTCGTACAAAGGTCACTTCAGTGGATTGTGCACGCTAAATGGCCCTTGAGCTCTGCGGCCCTATGTGAGATTATCTCGATTGACAAATGCAGTGACATGCTCGACCAAGAAGCCATTCCAGAAGAAGATGAAATCCTCCGTCGCTGCAGCAGCTTGATACGGAAGAATGCGGTGCGGGACGAACTCGAATTGGCCCACTTCACTGTAAAAGAGTATCTTGACACACTCGACTGCAGTCCTCAAAGCGAATTCGGAAGATATTCTACCAACTTCACGAAGTGTGAACCTGAACTTGCGCTCACGTGTCTGACCTATTTGAATCTTGATGACTTTGCTAGCTATGGCATCGTGGATGAACTGACAATGGAGGAGCGAGCCAAAAAGTTTCACTTCCGGCTATACGCTGTTGAAAATTGGGCAGACTATAGTCGCAGTCTTTTGACGGATACGGACGTATTTTCGCTTTCCAAGAAGCTCTTTGATCCTTCCAAAACGAACAATTTTTTGTCTTGGGCTCAGGAAGTCTACCACTATCGAACAAATGGCCCATATGACTACTCTCTGTTGTCAAGCTGTACCCCATTACACTTTGCTGCAATGCTAGCCCTTCCTCAACTTTGTAGCTGGCTCATTGAGAATGGTTGTGGCGTCAATGATGACAGTGATTTTGGCTATCCACTCCACACTGCTATATTGGGAGCAATGTCACTCGATGAATCTATTCACATAGAAGACATTGTATGGATGAGGTCAACAGACTTACAATTTGTGCGAGATCAGACCGTTGAAATTATTCTGAAAGCTGGTGCTGATGCTAACAAGTGTTACTCTCTTGCAGATGGTAAAACGACACCCTTACACATGGCAGTCATTTCTGAGCAATTAGTCATATTTCAGAGTCTAGTGACACACGGAGCCTGGTTCGACGAAGAATTAGCTAGGTCACTACATGGTAGGATCAGCGAAGATCTCTGGGACAACGAATTCATTTTAGAGTTGATACAATCGCTCGGGCTAGACGCTAAACAATTCTCCATTAGCGATAAAGCTACACGTCCAAACCTTCATGAAGTAAAGAATCAGAGTGCAGCCAGAGATCCAGCCGCTGCCCTCAGAATTGTGGCTGAATTTGGACTACTTGTTCAAATGAAGAGTCTTACGCGAGATGAAGGGCTGGAAATCGACAAGAAGGATAAATCAACGGGTCTAACTCCTTTGCATATTGCTGCAAGATCAGGTAATGTCGAGATTATGCAGCATCTATTAGAGCGAGGCGCAGATCCCAATGTCAAAGACCTGCAGGGGAAAACTACGCTGCATCATTCTGTGAGACGAGGAGGATCTCAGTGTCTAGCCTTACTCTTGCGGCAAGACATTGACCTTGATTCAAGAGATTACGAAGGGTCTTCTGTGTGGCACCACGCCACAGCTGAGGACAATGCAGAAGCCCTAGACTTTCTTTGGAATTCCTCTTCTTCCAGGTCGGGCCCGAACAGAAGTGTAGACAGAATAAGCTCTCTCACTCATAATCTGAAAACGCATTGCGGCCTATCACCTTTACACACTGCTGTGGAGAGTGGCGCAATGGACGCGGCTCGATGCTTGTTACATTACGGATTTAATGTGAAAGCAGCCACAGATGATGGATCAACGATACTCCATTATCTCGCGAGCGGCAACGAGGATCTAATTGACTATGGTATTGTCGATATCCTTCTAGCTAAGGGTGCAGACCCTTGTCAAGCGCGCCTAGACGGTGAAACAACAATTCATCTCATGGTGGCTAGCGATAGATGGCCAAGCAAAAAAAAGATTGGCTTGATGAACCTACTTCTTAGCTCCGCAGCGACTGTAAATCAATCGAACTCGCAAGGTCTGACTGCACTGCATCATACCTGCTCCTTTCAGCCTTTGGACATGCAATACAATGAAGAATACAGGATTGCAGTGTTGGACATACTTCTACATAAGGGTGCAGATCTAAGTCTTGTGAATTACAGTGGTGATACCGCCTTTCAAGTCTTGGTGAATTCCTGGGAAGCAGCTTGTTTGACACCAAACGAAAATGAACATGACAAGGAAAGGATACCCCAAACATGTGCTAGTATGTCTAGCCGAATTCTCGATTCTGTTCCATTGGAAGACTCGCAGACTAACACTTTCTTTCCACGGCATTTACTCTTCCTGTCGCTATGGTATGGCTTTGAGAAGCTAGCCACCCGGATCATCACACATCTCTCCGATCTCAATGCAGATTCTCTTAAGGTGTCTGGCATAACACCCCTTCAAGCCGCTTGTCTCAAAGGCTGCTCTTTGACTCTTCTGAGGCAATTCCTTCAGAAATCGAGCACCGAAGAGGGCACAGCGTTTCAGACCATGGACTTGGTTCACTTCGCCTGCAGAAACATTGGGCTCACCGGGCCTGCAATAGTGGCTGAACTTCTCAGCATGGGCTTTGATGCCAATGCTGCTTCCCACATATACTCAGGGTCGGGCAAAACACCCTTGATGGAAGCAGTAGCAGTGGGAAATTTAGCTGTTGTAAAAGTCCTTCTTTCCCATGGTGCGACCGGATCAAGGCAAAATGTATTTGGTGCAACCATGCTACATTATGCAAGAGAGACATCTCTTGTCGAATATCTCATCCAGAATGGCCACGTTGCTGACATTGACGCCATTGACTACGGTGGACGAACCTTGTTACATCTTGCAGCTATAGAAGGAGCTTCCGGTCTGGTGACTGTCCTACTTAGAACAGGAGCAGCCATAAATATACAGGACAATCAGGGGAAAACGCCTCTTCACTTTGCCGCAGCTTGCGGTCACTTAGAGGTTGTCACGATCTTGTTGAACCATGGTTGTGCCCTTAAAGTCGTAGATCAATCGAGACTAACGCCGGCGCTCAGTGCACAAAGTCACGGCCACTTTAGCGTCGTAGCAGCGATAGATCATGCTAGCAATCATAGAGCACAGCCCTCAAATGATCCTGAAGAGCGAGTATACACACCTTTAGAAATAATGACTAGCGCAGGGTTTCCGTCAGAAGGCTTGAGACTGGCAATTGACAAAGGCGACTTAGATCTTTGTCATCAGCTTGTTGAGCTAGGGGAGAATCTGAACTCTTGTTTTCGGGCAGTTCCAGCCTGTAACCCTCTTGACTATTCGTTAAATCGAGCACGACCGACGATCGCACGGTATTTTGTCGAGCAAGGTGTCTCAATCGGCGGAAAATCTCGCTCTTCCTGGCCTACCGTCGGCTTCACATGTTTCCATCATGCAGCAGCACATGGCTATTTTGATGTTCTGCAGGAACTTCTCAAGCGCTCAACAAACACACCACCTCATCGATTGAGCCCAGACCCAGCTCACCTTGCATTAATTAATGGACATAATCAATGCGCTAGGATTCTCATCGAACATGCTAAGAAGTGTATGTTCCTACATTCCTAGCTATCTTTCCTGCTCTGACATCATGTGTAGTTGACGACTTCGAGCCCAATCAGCATATGGACAAAACAAGTATTAATCAGCTAGGAGGTCTCTATCCAAGAATGTCAAATTATTGGTTGACAAGCCCAACTCTATTGCACACCGCCGCGGAATATGGTAATATCGAAACCCTAGATATGCTCCTGCGCTTTGGCGCCGACCCTAATTGTGTAAATAAACATCAACAGACGCCATTACATCTCGCGACAAAATTCGGTCATGTGAATACAATGAGGCGGCTTTTGCAAGCAGGAGCGAATCCATACGCATTGGATATGTACCTTGGGACCCCATGCTTCTACGCTACATCGAAAGATGCATTCGAAATCTTGGTTACTGTAGGTGTGGATCTAGAAGCGCGAGACTTGTTTCGGCGCAATATCTTACATAAAGCGGTGATACAAAAGAGCTGGACTTCTGTACTTCTCTTCCTAACAGGAATACCAATTATCAAGCTGGAACTAGAGAAGGAGGACACGGACGGGCTTTCAATTTTTGGTACGATCATGTTCCAAGCGCCTTCGCGGATCACGACATTTCTTCTACATGCCGAACTCGACGCCAAAGTTTACTGTCCTCGAAACGAAAACGTTCTGGTGCAAGCACTGAGAAACGATAATTTCTCACCAAAAAAATACAAAATGCTACTACGGAGAATTCCACCAGCAATCCTGCCTACGCTCCTAATGCACCGGCCGCGCTTCGGTGGAAGCCCCCTCTACGCTGCATCAACTATCGCCCCTTCTGATTCACAGATTGAGTACCTAAAGATCTTGCTGGACGCAGGAGCGGCAACTGAGCATGAGGGCGGCGACCATGGAACCGCTTTGATGGGCGCTTGTGCAACTGGACGGCTTGCTGTTGTCAAATTTCTCGTAGAAAAAGGGGCAAAGATATGCTATACAAAGGACGGGAAAGTGACTAGCGGACTTCTTGCTGCGAAACACTTTCCTGAGATTAGGCGATGGTTGCTTGTTGGGAGATTCATGGAGGGACCGAAGTTATTGGAGATATGGTAAGGTGCGAGACACAGTGCTTTTTGAAGACAGTCTTTGTTACTGCTGATTGAGATCGATCGGGGGGAGATGTTATATTATGCCAATATTGGGCTACCCAAACCACTTCATTAGCGTTTTGAAGCATGCTCGGCGCCCTCCTCTCTGATAGGCTATGTACTTATTCAACTTGCCTAAACTGACATCGAGATAGAACAGTGCGCCTACTCAATGCAAAACATGATAGCTCCTTCCACTCTGTTCACTTTGTAACCTTCTATTGTAACAACGTTCTAAGATCGAAGATAAAAGTTCAACCGAGTTTTCATTGCCTCCGATTCAACTATGATTAGCGAGAGGCTCTTTCGGGAAATCACAATTGGAACTTGAAAGGGTTCGAGGTCGATTTGAAGCAAGGCTACCTGCTGCATGAAGAGCCCCATCTGAGCTCCATTTAGCTCTATATGTCATTGCTATCGTGCGCTACTCAGGGTTTAAAATATCTTCATGGCTTTTTCATACCTTTCTCCATGAATAGCGTGATACGGGTCTCCTGGGAGGGGGGACAAGGTCTCTAACAAGCGAACAAGGGTCATGATATATGAAACGTAAATAATTGCCCTCGCTGTGGGCGCCAGAAGCCTTTCCTTGACATCAGGGGACATACATGACTGAATGCGTGAGAGAATCGAGAGGGTTTATCGGCGTGAATCCAGAACGAGGGTTGGTTTGACGGAACATGGCCACGCCAACTTTTAGGCGGAGAATAGGGGGAAACGACGGCCTAACGTGGCTGCCTATAGGGGGCTCTCCGGGGGGGCTAGCCCCGCTAAAGTTAGCTAGCAGTGGAATTGGCGGGGCCATGGTCCGTCAAACCAACCCTCTGGTGGTCCGTCTATGCCCATTCAGCAGCTGTTGCTTTCCTGCTCAAGCCTCCTTAACAGTGCTCTGTTCTGTCAACGGACATCTGGAGAGCTTCTACTGGATATATTTGAATGACAAAGTTGAGGGCACCGTCAGGGTAGACATGACCTGGACAACTGACGGCAGCGGAATATTGAGCTCAAGGCTTGACGAAGTCGAGCTCAATGGCGTCCGCTATCTACTTGAGCCGGTCAAATCAGTCGTGACATTTGGAGCTCTACTTGAGTCGATTAAATCAGCCATGCCGGTTCCAGGTCAGGACTCGATCGACATTCCGACCTTAAGTACGATCTTTGACGTGGGCGAACAAGAGGCCTCAATCGACATTGCATGGGCCGAGCGACATCTTAAAGAGCTCGAAATGGACGACGTTTTCCAGAAAGAGTTTCTCTCTACCGTCATACTAAACCGCAAACCAAAGAACATACCCTCCGAAATCGTACAGTTTCTTCAGGAACATGGAATGAGAATTTTGCACGTTCTGCCGGAAAGCAAGCCAAATATCTCAGCACCAGACCCAGGTCCATACATCTTGACGACTACGGGCTTGTCGAGGCCATTTAGACTTTATCCCGACACTCACGAGGCGTTTTTTATGGCTAGGAAGTGAGTACAGTACAACACTAGGTCAAGCAGAGTATTCTTATTGAGATATACAACAGGCAGCTCCTGGACACGGGCGCGTCAGGAGATAATTTTGCTCGCACGATAGATATTGCTGTGCCGTCGAGGGTCGGCCTCAAGCCTTCTCACAGACAGCCCCTCACGGGAGTCCGTGTCGCGGTGAAAGACAACTTCGACCTCAAAGACACGCGAACCTCATTATGTAGTCGGGCCTACCTGCAGACATAGCCTCCAAAGGCAGAATCCGCACCATGTATTAGACGTTTAGAAGAGTTGGGCGCTGAAATAGTAGGTAAAACGAAGCTATGCGCCTTCGCTCAGTGGGAAGAGCCCACTGAAGCAATCGAATATACATCCCCGTGGAGTCCGCGAGCTGATGGATTTCAATCATCGGGTGGTAGTAGCAATGGGAGTGGTGCTGCCATAGCGGCATACTCTTGGTTGGACATTGCAGTAGGGTCAGATAGTGGGTGCAACGTCCACGCTGATCTGCATTCATTAACACTTAACAGCGACTGGAAGTATCCTGCGACCTGCGCTATGGAATGGCTGCTTCTCTTTGCGACCCACATTTGGTCTCTTGTCTACAGTGGGATTTGTGAATTGCATCAAGTACCCAGCGGCTCTTCAGGATTAGACTTGTGCTTATTGCTCTAGGTACCTCGATACGCCTGGTGTGATGGGACGCGATTTGCAGAAATGCCGGGACTTTGCTGCTGCTTGGTACGAAGACTATATCCATGACCCGATTGATAAAGTAAGTTATGAGCTTTCGAGGTCTGGACAAAAGTTTCACTGAATAGTCTTACAGTTTACCTCTATCTTGTGGCCCAAGGACTACTGGGCCTTGGTACACCCTGAGCAGCGTCAGCTGGCCGAAAAATTCATGGTCACGATGACCACTCGCCTGGACGTAAAGCGATCCGAGTTCTCTTTGCAGGAAGAATGGAAGAAGAGCCCTCCTCCAGAGGCAGGGGGAAGCTCACTCGACGATTATATGCTTAAGGTAAGGCAAACCACATTGTTCAAATATGCCGACCAATAATATTTAGGCAACACAAGACATGTGGTACGATGACTACCATGCTTTTGACGAATTCAGGGAGAGATACTGGGCCGAGAACGAAAGAGCCCCATATATCACACCTCCTACGCGCTCTTCATGGGAATCATGTGCATCCATACAAAAAGCCGACAGAGACGAAGCTGCAAACAAGGTAGACATTTTCCGCAAATGGTTTCGCCAAGTGTTTTTCACACACGAGAAACCGCTTTTCATAATGCCCCTTGAAAATGTGGGACCACGATACAGGGACGACCCTCCGCAGTAAGCTCGGAGACATCAGCAGATATTATTCATGCTAACACTATCGAAGCTTTCAAAGACCTCCTACTGGTGTTCACACTTTGCTCCTCGCTTCACTCGCGGGCTCACCAGAAATTGCAGTCCCAAGTTTGTCGCCCGCCCGATTATCCTCTGCTTTCATCATGCTGACTGACCATCAGTTGCAAATGTCCCATATCGATCCAAGATCACTGGAAGGGAAGAACATCTACCATTTGTTATAGGCATCATGGGCGTACCAGGTAATGCGACTGGTTTCTTCCTTCAGTGTCTGCTGACAGAACTGCTAGGGAGCGACCTGGTTCTAATGGACACCTTGTTGGACTGTTTGAGATCGGCTGGTAAACCAACATCGGTTCTACCGGGCAGTGACATGTTTGCGCAGCAATAGCTTGAAGGAAGGCCCCGCTGGACCTTGGCTTACGAAGCAAGACCGGGAATCTAGGAAAACCTGGACCAGATTTTATCCAATCGTGCAGCATAGGCATCAAATCTCGCTCATACCTAAGGCTACGTTTGCTGTAGACCGAGATTACGCACATGCAACCTGTCTTCAAAGTGCGTCATTACTGCCAGAGCATTACAGCGAATTTGCAGACATGGCGCTCTTGCAGCAGGACCCATTCTATGCAATAAACGAGCTGTTCCAATTTGCTGCAAATGCTGAGAACATTTTTCCTTGCGATGTTGGCTGAGTCGAAAGAAGCCAAGGTGCAAGCAGAAGGATTCAGGAAATTGACTCATATAGCCTTCTTGTACATCCCTCCTTCCTTTACCACATGATTCTTCCGCAAGAATTTTCGACAGCCTGGCCAAGATACTCTTTCGGTATTGATATGGTTCGTCGTCGCATCCCCGATCCTTACGTGCTCGATTTTGTTATTATTTTGGGATTATCAACACTTCTATGCAACTGTGACAGAGCTTTCAAGACGCTTCATTAGCGTCTTCTACTGATCGTGAAGACTAGAAAAATTTTTGTAGCTCGTGGGAGTACTGACGTACTGGCGTGTGAGGATGATAGGTCGAAATTTGCCGTGGAACTTACTCGAGTAGGACCTCGTGTCTTTTGGGAGATCAATTATGTTGAAGAAGACATCTACGGTGATTGTTTCTGATGGGGAGTCATTTTGGGATAGAGTCATACAGAATGGTACTGTGGCTCGCAGTGAGATAAATCGATCCATATATGCTAGATATCTGAACAGCGATCAGACCGCCTTTAAGAAGAAGATGAACAGGTATACATTTCAGACAGACTTCTAGAAGTAACCGAAACGTTAGCCCAATTTCACCAAAACGTTTCCTGAAAAAGGGTAGTAATAATACAAGTTTTGAATCCCATTTCATCCAATTTCAACCCCGAAAGGTGGCGTAGTAATACACGCTCTGAATAATAGATCGCCAAAAGGTTTATCTCAAGAAGCGAAGTATTGATCTGAGACCCAAAGACGACATCCCAAAAGTTTTGTGTCCAAAGAAGAATACTAGTCTCGGTCCTCGATATCATGAATTTAAATTCTCATTCCCCAGTGTCCTTCATCATACCCGCTTCCAATACCATAGAATCCACCAGAAACTTCTCCTGACCGTGATCTCAGTTCATGCATTTTCCTCCAAAGACCGCAGTATATCATCGACAGACTGCATCATATCCAGATCTCGATTCGCGTTCTCATCGTTCTCTGGCTCTTCGGACTCTTCATGATCATCAAGCATGCTACGCTTCCTCTCGTGCGGTTCCAACATGTCTGCCACTGATGCACCAGCTTGAACATTCTCCCGAGCATTCCCCAGTGGGGGAGGATCAGGTAGGTTCGGCCTTACGTTAGAGCTCAGGAGCCTGACACGCTTTTTGGGATGTACAACCTATGCTTTTTGCTCATTTACCCCCCCAATCCGATTACCGCATGGCAACCAGTCACGACACTTACCCACCTCTGCCTGAGCAGTACTTTTCTACTCTCAATAGATGTTTTGCGTCGTGCTTATCATTTGACGCTAATATTCGCCCCACGGCGCTGCGCCTTTTCCAACAAGCTCAACAACATGTTGAATATCCTCAGCATGGCGCAGCGAAGGCCTCAATATCTCTAAGCGGCTCACCTGCAATGTTCTCGAAGCTTACAAATAGTAATAAAAGTGGTTCACAGGATATGCATGATATGAGGGTGATAGTCTCCCTGTCTCCGAACGGCCTACATGTAAAATTACAGAGGCTCAAAAGTGTCAAAGATGAAAATTTTCAGAGTGGTGATCTAGAAGCGCAAGTTAACATGAAGGGCGGAATCTCAGCGTCTAGGTTGATAGAGCAACACAGAGTGGGTTGAAAATAGCATTCTGCCATCATGAACGACCTTTCCAGAAATACTTCACCAACAAGTTCTAAAGCCTCCATTCACGAAGATATCGGTCTCAAGGTCCGAGACTCTCAGCCGACCGGAGATCCAAAACACAAGGCCACCCCTAAATCGTCAAACTCCAGTGGCTCAACTAAGCGTACAGTGGCACAGCCACTTAATCAACGACTTTCATTGACGACTTAAGATATGTTCCTAGTCACTCCAATTGATAGCGTTATGGGTCTTGTAGACAGTGGAGCAAGGGAGCACGATACCTCAGAATTCTTCCTAGACTTTACTCCTACTACTTCAGCTCCAAAGTTACGACTCTCGGCCCCTTACGAGCCTGTATATATTTCCTTGTAGTTGAAGGATCTTTTCATCTTTGGTTTTATTGCCCTCTATCAGAATTGCTGCCATCGGGGGCTGACTGTTACGCTGGCAGTGAGGGCAACTGTGGTGTGGAGTTTGCTTCGAAGTATCGGCAGAATGAGCTGCTTTTGGCCGCAAGCCTCTAACGGCGTCGAGGTAGAGCACAAAGTAAAAGTTGTGGATACCTCTGACTCATAGAGCGTTATGCCAAGAGAACATAGACATAAAAGGAAGTTTTTCTCATCTGTCTTGGTTTCTTTCCTTCTTCTCTTCAGGCATCTCGTTGTAGCTCTGCCGACCTTGTTCGAAAGCTTTTACAACTGACACCGATATTCAATTGACCAAAAGCCTTCAAGCAATAAATCACAATAATTCACACTAATAGCGAAATCCCTAAAGCCCTTCACTAACACAACTCAAACCCTTTCATTCACCCTAACTTTATTATAGCATTATTAACATCTATCGATCCTGCAATCCATCACTTTCAGGGCCCCAACATTTCACCAGACACTGATCAGTGTCGCCAACGGTTTGGGCAAACCAACTAGTTGGTTTGACAAACAGTTGGTCCAATTCAAGGGTCAAATCAACTACTGACGGTCCGGTTTGAGGTCGTAAACCAACTGCTTTAACTAATAGTTAATATATTAAGCAATTTTTGAGATTGCTCACCAGGAGATAAGATCTTGCCAAGACCCCCTTTCAACAGCAAAGTGAAGTTCAACCGCTAGCGATCCAGTTTGGCCTTCAAATCAACTGCTAAACTACTGCTTTTGCCACTGACAGTCCAGTAGCTTCAAAAATGGGACCGTTCAAACCGTTGGCGACACTGACACTGACCCTAATCACGATGATCTAACGCTTGGTGGACTCGTAGGGCGTACTTTTAATTCTCGGTGTCCTCCAGATAACCAGCCGAGTACCCGTATACCCGCAATTTGCGGCATCACAGGCGATATTTGCCCCGAGTCAGTAGAATCTTCGAGTGAGATGACGATCCCAAAAAGAAACAGACGAAGGCCAGGCTCGATAATTAAGATTCGGCTCAGCAAAGGCAGAGACCTCATGCCCACATCACGGCATCAGCCAAGGAAAGAAGCAAGGACAGGACCTAGCGTCACCTAAATACGATGGATGGTTTATATCTGACTGTACAGCACTGACAAACTTCAAATAACGTCAGTTAGCTCTCAGGAAAGCCAGCATCTCAGTCAATCCAGCAAAGATTGACATGGACGCCAGCCTGGGTCAGATACCACCGACGATTTCCCCGGACACTATGATTGTGAGAAAAGCCTCAATTGCCGTCAAGCATGCAGTATCATCAAAGATTTGTGCATGGCATACTTGGAGAGTCACCCCAGTCCATCAAATAGAGCAACCGATAGCTTAGCCTGGTTCCGGGCTACGAAATTCATCAAAGGAGGAGGTCTCAGCGAGAAATGCGTCAAGGCGCTCCATCGTACGATGCGGTATCGGATTGAAAAAATGCATCTTGCGACGAGAATCAAAGACCTCCTTGGGCTAGATTTCCCTGCTTATCACGAGTACAACGTCGATGCCTGGGAGCCGAACTTGGCTGAGTCCTCTGAATGTGGAAAGTGGGATCTAGACACTCATCCAAAGATTCAATTATTCGACAAATTTTACGACCATATCTTTAGGTCGGACATGTTCCCTCCCAAGCCCACCAAGGAGATATTCGGTTATCTGAAGCCAGAGCGATATCTAACGATTGCATTCGTCGAGAACTCAGTGAACATTGAGGAGGCAAGTCGCATGATAGAAAAAGCTGGCAATACGAAGGACCGGTGCGTCGGTGGCCTCACTGAACGCATCAAAAACATCGAAACGGTTCGTCAGGTGGCAGAATCTGCCTTTGAGACCGTGGGCAAACGACTCCGTTCTCGTTCCCCTCAGAAACGCCAGCCTAATCCACACTTTGGCGAGTTGAGCCTGACTAGTTGAGATGGGAGAGGAGGAAGGTGATATGCTACGGCACAACAGTATCAATTAGTATAGCATCAATTAGTATAGCATCAATTAACATAGCATCAATTAACATAGCATCAATTAACATAGCATCAATTAACATAGCATCAATTAACATAGCATCAATTAATGAAACATACATGGTTCTCAATTCTCCCTATCTACCTCTTCGACCCTATAACGCAATGGAAATCCCCCTCGTTCGTGCCTTCATCTCATGCGTTCTCCGGCCAAAACGACCATACGTCCACAGGCGGCTGATTGGGCCCCGTTTCCGCGTTTTCATCACTCCAGTATTCACTTGAATCTTCAAAATCATATATGCTCGTCCCACGGCGTCGTTTGTTGTTGTGTAGCTCGGACATGATCGCCATTGGTGCGCTCGTCTGGATAGCCTTTCTTGGGTTGCCCCTCGCGCGAGACGCAGGGGATCGTTCATGAGGATGGATATCTGGTGTAATCAAGCGCTTTGATGGGGCTTTCTTGGGCAGTGGGCTTGAGTAAGGCGTGTGGTCCGCCCCATGGTGGTTTAGGTCGGAATGTCGGGTGCGTTTATGTGTGAGGTCCTTCATGTGCTTCTGTTTCCTTTTAAGGTTGGTGGACTGATTCACATCTATCTGCGGTTGATCGCGTCGACCTGAAATGTCATTGTATATATAGTTTGCGGTTGCACTGTTGTTGGTAGGAGGCCGATTTGCGACTTGGTCTGATGCACAGCCGGATGGAGGTTGTGTGCTCGCGCTCTCTTGCTCTTGCCAATCAAAGCAGATGTCGGGTTCCAGTCGCGCTGCCATGACCTTAGCCCCATTGCTCTCTTCCCAATTCTCATTACATTCGCCACAGCCATTCTTTGGTATAATGAACTCGTACTCCATGACAGAGTGATCGTACTTCATCCTCATTGTATAATCAAATAGATGCCACTTCTTCTTGCCCCGTGATATCACTTGAAAGTCCTTTCTGTCCTTTGTCGAAAGAACAATCTCCACATATCCAATCTGGCGTATACCTAGTTTACGTCGTTAGTCAGCAAGAAACTCGAGAACACTAAGCTGGGCGTCTCGCTTACCGCTTTTGGGACTTGACAATGGGACGTGATCTTTGGTCTGAGTCTTAGATTGATAGAGATTCTGCCTCAATCTTTGCAGACCGGTAATCGGGACTGCATGCCACGCCCCCTTAGGCATGAATCTTTCTTCACCTGAAGGAATGTGCTCGCCCTGAAGGGATAAGCGTCGATCAAGATAGAAGTTGATTTCAAATACCCTTCGGAAGATCCAAGTTATACAGTCTCTCACCACGTACTTTTGATCAAACTTGTCTCGGTGAAGCTTCACGTCGCTTCCATGGGTATCTTTTTCGTACTCCTCATCCCAGACAACTCCAAAGCTACGCGATACGGAAGTAGTCTTGATGGCATCGCGTCGTAGGTAACGTATGAGGGATCCGTCAGCTACAAGAGTGGCACTAAACGCAATCAGAAAGCTCTTATGCTCATCATGCGCCGCACGTACGAATTATCATGGCGTGGCAACATCGTCAAGGATTTGAAATGATCCTGTATCCTTTTTCGGATATAACCATTTGAACTGGCGCCTCCAACGAAGAAAAGGTTCTGTTCTAAGCTCAGCACATACTTCTCATCTTGATCGAATGGGCATACTCTCAATTTCAATCCAAGCTTCCCTTGGACTGAATCAAATTCTGAGACTTGCGCTTGGATGAGCTCTAGAATTGGTGTGATCATCGGAGAGAAGACTCTCTCCCTGATAGCTTCTCTTCGAAACTCAGCAAACATTACAAGCGATGAGGCCTGCTCACCTTGAGATTTCGAAGTAAGGACAACATAGCCCAAAATCGGGGTCGTAGGTATCTATACCAAGCATTTCAATTTGGAAAACCCCTTCTCCTTCGAAATCTTTGTCAATGGACTCTTTGGCCAATTCGAATTGCTGCTCCACGTAGACTCTCAACTTAGCCTTGATTCTTCTTTCAAGAACTCTGTATTCTTCTTTGGGAGGTGCTTTCTTATGAGAAAGTCTCCTGATTTCTTTCTTCGTCCATTCCTCGATGATGTCTTTCATCTTGTGACCAACTGTCTCTTCGAACACATCATAAAATCTTGAGTTCAGTAGGCAAGAGCCATGCAGACCACCTGTGGTGGGTATTTAGCGGCAACGAGGTAGAGGGAAAAGTTGATCATCTACCGTCGGATGGACATGACTGAACCAAGGAACGGTCTTCAATCGTATATGTTACCACATTCTATGATGTAAGCCAAGGTGTGATAGATTTGTGTCCAAAAACCTACGGCGGTTCCACCACCAACGTCCACGATAATGAATGAAGCCTCGCAGTCCGCGAGCGAAGCCGGTGCATGATCAAATAGGCGACTTCTGTCGAAGCGGGAATAGAGTGCTGCAGCATCAGGTTCGTAAACAGGCGGTCTTACATTACGAAATCCTGCCTTCTCAGCCAGCATTTTCATCTTATGGGCTAAGCTCAGGTCCCAAGCTGCCGGAATGGCTATGACAGTCTCCACTTGGAGTTTGTCAAGAGATATATGGTCAGCCAGCTTAGTCGTAATTTCTGCGTAGAAAAGGCTGAGAAACTTTACTACCAAGGCATCTATAGACATGATTCCGGCCTCTGCAGGTAATGCATCCACTTGATCTTGAATGCGATTCCTGATTTTCTCAGTATGCTTGCAGGGGTCAAGTGCCAATTTGACATGAGTTATTCGATCCTCTTCTCGAAGATTTCGTTTCCCGATCTGTGAGTCGATGCGGTTGCCCAAGATCCATTTCTGGAGAGACTGACTCCACGCAAACTCTGTCTTCATGTATCGATCTGTCTGGCCATGAAAGAAAACGTTATGTATACCCTTGATGTCAAAGTCATCTTTCAGCAGACATGCACTCGATTCGGGCCGGTAATATGTCCAGGACGCACTGCAATTTGCTGTTCCGAAGTCTATAGCAATGGCAAGTCTTGTCTGAGCCGAGAACACATCAGACATTTTCGAGGGCTGCTAGCAGAGAAGGCCGACAAAGACTGTAATCAAGGTCTATGATGACAAGACACCAGAATGAACTTCGTGGATAGTAGGTAGATTTTAGAGCGCCACCCGGCTTTCCTCTCCCCAAACGCGGGCGCGCCAGTCGCGACACGACCTATTATTACGACTTATACAGTCGTGTTTATTTGGTGTGTGGAAATGAGGGATCGACAGCAATTTGTGATCCCTGTTGGTCTACCCTCCATCATTGATTACAATTTATTTCACGCTTGCGTTTCATTACGCAAGTCAAGTCGCCCTAGTCGCTCTTATTCTCAAGATTTGCAGATTCTCTCCTCCCAGACTTGCTTCCTGGACATGGACGATAATTCTTCTTGGCCTCGCCTAGTGAAGACGAGAATCATCACGCAAAGATGGCGCCACTTATCCCCAAAGATGCAGTCAAAACGATGTTAGATCACCTCGAGAAGAACAAAGGCAGGGCTGGTCCTTACATGCTGGACAGAAATGGAGCTTACCAAGAATTGTTCGCGGTGGTCAAGGCGACTCACCCTAAGCTAGCAATTACCCCGACGAACATCAGGAGTAAATTCAACAGGCTAGCGTCCAAAAAGTATATCCGCCATTATAAACAAAGTTTTATTGTGGAACTATTTGAGAACGGCATCACCGTGCTGCCGCAATGGTATTTGGATTCCATACACTCTGACTTCCAGGGTAAAGGCTACAAGCGGAGTTTCGAAGGAACCTCTGAGGAAGACGCTGAGATGGCTCCACGCGCAACTAGACCAGCACACGAACATCCTCCTAGAAAGGTCAGAAAGACCCTTTGGAAGTGTAATCCCAGCGAAGAGACCTCGGAGAGCCCACGAAAACCCCAAAAGTAGGTAAAGCTCCCAAAGACGTGAGAGTTCAATCTTCGATCGAGAACTCTTAGTCCTTATACTGATACTCAGTCTTAGCGACGCCCAGATACAAGCTTCTGAGGTACGCCCGAAGGTCATCGTACCGACTCGTCGGACCCCAGAGGCCCCACCAATCGAGCCGTTATCAGACCTTTCATCGCCCACTTCGGACCACGAGCTTAACATTCATCAACAATCGGTGCTACAGCCAGGCATTCCCACCCTCATTTCTCGCACTAAGTATCAAGAACGCTATGCAGAAATTGACAACTATCTTGCAGAAGACCGTGGGGCTTTCAGTTGTAGCGTCCAGGAGCTGTCGAGCCTTCAATCTGACATTCTGCGATATGTGGATCTGGGCATTAAACACCTCTTTCAAGAAGGCCGTGACTGGCAAAAATCTTGCCATTTGGCGGATTCTAGACATTTATTTGCTCCAAAGCTCAGTGGAGCACTGTCAGACAATGACTTCCACGATATTTGCGAGAAAGTATTCTGCTCAGAAACGATCTTTGACTTGTACGATTCAGCATTGTCGAATGCTTTCTCCATTGAGGATCTGCTAAGAGCTATCAAGATAGCCGCCATACATCATTGGGTGCTAGGGAGTGGACGGATCCACGATGCAATTACAAGCCGAATGCACCACAGATCGAAATTTGGCCAGGACGTAGTGGAGGAACTTGACAAAGGTAAGCTGACAGTAGCAAAAATGACAGTCTGAGCTGACTTCTGGCCTTTGCTAGTCTTTCCTGAGCTTTATAGACAAATTCTGTTCAAGTGTAGACATAAATTTCTCAGAGAGTCATTTGATGAAGTCGATACATGCAAAAAATTGACCAACAAGCTGCACGATGCACTGTCTGTCTTCTTACAGGCCAACGGCTTCTCCCAAGCAGGACCCAAATGCCAGCGGTGGAAATTAAGCATGCGGTCAGCCTTTGAGAAAGCCTTCGAACTCAAAAGGCTGGTCCTCCTCAGGGATCGCAGGGAAACTTTTCTCTTACCAAGACATGGCGATGACTTCGATCATACCTATATGAGCAGTCATGGAGCGTCGGAAATAACCAAAAGAAGCAAAGTGCAACGGGCTGTATTTCCTGCTTTGCTAAACCATCCCGATACTCAGAAACACGAAGAATCGACTGACTGTCCGGTGTTGCGTGGAATCGTTGTCCTCCAATGGAGATATCCACATAGCTACCAAAAAGAGATTTGATTCGCCGTTGCAGACTGCCTGAAAGCTCCGTATGGGTTTATTCGCTGACTTGGGGACCCGGTGAATCGACCGAGGCACTGGTGGTTGAGGGAGGTGTAATTTTGACCACATAGCTCAATACAGTACATTGGTAGCGTAAAATCTGGCGAGGTGGCTCCGCGACTCTGCAGATCGATTTCGAGGAGCTAGGTGAGCAGGCTAGGCGGTGAGTGGGTCCCTTGACAGGGGGGCTGTCGCTGACTTGCTACCAGCCCCCTTCCCTTGACCGCCTGTCAACGTCGATCGTTGCAGGGCGAAGGTTAGATCCTGGCGGACTCACGGAGCAGAGACTGGCTGCCGAGAGCCGGAGCTAGGATGTACGTCCAAAAGTAGAAGTGGCATGTTGGTGTGCTGGCAATACGCGTTTCAAGCACTTCCATACCATCTCTCGATGGAAACTGGAAAGGTGCTTGGAAGGTGCTCACTCACGGTTCACGCGAGGCTGAAGGATCTCGATCCCTGCACAAGGCGCATGAGCCCATGCCGGAACGACTGCCCGTTAAATGAAGAGCTCGCGTTTGAAATTAGGGCCCCTCTTTGCAGTACAGATGTGTGTCTCATGAGCGGTTGCGGCTTTGCACTAGAATCCAGTTCTGAGCGTATCGTGTGCCACCGCAATAACGCTCCCAGTTCTGTGCCCCTAAGGTCTTGCGCAAGCCGGCATAGAGGACATAATACAGTACCAAACAGGAAATCCACACAGATAGTGGCATAATGAGAACCAGAAGAACATATCAATATGTCTACGTGTCAATAAATATATGAGGACAAACAAATCAGCGGCGACTCTTTTCGAATATGCAGTAGGAGCTCAAAGCTGCATGTTGAGGACTTTTAAAATTGCTCGGCGTCCGGGTCCGGCGTTGCATGTTGAGATAGATAACATATGGATTCATCACATAGCCTCGCTCGGTAAATTATCCGTCACGCATCTACCTTGTCGGTTTTGTAAGATCAACTAAAAGATATGCAGCGCTTATGTTTAATGCATAATTTAATGCTTGACGGTGCCAAGACTTGAGTAAAGCAGCGTCATGGCCTCTCATATTTACATCTGGAGCCAGATGTGACAGATTCTACGGTCATGTCATTGAGCATGTCTTCCTATTCCACACCAAGCTCAGACCCCGACACGGGCTTCGAGTCCTCACCAGATCCTTACGATGCTGAGGCCTCTACTACTTCCAGCTCATACGCCCGATTACCTCCTCATATACAGGCCATGAAGCTACCCAGACCGTTCTTACCCTTTTCAAGAGACGAGAATGAGCAAGTCTTTGAACGAAGCATTCTCGATCGCTTCAATGCCCTTGAGCAGAAATTGAATCGTCGACTCACCTCAGAAGAGCTGTCGGGATCCGCATCATGTACAGCGAATGGAGTAAGAGTGGCTTCACTTGGCCTTCCAGTGACTTATGCCTTCGCGGGGTGGCGCACATATGCGACTCGAGAGGGTATGAAACTCCCACTCTACGGCAATCTAAGACCGGCCGAAGGAGCTCCGCGAAATAAGATAGCAAATTGGGATGGGCAACACCTGTCGATTGGACCAAGAGAATATCTTAGGCGCATGAGTCCAAATATAAAGACTATACTTCTTCACGCGATTAGAGGCACCAACTATCTCGCCTTCTCCTGGTTTGCCTTTGTGCCATTCTTTGCGATCTACGGCGCCGTTGTTGCGGCCACAGCAGAGCAGTCAGATTCGAGGCTACAGCAAGTGAGAAAAGAGTCGGATGAGATCCGTCGCACTACACAGGGTGACACTTTAAATAGACAAGAGGACCAGCCCCGATCAAGAGGGCAAAAGTTACCGAAGCGGCAAGAGGGAGCAAGGACTCGGAAGGATCCTACGGGACAAGGCGACCGTGAGGCGGGTGATCTATGGGCAAGACACAGAGAAACCATTTCTCGGACAGAAAAATCGTCGCGAGATTTCGACGACGCAAGTCCAACTGGCGGGATGGGTATGTTCGAATTTGAAGAAGGCTCAGCAATAGATTATGGCACAGATGTTGGAAGCGGAGGCCAAGACCGGAGCGAAAGGTCGCAGGGTCGGACTGATACCATGCAGACAAACCAACGGGAACCTCAGAGGCAGCAAGCACAACCTCGAGCGCCAAGATCCAAGCCACGAGAGAGGGTGGATGCCGAACCTGAATTCGACGCTGGTGCTTCTGGTGAAAGTACGAACGCGTGGGATAGACTACGGAACAGTGCTATGAATGGTCAAGTTCCAAATCGGACAGGGAAAAGATCTGGACAAGCACAGCAAGAAGTTGAAGGCTCTTACTCGGGCGCTGAAGAAGAGAAAAGCTACGCAAGGGGTGAAGCCCAAAGGGAGTTTGACAAGCGACTGGAAAGAGAAAGAGAGGGAGGGGACTTTTATGATCGCGGTAGTGGTGGACGATAGTCATTCTCAATATCATACCACTGCCTTGTGAGTATTTCGATGCCTTGCAGTGGATGCTTGTCCCCGGCGAAAGTCGAGTATGTACATAAACGCTTCGGCCTCGCGAATAGATGCTGCTGAGCTTTACGAGCCAAGATGAGACAACGAAGCCATTTGATGCCTCACCTCTTACTCGACCCAATTCTGATGGTTCAAGCCGCGTTCATACCCGGCACAAGACTGACTCTACCTTGTCTGTTCCAACTGAAATTTCGCTTCACAGACGATTCCGCCCCCCATGTGAGCCAACGGTACATCCATGGTTACTCACGGGGTCTCATCATTGGTCGTACTCCTGCTGAAGTTATGGGGGTGTGCACGGGCCTATACGTACCAGCCGGAGTCTCTCGGACGCTGAAGATACAGAAGTACCTTGACTAGACACCGCGCCTACTCCTTATATAGTCACTCAGTCTCCCTCGTCAAAAGATCGTTTGACTCCCACAAACAAGCTTCCTGTCATCGAGAATATTTGCCACAGCCAGTCTCCAACAAGTCCATATATATATCATTCCAACCACCGCTACTCGACTACCAAGATGCACTCAATCTCCTTGAAAACATTGCTCGGCTTGATCTGCCTCGTGCCATTGATTGCCAAAGGCTTTGCCATACCCAGTACGGCTCCCGCAACATTATTCAAGAATACCTACAAGCTGACAGACATTTCTTTCCAGCAGAATCTCGTGCCTCTTGTACCTATTACGACTCTACTTGTTATCCGCCAATACCCGGTCGTAAATGCTGCCTTTGTGGAGCTCATACGGGAATAGAATGCCCTTAATGAATCCATTATGAGTATGATAATCTAGCTGATGGTCCATGAAGAGTACTGATATGCTAGGCAAGAAGGGAGGCACCGTATGGCGAACACAGCGAGCCTTAGTTGGTCCTAGTCAATTCATGAACAAGTGGTCGAAGAATTCCGTCCCTGTCTAGTCCTTAATATTAAAACGTTCTTGATCATCCAACGTGATTCAATGCATCCATCTCAAAAGTTGACAAGCTGCGTCTCCTGTGGCACTGAGCGGCTCGGGCACCAGGTCTGATCCCCCATATCACAAAAATCATTTTCTGTAGCCTCTTACAACACGTAGGTCCCATTTCCCTATTAGGCAGATCGAGAATCGAAATAGGCAGGAGTGCTGCAGTGCCCACACCCTCAAATTAGGATCGGACCGTCTCATAGGAAGGCCACGCGAGGTCCATGCAGTACCTTATGCACGATCTAACCTTTGTACCTACGTGCATGACAGCAGCAGCAGTGCCTAAATCCTGCATATTATTAATCCGGGCAGCACATGGCATCATTGCACTTCTCCCTCGCTTGACCTCGGGCAACCAGAGAAGTGGACAAAGAAAACTTCGCTTTCTGATTCTGCAGCTGTGGTATGATTATGAACGTTCATGGTGTACGGCTTCAATTCTGGGATGCAGCATCACTCATGCCTCAAAAGCAGTCTCCTTTGCTTCCAGAAAGAAGTTCTCCAATTTTCTGGCCTTGAAATTTCATCATCCAACTTCTCATTAATCCTACAACAAACGCTGACCTTCGAGCCTTGACCCCCCTCTCCGCCGCCCCGTCCTCACCAGCTTAATACTTCACACAATGCAATCACCCTTCCTCAAAGTCCTCGTCGCCTCCATCTGCCTCTTCCCTCTACTACTTTCAGGCATGATTCTTCCCAGTCAGTACGAAACCGAACCCCTCCACCCTCCCCCCTCCAACCCCACCCCTCTTCCCCCCTTTCCCGTTTTCCTATATGCTGATACACACTGTGGATAGGAAGTTCCCCTGTACCCTGCCAAGGCGACTGTTTCTTCTTCGCTGGAAGCTGTCCGCCTCGAACAACCTGTTCCTGTACATGTATACCTTGCGGTCGGGCAACAGGGCAGCCTTGTAATGATGGGACGGGGGTCTGAGGGAGAGAGGCGTTGGTAAAGAAGATGGGTAGGGTGAAGTATGGGCTTCATGCGGCTGTCAGGTAATTTGGAGGTGCTCCTGAATCGAAAAAGTTTGCTGGACTATCTTGAGGTTAAACAAAGGACTAAGCTATTTGGTTGTGATTTCCTTTGAAGTTGAATTGAGCTGCCTCAAATTGTATGATTGAGTTGATTGTCCCGTTACGTGGTCTATCTAGGAGCCACGTCCAAGGAAGATTGATCTGGCGAAGGTAGCGAGAAGCAGAGTTCCTCGCTCTTCAGATCTTCCAAGTCATGCCAATCCACGCCATTAGTGCCTACCTCCGCAAATTCTGCATACAAATCTGCCTCCTCATTAGTCCAAATTGTTCATATTCTGCCTTTGCAGCAGGGTTCCACCCCAAAACCATCCTGCTCTCTTCACCCAAGCAAATTCCATTCCACAACTGTCCTGTGACACAGAGAACGGTGATTCGGATCTTCAGACCCTACAGCTACTGATATCTCTGTGAATACGTGCATCTTTGTGGGTCTTTCAACGTTCATGGTATGCAGCAAACTTTTTAAATTGTATCTGGGGAAGTTTAAGTGCGCCATTACGCCTCCATGACTCAATCAAACTTCCATTTCCTGTCGTTCCTTCCAATTTCCATTTACCTCTCAAGTAGCTATCTACATCTGACAAACGAGCTCTGTTCATCTCCACAAACATACCTTTTTAGAATTAAGATTCATCTGTTCTTGACTCCCAATACTCGGACCATGGCACCATCAAGACTCGCCAAGTCTGGCAAGTCTCGAACCCCGATTCACAACACCGCAACTGACGACGACTCATTCATTGATCCCCTTGCCAGCATAGATTTCGATCCCTCTTTTTGGGCCGGAAGCGTCGCTCGGGCACTAATTATATCTGAAGCTCAGCGCCTAACGCCACAAGATCCCGGGCTTGTGGAAGAAATACTCGACCATTCAACCGTAGAGTCTGCGAGAGCATGGAACAAACTTGTCGCTGCCGTTGAGGATGCGCTTTATAAGGAAGCCGAGCGCTCTAAGAGACGCGAGAAGAATCGCGCGCGGGTGATGAAGTGGAAGGCGCGGTTTGGCATGCCACTGGCATATATCCTAGAGGGTTTAGACTTTTTGAGACAGATGGCTGTCGCGCTTTGGAAGAGTGAATCAAAGTGTAAGACTGCTGGAGCTCAGTGATGTGGGTACATGCGAGATACGGGTATAGTCTGAACTTCGTCATCGACCAAGGCCCAGCTTGCTGAATTCTGCAGCATAGTCATTCTAATCGTAGACTTCGCCAACCCAATTCTTCTCAGCTTGGATCCAACCACACTATGAAGTAGCTCGTGAGCAAGCGTGAGAACAGACCACGTGGAATCCTGAGAGTCAATTAGTAGCGTAATCATCCTACTCGGAGCCCTTCGGATAACGATCAGTAGGAACAAAGAGCCATCGATGGAGCGAGTCAGCAAGTGTGATTCCCTGGTGAGCCCCACCCCTTTGCGTCGAAATGATCAATGTGGGATAGACATGCATATTGAGTCTGTGGCACACCCTCTCCTCTCTGAACGGGGCTGATCGGCCAATTGCCACGGGAAGGGAAAGGTGTGTGTGCCTACTTGTGTATCAAATATCTGGACCTCTAGACCGGGGACCAAGCATATATATTGACAAGCTCCCTCCTAGGCTCCTCGTTCTGCTTAAGCTTCTGCAGAAAAAGTGATAAGTCAATTCAGTTACATCAAACATGCAATCGATCTACCTCAGCGCTCTGCTCACCACGCTGCTCCTCCCAATTACGCTACCTACCGTCGGCGCCACCGTCCTCCCAGGTAAGATCTCTATACCTTTGACTATCCCTCCAGCTCTGTTTCACCCGGCTGCTTTGTCAGATTGACGAGGCTCATTCACGTCTTAGGGAGTCTGCACGCTAGACACCTATGCACGACCAAAGCAGATTGTACGCAGTGGGCGACCAACAAATGTGAGAGTACAAAGGCAACGTGTGATGCTGGGACTGGGAAATGCGTTTGTACAACGCCACCAGGAGGAGGAGATTGCCACCCAACACCGAACCATCTTTGCCCTTGATGAAAGAATGGTGAAAACTTCTTAGTGGAGACTCAAGAAATTAGTGTAACGTATGTGCCACGTTGGATGAGATAGTCAAGTACTAGTCTAGATTGAGAAGGGAATAAATACGAGATCTGATGAGAATTAGGTTGTGCCACTTTCCCGATCCGTGAATGATTCGGTCCGTTCCCTTGGCAGCCGACCAGGTCTGCGGGCATGAGTGGAGATGCATTAGTCGTTCTCAATCAGGTAATGAGATGAGTAGCATTTGGCTGGTTGGAAGACTCCTGCATATGCAATGCGGGACAAAGATCTTTTGGCGCCTGAATTCCTCCCAAGTCGGTAAGCATCGGACGATATGAGGCAGGATGGGGGAACAAAGGAATCGATACTTCTACCGGTGTTCATCGTCCTGGTGTGCGGAAGATCAAGATCTCCTTCTACCACATATCCGTAGAGGCATCCATAGAATACTACTCTTAAAGAACACCTCCATCAGTACACTTGGCCTCCAATTAGCTATAACACTCTCATCACACTGACCGATACCACCTTTACCACATCATGCATCTCATGTCTCTCTCGGCATTTCTGTTCGCGCTTGTGTCTCTACCATTCATCGAAGCCACAGCGCTACCAGGTGAGCAAAGGCTCCACCAAGGCTCATTCATCCCCACATTGACGTTGATGGTGATGTACTGTAGGAGAGCTCAACGCTCGCAGCTGCACTTCACAGACTTGTCAAGCATACGGAGTCAACAATTGTGAGAGTCGGCGTGCTACCTGCAAGGGAATAGACTGCGAATGCGTCCCTTGCGGCGCCAGATGCCCCTGAGAGACAGACACCTATGCATCGATACGAGGGGCAACAAGACCGTAGAAGCTAAATATTTTTTGCCATCCTTTTTTCTCTTTCTAGCTTAAGAAACCGGGATATCAAGGAATCTGACCCAATACTTTTGCAGTTTGGTAGTAAGACTGCACTCATTGTTGTGATATCTGTATAGGAAACGGATAGTCGAAGCTTTGGAAAGTGCGATGAGATGTGAATATTGGAGGTTTAAGCGCTTTATTGTCAATCTGATAGCCTAAGCAGCAATCGCACCCAATCTGGCACTACACATCCCTCCTCCGGATAGTTGAAGGAGGAATAGCAAGTCTCTGTAAGCATACACGCCTCATCGATATTAGAAATTCCTGCAAGCCCTAATAATACCGCAAAAGAAATGGTCGCCTCGACAATTTAAACCAGCAGTCTTTCCCACTACTGTATTTCCTCCGTACTCTGATCGTTTCGTAACTCGCTTAAGAGATCTCATCCATACCGAGGTCCTCTCCTCCATTTGTCACTGGTTGAGCCGTGCCATTGGTGGCAGGCGCATTCTCATTAGGGGCATTGGGGTCAAAGTAGTCCGCCATCTCGGCATCAAGTTCATCGGCGGTCTTGGCCTTTGGACGTCCAGCGTTGCGACCGCGACGACCGCCCCGTCCACCTGCAACTTTTCCTCCGCGAGTGGCAGTGCTGTTGGTTGTTGCTTTGGGAGCAGCAGACTTTGGTTGTCTAAGCGGGAATTAGCAGTGATGCCAAAATTGATGCGATTGCTATACTAACGTCATACGGTCACTAAGAGCCTTAGAGCCTTGTTGTGTGGCCTTGGCTGCGTCAAGAACGACCTCAATCTGGAAGAGAATTAGAAAGTTGTCCACCGATAGTATCCTTGCGATGCTGTACCTTCATTGGACGTTTGTCGACGAGCATGCCATTGAGTTTGAGAAGCGCATCGTTGGCGCTACCAGGCTTGCTGAAAATAATAGTGGCAACGCCACGGCTGACACCATTGGGGCCATAGGTGAGCATTGCGCGCTTCACTGGCGCCACTGATTTGGTGAAATATTCCTATAGAGAGAAGGTGATACCACGTCAGTCCACTGAGGAACGTTTAGAGTAGGTGAAGGCAAGATAAGCGTTTACGTGGTCCAAAAATCAAGTTGTTGCATCGCAAAGCCATAGGAAAATTTTGCACAACCCAGCACCTCGAGCGTCAGCGAGCAAGCAGCAAGCGTTAGTAAGGTTAGTGTCCGGAATGCCCACAACGTCCGGAAAATACACCTGAGTGCTCACTTAGCGTCGTCTTGTTGAGGTCCAATCCAGGTTATTTTGAAATTGTCGAGGTAGTAGTAAGGACTGCGTGACTCTCTATTGATAAATGTGCAGACTCCCAATGCTACCTTTTCCGCAAAGTCATTGTCTGAGGATGAGGTCGCAAGCTCGGAGAACGTTTGCGGATAATTGCAATGTTTTCGAGCTGTATGCCAACAACCGTGGTCGGGTCTCAAAGAGTTCTGGGAGCTGCTGACTTGGTGGGGTGTGGTCATTTGTACCAGTCTGATGGGAGTTACAGCTGGAAAGTGGATATGTTTGGCGCGATGATTGCGATCCATTTTGGAAACCTGTACTGCATTGGGCAACCTGCTTTGCTCATACTGCTTCACTCGCTGACCTCTAGACCGTACCAAGCGCAAGGACGAATTTCGCATGTACTTCCTTATGGTGGCACCTTTTGAGACGCCTTCACAGGGGGCGGCAAGCCAGATCGCATGTTTGCCAGACATATAAGGATCAAAGCTGCGCAGAGAGCCCAGTTACTGCAGTCTCAACTCCTTGTCTTTTTGCATCAGGCTTCTGGGGAAGCGAGCTAAAATATGACGTGTGGAGGAGATAGAGGTCTATGACCCGTGCGTATTGTCCCATTACAGGATCCAAGGCAGATGAAACATAAACCGAAGAGATCCAAAGAAAAGCGATCGAGTGGCGATGTCGATGAACGAGGGAAGAGGTCGAGAAAGGCCCGATGACGAGTCGGTCTCAGGTCAAACATACCTTTATTTGGGCTTCGCTTACATCGGAAGGCTTGACACATTAGCGCAGATCGTGGACTGCAAACAATATATGGCTTACCAAGTTGCTCACGATGATCTTAGTGTCGCCTGCTGCTGGCGCTTTTCCATTTGTTATTGTAGTGGCAGCTGCAGGTCGACCAGCTCTGGTCTTCTTCTGAATTCCTCCTGCAGGAGCAGCGCTGGTGACTTTCGCCGCTCGATTTCCAACACGGCGGCCGCGTCCACGGCCTCTATTTGTAGTTTTACGGTCGCTGAGAATTTGGTCCAGAGACTGATCGAGTTTTCCAGACATTGTAGAGTAGTGTGGGTAGGAGTCTTGGTATTGCGTTGGTCGAGGCGGCTTGCAGAATAGTTCGCCGGATCTGTATGGTCTAGGCTACGGAGAAGTAGTCCAGTAGTTGAGAGGAGATCTGATCAGGTAGTCTCGATGGCAAGGTCGAGAGACAAAGAGCTTGATGATTTTGTGGATGCAAAGCTCACAGTCTGATAGAATCCGATGAGAATAGGCAGGATTTGAGGAGAGTGATGTAGAGAGTTCCAGTCACTCTTTTAGGCAGCGACTTTTGTCGTGTTGAGTAAGGTGTGTCGTGAAGTATAGAGAGTTGTGACGCGTGAAATGATGGGTGTTCACGAAGAGAAGGACAAAGGGACTGTTGAGTGATTGTGTCGTGGAGTGAAGAAGGGAGGAGCCAGAAGGCTGCGACAAAAGGAAAGCCGCCGCGCTAACGCTCAATCCACGCTAGGCCGGCTCGGGTAAGGCCACATCTTGGCATTCCTCGTTGCTTCCCGTCCATTCTGGTGACTCCAATACCGAATCAACGGTGAGAGATGGGAAAAGATTCGCGATACGAGAGGTGGATATCAATGAAACAGAATCCAGGAACTAGATTGTCAAGCTATTCATGAAGTTGCTGGCCATATGCTATGGCTAATTACGCCATCCCTACGCCAAACTCGTGTGTTGCCCATAACCAGTTGAACCCGGATTTACCCTCAAAGATCCCAGGTTTCGCTGCTATTGATTTGCATATCAAGTCGTAAACACCGTGTCAGCCCTTGAGAGCCTCTAACCTTCCTCTCATCTGCTCCAATGTCGCTTCTTGATCTTCTATCGACTCCTCCGCCACTGGCGGTTCCTCTGCAACTGGGGCAGCTTCCACCTTTGCCTTTCCAAGCTTTCCTTGTAATATTTCACCAAGTACTTTGTCGACTTCGGTCTCTGCCTCCTCGTCCTCTCCTTCCATCAGCTCATCATCCGGTAGACTGTCCCCTACCATCTCTTCGATGATCCCCGCCTTCATAAGCTCCTGGCTAAGCTCCCTCATTGTGCCTGTGAGCTCCGGTAGCCGTACTAGACTATTCACGTCTTTCATGATGCCGGTCGAGCTTTTGATGCTTCCCTCAATCTTCCGTACCGAGAACGCTTCGTTGACTTGCATTTGCACGCTTTGTAGTTGGGCCTTTGAGGTAGCTAGCCGGTTGCTCTGTTTTCGTATCCGAATGAGCTCTTTGGCGAAAAGTCTTGTCTCCTGGGCTGCTTGTTTCTGCTGGGAGGGGTTGCGCTGGCCGCGCTTCGAGGATGCGAGGATGGTCTGGCGGGCTTTCTGGTCGAGGTTTTTGAGTTGAATGATGTCGCGGTCAAGTTTTCGGGTATTTGATCTTATCAGGTTGTTACATTTTCTCATCTATAGACCGTTGATAGAGGTTCTCGCTCCGGAGAATCAAGACATACCTGAGCCGCCGGGTCTGGCTTCCAGAAAACCGCCTTGAGGGACTCCATAGTGAAGCGTGCGCTGTTTCAAGGAGGAGGGCTCAACTTTGTATCATATTGGGAAAATCATCATAAGCCGATTGCTCATGTAGACGTGAATGACATGTAAATGCGCTTCGCTCACTGCCTGCCAGGCCACAAAATCCGGTAATATTCGGACTTAAGCTGGTGCTAGCTCATGATGAATACTGATGCCCAATTTTCGTGATGGGACTCGAAATTCGCTCCTGAAGCTCGGAAATCCTTTGCGTAGAAGATTGGCTATACCATAACCCTGTTCGACTGTTTGTGAGGCCTTACGATTCAATTCCCTGGCGTTGTGGTGAAAATTGTCCCATCCTTCGATTGACTTCTTTGTGGGTCTAGCGCTAGCCTTACGGACTATCGTCACCCGAAGATCTTCAAACAATTTTGCTTGCCTTCTCTTCCTAAGCTCGACGCGAATAGAGCAACTTCAATCTCTCACAGCCTGACTCTTCATCTCCCTCTACACAATGTCTGACCCAACTCTGACACCAGAAGGTCTGTCTCACTGCTTGCGACGGCCGCATCTTTAGGAGCCTAGCTAAATCGTAAAATCCTTTAGTTACCTGGGCTCAACGCTCCTCAACCTCTGACCCTGAGCGGAATTATGTCTATCTCACTATTGCTGCCATCGATGTGCCACAAGGAAAACCGCAAATTGACTTGAAACCTGGAAAGCTCATTTTCACCGGCCACAGTGAAACGAAAAAAGTCACCTACCATGTCGAGCTTGACTTCTACGCGGAGATTGATGTTGAGAATTCGAAGACGATTCACTCACCACGCGACGTCGAGTTTGTGCTTAGAAAGAAAGAGTTGAAGCAAGAATTTTGGCCGAGACTTCTGAAGGAGAGCAAGAAGGTGCATTTCTTGAAGACGAACTTTGACAAGGTGGGTTTCCTAGAAAAACGAGGCTTCTTTGAGCCTACGATAGCGGTAAAAACACTGAACTAGTTTGTGTAGTGGGTCGACGAGGATGAGCAAGACGCTGCCCCTGACGATGATCCAGCTGGAGGTATGGGTGGCATGGGCGACATGGGTGGCATGGGTGGCATGGGCGGCATGGGAGGAATGGGTGGAATGGGAGGTGACGGTGGTTTTGGTGGCATTGGTCAGTCTATGCGTTCGACCTAGAGTTTGTGGAAACTAATCCTTAGCTACAGACTTCTCCAAGCTTGGCGGCGGTGCAGGCGGGATGCCAGACATGGGTGATATGCCAGAGGACGATGGCGACGCTGACGATGACGACGACGACGACATGCCCGGTCTCGAAGGCGATGAAGCTGAGGGCAAGGGTAAAGGCAAAGCAGATGAGGCCCCAGCTGGAGAGGCGAAGACCGGAGGCGCCAAAATTGAAGAGGTGGCATAAAGGGTCTTGCATGAAGACGAGAAAGATTTGATTCAATCCATCCATATCGAAGTGAGCGACAGGTATATTAGCTATGGAGTGGTAGATGGCACATACGAGCCAGACCTTCAATTCTCATAGAAGTAAAATTGGTGAATGACTTGAATCTTCGGAGTTTTTGCTTGACCAACCATTTTTTCTTGACGCTTCACTCGCTTAGTCACCAATCGCATATTGACAAGTCACATTGATCAGTCAGGAACAGATACAGGCCTTGAAGCTGATCACGCCCATAGAAACCAAAGGGGCCGTAGCGCAAAGGACACTATTTAAATTTATATCCCCCAATGTCAAACTACATACCCAAAGCCAATAGATGTTACAGGAACTCAGAACCATGAATCGTGTTCAAATGGTATCATCAGACGAGTTCTTACCTTTCCTACTCCTCAACGCGTTCGCAGCCCCAGTTTCAATCACGCCCTGGCAAAAGCAGTCAGCCACTTGTTACCCAATCAAAAAAAGAGGAAGGAAGCTTACAGCCTTGCTAATGTGTCTCTGCAACCCTTCCTCTCCATCCTCGTGTACAGCATGTCCCTTCCCAATCGACGAGAGTGAGTCTCGCATCAGGAACTCATAATATCCCGTAGCAAAGACTGTAGCCGGAATGTTGACCAAAATAGCGATCCACGAATAATTCAAATAGGTGAAGCTTTCCCCTCCAAAGAATATAGCAGCCACGATCCTGGTGCCCAAGTCCCTTGCCAAATTCGTGCTGATACCGTTGACCGCATAACCCCACACCATCGTAGCATAAGCCAGCCCAATGGCAAAAGGGGCAGTAGTAGCCGAGACGAACGGATTGGCAGGGTCAAGACAGGCCCAAATGACAAGACCGATATAGCTGTCAACGAAGAACTCCGTGAGGAAGAGATATCCCAGATTCCTGCCCACGCCTTATCAGCACACCCGACCTCCTCCCACATCCAAGAGATGATGAACTCACGTCTGATTCGGATTCGGAAAAGTACACAACAAGCTCGCCGGGCCCCCATTATAAACCAACCCCTTACCCGCAGCAATACTCTCAGCCTTAAACGCCTGAATCTCCGGCCAATACATGCCCACCATCAACAACCCGGCCACAAACGCCCCAAAAACCTGACTAAAGATATAATGCGGCACCTTCCTCCACGGAAAGCCCTGCCAAATGGCAAAACTGATCGTCACAGCCGGATTAAAGTGTCCCCCACTAGTCGGCGCACACGTCAAAATCGCAAACGCAATACCAATCCCGAACGCGAAGCCGATCTGCAAAATAGACCCGAAAGCGGCGAGCCCGAAGTTTTCCGAGGCGACTTGCGGGGTGCCGGCGGAGAGGGTGAAGCCCGCGATGGCGCCGATGCCGGGGAAGACGTAGAAGAAGACGCCCGTGGCTTCGGCCATGCATTCGCGGAGGACGCGGGGGCGGGCGTGCTCGAAGTCGAGTTTGCGCTGCGAGACGGGTTTGGTGGCGACGACGTGTCTGGAGAGGTGTTTTTGGACGGCTTCGGTGGCGCCGAGTTCGAGGTCGTGGGTTTGGAGGCGGTCGAGTTGGTGGTCTGTCATTTTGGCGGTGTTTTCTTTCCTCGTCGCCCTATGATACTATGGTCTTTTCTCTTTGAGGGAACAGGGGAGTATGGAGAGAGGCTCGCGGAACAGGAAGAGACACTGGAAGAGGCTTGTGGGAGAAGGAGAGATGGTGGTAGACTCAGAATGAAACCATTGCTGGAATAATGGGTGGTACAGGCAGAGGAGGGGAGTATGGATATCATGACTGCACGTATATGTGCCCTGGCTTTGGGTTTTTTGGGCTTTCTGCCGAGGTGGTAACGCAGATCTCCTCATGGTGGGCGGCCAGGAACGCTCACGGCATTGCACTCGGTAGTATTGCAGCGAGTCCAACGCTCCTTCCTGGATATCTTCTCCACGCGTCCTCCTTTTCTCACGTTCGCCAACTCGTTCACATGAAGCAGCAGCAGCAGGCCTGACGCCATTATATATAGGCTCTTCATTCAGTAGACCCTCATACTGCTCGCGATCCGCTGCATGCCATGCACTTGGTACCCGCGTACCATGTAGCTACACCAGCTGGGCAGGGTCGCTGCCGGCGCACTGATGTCACTCTTCGGCATTCAGGAGCTTCTCCTCCTGCGTCAAAAAGGCTTAAACCTCGGCACTTTACCCCAGATCTCGTCCTGAAGCTGTGATTGGCATGCCTGAGGATTGGAGAAGGAGGAGAAGGTTGCGTCCTCTAGGGGGCAAGTCCGTTCCAACGCCAAGCGCTCTTCTGGGGAAAGGTTGGGGCGATCATTGGCCCGTCGTGGCTTGTGCGCTTATTTCGTCCTCACGTCCTCTGTAAGACTTCTTCTATGGACGTATATGTAGGTGTGGAGGTCTTGAAGATGTTCAGAAGAGTCAAGTGGAGGTGGAAAAGTTCAGCGAAGTCGTATGGAACTCCTTGCATCCCGGAGACGCTCGGAATGTATAATTCCTTTGTCGCTGCTTTATCGAGAACTCGGCACACGACCATCCATCAAGCTCTAGATATCAATAGTGGCAGGCTGTGCCCTGTGTCCTTCGCGTACATGGAATCCTCAGTCTTCAATTGGGGGTCATATAATTAGGTGAGCTTTTTCCAGCCGAACTTCAAAGATGCTAGGAATTATTCTCTGCGTACCTTTTCAACCCAATCGAATATCTAGGTACCGAGGATCTCTACCTCGCAGCGTTGCGTTGTATTCCGGAATGACCAACTGGGCTGTGTCCATTTCGAGGTCTCGGATATTGCCTTGGTCAGTCAGTTTTGCAAGAAGCTTCATCACATGGAGACTTCCCTTCACCTTGGCCTCGTATATCCTCCTATCGTCCCCCAAGGGGCTTGGCGGTGAGGACGATGTCTTGTATTCTGGCTACAGCAGCTGCAAGGGTAAGATTTGATTGCTTTTGTGCTCGCTGCTGTATCTTGCTCCAGCCTTAAAATATTTCAGTGTTCACTCTCAACGCAGCTTGAAAATGAATGATAGGAGGCTGGGTTGGCGATGATCGATGCTTCAGGGCTTTTGCAGAACCTGCTGAATGTGTCCTCGGGGTCTAAAGAAAGGAACGGTAAGGCTTCTTGGAGGGCAGAAACGGTAGGAGACGTCAGCGTCTCGTTTCATTCTGGTCATTTCACTACTGCAAACAACGTTAGCATGTTCAAATTCTATGTCATAAAAAGGGAAGAGCCTGTTACAGCGTCTTTGAGCCTCATACGTTCCAATGCAAACCGTGTCGTCCCCACCGAGTCCCCTGCCTCTTGCTCCTCCTCCTGATCTCGTCCTCCATCGTCCTCTCCTTCACTTCGTCCTCGTTCCTTCCCCTTCTCCCCCGTCCTCTTCATCCCCGCCAAACTGTCTTTGTCAGCCTTTCCGGCCAGGAAAAGCATTCCTAGTATGATGCTGCGCCTACACATTCTCCCACTCCTTCTCCGCCTCGTCACTTACGGGTTGGACTCCCATTATGGCCTGACCAGGCCCTTGTGGTTGCGTACTTATGCTGTCAGCTTCTGAGCGATCTTGGGATCTATTATAGCTTCTTGATTGCTGGTAGTCTTACCTAGAGACGTCTTGGAGCTGCGTGTAGCTATTATGATGGCGTAAACGGTCGACGATGCTTCTCAAGAAGACTTCTACAGCCTGGCGAAGGCCCATTTCTGACGAAGTTGCAGATGGAGAGGAATGTGGATAACGTGCAGCAAGGCTCAAACAGGGCAGATTCGACTTCTCTTGGCTGCTCGAGGCTATGAACTGGTTATAGCAATATAGCAAGACGAATTTGATGTCGATTCTAAGCGTATAGTCATGGATAACTAGCTGCTAAGTGCAAAAGCGTCACTGTTGATACTGGAAAGAAGTGAAGGCCTAAAGGAGACTAGTCTGGTTGAGCCAAGTCCGCACAGAAGAGGCTTCTTGCATTAATTCTACCGTTCTGCCTCTCCCACCTCACCTGCACTCACCCTCAGGCAATCATATGTTGTCTCGGATCATCTGTAATGCTTCTACATCTTCCTCCACAGCTTCTGAATCACTCTATTGCCATTAGTAGCTTCTTTTACTCGCTCGCAGGCCCTTGGAGGCTGCTGGTGGTGCCTTCTTGTCCGACCGTGTCAGGCCAACATCATCCTCAACCCTCCCCATCATCCACAGAACGTCAGAGCATCAATCAAAAGGTAAGCAGCATCAGTGATGACCTGTAGCTATCATCGACATCAATTTTGAGCGTTGCATGACTGCAAAGCCGAGCTCGACTTCGGCTCGTGCTGATTTGGCGGTGAACTTGCGTCACGTCACACCCACACCCAACCAACAACAACAGCTCCATTCGACTACAGAACTTCGATAATTACTCAAAGGGGTTATAGCTGACACCGAGTGTAGTTTGGCACGTCTGCACAAGAAGTGCACGCGCTCAAAGTAGATTTACCCTACTTGACAACACCTCCACCTAGAAATCTGGACCTCCGACCGTACAAATTTCGACTCCAGATCTTCTCTTTCCCTTCCAATAGCATGCTGATGGCCTCCTCGAGCCCTAGATTTCCATCTTGACCGTTTAATACCCTTTACTACCTTGCTGAAGCACTTGTGTACTAATTCCTCACGACCGACAACATTTCGTCACTACTCACAAGTACGGTCCAAATAAGCGTCCATCGACCTAATAATTCTATAAGCCTACTTCTAGATCAGGAAGTGTACCTTCCGACCGAATGTTCACCTTCACTGACATTGGTCACTAGTCAGTCTCTACGATGCTGGAATACTCCTCACGAGTACGTTCTCGGACACAACGATTATGCTCCGACGAGCACAGACGATCTTCAGAGACGATGAAAGCATACTGTAGGTCTTCTAAAACCTGAAAGACCTCGTATCCCGTTGACGCACCTAGATCGCCGACCAGGACGCAAAATAATACACTTTGAGCTAGCACCTAGCTGTAAACATTGCTCGTGAGAGGCCGGACTTGGAGCGACGGAGAGGGAACGCAGAGGGGTTGTTGGTGATGGTAGGCCTGCTTCCTTCTCATATGTCGTTGGACCTGATAGCTGACCTGAACAGGCGTTCGGCGTTGGGCTGGCGAGAATTTGGCTTGCTAGGAGGGTAGTGGCTTGGGTACTGCTTGGCAGGACTATCTGGGTGTACGTTGGTATTGAGATGGAAGGCAAAACCAGTAGACTTCACCCCATCCAATCTAGATGCTATCAACACTGACCTCTTCACCTAGTCTTCGACATGACGCTGGTCGTCAGTCTCTAGCAAACGATTATCAAAGATTGCCGTCGTCAAGGCAATTGGCAGCCTTGTCTGCACTTGGGCAGACAAGGAGGGTGGGCAGTGGGCACGACGTTACGAATTCATCGTTTGTTGATTCTATGACTTATGACTGAACGGCCGAAAAAATATAAGGCAGCCTTGTCTGCATTTGGGCAGACAAGGAGGGTGGGCAGTGGGCACGACGTTACGAATTCATCGTTTGTCGATTTCAATGATTTATGACTGAACGGCCGTTACAATATAAGGTATCCTCGCCAGAGAGGAGGGTGGGTAAGGGGCACAGTTTACGACGTCACGATATACGGTAACCTCGCTGGTCGAGGGGGTGCGTCAGGGGCACGATTTTTGGAATTCATCGTTTGTCGATTTCCAATGATTTACGACTGAACGGCCGATATAATATAAGGTATCCTCGCCAGAGAGGAGGGTGGGTAAGGGGCACAATTCACGACGTCACGAGTAACGAAGTCACGATATACGGTAACCTCGCTGGTCGAGGGGGTGGGAACGGGGCACGAAGAAACGATATAGGGTATCCTCGCCGTCGAGGAGGGTGGGCTAAGGGGCACAAGTAATGACGACTCAGTTGACGACGGTAAGAACAATGACCTTATCACTCCCTCCTAGTATGACTGACAAACATAGGTACGACATCGAGTGGTGGCCTTTTACCTCCACGAGCTAGCCCCTCGTCGGAGCTGAAAGGAGGGTGGGTTTAGCGGGCACAATTTTTCAACAATCAACACTCGATGTCGGCACCACATGATACCGTCACAACAGACAATCCGGGCTTCAGCAATCTCTCATCACAACGTCGCTATGTTCGAGCGGTCATTACACTTAGCCAAAGGGTAGACCATGAGAGGATCAGAGGAGGACGCATTTCAATCACTTATGCAACATCGATTCGAACATTCTTCTTGCTGCTGCAAAATCAAGCAAGAAATGGTAATGTATGATTGCATCTGCAGGTAGTAATAACAGAAGGATATGGGACTTTCACTCTATCGCCGGATTGAATACAACAACAACAACAACAACAACAACAACAACAACAACAACAACAACAACAACAACAACAACAACAACAACAACAACAACAACAACAACAACGACAACAACAACGACAACATCATCATCGTCACGAAGCTTCAGGACATTCGCTAACTACCAACTCCAGACCGACTGTACTAACATCTGAGAAGGAGAGGAGGAAGTCCAGCGCTGAACGCCGAGATACTTTAGATAGCTTAGCGAATGGAATCACATTGCCATTTGCTACATAACAACATTCACAGATTCTCCAAAGTCCTGCCTTCAATATCATTAGCTCATGCGTGCCACTTTGTAGAGACATGGCCGAGAAGTAGACTACCGTTGACGCAAGGAGGTAGAGCCCCAAAGACTTCAAGTGAGTAGCGTACCGTAGATGGTAAAAAGACATCGATTGTCATCCGTCTTGTTGATTCCCATCTCAAACCCTGTGAAGGGCGCGGGATCTCTACCCCATGCTGCCAACTCATCCTCTTCCTCACCACTACCTCTTGACTTTTTTCCCTTTACTCTCCCATCCATGGCGAATCTTCATTTACTTCTTCGTCGTCCTCCTCCTCCTCATCATATCCTACTCCTCTACCGCCGCCGTATCTACCAACAAAGCCCAGTCCCTCTCTTCCACCACGCGCTTCATCCCTCCTCCTTCTCCTCCTCCTCTCCCACACCACCACCACTACCACCACCACCACCTTCTCCCTCTCACCCTACCGCTCCTTCTGCTAGCACTCAACTAACCTCCCTCAATCAACCATCCCCTTCAACCCGTCCCCTTACCATTCCCAACGACCTCATCACGGCCTCTGCCACCCACAACAGTGACCCTACAGAGCCTCCAAGGCCGCAAAACACCGTACCCAAAGCCCATCGGTACGAAGAACACCCCATCATATTTTCCACCAGCGACGGAGTTGACGATGACTCAATCTACTGAGCTGATTGGACCAACGTGCACCACCAGCACACCTTTAAGCAAAGCTGGCAGAAGAATCGTTATCGATATGCAGCGCGAGCTCAGCGACTACATGTGCAGAAGATAGGTCGTAGCATCTGGATTATCTGGGCAGGGCGTGGGCGTCGATCTCTTGCTTCGTCACCCGTTACAGGCTGGAGGGTGAGGGTAAGGTGTGCTACATCATGATACTGGCTTGGAGGAGACGGGGCTGTGAAGCGTGAGCTATGAAATCAGCTGAGCCAGCAGCGTGGGTAGGTCTGGTGACAAAGATGCAGTGCTTCAGTTAAAGGAGACGATGTCCATCTTCAAGTTGGTCACGGAGAAAAATGAGAGCGGAAGAAATTGATAGGCGAAGAAGGGCAGAGCACGATTATGGAGATTACTCAGAAAGCTGTAACGTACTTGGACGTTGAATGAGTGTAGTGATAATACCTGATGCTAATGTTTTGAAGATTGGCCGTTACATTTTCGTAAAATCGCCTTCCCCGCCCACTATCCCATGCTGTCCATCTCGTAGCTTGTCCCCACAGCCCAGCCGCCCTACCTGTTCATCAGACGCTGCCCATGATATTACGAAAGATGCCATTGCCTTTCTGCAGCTTTGCAATACGCTCCTGAAGGAATGCCCGCTGGCGGTGGGTGGCGGGATTTTCTTTGGCAATCAGCTCGATTTGGCCGTCGCCCATCGCTGTAATTTTCAGAGGACTGAGGATATCCTCAAGATGGCGGACGATATGACGTTCGACGACTTGCGTTGTGACGTTGGAGACGAAGATTTTGAGCATGACCTAAGAAATTCAGCTGAGAACTTGGCGATGAAGGGATTAACAATCAACAATGCTTTGATTTGTTACAGAGCTCAAGATTTCAGCCACGACTGGAGGGAAGCATACCTTGTAGATAGCATAGACACTATCAAGTGCCGCATTGCAGCTAACATTCTTCATGTTAGGATCAACTTCAGGCATGATGTCATTAGTCAGTTGGTCGGTGTCAATTTGGTCTCCGTCAGCCACCTCATAAGCATTTTGAATAGTCTCAGTGATTGAGCCTTTGCATCGATCTTTATGTAGCTTGTTAATTGTATCTGTAAAGTAGTGATTGTAATTGATTGGATGCTCTTTGATGTCGTCAATCAATTTCTGCAACTCTTTATAGGCGTTTGTATGGCGTCGATGCAAGGAATCTTCAACGTGACTGGACCAAAACACTGTTTTGACGTCCTTTGGACAATTGTCGCTGAGGACGTATCCAAGGAACTGCTCGCAACTAAGAGCGACTTGCTCAACATGCTGCTTGGCAAATGCTTCCCACTTCGAGCTTTGCTCCCAGAAAAGCTCTCCAATCAGAAGAGGGTTGAAAGTCCCAGCCAGTTCCTTGCCTCGAGTATGATCAAAGACTTCTTCTACCCATTCCAGAGCCTTCTCACGAGAAATTTGGATCGGAGCGGGGATAGAGTGCTCTTTGAATTCCGTGGCTTTTGCCTTGAAAGGCTTTTGGTACGACTTCTCATCCTTAGGAAAATCGAATTTGTGACCCGTCGTTCGCATAGCCTCATTGAAGTTCGAATTCTGCTTCTGGATTTGTGCTCGAATACGTCGGATTGCGACCTCAGAGGTACGCGAAAACTGTTCCTTTCGGTTGGTCATAGCAAAGAATGGGCCCTCATAATGTCCATTGATTCCACCCTTGCAGGTTTGATATGAGTCAAGGCAGATCCTCGACAAGTATGTACGGCACTCGTTCGCATCGGAGCGAGAATCGCCCATTGATACCAGTTCATCTTGCGCAATTTTCAACACAGCATTAAGATCCCCGCGAAGATTTGGCAATTCACGTTTCACGTGCTCGAATAGAAGTGCGCTAAGGCGAGAGCGTAGGTTTTCGATGCCCACGGTGTCTCCCGGAAGCTGATTGAATTTTGACGTCCGGAAGAATGTCTTCTCGCTCTGGTTGCGTTCTAGTAGGGAGAAATGCTCCTCTTTGAATACCCGATTCTTGATGACGTGCCATCCCAGCTGAAGGAATACATCTTCATTTTTAGCGAGATTGATGTAATCTTGCTCATGGACTGATCCGTTATCCAACCTGTCCGGCTTCGTGATGACGCCTAAAGTCCGCTCACCTTGAGGGTCGACTTCTCGAACTTTGGTCAGAATTCTCTGCGTTGCATAATCACCCAAGGCTGGGATCACTGCAAGGCAGATAGTTCGAGGTTGGGTAATGTATGAGTCCGTGATCTCGTTGACAATGTCTATATCGGATTGAGTCACACCTTTCGTAACAGTCTCAATTAAACCAGGGATGTCGACTAGTGTGAGCTGTGGCCGATCCGGTCCTTCGATTTCAATTCGCAAGACGTCCCTCGCAAAGGCACTGGCTTCTGAATTTGAACCCTGTCTGTCGATACCCATTAGGTCTGTAGCCATTGCCATCACCCGAGGGAGATCAGAAAAATCGTCAATCGACTCCTGGAAGATGTTGATGGCCATCTTCTCATTGGTGGGACGGTTCTCGTCTGGGAGAACTTTGATCGTCAGCGTGTTGCTTGTTCCTCGTCGCAAGATGATCTCGGAAGCAAATCTAGTGCATTTATTATCGCTTCTGGGGAACGAAATTTCCGTCAACGCTTCCAGAACAGAGCTCTTTCCAGATGATTGTTGACCGCATACTACAATTTGAGGCAGAGAGAGGACCGAGTCAAGTCCGCATTTACGCACTTCCGCAATAGTATCCAGAACTCGGCGTTGCTCATCGGTTTGAAGGTCAGAGAGCGAGGAGGATATTTGAAGCTCCTTGACCTTGTCTGCGAGATTTACCTGAGAAGTGGCGGTCGAGAGGTCACTGATCTCATTGTTCGTGACGGTCTCATGCGTAGAGCCCATGATAGTCGTTGTTTGATCGTGCACGGTCAAAAAGAGGGGTTTCGTCCTGTTGTATGGGTATGCTTGATTTCCTTTTGATTCTTGGACTGAAAGGCAAAAGAGGTCTTTGAATAACCAGTGAATACAGAATGAGTAAGTCTCTCATGCAGATATGGGTTGATCAGTCACCGGGGAATATTTCCATATGACGGCAGCCTTCTTGTGACTTCGACCAAGATTCGAGTGTGACGTACGTCAGCTACTAAAAAGCATGAATTAAAAAAAATCACGGTGCTGTTTTGCTAGGAGGCGGCAGCCAAACTAACATATAGAGGCGGTAAGCCAGTCAGCATGGCTCAGTGAATCAATCCGATGTGAATTGCAGTACCTGTTTGCTACAGGCCCACAGAAACAGGCTGGGCGACGCACAGTGAAGTCACCACAAAAGAAAACCTACTGCTGATAACATGGAACGCAGGCATAAGCTGTCTGTTGCTGCAAGGCAAATACGACCCTGCTGGCGGTGTAATGTTTGCTCGACGCGACCATGCATTCATCGGTTGCAACGCCATCACAATGCAGACGAAACCCCTTAATATAGGGCAATCTGCCAGCAATAAGTGGAGAAATTGTGCAGACGATTTTCGATGAGGGCGTAATTGCCCATCATTGCACTGAAATGGATGTTGCCAACGCGATCGAGGAGCGCTGTAATAGCGCTAGCGGGCAGATGCCTCTGCCAAGACCATCCAATGCGGAAGGAGCAGGCAGGTCCTATATCACTTATGACAGACCGCGTTGGGTCACACACCATTCGTCAGTAGCTTGTTTGTATCATGAGCGGCATCGGTGAGTGGTCAGTGTTTGTATCTACTTCGAGGGCCAAGTGCCAAAACTTGGTGGAGAGCTCTGTGGAGGGTAGAAGACATCGTATAGAGGTATGGAAGTAGAATACATGTAAGCTCCATTGAGGAAGGAAAGATGAAAGCTTTTGTGTGTCACTCAAGAGTAGCTGTAAGCTACTGTCCCGTGTTCTCGATTGCAAAGATCACTTGCTCGTGTCCACGATATATCGTCCAGCAATCTGGCCTTGCTCTGCGTATTACGTTAGCTATGCAACTTGGTGTGGAAAAGAGGAATAGCATACCCATTAGCTCATAGACCTTGCTCAACTCACTCAAGCCCACAGTCTTGAATGGCGCCTTGATGAGCCCCCTCCTAAAGAACTCAATCGCCTCCTGCGTATCCTTCCTATTCCCCACGTAACTCCCCTTAATCGTCTTCATCTGCGTCACAGTCTGGAAGACCGGCGCCTTCAAGAACGCATTCGCAGGCAGCCCAATCGCCACCACCGTGCCTCTCGGTCTCACATAATCCATCGCCTGCTGGAACGGCCCCTCGTTTACAGCAACGACAAGCACAGCATTAGGCCCCGTCTTGTCTTCTGTCTGCTCCTGCACATCCTGGACCACATCCTTTGTCTTCGCGAAATCGATGAAGGCCTTAACGCCCAGCTCGCCCTCCAGCATCTTCTTCTTATCGTCGCCGGTGTCGATGGCGATGACTTGTAGACCCATAGCCTTTGCGTACTGGCAGGCTAAGGAGCCGAGACCACCTCCTGCGCCGACAATGGCGACTGTCTCGCCTGGTCGGGCGCCGGATTCTTTCAAGCCTTTGTAGACGGTTATGCCCGCGCAGAGGATTGGGGAAATTGCGTCCAAGGGCACGTCTTTGGGGATGCGGGCTACGTGGGCAGCTTTGCCGATCGCGTATTGCTGGAAGCTACCGTCGACAGTGTAACCCGAGAGAATAGGGCTGGGGCAGAGGGGCTCATCGGCTGTTTGACAAAAGGAGCATTGGAGGCAGGATCCGTTGAGCCACTGCAGCACATTAGCTATTGTAGGTTCTCAGGAAGAGGAATGGGTGCTGGTTCACCTTTATGCCTGCATGGTCACCGATCTCGATGTCTTTCACCAGGTCACCTCGTGCTACGACTACGCCTGCACCCTCGTGACCGCCGACCAATGGGAGTTTGGTGGGCAGGGGCCAATCTCCTTTCCATGCATGGAGATCTGTGTGGCAGACACCAGAGAATTTGATGTTTATGAGAACCTCATCTGGTCCAGGCTTAGGGACTAGAAATCTCATCAGTGCTTGTCCAGAGTCTGTCGCAGGTGAACATACCTGGGATCTCTTTGTAATCGATCGGTCCTCCAGTCTTCTCGATGACTTGAGCCCACTGCTTCTCTGGAATGTTAGGAGCCATGTTGTATAGGTGGTCTGTTTTGGACGATGATAGATGCTATGGTTCGTGGTAATTCAGGCAATCTGAGTGGTATCTGAACGTATTGCCGTCGATGGAGCTGTATATCAACGAGAGACACCGCTGATCCGAAGCAAGCAACGCATCTTGGCTGTAGCCATGGCCACGTCTACCCCACATAGCAGCCGTATGCCCGTTGCTCGACCCCTCTTGTTGGGTGATGTAATATTGCCGAGTCCCTTTGCTAGGATGCCAGCTGTCCTGTGGAATTTTCCATGGTTAGTCCATGCTCAGTCTAGCTGCTCTCACTTGGGTAACAGGGTCCAATTGAAGCTGCATTGAACTGTCTTGGTTGAGCTTGCTTCCCCTCTTCCGGCGAGTTGAAGTTTCTCCAAGCACGGCCACAGGTTTTGCCAAGACAAGTCAAGCCACGAGCATGCTGTGCCACCTCCTATTCTCGAACTTGGCCCTGTTGCGAACCCTTGCGAGTTGTTCATCTCTTCAAACAGCCTTACTAGGATATGTGGGGGCGAAGTGTTTATGCTTCGATCCTGCGAATGGCAATCAGAGGCACGGTATTCCAGAAGTGTCTCTGCATTATACGTTTGCGGCACCACATAGACGTAGCGATGCTTGCTGCAGCAACACCTGCTTCACCTTTTTCCGTCGAAACATTCTACATATACGGATACCTTATCCAGTGTAGTAAATGATGTTCAATGGATATTACCCGAAGGCGGCACGTATGTCAGAGCCTTGTCTTAAGCATATGTATATTGACACATACGGCAATCGCTCCGATCCCTGATGGTAGACGTGCATATGCTCGTGAAACGGCTGTGCCATCAAGTGTTGAAACGCTTTTCCTCGTATTCAGTGCACCTCGGTCTCTGCTCATGTATGATGGCAGCGAACTCTCGTGTCGTCTACTAAAATTATTTTCAAGAGGGATGCCCTTATCCGTGTTTCATGCTCGCCGTTGCTTAGCGAAGATAGTCATTACGAATTCCATTACTTGATACTCGATACATAAACTTAGTCCGAAAGATAGCATTCGATGATGCTCATTACGTCCATTACTTCCTGCTCAGTGCTCGTCATTAAAGCCTCGAATGATTTCTTGATCAAACAAGGTCCGTGGCGTTTTGGCATAATTGGTGAAAGCTGAGGGCTCTCTGATACTGGGGTTGGTGGTAGGGAGCGATCCAGATCAACGTTTCTCAAATCTCGACTCGGCCTGATGGTCAAACCTCTGATTTCTGAACCATAGTTCCACGCAGCTATTCTGCGAGCTTCGCGCTTTGCAGAGGTTATAGTGGCCGGTAGTTCGATAGGTCTCAAGCGCTGACGGCCTTGACTGCGACCTCTGGGTGGCTCGTCTGACCAGCTGCAGGATCTCAGCTCGCGCTTTCTTGTCGCAACAGGCGACGGAAGCTCATGAATGACGTTACCTGAACCTGAAGGCGTTTCTGTGTCTAATAGTTCGAGCATTCTGCCAGTGTCAAGTATCTCAGGGGTCTCTTTTCTGCCAATTTCATTCATCGGAGAGATTGTCGCGGCTTGCAAGCTTGATGGATCAGACACGCTCTTGTTTCTCTCCACTTCCATCGGCTTAGACTTGCGCTTCTTCTTGCGAATCCACAAGATCAGGAAGGCAACCACCAAGATAACAAGGACTCCAGCACCAATGGAGCCACCAATGATACCACCAGTATTCAATGGCTGCTTCCTATGATGTGATACAAGATTGGGCCTGTCGGTCTTCGGCGGAAAGGCAATGATGTTGTGTGAATCATCAAGATTGAATTTACTTTGAGATACGGAAAAGTTTGAGTATTCATAATTGACTGAGAGGTATCTGCGATATTGTTAGTCTTGAGAACTGGATTTGGCAGAACTTGGGTCCTACGCTTCTTGCAAAAAGGTACGTCCCAGTGTATATTGGGTGTCATTGGCAGCTCGCTTCAGTGGAAAATACCGTGTATCCGCTGGCACGAAAGGGAAGCTGGCATTGAGATCGAAACTCGCATACGGTAGGACAATGTCCGCTGTAGGTCCTGGAGATGTCGTATCTGCTATTCGAAACGTGAAATTGGGGTTGCTTGTGAGTAAGCTCTCATGAAGATTGTCGTCTATGTAGTAAGTCTTCCAGGTATCATTCCATGTCAGCCCGAGGAACCGCTCAAACTCTTGACATGCCTCGAGCGGAAGGTAGATGAAAGGCAGAGTTGAGTCAATGAAGCTAAGAATAGGAGATGAGATTGCATTGACTGAAGCGCTTTGGTTCATGATCACGATAGACGGCACAGAGACTACGATGTCCCGGGAGATATCTGTGGCAAGGTGGAATGTCACGTTGTTTGGTAAGAACCGTTCGGAATCATAGCCTCCGAGAGTCAGACTCCCAAAGACCCCTTTGAGCCCTTTGAAGGTAAGTGATCTATTTTGAGCATAAATTTCCCACTTACTGTAACGTGCCCCAGCGGAATAGCTCCAAGAGAGACTTGGAATCCTGCTCTGATTCTTGAGGGTGGATAAGTAGCTTTGTTGAGGATTGCTAGGATCTGAGAGATTGACAGGCTGGTGGTTGAGTCCAAATGATCCGAGATAGAAACGGTCAGTGGCAAGCTCGGCTACGGTCTGTGATTCCAGAGCTGGACCACCCAAGGCCTCGCTAGGACCGAGAGCCACAGAATCTAACCCAAAGGTGGCGTAGGTATCTTTGTAGCCAAGATTCTCTTCCAGACCGAGCGTGTAATTACCTGCACTTGACGTCTTCCATGTACTCGAATTTGAAGACGTGAAAATCCCGCCCCTAGCATCTTCACACTTGGGGATGGCAGTGGTTCCTGGTCTGCCAGGTGGGCAGCCTTCCGAAGCTACCAGCACTGTTGCCTGTCCAGCCGTTGAAATCATGACCCGAAGAAATTGTTCTGGGTCACCGACACGTAGCATGAAAGATGACCAGGAGCCATCATCGCCATCCCTATCATCAGTACTCAACAGACTGTACTATACTTCTTCCGGGACTCGATGTACCTACCAAGATTGTGAAGGGGACCAACTTATGGGTGCGGGAGACGTGGCCATAGGCCAGGTAACTTCTGGCAATGAAATGCAAACCCCAGGTAAAAGTCAAAAACAGCGCTTCGTAGCGCTCGTAATATCTTCATCGATCGATCTCTGAATGTACGATGAAACATTGAAAATGTTTCAGCAAGGGTTGGCATTTTGCATGCTAGTCTTAAAATCACAGTCTCGTATGTAAGTGTATGGCACAACCTATGCACAGGTACTGAGGCAGCTCTCCAGGCTTAATTGCGTTGATATGGTTGAGTAGACAAGTTGCAAGAAGCTTGGTTCGCCTAACATAAGTGATTGAGAAGCACTTTGCATTGGATTGTGGGGGCCACGTCGGACATGAGGCAACTTGAATGATGAATGAAACACAGCCTACAGACTTCTTTGCATAAGAGAGACTTGATAGTTGTGAAATTATGTCGACGGCCTTACCACGCCTCGCCCTTGTTCATTTAATCAAAGAGCTCCAGCCATTCACATTCATCCATGATGTTCATTTCGGTGATCGTGATACTTCCACTTGCCGGCCGTTCATTTTATAACCGTTTCAGACCATGTCGACCCACAATTCACCTTCAAGACGTTCAGATACGCGCCCTAGCGTACGTGGTTGCGGTGCTTTACATGTATGAGCGCTCACTTGTCCTTCTGATTGGACCCAATTATCACGGCAGTCGCTATCGCGGCCCCATTTCATTTCCGAATCTGTGATATCTCTTGAGCAGACCTGAGCCTATGGGATGCAAACGCAATCATGGCTGAGTTTGGAGAACAAATACGTTGGAGTCTGGGAACGGCTGGGAGGGATTGTCACATAAAGGTTTCGAAGTCCGCGTCTCGTTGCCTTGATATGTGGTTCCCAAATTATGAGCTATGCGTTTTCCCGATGCTCTTTCGGTGATCTTGTTATTCGTCCAAATTTTGGAATCCGTACCCATCGCCTGTGGGATGTTTGTCAAAAGACAGGACCCAGCTTTCACTGCATCATCAGTTCCACCAATGCAGACCCAAGCTTCACCTGGTTTAACTCCAGCGCCAGTATATGTTACCATTACAGCGACTCCACCACTCCAAACACCCATACTCTCGTCTGCCGGTCCTCCAACCCCGCCTGACAATCCCCCACCTCCGCCTGACAGTTCTCTGGCCCTGCCTGAAAGTCCGTCACCTCCGCCAGGAAGTCCGTCACCTCCACTTGACAATACTCAGCCTCCGCCTGATAGTACTCCACTTCCACCTGGCAATTCCCAACCTCCCCTTGAAGGGCCTCCCATAACGAGCATGTCAACAAGTTTCCAACCTGCAGTCGGCCAGCCGGAAAGCTCTTGCTCGCGATGGCCTCAATGCAATCTTTTTTTCCAGGTATATTTGCTGTCACGAGTCCAGTATGCCTCAATCTAATAAAGATATCGCCAGACAGTGACTGTATACTACTGGCCAAATAAGCCGCCAGACGATGCCTGCCGCGACCAACATGCAATGGGTCAACCGGCGTCCCCGAATTTCCCAGTGTAAGAACAGCAATCACAAACGAGTAAGGTAACACGCAAGCTGACTAGGACAGAGTACAACCCAGCATATACGCAATATTTCCCTCCGTCAACGCATTCGATGGCTGCACTCAGGTGGGCAGTACCTATTCAGGCATCACCACATCGTTTGCTCCAGGCGCGTTGTCAAGTATCGACCCTAATGGCGCGACTAGAGCATTAGATTTTCCGGATCTAGACTGCCCTCCAGCTTCGGCTAAGATTGCTCCACCACCGTTACTGTTTCAACTTGATCCCGCGTTCAAAGACTGCATACCTGGCGCTTCGCAAGGTATAGATCCGATTGGCTGGCTTACCGCGATGCCTGGTCCTTTAAAAGGCCCTGAAAGCCCTGCACCTCCGCCTAGTCGACCTCGCAAGAGGGATCATCCTAGAGGACTGGGTCACGCGCTCCATGGCCACGTGTAGTCATCATATTGAATCTCAGGTAGTGGAAGAGAGTATCAAGGACTTCGCGAGTACGGAGCAATGATTTCAGACTGCGTTTTCATACCATGGAAGGGGCCTGGACTCAACCCTAAAAGCCAGATGTCTTAATTAATGTGCTTGGAGCCAAGAGGTAATAGCGGGTTGTAAAGGGAGAAGGAGTGATGATGTAAGGCTCGCAGTATCTAATACAGAACTTCATTAAGTCCAATCTTGTGTATCTATCACTTGATTCGCCCCTCGCTTAAAATGAATATCACAGTGAGTGCCCGCCTCTTCTAACCCACAGAGAGCCTAGCGCTCCCGCACTCTTGGCGCGCACCTACAAAAATCTCTTTCAAGCTTCCTTCCTCTTTTCTTCTTCACGACTATGTGAGTTCATCATGCCGACCCCTACATTCATCCCCACAGCCCACAAATACTGACTACCATCTCCATAGACTTCATAGAATCAATTCTACAGTATACGTCCTCTTCTGAGTTACTCAAAGTAGCCACAGAATCTCCAACCTGGCTGATGACTTGAGTCCCCGATGCCCAAGAGTGAACAACCATTTACATATTCTCGCTTCCTTCGCAAGAGGGGATCTCGTCGTTGCTGCTTCGGTGGTGATGCGAGAAGAGAGTCGAGTGATGATCTCAACCCCCGGTGATGTCTGGCTTCGTGCCGGTTGCTGGGGGCGGGTGTTGGGTGATGTCTGACAGGTGCTACAATATTATGGATTTGGAAAAAGGCGATTGTCATAGCGATTGGTGAGAATGGGAGTGTACAAGCGGCTTGGGAGACCGCATTTCTACATATGTACATAGCTGAATCCACATGATTTTTGTCATCCAACTCACCCATAGAGCCTTGTCTTACGGCTTGACAGCATATACTTTGTACGAGCCTAATGCAGATGTCAGTTTCATTTGCGTTGCATCTTTCCGCAGCTGAGTTCTCACCAGCCCACTCATTGAAATCGACGTCTGCCCACTTCGCATCCTCCACCACCGATTTTTCATCACCAGAGAGAGAAACATTCCCCCCACACCCACTGCCACAGCATCCAGTCTCCTTGCTAGCCCCCGGATCGTCTTTACTAGCCGTCTTGTAGACATTGAGATCACTCTGATCAGGTACAATCAAAACATCTGTAAGCCCGCAACCCTGTCAGCGTGCAACTTTCACAAAACAGCATCCCATCTCACCTCTGAAACCTGCCTGGCTCAAGTACCTCTGATATTCCTCCACCTTCGACGCACCAGCAATACACCCCACATAGAGCGCCATACTCCCCCTCAACTCCTCCGGCAGATTTTTCCTTAGTAGGATATCGCTAATCGCCACCCTCCCCTTCGACCTCAACAATCTGTACATCTCATCAAAAACCAATTGCTTCTCTCCCGTCGGCACAAGATTGATTACGCAATTGCTAATGACACAATCCGCCATACCCCCCGGAAGGTCGATCTTCGTGATCGGGCTCTCGACGAACTCTGTGTTTTTCGCACCGATCTTTTCTTTGATACTTCTTGCCTTTGCGAGCATGTCCTAACCCACATCACATTAGCCAGCGCCCCTCACCTCCCTCTCCTATCCCCCCCCCCCCCCCCCCCCCTCCCTTCCCTTCCCACCTGCCCCAACGAGATCACACCGTGCCCCACCCCTCCATCCCTCCAAACAAGAAAACCGAGCCTACCTTATTCATATCAACACCCACAACCCTCCCCGCCCTCCCCCCTTCCTCTCCGGTCCAACCATCTTCGCAGCCTGAAAAACATCAAAACCCGCTCCACTTCCCAAATCCACGACCGTCTCCCCCACGCGAATACTGGCGAGCGCCAAAGGATTTCCGCAGCTGAGCCCTAGATTCGACTCCGCGGGGACGTCGGTGAGTTCGGCTTCGGAGTAGCCAAATGCGGAGGCTATGGTGGTGCTGTAGGCGGTGGAGTGGGGTTGGGAGGCGATGCGGCTGTAGCCGTTTTGCACGGTTGTGTAGATTGAGGGGGAGTCTTGGGTGGTGGGGGCGGGGGCGGGGGCATGGCTAGTGCCGTTGAGGTCTGTGGTGGTTTTTATGGATGTCATTGTTCGTCGATCTGGTTGAGTCGATGTCTGGGTTTAGACCCGCCAAGGTTTGCCTTCTCTGTAAGGTTGACTTTTATTTACGCTTACGATTTTACTGCTTGTAGTTTTGGGGCCTTTGGTGCTATGACGTCGAGTGCTCTTCGATATTTCGCCACTTACGTTGCCGCTTGCGCTGCCACTTGCTTGACAATTTGACAGTTGTCATCATGTATGCGTATTTAGCAGCTCGGCCTGCTAAATAGTTTTTCGCCGAGACCGACTCTGCAAATTTCGGTTCTGAATTTTCGCAGATTATCGTGTCTTTATGGCTTTTTGGAAGACCCAACCCAATAGCTCTAATTGGGACTATTGAAATCTATCTCGTTGTTATTCAGTAATTCAAGAGCGGTGGCTATCTTTCCGGATGAAGTTATCTCTCGGCGTTAACGGATATAATGATGGGACAATTGAGGGCTCAGGAAAGCAAAATGAGGTCACTGCGCTGAGCCATCTAGATCTCACTGTATTATTATTCCTATCTACGAAACCAGTGGCTATTGTTCTAGACCCGGGGTTCTTTTTCGCGAAAAGGTCGACTTTGACAGAGATGACGCCGTTTGCAATCAACCAAGAATCCTTAGGATATTGTTGAGCTCGAGCCCATCAGTGGTGAAAGAAGACCAGATTCAGTTTTTGGTTGACAGCAATAGCTCATTTGGCTTGCAAAGATCAAGCCCGATCTGTTGAGATAGTGCTGTCGAGCCGTCTAGATGAGGTTGTCATACAGGCAAGTATGATATATTTGTCAAAACGACAACAACTTGAGCCTGATCATTCAGTGATTGCTTCTCCCGCAGATATTCCGTCATTCTCAAGCGGGTTAGTGGAGGTATCTTGCTCTTTGACACATCAAGGCAGGTGGGATGCGCGAGTTCCATTGGTGAAAATGATCTTGTAACCTTGCCTATGAGAGATCGGTCTGGTGTGTCGATGAGATAGCTCTGTTCGTGCCTAAGGGTCCACTCGCTCCGAGAAGGCATTCCGGATTTCTGAGTGGCATGGGGGCGGACTGCTGTGTTAAGGATTGCGCTTCTATTATACCAAGGTGCTATTGGCAGACCCTGGCATTTCCATTCATTTGTTTCTATACAGAGCGGTGTAATGTATGCAAAGGTCGCACACGTTGGCGAATCTTGTAGCATTCGTGCCCAGAGAGTCACTTCTTTGCAGGGGATCTTGAAGCACGCACGTGGGTTGTCCTTCTGAGGCCACACTGCCATGAGAAAGTCACCAGAGTGATCAATGCCGGTATCTTGAAGTACCAAAAGAACGTAGCGAATAATTTTCAATGTGTCGTTTTGTAGATCAGCCGCGAGTTCGTCGAACCAAGCCTTGAAATTGTTGCTACGAAGTGCATCGACCATGCTATTTCCTTGTTGTAGAATATTCCATCCTTGTGGAGCTTGGAGAAGATCGCCTATGAACATTGGGATCACGTCTGACAATAGTTGGCAAAGTGATACTCTCCTGGCTAATCCAGTGCAGTAGCTGATCTGAAGGCCCCAGTCTGATTCTAGGAACGACATGTCGATAATCGGCCCCAGATTGATATGCTTGACAGTCTTTCTAGGACGTTTAGCCCAAGCCATATGTGGCACACAGATTCCATACTGGCCACCCTGAACTCCCAGCTGGAGTTCACTGCGCTCCCAGTACGAGCCATGCGCGCCGAGGTGCTCCATCACAGCGTTCGACTTTATGAAACTACTTTGTTGGTCCATTTGACAATGGGGATTAACAAAGTTGGTGCCGATAAGTGCTTTCGTGCGCAAATTAAAGGACCTCTTAAAATCGAAAGGACCGTCTGCGCTCCAATGGAGGCGCAGAATGGCACTTTCATGTGGCTCGGGTCCGTCAAGTTCATCTGGAAAGCTGACGAAGCCTTCAGCAATTTCCACTGCCAATATATTTTCTGAGTTTGGATCGTTGGTGTCCTTGACGAAGCGCCAAGCATCCCATGTCTCTGCAAGATCAACGGGAGAACTGAATAGATCCAGTCTTTGCTCAGGAAAGTCAAGCTTCCCGCCTCCTGTTGACTTGAAGACATTGACATGCCCTCCAGTGACACCAGCCATACATGTGAGATTTATAGGCTCCAATCGTACAGGTGCTTCCGTCAATGGCTCTTTGGGAGACTCAGCACCAAAAAGGTGGATGCGAGATAATGATTTAAGCAGAAAGAATGGCTGCAGTATCCCAATGTGAGCCTGACTGAATAAGTATAGACCCAGATTGAGCACTTGAGCAGCCAGGGCCACCTGATTCAAACAGTCAGGGAAGCTGTCTCCGTTGACGGGGTTTTCTGAGCCACAAACGCCACTCAGAATTTGATGTGCTAAGGCTTTGAGCCTGGGTAAACATCGAGTGATCAAGCTGGGGCTATCCCAATTGTTTAACAGTAGGCTTAGGACGACAAAAAGACTGAAGGCAGTCTGAAATTCTATCCGTTGGAGCTCAACGACAGGCTGTCTCTCCAAGACGGTATGACATAAGATGGTGAAACTATTGCAGGAGAGATGTTTTTCTTGCAGGTATGAAGCTATGCAGCAGAAGCGTCGTAGAGCATCACAGATGCGCACCACTAGATCGCGAGCAGAGCCAGGCATGGCGTAGGTAATGGCAACTGTCAATTCCTCTCCATCGAAGAAGTTGACTGACCCTGTCCAAGATCCATAGTCGCGAGAGTGAGGAATGATTCCAGCGATCCCGCAGTGCTCAGCGATGATTCTCCTCGTATCCTCCGGTTTCTGGAATTGTATCGTATTCAATCTTGGAGCCAGACTATGTTCCTGCCCACCCCAATGTACACAGTTCTGTACATGAAAATCAGGCCGGATTGATATACTTTGTGCCGGAGGCGGGCTGAACACAATCCATGGCGATTTGGCTTGATCATCTAAGAGTAATTCAGCGATTTTGTGAGATCCGTAGCCTAGGCTTCGCAATTCCCAAAGCCATTCAAGATCCCCTGTCGCCAGAGCATCAAAATGTCTTTCTAGGAGACCTTGTGCCAAATTGAGGTCTCCCAATTTCAGGACGGAATCGAATCTGTGCGGGCAACATAGGCTGCTGGAAAGGGTTTTCAAAGTATCACTATAATTTTCTAAGGCAGGCGTGCTCGTCAAAAGAGAATGGAGGAGATTGGGAAGACCGGACAGATTGACATCGTCTGCGTTGCTGAAATTTTCTTCACTCGCCGGGCTCAAACAAACTTCATCCGCAGACGGCAATGCCTCAGTTATGTCTATGCTTTTCATTGTCTCCGATTGTAACGACCACTGTAGAGGCTCGTAAGATGGGGCCTCCTTCAAGGTCGGTCCAGATACATTGGTAGTCATTGGTGAGTTCAAGAGAACGTTGCAAATGTACTCTCCAATAGCTCTCCGCTGCCCTCGACGGTTCACTTTCGCAATCAAAGTGCGCTGTGGAGGATTCTCAAGCGAGACGTCGTCAAGGAACTTCTTCAATAGTTGAGTGTGCTTCCGAATGAACGCATCCTTGCCCATGAGCAGAACAAGATCTTCGTAAGCAAGGAGAAGGTCATGATCATCTACAGGTCTTGTCCATGCGGATGCGACATCATCAAAATGATCATATTCAACGCTTGAGATAGTGTCATCCGAAGGCGCTGGCAAAAACACAGAATCCGTAGACGAAGATGACTCCGCATCTGACACATAGTCTCCTGGCGCGGTAGGAGAGACCAAGCTCTGAGATGCCCCTTTGTTTCCTGCAGTCTCATTGGATACTTTAGCTGCTTTGATTCGGTTCTGCATTTGGCGTATCTCCTCTTTCAGATTCATAGCATCCTCACGGCGGCCTGCATTTTCACAGGAAAACTTTAGACTCGTGCCATTTCTCAGACTAGTCGCGTGGTCTGAGCCGAAGATGGCCTTTGCGAGTCTATAACATTCTTGTCTAGACACAACGGCCAAGTCATACTGACCGGTGATATCGTATGCGAAAGCGAGCTCTTCCATAGCGGACAAACGTGCAGGGTGGTCGCGATTAAAGACCTGGCAAGCACGCGACGATAGCTGGCTTCTCACTGAAAGACTGTCCAGATATCGATCCGCAGACTCGAAAGCAGCTGCCAATCTAGCCATTGCCTCTAAAGTCTGGGGATGTGTGCGACCGTGTTGCTCTTCTGTGATATCCATAACTTGGGTTTCCAGAGAAATTGCTTTCTTATGTTGACCTTGCGTCGTATAGCATGTGGCAAGATTGTGAAACGCCAATGCGGTTTTAGAATGCTTGTTGCCAAATAATTGCTTGGACATTGCTGCCCTTTCTTCATAAAAACCTGGAGCGTGATCGTGTTGACAAATCCCAGCCTATGAGGCAGCTAGATTGCTGATCGAGACTAGAGTTTCCAGACGTGGGTTTTCGCGTTCCTTGCCTAGCTGCTTCATATTCGAGTCTTCTAGTGCTATGGCCAATCGATGGCGACCTGATGGATGAAAGCACTGAGCGAGACTGCTTCTAATATTGCGAAGCTCGTCGCTGGTACCGTTCGAGGTTTGCTGTCGTATTTCTAGTACTCTTCCGAGCATGGAGGTAGCATCCTTGAGTCTTCCGAGGCTCATCAGCGCATTAGCGAGATTGTACATTGACTTCAATGTCGTCGGATGCTTGAGACCGAGGGTGACAGCATAAGCATCGACCACCTACTGGAAAGTTTCGGCCGCCTCATGCCATCGATCAAGATTGTACAAGAAGTGACCTGTACGACTCAAAGATTGAAGAGTCTTAGCATGCTCCTTTCCCAACAGCCGTTCCCTAAGGCGATACGCTAAGTTCTCTAAATCCAGAGCCTTTTGGTACTGCTGAGATTCTCCAAATACAATCGACAAAGATCTTAGAGCTCCAGCTTATTCTACGCTCAGTATTAGAAATACCTGCGGATCATGGTTCAGATACAAAAAATGCGTAACATGACTTAACAGTTGATTTCGGAAAACGAAGTTCTCAGTCTCAAGATTAGCGCCAACAGCCGCTGCAAGGATGCAAGCTGTGGCAATGAAGTATTTGTCTCTCTCTTCAATTTCGAGACGGTCACGCCATGCAGATTGGACGAGTCGATGCACCAGCACACCTTGATCTGAGGCTCTTACACTCACAAGACCGAGTGACTTCAGTACCGACATCGCGCTATCTAAACGGTGGGGATTCCATGGGCATTCCTCTAGGTTGTTGAAGAAACCTATTTGGTATTCACGAGGAATCACGAAGCCACTTTTTGGTTTGAGCTTTCAACTAATTGGTTTAATTAATGCTTTATGATATCTTGATCTTCCACCAGGAGATAAGCTTCGGACCTAAGCTATTACCAGGAGATAAACCTCGAACTTAAAGCTTAGGATTTCAAAGCTTCAAATCCTATTATCTTGGTGTTTTAAACTAATCAGGGGGATCATACAAAGTCTTAGCAAACTATCAGTCAAACCAGTTCAACCGCTAGCAATCCATTCTGCCCTCCAGACCGACTGACAGACCGTCAGTTTTGCCGCTAACCGTTTGGTTTGAGCTTGAAATCCAACGATTTAAACGGTTGGCAACGCTGGAACAGTCAATGTTCCCTGATTCTGCAGCACTCTCCGAAGGCAACCTGATCTCATCTAGACAGCACCTCTCCTTGCCCTACCTCATCACCAAACATCTTGCTACAAAGAGTTCCGATCCATCTCATCCCAATACCCCTTCCCGAGCTTATCACTAAACCCCAGCTCTACCCCAATCTCACAGTCAGCCCAGTCTTTCAATATGATCTCTTCCTTCCCCTCTTTCCTTCCCCTCAACAACCAGAAACCAAACCCAATCAAAAGGAACGGGAGATACTAACCAGCAAAACCCTCCCCGTCCTTCCCCACAACCTCCACATCAACACCATTACTCGTCGCGTGCACAAGCCACACTTTCGCCTTATACCCCGCTATCTGCGTCTTGAAAGTGTCTGCAAATGGTCTGTGTGTACCACCACAATCAGTCACTAACCTGGACATAAATCCAGTCTTTTCCAGAAGGCGAGACGGAAGAGGTAAGGGGATTCTTTGACTCACGAATCAGCTCTCGCCCTCCCCTTCCCAGCCCAAGCGTCCAACTCCCTCTTATCCTTCACCGCGAACGCGAAGGTTGCAGGGTGGGATTTGATAGCTTTCTAGACGGTGATTTCCTCAGCTTGCTCTACCAACCCTCCACCCCCACCAGGAAAGGAGGAGGGGTCGTACCACATCCTGCACCCCCAACTTGCCCACCTGCGCGTCTTTACGCAGGTCCTTAAGGATGCCATCGACCTGGCCGGTGGCTGAGACGCTTTTGTCATGTCAGTGCATCTTTGGCCATGAGTTTGGATGAAGGATTAGGGTAAAGGTACCTGATTACTAGATCTGTCTCCATCTTGATGAAGGCCTAGGGTTTCGAATTGTTTTCTTGGTGCGATAGCTTGTGAAGTTTTGGTGAGATCAACGCACCCAAGCCCAGAGTTTTCTTGTTATAAAGACCAGGATGGTTGTGCAACTGGGTGAGGTGGGTGGTCGTACAGTCTTTGGACAAAGAAATCACTAAGGGTTCAGGGAGTAGATATTTCCGGATGCGGTCAGCGGTTTCAAAGATGACCGGGTGGTGTAGGGGAGCTGTCTTTGTCCACACGCGGATTTTCACGTATGATACGGGTGTTGAAAGAATATGACTTGTTCGTGTGAATTGAAAGTGTTGCGATGTACGACGTATTACAATGCACAACATATACATAGAAAAGATGATGTGGTACAGTAGATAGAGTAAAATGACTGAGATTGTCTGGAAAGGTATGACGTATAGCGACGAAGAGTATTTCATAAAGGTGCACGTGATCTGAAGCTTTTACACAATAAGGAGAGCAGTGTGTACGTATTGGGAACATTCGCCCTCGCCTGGGTGGAGGATATCATTTGCGATTCTGACTCATTTCAATCTTACCGGCAATATCTTGGTGAGCAGCAGAGATGAGAGCAGGTCAAATTTAGGGATTGCCACTTCGCTTTTATAGTAAAGGGGGAAGGGAAAGGGAGGGGGGAGAGTGGGGAGGGTAAGGTTGAACGGTCCACCGCGTACGTGTGTATATATATTGCGAAATCTTCGATCGTTTCATGTCGGATGCGGTAGATGAATGTTGATACCTTTACAAGAAAGCATAGATAGTAGATCTAAGGAATAGAAGAGCAAAGACTTTCTGTCAGCTGTAATGATAAATTTCGTGCAGACTTTTGTCTATCGGGTAGTCATAACGCCATTCCCATTCATACCAAAGGTTCAAGCAGTCGAAAGTCGCGAACCCTCCGATATCCGACTTCGTTGCCTCCTCAGAACATTTCTCCTCTGCGGTGGCGGCGACGCGGCATTAGTCCTATAGCTCGGTGGTGGAGGAGCCCTACTTTCGACTCCATCCCCGAACCCACCCCCTGCCCCAACCCCAATTCCATACCTCTCACGATTCCCAAACAAATGATCCGGGACCTCCGGAACATCATAAGGATCTACAGCCGGCGGACCCCTCATTTCGCCCTGCCGCCGATCTTCCGTATCCCCATCCGGTATTATGAATCCGTTGAACTGGCTCCGGTTCGCTTGTGCAATCCCGTCTTGGTTTGGCGGCATGGTGGCGTGGGTGACGTTGTCGTAGGGATTTGGAGAGGGGGGTCGGGTCGGTTGTGCAACGGTTCTCACTCGTGCGGGAGTGCTCATGCCTGTCACTGTTGTATTGGTGCGTGAATCGCGGCGTTTTTTATGCCGGCGCACGCGGAAGAGGACGATGAGGAGGGCGATGATAAGGAGGGCGGCTACACCTACTGCTGTGCTCGTTCCTGCGACGACAGCGGTGTTGATATCTTTTTTTGGAGGTGGGGTTGCTGAGCTTGAAGCGCTGCTTGTAGATGTTGAACTTGTGCTCTTTGTGCTTGAGGACGCGGAGCTCTTGGCTTGCGCAGAAACACTCGTCGCTGTTGGAACGGTATCGGTGTTGGTCTCTTGTGGGGCACCATCCTGCGCACCGTCCTCTCCGATTATAGCGAAAGCATGTCCGTCGCTGACTTTGAAGGTGCCCTCGCCAGATTGGCAGCTGCAATTGCCCGACGTGACGTCCGGCCCACAGCACCACTGGTTGTTTCCACAGGAGCTGAGTGTTCCATCGTTATCGCTGACGGGATTGTCTGTGCTTAAATTTAGAACCATGCCGTTCAATGCAATTGCAATCAGAACTTACTCAAGCAGAAGTCTCCACATGCTGTATCATTTCCCTTAGGGTTCGTACATGTCCCTCTAGAGGCCGCCCCCAATTTCAGACCCGGGAAGCTATCACTGGTTTCCGTCACAATGCAGAGGTGATTGTCGAAGCAAGTATATCCTTGAGCGCAACAGAGAGATGTGTACGCGTGCTTGTCACAGGGACGGTGATCGGCGGCATAGTCTCCTCCAGGAAAATAGCACTCCGCACGTACGTTGGTGCCGAGAAGAGCGAGCGAGGCGAATATTGCGGGCAAAAACCTCATGGTCAGTATTTGAGCGAATATTTTGGAGAAGACTTCGTGATTGTGAAGGTTCTTTTTAGAAAAATTTGAAATTCTGGTGCCTGCCGAGAAAGCCTAACGAGGCTTGGACCGCCGGTGACATCGGGCAGGTGCTCTCACGTTAGTCTGAGCGCCACTGTGTACTGACGCGGGTTTGCAGGAGAGCTACCTCGATTGAGGAGACGATTATGCACGGCCAAGCTTGGTGGAAATGCGCAGGCCTGCCATAGCGAAATATGGGGGCGAGCCTTGCCTAGTGACCAATGATATTTTGCCGAAAGCAGCAGGCTGAGCTCTAGTCGTATGCACCTCTACCCAGTCACACAAGTTCGAGACCTTGCCAGCAAGCAAGCTGTGGCTTATGACACCCTCTTCAAAGAGCGCCGCCACAGGCGTGGGAGCCTTGCGTGTCGCCGGGCTCGGTCAATACCCCGCCAATCTCACTGCGGACGAGACAACTCATCCTCTCTTGCCAGATGATCATCTATGACATTCTTGCTTGGTTATTCAAATACGTGTCACTCATGATGCAAGCCTCGTCGAACATATTTCCTCTTGCTCTCCGTCCCGGTCAAGGCGGTATGGCTCAAGCACAGCATCCGGATCGAGATGGGTATGGCTCGGAGGAAGAGGACGAGATGCCTACATTCCCTGACGATGAGTCTTCAGCGGATGGAATTGAGCGTGCTACCCCTAGTTTGCTGCTCGAAGGTTCATCCGGCGGACAGCTAGTATCACGATCGCACCGTGAGCAAGGCGTTCTCCAAGCCAGAAACACATGGCTAGACGACTTGACGAACAAGATGCTGCCTCCAGAAGAGACGGACCTCATGGTCAGCAGGCTAGCGAAACATGCGGACGAGCAATTTAAAAGAACATACGTGCGAGGCGTACCCACTGTTGAGGTACAAGAGTCGGCCGTCAATCTCATGGTAGGCTTGTCTTTCCTACCAGGAGCAGACAAGCCACAAGTCAATCGATTCGAGCAGACGGATATGGCAGGCAATGCGCCAGACCAGAAAGATGCAATGTGGCGTGTGAACACAGCTGGCTCCCTCCTCACAAACCACGACGTAGCCCAAGATCTGTCGATTATACAGACTGAACAAACTTCGAAGGTGGTCCGGAAGGTCATTGATCGAAGGAGAAACGAGGACTGGCTGAGTCGCAAGAAGGTCAAGATGATTGGAGAGATCGCGCCTGACGCCGTCACGATCGATAGCAAGCGTGTCAAGCTCGTGTCCGATTTGAGAACAAGTCAATGGGATCTGGAAGCGATGCTTGTTGAAGTCGATGGTAGTTCGCTTTCAGATCTGATGATCAGGTTTAGAAAGATGATCTCTATTGGTGGACCGCAAATGTCCTTTTCAGAGACAAAATTGGTGTTGGAGCAGATGATCGAAGACGCTCGCAGGCTGTGTACGCGATCCCCGATCCTCTTCCGCATGTCGACCCGGACTCGAATCATCAGCTCTAAAATAACACGATATGGCGTTGATCACAGTCCGATGTTTCGTACTTTGACGGTTCGCAGATGCATCCTTCCATGTGTACGAGTTAGGCTGACTTGGTGAAGACTAGTAAAGGGATCCGAGAGATCATCTCGCTGAGCGCGTCGTACTTTAACTCATTGGATCCTTCGGGCAGTAATGACAGCACCCAAGCTTTCATCAGACCGCGGTTCCTCCAGATGGTGGTTTTGCTGCTCTCACTTGTCAACAATGAGGACTTGGCTGAGATAAAAGACTTTCTCGAATCAACCTATGGTCTGAAAGCAGATAGACGCAGCTTAGAGCTCACGTTCCTTAAGGTCATTCCTTTGATATCAATCAATCCGCGGGTCTTCATGAAGTCTTTGGTAAGATGAGTCCGGTCATATCAGAATGTGGCTGACATTTCATGAAAGATACCAGCTGTTGAGGGCTGGCCACTGAATTCCATCAATGACAGCGTGCATGACCAAAGGTGGGACATATTCATCATGAGAATACTGGAACATGGTTATCTATTGCCTGGTACAGTCACAGATATGGGACGAATAAACAAGTCCTGGATCGTGAAATGGCCCGAGGACGGTTTCAAGTCCAACTCGATCTTTAGCCATTTGCAATACTGTGGGACGCTACGCACCATGAATGAGATTCCTCCGATGCAATTGCACCCGAGTGAGGGTCTTAAAGAGATCACCGTGGTCCTTACAGATGACAGCAAATACATAGTTGCCTCTGATGACATTGAAAAGATCACCTGCCTCTCCCCTGGAGTGTACCCAGTACAAGAGACTACAGCTGACAAACGAGTCTTCGATTTGCTGATTCGTGAAGAGCCAGTCAGCGCCGAACTCAATGAGGCCATTCGATTCTTAAACAACAATATCCAAAGGTTCAACACTCTGCTTGCAAATCCGAAGAGAAGAGCAAGTGTGAAAGGATTCTTGACCAAGAAGAATCCAAGTGATGTGGCATTCATGAACGAGCTGCCAGGTACAGGTCGACTGACGAAGCATACAGCCATGCTTTGTGGCCGTGTGCTTGCTGTTGCATTCAAGATCGAGGGTCGCACAATCAGCCGAAGTGAAGCCGTCCGAAGTATGAGCCGAGAGTGTCAGCTCGTCCGTAGGGTCGTCAAATCCATTGAGAATCGCTGGGGAACGGTGGATCCGAAGATGTTCTTTAGCGACGAGAAGAAGGAGCTCAAGCAATCACTCGAGACTATCCGAGACCAGCTTCTTCTCGCCGACAACAGACGGGCGAACATCGGGCAGGAAAGGGATCTGTCAGAAGAGCCAATTGCAAAGACTCTCTATCCTGATGGAGGCAACGGGCTGGATGCCAGTTCTTGGAATGAATACCGCGCATGGTGCCAAGAACATAATGGGGCGCTGAATATCGAGGCGAAACAGGTTACAGTCAGCGCTGTCAGGTGGTTAAATGATGAGATTGTCGAATTGTCCTTGTACCAGCAGGTGGCAAAGATATTCGTGACGCCTCTTCAGCCGGTGCCGGAAGGATACCGTGAGGATGAAGTAAGACCTGGGGATACTGGTCTATTGGTCGGAAGATACTTCGCTATTGGAGAGCCAGACAATGAGAATGCCGACCCGAAGGCCCCTCTCATCATGACCAATTACCTGAAAATCACAGGCCAAGAAGAGGAGAGTAAAGGGAGGCGTGGAATGAACCGAGGGCAGAAGACTGAGACCAGGCTGATTCAAAGTTTCAAGTAACGGAGTATGTTGACATTGCAATCGATATCCTACAAGTCTTTAATTAGATTTGGACGTATTCCTCCTGTCAATGTGGTACTAAGAAGTTTCAATCGTAATATGTGGAGCGTGTGGGTCTTGGAGAATCCGGAGTTTCAATTATTGGAGCTGCATCTACGTCTCGCAAACGAACGAGATTCTCAGTATAGTAGTCAATGATGATGATCCAAAGATGCATGCTCCTTTTTGGTGTTTCTTCCTTTGAAGTTCTGCCAGGGTCCAGAGGGCAACATCCCAGACCGACCCATGGTCGATGAGTTTAACGATGGTCGAGCTAGATTCTGCTGTCTTAAGAACCTCAAGAATCATGTCTTCCGCCCTATAGTCCTTTCCTGAGGGTTGCAACGGCCCCTTCTTTCGATTTGCAGCGGCTTGGAGCGGCCATCGTCCGACCCATCGACCCTCGGACGAGCCTGAATCTCATGCAAGACCTCTCGTGACAATATGATTTCATGCTCCGGATTGCAGCCTCAACTTTGTACTTTGGGTAACACTACAATGGACTTACTCAGTCAAAGGAGGAGACCTCGATACACAACTCGTCAAGAAATGATTGACGGGGAGGGTCGATGTGGCGAAATTGGCCGGAGAATAATCCTTTGATAAATATCTCTACGGCGGTCCATTGCGCCTAATTGGTGCAAATAAGAGCTCCACAATCCAAATGAAGGTCCAATCAAGGCATGTTCTTTAGGACAAAAAGCTCGCTGAAGTCTTGATGGTACGAACATGGCTCATGTGATTTCTCTTATGTACAAATTCCCAACCCATCTTCTCTCTCTCTCCAATTTTCCCATGAACAGACTTCCGCCCGCTCCCTCCTAGACTGCCCACCCCTTACCCTCTCAAGTCAGCCCATCATTAAAATCCAAGCTCACACCTCAGCTTTTGCCCCACCCTCTTTGCCACCAGCCTTATTCTCTCCAACGCTCAACGGCCCCCTCTTGACCATAGCGCTTATGACCTCGAATAGCACGTCCGCTGCCGCCATAGTCGTCAGCTCAGCATTGGTATCATACGCAGGCGCCACCTCCACGATATCAGCCGCCACAATATTGACATCTTCGATACCCCTCAGAATAGTCCTCAGCTCGCGGGTCGACCAACCGCCTGTTTCGGGGGTGCCAGTCGCGGGAGCAACTAGACGTCCATCAGCACAATAGTTAAAGGGGAGAATGAAAAGAGCCAGGGCAGCATACAAGCTGGATCCAGAGTATCAATATCAATACTCAAATACACTGGCTTCTCTGTCCCGACCCTCTTCCTGATCTTCTGAATGATCGCCTCCGTACCAATAGTATCGATTTCGCGTGCCTCCACAATCTCAAAGCCGCAATAGCCGTCATTTTCATAGTCGGACATGCCGCTCAGTGTTGTGCGGATGCCAGCGTGAATGTTGCTGTCGTTCGCCAACAGCCCCTCCTGGTGCGCATGATAGAAGTAGGTGCCGTGATTAATGCTCGCTTGCTCGGTCGGGGCTCCGCCGAAGACCTTCGGCCGCCAAGTGTCGAGGTGGGAGTCGAAGTGTATAACGGAGATGGGGCCGTAAGCAGCGGTGACGGAGCGCAGGAGAGGGAGGGTAATGGTGTGGTCACCGCCGAGGGTGATTATTCTTGGCAACGTACGGCCTTTCTTACTTATCCCTGGCTTGGTGGCATCTGTGGCTGGAGTGCGAGTGAGGAGGCTATTGTGGCCGTGTTCGATTTGGTAGAGAGCGTAGGCGTTGTCGTAGCTCGTGACTGGTATGTCGCCGCAGTCGAGGATCTTAGCCCAATTATTGAAGGCGTTCACGCCGAGGGGGACGTTGTAGCCACCGCTGAAACGGACTTTGCGTAAGCCTGGTGGGTGTGTGAGTTGGTAGGAGACGTACTAGAGGTTTAGGCGGCGGGAACCTTGACGGATTCCTGAGGGACCGAAGCGAGCGCCGGGGCGGTAGGATGTGCCTGTGTCGAATGGGGCGCCTGGACGACTTCAGCATCATTTAACTTGATGGGGTATGAACCCTTTGGAGGATCCTGAGGTGCAGAGCAACATTATATGAGACAGGAAGGCGTACCTAAGAAAGCAATATCGTATTTCTCTTCGTGGGAGGCGAGGCAGGGAAAGTAAGGGAGGCGGCCGAATGTAGATATGCCTGAGAAGACGGAGTCGGCCTAGCGATAAGTCAGTGATGGGCAGTTGAGGATCAGTAGTGGTAGTAGTACCTGTGTGCCACCATCTCCAGGTATCTTGTCCATACTATTGTACCATAAGCTCTGGTGTGGGCCAGCAATGGGCTCTTGACTGTGGTCATCATGGGCGAGAACGCAAGATGAAAGAGCAAGAACGCAGAAAGCTTTGAACAACATGTTTGCAGTCACAGTTGAACGAGAATGTATGGCGATGGGAATATACGATCCTGACAATAAGCAGTCACTCGAGAGGCATGAGGCTCTAGGCTGTTGTGCCTGGATGGCCTTGCGCGCAAAGCTTCTGATGATGACGATGACAATTTGGTAAGCCCCATGGCTGTGGAGGTAGGCCAAGCGAGAAGAATAGCTCCCGCTGCAGCTATCTCGGTGCAATAGGCGGTGAGGGTTTTGATCGAGTAATGGGTAAGAAGGAACAATCATCGATTCGAGCCGTTATCGACGTTTGTGGGGCAGATGCTTGGCAAAAACGCGGGATGGGAAGGATGGATGGTGACGAAAGGCACGCGAACAGAAGGCTTATCTTTTACCGTATGTTGGGTTCGTCAGTCAAGAACGGAAGGTGATGGAAGCAGATCAGGAACACACAGCTGTCAATTGAAGATAGAACATTGGTCAATGGGTGCTGCTTGTTATGGCTTGACGGACATCAGATTCTATGTACAATTCTTGAGGGCATTCATCTTTCTATATACCTAATGTCGTACTTCGTAACATCATCCCGCCTATGTTAATCTCTCCGCTCGTGACTCTCCCCATTGTCGATTGCGTTGTCCTCGTCATCGTCATGGTCCATTCGTTCGAAGCATTTTTTCACCTCGTAGTCCCAGTCACTGAAGGCCACAATAGCCCACTCTAATATTCCGACGCAGTAGAGCGCAATGCATTGCCCAACCCATAGACCTTTCAATCCCCATCCATGGAAAGCCAGCCAGACCCCCAAAGGCAAAGCCCCGCAGTAGTAGCTGACAATGTTCACTGCAGCCCCAATATGCTGCCTACCCATGCCCCTCAAACTGCCCCCACAACTCCCATTCAAACCATCGCTAATTTGGAACAATGCCACAAAAGGTAGAACTTCAGACGTCAATTTCACCACAGCCGGATCGTCGTTGAAAATCTTGGCAAAGACGTTTTTCGTTCCCATCAGTATCACCAGAACTACCGCTCCAAGGAAGATTGAAAGCCAGGCGGCCGTATTGGCTGCCCTTGCGGCTCCCTTTGCACTTTTTGCTCCCAAGAGGTTTCCTACCCTGGCGCTCGCCGCGACTCCAACGCCAAAAGGTATAGTATTCATGACTTGATCCGCAGTCATAATCACGCTCTGCGCAGCCAATGGCAGAGGGCCCAATCGCCCAGCAGCAAGCGCAACAATCTCGAACGCCCACCATTCTGTCCCAACATGAATGAAACCTAGCGCCGCGAGGCGAGCGAAGGTGACGATATTGTGAAATGGCCTGAACGAGCGGGTGGTCCATCCGCCCCAGTGTTGAGAACCAGAAACGAAACGAGTGTATGCGACGAGACCGAGGAAAGAGAGCCAGTAAGAAATGCTAGTGGCGAAGGGGGCACCAAGTAGTCCAAGGTTCAAGGGGTAGATGAAGAGATAATTGAGGAGGGCGTTCAAAGGGGAGGTGATGAGGAGGATGTAGGTCCCGGGCCGCATGATTTCTGGGTGAAGCGTCAGTCTCCAGTGGAAAGAGAACACAGATGGTGAATGAGGTGGGTACCTTGTGCCTGCAAGAATTTTTTCATACACTCGAAATAGATATAGCCGAGGGCACCTGGCATTAAACACCAGAGAAAGCGAGCGCTGTCACGACTCAGATCGGGGTTCTGGCCAAGAGCAAGGAAGAAGGGCTCCGCACAAGCCCAGAGCACGGCGATAGGAATAAAGAAAAGTGTAAGGACGATGAAGGCTCTTTGTAGGACGATGCCTAGATCGTGAGGATCTTTGCTACCTGTGAAGGTTGCAGAGGCTATTGTGTCCATTGCCGTGGTACCGCCCAAAGCTATCAGCCATCCCGAGCACATGGCGAACATGTACGAGAATGCTGCCACTGAGAGGTCATGAGGCGAGGAACGGCCGACGATGACGACGGATATAGTCTGGAGGGACATCTGAAGGGTGTAGGCAAGGATGACGGGGATGGAGCCACGAAGGAGTATCTTGAACTCTTCCCACACAAGCCTAGTTGTTGACCTCCCTTTGACCTCATCTTGGGGGGTCTCAGGGTCTTGAGTGCCGTTGGCGTCTTTAGGAAGTAGTGATGAACGCTCGTCTGCTTCATTGTATTCGCCGTCTTCTTTCCAGACTTTGAGCTTGCGCATGAATTTTGGAAGCCATGGATGGGCTTCACCTGTTTCCCCCATCAGGCTGTGCACAAGATTATACAATATACCACAATTCAATTAGGGCATCAACATGCAATGAGGGCCATTCAGTCTTGAACGGAGTGATTGAGAGGAGGTGCGGCGGGTGTGGTCAGACATACCCGAATATGAATGATGTCGACGCATTTTGGCTGAGAGCGCGAACGTCTAAGGCCTGGTCGCGGGCCCAGAGATACCATTGCTGTGGCTCACTGCCCTCGATAATCTCCGTAGCCTGCATGTGCACGAAGCCAATCATTTCACCAGCAATGCGTCAGAGCATAAGCCTGTCAGAGACTTTGCATGTACGGTGCGATCTCGGCCAAGCTCGGACGATGAGCTAAATAGCGTGGGGTAAATAGCGGAGGAAAGTCCACTACCAAACGCCAATCGAGACAATCCGTATCTTTGGGTCTTTTCCCGCTGGATGCTTTCGGGAGACGGACGCCATGCTGCACGCATGGTGATGCGCTCGCGTGCTGTGTGCTTTCGTATGGCACAATTATAAGGAGAATTAAAAACGTTGAAGTTTTGGGGCGTTTGTTTTTGCAGAAGGTTCGGAGAAATCCCGCCGTAATACCGGCCTTGGCATCTACGTCAGACTGGGCGAGTCTCTCACCTTCGTTACTGCCTTATACCTGCAGACCGCTTGAGAGCATGCTCAAAGACACACGGCAGCTCTATATCGTCTTTTCTCCTTGGCAAGCCTCTTCGCCTGCAATTGTATGACGCCTTCTTCAATATTGCTGACTTTCCTGATATGTCAATGATAACGGCAGCATATCGGCCCCCTTTTCAGCCAATCAACGCCCTCCATGTCGAGGCCCAGGAGGATCTTCCAGTACTCGAAAAGCGGAAGGTGATCTCGGTTCCTCCATCATCTGCAAGTGATACGGAAGACGCGATGATGATACGTGGGAAGGTCTACCCTAGAGATCCACTAAGATTTCCAATCATGCAGGTGCCATGCAAGTTCCATGCTATTGCCCTGCACCCCATGCTACACCCTTGTCAGCATGTCACTCCGTGGGTGAGCTCATGAGGATCTGGACCCGAGCTCTCTTGCTCATTCGGATCTTCACTCTCTTCTGTTCTTGCTCGTTGTCGCTATCATCGCAATCTCTTTCCTGTTCGTGATATATCTTTGCGCTTTCTTTCGTTGGAACTTGTATATGAGAAGATAATACACAAGATGGCAGAAAACGAGAAACAGGCAATAGCCGTCGACTCATCAAACGACATTCAGGAAAAGACAGGCTCAAAGTCTCCCGACTTTCAAGCAGAGCCAGACGACCTCGCAGTCTCCCACGATGGTATCAAACTGCACCCACAACCAACCTCAGACCCTCTCGATCCTCTAAATTGGTCGCCTTACAAGAAGCATGCCATTCTTGGCATAGTGATGTTCAAGTCAGCAGTATCTCTATTAGTCAACAGCCTCAATCTAACTATCACTCCAGGTATTTCATGTTCACCTACATAACCACCACCACCGTCCCATCATTTCCCCAACTCCAAGATGAACTCGGCATCTCTTACAGCCAAGTAAACTGGACCGTCGCCATCCCGGCCCTCGGACTCGCCATTGGGCCCCTCGTCTGGTCCTCCCTATCCGACATTTATGGCCGCCGCATAATCTTCATAATCGGCACTCTGATCGCCTTCTTCGCCACTATCGGCGCCGGCAAGCCCAGTAACTATGGTGGCTACATGGCAGCGCGCTTCTTCCAAGGCTTCGGCGTCTCTCCAGGCGCAACAGTCGGCATGGCTGTCGTAGGCGACCTCTTCTTCGAGTACCAACGGGGCCAGAAACTGGGGCTGTGGGTCCTCGCCATCGATTCAGGTCTTCTCGTTGGTCCTATACTCGGCGGCTTTATCGACTTGGTCAGTAGCGCGTGGATTCAGTGGTTCACCGCCATCCTCTTCGCGGTGCTGCTGGTACTAGAAATCGCTTTCATGACAGAGACGTTGTATCCGCGCAACACGATGCTCGCCCGCCTCCCCCACTCCTCCGTCACTAGCGACCCCGAGAAATCTACCTCCACGACGGCTGGCGGCGTCACAGACCTCCCGCGCACTAGCGCCCTGCCCTTCCTCAACATCAAACCCGTCCCTGGAATGAGGCATCCCAAACCCTGGGACTCGCTCCTGCGCTTCGGGCTGACGGCCAAATATCCAGTCGTTGTCATCTCAATCATAATCTACTGCTACGCATGGTACTGGTGGATCCTTTCCATTATCACCATGATACCCGCGGCCTACGTGTCCTACAAGCCGCAAATTCAAGGTCTCCTTTTCATTGGCCTGCTGCTCGGCACTCTTTTCAGCGAATTCTTCTTCTCCGGCCGTCTATCCGATATCATCGTCTCACGACTTGCGAAGAAGAACAACGGAATCAGAACACCCGAGATGCGGCTGTGGTTGGGCTACCCAGCCGCAATACTGAGCGCGATCGGGTTGATTATCTGGGGCGTTAGTGTGGATAAAGGATACCACTGGATTGTGGGACAGATCGCGTTTTTCCTCTTCGCAGCAGGGATACAGATGGGGAACACGGTCGTCACAAGCTACGTGGTTGACTCGTACCCGCTGCAAAGTATGAGCGTGATAACTTTCTATTCTGTATTTTTGAATCTGAGCGCTTTCATTGATCCGGTGAGTCGGCCCCTTTCCCGTCTCCAAACCCCTTCTTCAACCCTCCTTTCTTCTCCTGCTACAATCAAATAATCAAGACTCCGCTAATGATTTCTACAGTTCTACATAGCCTCCTGGCAAGCCCGCAGCGGCTGGACATGGTGTTTTGCCGCGCAGGGCATCATAACTTTCTTCATCAGCGTGCCGGCCTTCGCTGTGTTACACAAATTCGGCCCGATGTTAAGGCATAAGAGCGGGGCGATGCCTTGGTTGAATCCGGAGTATGATACCCTTTGATTGTGTAGGATTTGGAATGTATATACGTCGGGCTGTTCATAATACATTATTTCGTTACATTGATACTCTGTTTTCTCTCGGGATCTTAACGTTCAGACTCTTTGAATGGAGTTGATGAGGCTGAGAACGCGGAGAATCAAAGATGCGGTAGCCGCTTGCGGCCTTTATGAATTGGTCCAAGACTAAGGTAAAAGGACATGGTAATACTCGCGTATGGGTAGGGAGAACGTTGAGGACTGTATATTTGAAGCCCCCCGCCGTGTTCTCTCCACTTGCCTCTCATTGCGAATCTAGATGTCTAAGGAGAAGGGGATAGCTAGCAAGATTTTTGATCCCACAGCAGTATGCGTAGTGGCGAGTTAACACGGTATATAAGGTGTTTTTATAGAAGTAGCAAAGGAAGAAGCCAGAGACACAGAGTCTCTTCAGGTGGGAGGCTTGCAATATATGCCCGTTCCTCAACCATATGTGTATACTCATGACCAGATATCAACACCCTGTTTCCCTTTCCCGTTCTCCATTCCCCATATCTCTTTTCATTCCTGCCGCCGCTCCACCCTTCTCATCACGTCACCCTCGCCTCTTCCTTTCTTTCAACCCCCCTCCTTCAACAATCAAAGCCATCAAGCTCTCATAAACAACCCACATCTTTCCCTCTCCCACCCACAAACCCAAAAAACCCTTTCCTGGCCCCCCATCACCTCTACATCCCCAGCGTGTCCAGCTACCCTTCCCTCACCTACCCTCCCCGCATTCCTTATCTGCCCCACGACCACAGCTCTAGCGGGCACACCGCACGGACACAACGGCCGCTGTCTCCCCATCCCTCCCGCGCCTCTGGCTCTTACCCCCACACGCGTGATATCGCCGAAAGTCCTTGCGCCGTCACCACCTAACCCGCCCGATGCACCCGTTCCACCCAGAACTCCGACCCCCACCCCAGCCCCAGCCCCAGCCCCAACACCAACACCACCAGCACTACCAGCACTAACAGCAGCGGCGTCAATATCCCCACCTCCACCTCTTATAAACTCCATCTCCTCATCCCTCTCCCTCTGCAAGATGTCCCCATGCTCCACCGCAGCAGAAGATGGGTGCCCATACCGTCGCACCTGTCGCTCAAACACCAGCCCCGCCTCTGCCTCCCCAGCACCGGTGTCGTGGCGAGGAAGCGGATATCCCGCTGTCGTGGGCGAGAAGTAGTATGGATGATGCCCGTGCCTGTCCCTGCGATGCAGTTGGCGTCTCGAGGGGCCCGTGCCGTGGAAGCGGGGGGAGGAGGGTGTACGGACTGGCCCTACCCCTGCCCCTGCCCCTGCCCCCCGAGGTATTCGAGGTTTGTGGTACTGCTTGTGTAAGGGTGTGTGGTGGTTAGGAAATGGGGATGCTGAGGCGGTGGGGGGAGGGGAGCGGGTTCCACAGCTGAGGGGAAGGTTAGGGGGTCGAAGGCCCATGTTATACTTTTTGGACTTTGGGAGATTGTTGGGGGTTGGAAGGGTGGGGGGCCAGGGGCTAAGATTTGGTGGTGAGAGGAGAATTGATCGGGATAGGTGTGGGGATCTTGGAGGTGGGAGTAGGAGGGTGGAGAGGGTGGTGTTGGGGGGGTGATTGTCCAGGCGATGGAGTGCGTGGGCGCGGCTGTGTGGGTACTAATGTCGACGTTTGGAGGGAGGGTGAGTGAGGCTCGGGAGCGAGGGACCTCTTCGTCGTAGGATTCGGTTTCTGCTCGTGTTTCTTGTGTGCTTGAGATGCTGCTTTGTTTTCGTTGTGTGGCGGAGTTGATCTCTTCTTGTGCTTGTAGTGAGGGGACAGTGATAGGCTCTAGCATGCTTTGCTTGCGGTTTGGGTCAGGCATCCAGCCCATGAAGTGATCGCAGGTCGTGCATTTGAGGTATGACGCTCCGATTTCAGAAGCGAACGTCGAGAGGGAAAGATCAGTTGCTGTGATATTTGAGAAGCGACAATTGCATGATAAATTGGTCGGAGAGGAAATGGACATGTTGGTGGAAAGAGGCGTCGCTCAGGCCAAAACAACGATCTCTCAATAATCATGGCATTCGCTATATTGCAGATTGCTTAGCAAGAGATAAGAGAGTAATGTATGCTCGAAGAGTCCGCAGAGAAGTTGAGTACGTGGCAGCAGCACATCTTTGGATGCAAGCAGAAGACTCTTGTCCGTACTCAAGCGGTGAGACTCCCCACATAAATCCTGAAGCAGGGTGCAGGCCATGATCGCAAGCCATCAACAACAAAGAGAACGGACGTTGTCAACCTTCTAATCTCGCTAGTGGACGAGTAAGGGTAGGTCGATCCAATTGAGAGCCCACTTTCGCTAACATCGATGTTTGTCTTTCATGCAAGCATCCGTATCCCAAGCGGCACGTCGACTCTGCGTTCTTACCACGTCAACATTGCGTACACTTTTTCCTCGGTGACCTACGGAAGATCGGCGTAGTGATGAGAGCGTCCTGGGCAGTCTTTTGAGACATGAATTCAGAAATTTATAGCACATGATCGAGCCTGTGCAATATCGAGATAGAAGGCGAGACGTTTTTGCAAGTAACCCATTACCTGGCATGAAGTCAATTTCCTCAGATTTCAACCACTAGCCCGAAATCACAACTAAACGCGCACAAGGGGATTTCCTTCGAGGGTAATCTCGACCTTTGAGGGCGGCGCGGCTCTCCTATACCAGACTAGGCACCACATACGCCATTCTGCGGGATACGAAGTAGTATGAGCTGCGAGGCAATTCTCAATTTCGTACCAAGAAATTGTGAGTTTCAAGTGTACAGCTGGCTAGACTTCGGCATTGATAGAAGCCAGAATCATAGCGCCGAAAGATGTATGGCATTAGATAGACGTCACACACTAATATGTCCTGATATTTCTGGCCAAAGTTGCGAGGAAATCGCCTAGCATGTCAGGATCCTCAATCAGTAGCTCTTTGAACCCACCATGAGACTCTACAGTCTCCATCTCGGTCGCAACGTAGAACATTAGCATATTCCTGATGTCCTCTGTGCCTGTGCTTGATGGCGATGTTTCCGCATATACGTATTTGATCAAGCTTAAGATGTCTTTTACGCGCTTGTGAAACAATGCGAAGCATGTCAGAGTATCATATAGCTTCTTGAGAGCGAGCTTCTTTAGCGGCTGTATGTCATATTTCTCCGCAAACACATAGACTTGTGCATGAGACAGGAACACCTCTGTATAGTCCTCCATAGCCACGGTATTTGGCCGAACGTCAGACGCAGTCTGGGGCTCCACAGGGAATCGCGTAGTCCCCCAGCTGACGAATCTTTGCTTCAGGCTGGTAGATTCTGGCGTATTTTTCTTCTTCTTCTTTCCCAGCGGGGCATCAAACCAATCATCAGGGCCAATAGTGTGGGAGAGATTGGATTCCGCTTGCGACCATGAGCTCAGAACGGTGTCCGAACCTGGATCCCAATCATCCTCGCTCAGGGTATGCTCAGCAGCCTTGTAGTCCTTGCTGTACATCCACCGGACAAATCGGGTGAAAGTATCCTCGGTCACCTCTTCAAGGATGGCAAAGCCTTGATGTGCTTCTTTATGAGGTCCGGAGATCATACAGCTGAGAGGAGCGGAGCAGGCGGAGACCAATGAGGCATGGACGTAGAATGGTTTTCCCCGTATGATGAAGGTAAAGGGTTTTGAGAGGAAGATGCTGTCCATTGTTCAGCTATGACAGCGCTGGGGACCACTTCAGATTCTACTGACTCTTGGTCGGAGAGAATCATGGCGTGAGTCGATACGCTGAAGCCGAGCAGCTCTTTACTGCAAAACCCAGGCTCGTACCATTCGCCAGTGTGTTCCTAGGCCTCGCTATCAGACCTTCAAAGAAAGTCAGAGACGACCATAGATAGAGGAACAGAGATGGGAGTCGTGAGGCTGTACAAGGCTGACAAGGCGGAGGGATTTGCTTTACGGCGACCTTTTGATGCGTAAACGCTCAAACTCGGTGTGACGCAGCTGAGAACTCCTCCTTCGTTGTATCGGCTGGCGAGCATTCACCTTCTTTAAGCAAGCAGCTCTGACGTAAACCTTTTGTGGTGCTGATGATGCTTGCTGTCTGTGATGTAGCGGCCTTGGGTTGGAGACGCAGTCTCCTGCCATACGAGTAATTCACGTTGCCTGATAGGGCGCACCCACATCTCGCTCGAATCCTGACACCTATTGCCTCTGCCACTTCCAAAACTGGCGCCACCAATCTTGTCTAACGGTCGAACCCTATCTCGACGAAATAACACTTCATCTTTCTTAGGGTATCTGTTTCCACGCGCTCGACAGCGTGCAAGAGCTCGGCTTTCCGCCTTCCGCCACGAAACCCTTCCATACTACAAGCTTCGAGCACAGTCTCGCATATATCGCTTTATTGTCAAGCACCAAGATAGAAGACGACAGCGGCGAGCTGCTGGGAAAGGCATACTGTGGAGGCTTGGTGGCAAGAAGGGGATCAGGAGAGTCTTCAAGCCTAAGCATGCTGGTGGGGCAGCAAATTCTGCTCTAGTCCGAGCAATTGCGTCAAAAATGGATAGCATTACTGGGTATTCAACTACTCGCGAGCCTGGAACGCGGAGAAAGAAGCTGGCTGGTTATCTCAAAGCGGCCAACGAGCTCCGCCAATCATACCAGCAGTCTTACGGGCTTGGAGGTCAAGATGGCGAAACCACTGAATACGATACATCAGTGCCGGGAGCATACACGGATGGCGCAGTCGTGCGCCATGGTGATGAAGAGATGATATTGTTTCCAAGCTATGCCAGACGTCATCAACCCCGTCGGATTCCACGCCCGAAACCTGGCGCTGAAGACGATTTGCGAAATGAACAGGGACCTGGAGACGCCGAATATTGGAAAAGAGAGTGGGATCAATATGAAGACGAGAATGCAATAGTAGATGTGGATATAAGGGGTTGGGTGTATGCGCCGCAGAGAGGGCAAATGAACAGGAAGAACCGCATAATGGTAGGTATTGCGAGGAGGCTAAGTGGGCTACCAGCTCCAGCTGGTAGTCGAGAGTCAAGCCCAGCTTCACCGCATCATGCACGAGTGGAAGCACGAGCTGCAAGACATGAGAATGAAATTGCGGAACAGGAAGCGCAGTCAATCGAAAAGACGGGAAAAGCAGAAGGTGATATCGCACAACTGGGAGGTTACAGCGAGGCTCCTGACAGATTGTATGATCAGTCCAGTCTCCATAGCACCTCTGCACCAAGTCGGACATCTTCACCCGATACCAGGATTACTCGGCCTAAATCTACCAGCTCTTTACGAAGTGTCGACAAGCGATCTTCATGGAACCAACCTTCAGAGATGAGCCCAGAAGAGCTATCTACTGCGAATTCCCATCTCATGGTCAGGTTAAGACCATTTCTACATATACCGCTTATGAGCACGCCCCTCACTGTGTTTTTCTACAATGACAAAAATTCCAAGTCGCGTACAACTACCACTAACGACGCTGGTCACTTTCTGCTCCGGGCAGCCCTAGACTTTATACCCACTCACGTGCGTGTATTAGCCTCGGACAAGTTATCCGCATCTGAGGAGGTTCAGATCACGGAACCAAAGGGTGTGAGCTTGATCAGTGATATTGACGATACGATCAAGCATTCAGCCATTGGTAGCGGCGCCAGGGAGATATTCCGGAATGCATTCATACGCGAGCTTAGTGATCTCACCATCGAGGGAGTCAAGGAGTGGTACACCACCTTGTCTGATATGGGCGTAAAGCTGCACTATGTGTCCAATTCCCCTTGGCAATTCTACCCAGTCCTCACCAGTTTCTTTGCATCTGCTGGTCTGCCAAAAGGATCCTTTCATCTGAAACAGTATACAGGCATGCTGCAAGGAATTTTTGAGCCCGTTGCAGAGCGGAAAAGGCCGACGTTAGACAGGATAATGACAGACTTTCCAGATCGGCGGTTCATACTCGTTGGTGACAGTGGTGAAGCGGATCTCGAGCTTTACACAGACATTCTTCTCGAGAATCCTGGCAGGATCCTAGCAGTCTTTATTCGTGATGTAACTACGGATGAATCACGGCTTTTCTTCGATTCCTCTCGTCCTTCAAGTCCTATACATCCTCCAGGTGGACAATCAAACACTGTCTCCTTGAAATCAAGCACTTCCTCGAACGAAAAGAAGCGGCCTATTCTGCCACCAAGACCATCGACCCAAATTTCTCGAACATTAACGAGTACCCAAACCGAACAGCCACGGACTGGCAAGCTCATTGACTTTGACGAGGAATCCGGAGCCAAAACAACTTCAACTGCTCCTGCACACCCCGTAAAACCCGCCAAATCTCCGCCACCCTCTAGACCTGCGAAACCTCTTGCTCTACGGCCTGCTTCAAATTCTCCGACCCAATCTGCGACAAGCATAAATCCCCCAATTAGTAGCAAACCCGCTCCGCCTCCACTCCCGAAGCCTCGTCGGACAAACACGGCACCAGATCAACCCAACACACCCTCAGACCCTTCGCCCTTGTCACGCGTCCAAAATGCATCTTCTCGACCTCGAATGCCTGCTCCAATAGAAGCGTACTCATATCGTACAGCCATGAAGAATACTGTTGTCTCAGCCTACAACTCTTTGCCAGCTTGGAACGCTAATGCTGCTCCTTACTCTCAGCCGCTGTCTTTGACAAATGCCTCGAATCAAAGTCGACAACCTCCGCCTGTCCCACCACGAAGAAATGTGTCATCATATCCTTCTTCTACGCCCAATGGAAATTCTGGCTATGGTATTGCTGGTCCAGGTAATGGGGCATCTGATCCGCTGATGAGCAAGAAGGAAGAATTGTGGATGCGGAGATGGGAGCGAGCGAGAGCAATCTTCGAAGAGAAGGGTGTTCTGCTTCGGAGTTGGCGAATTGGAGAAGACGTCGCCGATGAGTGTGTGAGACTTGCCGAAAAGGCACTGAAGCAAGATGAGCAGAAGAAGTAAATAGGGAGTGCATGACCTGCAATGGAGTTCCAGCAAGGAAAAGCAACGTTGAAATCGCTTGCTATATATGAAATGGCTACGGTGTGCATAGCGAGGCGTTGGCCACATGTGAATATAATTAGGGATACAACTTAATCGGCTGCTGGGACCAGACAGGAGTATGAATGTACCATTACTTAAAATTCTTAAGAGGTAGTCTGAAGGTGTCAAGCACTCTCTTGGCCTATAGAAAAAGCCTGACCGTAAACCTCCTCCATTTGCCCTCCACCGCTCTTTCCACCAACACCCGCAAAATCATCTGCAACCACTCTCCTTCTCCTACACTATCCCCCGCCATAAGATGTCCTCACCAGACGCCCAAAATGAAGACCGGAATCTAGAAGAGGTACTTCTTTTCCCTGCCCTCCACTCTCTTTCGTCCCCCTTCCCCTTACATCGTGACCTCAGTCCCCACTCCAAGACGCTAATGCATTCACCTTAGCGCCTCAAATCCGCCCTCTGGTTCTCCATAGGCAAGATCGTCGACGAGGAAACCCTCAAGCTAGGCGTGAACGCGACGCCGCAATTCATTGGGAGTTTGACAGAGTTGGTGTGGGCGCAGATTGGTATCCTTCCCCGACCTGCCGTGTTCTCGAGAATGGCGCCATCTGACGCGTTTTAATTTGGTCGGACATAGAAAACACAAGCGACGACCTACAATCCTTTGCTAGACACGGTGGGCGATCAACGATCGCGGTAGAGGATGTCATGATGTTGGCTCGACGAAACGAGGGGCTGGAGAAGGTGTTGAAGAGGTTCGTGGAGAATCAGGGCGCGGGAGAGAAGGAAGGAACGAAGAGAGGAAAGGGGAAGGGGAAGGGGAAGAAGAGATGAGTTGGTCACTGATCGAGCAGGAAACACGAGAAAGAAGAGTTGGGCTTGAGACACTACAATCGTACTTCGAATAGCTCGAGTGGCAGAGAGGGAGAGGTTATGCATCTCTCTCAGTGTTGCGGGCAGACAGCAACGACCCGCAAAGACCGAAGTTCAGACTTTGATGGACCTCAACAATGATCAGAGGAATACGCCTCTACGTCTGAACGCTCACACACATGGGTGAGTACCAATCTCGCTGTTGAGATTGACGCTGACTCGAATCAGGCTCGCTCGCCCTTCAGGCCAGTCGATCACGAAAATTGCCCTTTCTCAGACAGAAGCTTACGAGCTAAGATCTATCATCACCTTCACTTGCCTATCCTTCTCGTTGATTAAGCATTTGAAACCTTCCTCCACCACATCAGCCATCTTGATCTTCTTGGTGATCATACTTCCTGGTTGCATGCTCCCTTCACAAATTTAGCCTACATCTCGGTGAACAAGCCTGAAAGAAAGCTTACCTGACTCAATAGCGTCTAACACCTCTCGATAGTCACCCTCTAAATAGGTTGTGATACCCATGTAAGTCCGTTCTCCTACGATATGTCAATTTTGGGCATATTTGATAACGTTTGCAAGCATTCTTACGGAAGAGAAAATCACTTGGCCAGATGGTGGCCTTCTTCTCCCACACGGCGATGTTCACAAACGTCCCCCTTGCTCTCAGAGCCAAGATAGCTGCATCGAGCGCTGGTTGAACTCCAGCAGCATCATATACAATGTTCACGCCCACGCCCCCACAAATCTCCTTGACACGCACTACGATGTCCTCCTTTGATGGATCCACAACATGATCGGCGCCGAATTGCTTCGCATAATCTTTCCTCATGGGCGCAATTTCTGACACAATGATATTGTCTGCGCCTTTAGCCTTCAAGGCGAGAATGACAGCCAATCCGATCGGGCCTCCGCCGAGCACAAGTGCCGCATCGCCCTTCTTGAACGGGCTTCTTTTGACAGCATGCCAGCCAACCGCAAGAGGTTCCACAAGCGCTAATGCCAAAACCGCCTCAATAAAGTATGCTCTCAATTATTGCAAACTCGAAAAGAGAACAGTTTCACTGACCAGCAACGTCCAAGGGTATACTCTCAGGCACCGTATACACGCTTGCTCTCGGGACAACACAATACTCACTGAGGCCCCCTCCCCACCCGCTCAGCCCCACGAATCCGTTGCTCTCACAGCAATTGATGTACCCTTCTTTACACGCTGCACACGTTCCGTCGTATATTATGGGCTGTACAGTGACTCGATCTCCCACTTTGATGTCATCTACACCCTCACCAACTTCCTTTATAGTACCGGAGAATTCATGGCCCAGCGTCAGGGGGGCCTGCTCATTGGTAATAGGGTGGGGTACAACGGGGATGAGGGAGGCGCCACCAAGAAATTCATGAAGATCTGGGCAGAAAATGAACATGTCAGCAAGAGATTCCAGGATAGTTGGGGTGCCTATATGGGCGGAAATGATAGTACCGGAGCCACAAATCCCGGCGAAGGCTGGTTTCACCTACGAACCATAGAATCAGCAACCTATACTCGAGGTTGAAGGCCCATTTCGTATGCTCTTTACCTTGACTTGGCCTTTGCCACACACTGGGATGGGTATTTCGTCAATACGAATGTCCTCTTTACCATGGAAGCGGACTGCTTTCATCATCTTGGCGGGCTCCAGGAAAATTCAGACTTTGGTGAGGATGGCAAATGAGGCGGTCAAGCAGCTGGCTGTTCTATTACTGACGTTCCATGGACGACAACTGCGAGTTCAACATCCAATATTGCAAGCCGTGATCGGGAATTATTCCATCACCAGCCGCCCTGTTGGCCCTCCTGCGGCCTTGCCCCTCAATTGCGGGGTAGCGGAGAAACATTCTGGTTGCGTCTACCATGCAACAGCTTCTCACCAAATCTCGACTTCCCAAAAACGCCTGGAGCACCAATATGCCTGTACATACCAACGATGACACCCGTGGGCGGTTTGCCGCATCCAATAAACAATGGCACTGTTTACTGTCTCCAATATGTCTCACCAACGGACACGCCGTCACGCGTGAGGACTATTCAGGCTTTACCGCATTGGCAATTCCGGTAGAACTAGTCGGCTGGCCTAGACCGCCCCACGAACCCTCGCCATACCAAGGTATTCGGTAGATGGCGTAGGCTGATCAGTGGTGGTTCAAGCAGAGACTTCGTCAGGTACATGACTTCATCCGGAACATGACCTCATCCGGAAATTTCGACGCAGGGAAACTTTCTTACTTCGTCATGATGTATTACCGTCCAACAATAAGAAGGGCTGTCGCGCTCTTGCTTCTTTGAATAAATATCCTCTATATCAAAGATTAACCAAGAGCTCAAAGAAGACTACCTTGACAAGCATTCCCGATTGTACTGCAATTCTCCCAATTTGATTTATTCACGTCACCATGGGCTACCCAGACACCTTTGAAGGCTTCATGATTGAAGATCAAAAGAATTGGACCGATTTCAAGCGCAAGGAGGTATGTCTTCTCCACTCTTACGGGGCAGATCACCCAATTCACCATTTTGGTCCAACAGTTCAAGCCGAAACCATTTGAATCCCACGACGTTGATATCAAGATTGACGCTTGCGGAGTATGCGGTTCCGACGTCCATACCATAAATGGCGGCTGGGGCGAATGCCCACTCCCAATCTGCGTCGGCCACGAAGTCATTGGCAAGGCCATTAAGGTCGGCGACGATGTAACAACATGTAAAGTCGGTGACAGGGTTGGCGTAGGCGCGCAGATCCAGGCTTGCCTGGAATGCAGGATCTGCAAGATGGGACAGGAGAACTATTGCCCCAACAAAGTCGGTAAGAGACCCAGCTTTCCATGCAAATCGACGAATTATAGACTGATATTGACTCGCTATCTTCATAGACACGTACGGAGCAAAATACAAAGATGGCACAATCTCTCAAGGCGGCTACGCCTCCCACATCCGCGCGCACGAGTACTTCACCTTCAAGATCCCGGACAACATCTCCACCGCCGACGCCGGCCCAATGATGTGCGCAGGCCTAACCGTCTGGTCGCCTCTCGTCCGCGCGAAAGTCGGGCCTGGCAAAAAAGTCGGCGTAGTCGGAATGTAAGGCCCCCACTCCGTCTTTCCCTTCCCTTTCTCTAGCCCCTCGCCCTCGTTTCCGACCCAAAATCTAACGGAGTCTCCAACAGCGGCGGACTAGGCCACTTCGCGCTCCTCTGGGCCTCCGCCCTCGGCGCCGAAGTCTATGCCCTCTCCTCCAACCCCTCCAAAAAAGACGACGCGCTAAAACTCGGCGCTAAAGAATTCATCTGCACGACAGCCGACAAAGAGCACTGGCACGAACCCTGGGCCTTCACCTTCGACTTCCTGCTCAATACGGCCGACATGACGCACAAATTCAATATCGAGCAGTATACGAGCACGGTGGGTATCAATGGCGAATTCCACCACGTGGGATTGCCGAATGAGCCCCTGCCACCGATTATGGCGCAGATGTTTACGGTGAATGGGAGTAAGATGGGTGCGAGCCATATTGGGAACAGACCGGAGTTGCTGGAGATGCTGAAGATGGCGAGTGAGAAGGGGATTAAGCCTATGGTGCAGACGCTGCAGCTTGGGGAGAAGGGCGAGGGGTGTGCGGAGGCGGTTAGGAGGGTGGAGGGGAATGATGTTAGGTATCGGTTTAGTCTTGTCGGGTTTGATAAGGTGTTTGGGTCGTAGGAAGGAGCACGTTGGGATGCTTGGAGGGAGGAGGCAGCTCGGCCAAATTTGGATGTTCGTACCTTCTATAGTCCTCGTTGAAAGATATCTAAAGAAATTTTTTTCGGGACAGTGAGGGTGTTAAGAAGGTAGATGAATGCTTCCTTGCTCGCCGATCCTGTGTGTGCTGGATATTCGCTTCACGAAACCCCCTTTTCCACCCTCGCCTGTGTCTTCTTCACTCCTTACAGTACCAGCACTAGCACCACCACCACCACCACCATCCCATCCCATCCGGTCCATCTATCCTTCCTTGCTTCCACCCCGTGTTTCCCATATTCCCTCCCCTGCCTACACTGAGCGAGCTAGCTATACGCACTTCAGACTTTCCAAATGATACCTCAGGATCAGCCTAAGCGCAGGCAGAGAGGAGGTCTCGCATCATATGGACCAAAGCCAGCCTCAAGCTAAGAAGGGAAAAAAGGGAGGGGGGAGGGGGGGGGGAGGGGGAGGGGGAGGGGCGAGATATAGTCGCTAGAAAGGTGGTCGGGATGGGAGGTGGATGGAGGTGGATGCATTGGTAAGTGTTGTGGGGTGGTGGTGGTCGCTGATGGATTAACTTGGGTGTGTGGAATAGGAGGATATTTGATGGGGCTAGTGGAAAATGGAGGGAGGGGAGAGGAGAGGGCGAGGTTGGATGGTGAGTGGGGATTTGAGAGAGAATAGTTTCAAAACGTTAGACGAGACAGTGGAAAGTGACATGGTCAGTTGATGGCGAGAAAAGACGCGATTCCATCGCGTAAGTGGAATTTCACGGCCATATTCTTGAAGCTCGTTGTCTGGGCTGTTGAATATCTAAGAGTGAAGAGTTTTGGTGGGCTTCTTGCACTTGCTATCATATCGATAGCCAAGTCATGGACAAAGAACCTCGTGTTGGGCGAGACAGGCGGTCTGGAAGTTCTTGTGGGACTTGTATCATGTGTGGCAATTTGCATTTGGAACTCTACTGTCCGTCGCTCAGCATAGAGGACTCCGGCTCTGGTGGCGAGCAATCATACGTTTCATAGACCAATCAGGCTGTTCAACCTTTCTCTCCTGTTACGGAAATCTTTGACAATGCATTATGGGCGCCGCTCATTCCGGCGGTATTGAGTACCAAGCGGATCATGAGCCGATAGTCAGGCTCCAGATCCGGACGCAGCGAATGTTGTATGCGCCCAACTTGTATGGTCCTTTTCACCAATTTCATATCAATGTCATAGGCTTTCTGTTTTTGTTGAGAAAATCGCCTGCCTGCAATGCTTCGAGATCATTCTCCGGCTGTACTCGGTACACTGATGAACGTGCAAGCCGTCAAATGAAGCTCCTTCGGAACCTTCCAAGGCGACATGGCAGATCGTTCGCCACAGCAGACAATCCACACGCATTTTTAGATGCATCCCGCCACTCTTGTCTACCGAACTTCATGTAGGGTCTCGTCACAGAACCACTAGACCAGCTCGTCGGGTCTCGCAGCTCCTGCGGGGTGTCTCCTCACTTGGATACGAGAAGCGCGGAAGGGTCGGGAAGGACTGGAAGCCTAACCGGATACCTGCATCGAAAGGGCGTGCATATGTAGGAAAGCGATAGAGCGAGCCTCTGTATACATCTCTTCTCAAAGCAAAACGGTTACTCGATGGTCGAGGAGGTTCCGTGAAGATTGTATCGGACCGTTTGTTCTGAACTCGTCGATTGGTTTCCGGACGCACTCAGGAGCGTCGGTGTATGTAGGGTCATCGATCATTCACACTGTTGCCTTCTGTCGCAGTGGCCATCGTCAGGTCGCAATGCGTCTTCAGATCATGCCACTTGTTCGTAGAAAAGATTGAGGAAGTACGCCGGTTGAAACGAGGGGCATTGGCTTGCTGCAGGGCATCGTTAGCCCTTCATCTCAGTGGCTTGCAGTATTCTCCGGTTCCTGCCAATCTTCCGCATCTTTGCGCCATCGCCTGAAAGTAACCAGGCCACTTATGCACGTTATATTTGGCGTTGAGGTGGGAGAAAGGGGAACCAGCCAGTGGTATGAGGTGAACGAAGCCCCGGAGAGGGAGATCGTCAACGCGGACTCATCTACGGCTGGAATCTGCTCCTTGACCTGAGAAATTGATGTGTACGTACTCTCTCATGCAACTCGATCCGGGCACCGCACAGAGTATCCTCGACACCGACTTTTCACACTGCTCCACAGTCGGTGCAAAGGTTGGGGTCGCAATTGACTTATATGGCTACGCTCCAGTAGAAGGCAACTGAGAAGACATCCGTGCGAGCATGCAGTCAAGACGGTGCTGATGCTGCGGGCAGATCCCCCGCACCCACCGGCTCCATCCTGTAGTCTTTTGGAAGCCTCCCGCTGTCTCACGTTCGATTTGTGTCTCCTCGGACCATCTACTTCACGATTCCTATTCTCCAATTCCTTTTGGTGCTGTCTAGGAATCCAACAGTACTAGACAGTCTACCTGCTCAGCAAATTACTTCTTTGCCCTCCAGTGCTGGCCATTGGGCCTTACAATGGCAAACGTTCGCCCTTCCACTGTTCGATCCCAATCATACTACAGGTATGCACGCGACCCATGTTCCTAGCTCTTGCTGATATCTCTCAGACCCTCTGCCCCAGAGAAGGATTCACTACGCCCTCGAAAAGAAGAGAAGCGTAGTCGATCCACCTCTAGAAACCCTTCCTCCAAGTTGTACAGCGCGGACGCCCCTCGACGTTACGCTCCCAACGAGTCTCGACCTCGCAAGCCTCCATTCTCTCCGACCATAGAAGATCTTGGCTTCGGGCCAGATTGTGTTCAGATGAAGGGCAAACTTGACCAGACCCCAATGCTCATCAAAGTCGATGGAGACTCGAGCTCCACCGACGGAAGTGAGCCAGGCACGCCTGATAGCTCGTTGAGTGATGGGCAAGACAGCTACATCTCAGGATCGGATAGGAACACTGCCCAAATCTCAAAGGCCGACGAAGTGACAAAGACGAAGCCCAAGTCACCGTCAGAGGTGAAGCGGCCAGTGACCAAAAGCCGCAGAAGTCGACAGACATTGACTGTAGATACTGAGAGGGCTCGAAGTAGGTCGAGAGGGGACGGTCCACCACCAAATCTCAAGCGAGAGCGGTCTCCGTACTCTTATCAACCCCCGCCTGCCTTCAAGCCCAATGATCAACAAGATTGCAAAACCCAAGGGACCGCATCTAGACCCGGCGATTATCAACGCTCACCTGGAACCCTGACTTCCACAGCCAGTCCAGTTCGAAGAAGTTTCGAGCCTCCATCAGTTCATGCATGTTCGAAAGATGTACAGGCCGGAGGGGGCAAGGATAGCGGATCTGCTAACGCTAGCGGTCGGCTGAGTCGCCCCCAGCGCCCGGGAATGGAGCGGCGAGCTTCTGCCATGCCCCAGCTGGGCAGTCCTACTTCTGCCACTGCTGCCCGATCTCGTTATGTAGAAAACTCATCAGACGAGTCAGACCGTGAATATGCGAGGATCCGCGCTCGATCAGGTCAATTGACAGCAGACGCTCTGCCTATCAACCCTCCAACGTATTTTGATACCCCGCGTTATAGCGAGCGACACGCAAACATGAAAAACCGCGACTCACCGCCTCAAACACCGTTGTCGCCAGAACATACACGAGGCACTTTCTTGAACAGAGACCATCTGGTCAACGGAACCGGCCTCCAGCATTTGAGTACCCTCCTTGAGGATCAACAATCAAGTCATCGGTCTGCCTCGCCAAGACCGTCACCTCAGCCTTCTCCAAGAGGTTCACCGACCGGGTCGCCTGGTCCGTCCCCACCTAGAACTCCTCCGGAGAGCTATCCAAGGCATCATCGTAGGACGAGTACAGCTGAGAGTCTTTCCAAATACTTAACTAATTCGAGAATATCATCTCCACTCTCATCTAGGCCTTCGACTCCCACATCGGGTGCGAAGACGTTCACTCCGCGCCCGATGGAGCATGATGCCCCGCAGCAAATGACCAAGGAACGAAGAGTCTCCACTTTTGATTCGTCTGACTTGGCGAAGCAGGCCACTGGAGGTGCCAAAGCTGACGCTCGACCATCGTCGCCTACGGTATCTAGGCATGAGTCTTATGAACATCGGGATCCTAAATATGAGAGGGGCCCACAGGTACCCTATCATTCTAGTAGCTCCCAAGGAAGAGCAACATTAGAGCCTGCTCGTCCTGAGCGACGACCATCTCGTGAAGATATGAGAAAGGCTCTACCGTCAATAAGTACCAAGCCTGTCATCCATCAGGAACTAAGTGATCCGAAAGCTGCAGCCCCAAGAAATAGGTCCGGCTCTTATGTACCAGCATCCGCCACAGCAGCTTTAGGAGGAGCCAGTTTCCTCGACCCAAACTCATCAACCCACCGATCCAGGTCCAATGCGCCGGATGCTGGCCGTCACCGACACAGATCAAGGTCAAGGTCTTACGGTGACGCTCGAGAAGCTACAAGGTCGCAGTCCGCTGCTCCTGTTCATGCAGTACCTGCTTCAGATCAAAGGCAGCCTGTGCTACTGCCCCAATGTCCCCGAGCAGAACCAGTCGCCGGCTTCGACGACTGGTTAGTTCTGGAGAGGGACACTGCCATGACTATTTGTCCTGAATGCCGTCACAATGTATTCGGCAGAGGCTTTGAGCGTGCATTCCGTCGAGGACCTGAAGTGAAAAGGAACCAGAAGGTCTACTGCAACATGAATGATCCATGGGTCCGTCTTGCTTGCCTTGACATTTTCAAACGGCAGTCAGATACCAAGACGCTTGGATATCTCATGGAGTACACGAAGGAAGAACCTCCTTGCCCGGAACACCGGCTTGTGGTCGATCACGCCTGGTACCACCTGCGAGACAGCGAGACCAATCGCGATTTCCAAGATTTTCAGGTGTGCTCCAATTGCGTGTACAGCCTAGAGGCCATTTACCCCCGTCTGGATATCTTTCATCGGTCCAAGGACATCAAGCAGGAGCAGCGCGGCTGCAGCCTGAGGTCTGACGTCGTGCGCTTTGGCAAGTACCTGAACTTCCTCGTCTCCATGGCAGACGAGGAAGAAAAAACCAGGAGGATACCAAGTACCTCTGACTTCATCTGGGAAGTCAAGTGGCAGACTGTGATCAGTCCGTGCAAGGGTAGTGCCGTCTATTATGGCCAGGATATGCACACTCACCCTGAGATCCCAGGCTTGACCATCTGCGAGGAGTGTTATTACAAAGATGTGCGCCCGCTGGCAAAACTCGCGCGTCGGGACTCACGCCACTTCGTACTCCGAATCACACAGGAGGCAAAAGAGATTGTAGGTGGTACAACCTGCAAGCTGTATTCGCCACGCATGAAACAGATCTTCAAGAAGGCTTGTGAAGAGAGGGAATTTGAACAGCTGGCCAAAGCCGTTAAGAAACGGAACGAATTGCAACAAGATCTGGAGGAGAGCAAGATGGAGTATGCGAAACGGCCGTTGGATACGAAGTTGAAGGAGGATGTGAAGTATCTGCAAAGCAAATGGGAGAAGTTGGAACGCAAGCATAATTATGAGCACGATTGAAGTAGGACAGAGACACGAGTGGCGAGGTAGTGAAGTCGGATCTAGACGGATCTGAGATGCGGAGATGAATGGGAGGCCTGAATGGTTGGTGAGTGGCAATGCTTCTCAATAAATGACGCTATTAAGCACCCCATATTGGATGGTAATGAAGGAGATGAAAAAAGCTGATAGATATGGCGTTGTGAATAATGATAATGATGAACGATTTAATGCTCAATATCGTGATCACATGCAACGAACGAATCTTTCGGAGTTCTATCTTCCCAATAAATTAATTTCGTCCATTTTAGGCAATATATGGACGCGACGCGAAAAGGCAGTCGCGCTAGCTCTCATAGGGCTAGGACACTGGATCACCTAGTCGACCATGACGCCCGTTGCCTACACAGGAACTGCATCGGCGTCCTCTGTCCAGGATGAACCAAGATCCGCCGAGCAGGTCTATGGTAGGAATGCTGTGTTATGACAGTAATAAGATAGAGGAGCACGGACAAAGCTCAACCTCAGCAAAAACTCGATCTCCCCAGCCTCCTTACATAGCTATTTAGGAGCTACTATGTGGCGATCAGCCTCACCACTCCCAACGAATTCAGCTCTACGTTTTGAGTCTGCTGCATACTATCCAGAAGACATTCTTTGTCCAGGGTCAGACGAAGAGCTTTCCGAGCAAGAAAGGGCAATGAAGAGGCGGAGAGTCGTTCAGAGGGGCGAGGAATATCTTGCAGGGCATGCGCCTTTCATGATGACAGCAGGATTGAATGGTCCATTTGACAACAGCTGGGAAAATCCATGGGCGAAGAAGAGGTCGGAAGGCAAGACAGTCAATGTAGACCGCGTCGAAAGAGCTTCAGCTGCAATGCGATCAAACCCCCCGCGTCTTCTCCACTCAGAAGAGTACCACCAAGAGATTCAGTGGATACTACGAGTCAATACACCGACATAGATATTATCATGCCCCCGATGATATCTGACACCCCAAAGTGCAGGACATTCCGCCATCAGCTACCAATCCATCCCGTCTCATCACCAGGGCCCTCCCGAGTGCGAGACTTGCCACGAGGGAAAGAAAGAGATTGGTTGAAGAAGGATGTTACTAGTAAATATTCTAGGAGATATTTATCTGGGCAACAATCACCTACGCCCACACCAGCTCCAAGAAGGCAGTTATCCTCGCCTTTCGCTTTCAGGGATATTGAAAGACAGAGAGAGGATACGTCTTCGTTTGAGACTGCACATGAAAAGCCAGAGGCTAGAGATGACGTCAACAACCACCTTCGCAATACTCGAAAGTCACGTAAAGCCGACCGAGAAGACACTCATCCGCCCAAAACAAGGAAAAGAAGAGCAGGATTCGAAAAAGAAGCCGCGGAAGAGTCTGAGAGAGAGGCTGATTTGTCGAAGCGTAGCGTGCTATCGTCGAGTCAAGAAAAGCAGCACAGGAAGAGGCAAGAGCCTGAGCGAGCAGCAAAAGGGAAGCGCAAATGGCGAGGGGAACGTCAGAAAGCCGCTGAGGCGAAAAATGACATTGCACGAAAGATCGCTGAGCTCATCGGAGAGGATGATACTAAGAGCAAGGACGAAGCCAGAAGTACTCCACGCCGGAAGGACAAAAGATTACGCAACATAGATCCTGCGCTCCTACCGAGCAAAGCAAATCCACCTTTACTCGAAGAGATGCATTACGAGTACCAAGTACCCACGAAGATAGCGACGGAGGAATATCCACACGCTATACCAATGAATCCTCCCGAACCAATTGGCATATCATCTCGTGCCACAAATTCCGAAAGTCACCCTCCAGAGCAAGAAGTGCAAAAAGAAGAGAAACAGACCGAGCCAGAGATTGCTCCTCAGGAGAAGCCCAACAACAAGCGGAAGAAGTCTAAAGCAAACTCTGGTGCTCGTAGGCTAACATTTACACCCAACGGTGGGCCAAAATTACGATCTTCCCATCGGTCTTCGGATGCAAGACCGAATCGCTCCGGCAGTGGGCCAGAGAGTCCAGTCCAAAGTGTTGATGCCCCTGAGCTGGCTCAAACGCTTATCAAAAATGATACAAGATCCAACAAGACCTCTGCTAAGACCTCCCGGTCCTCACAGAAAATGCTATCGAATGGCGATCAGTCGAAGGAATCGACTACTGTTCTCCCGGAAGCTCAAGTCCAAGATCTACCACCAGCGCGTGTCCCCTTGGTTTCCACTTCCACCAACCTTCTCGAGACTGACGAGCAGCCAACATGTGTCGAGAGTGTAGAAGAAGACTCCTATGTGAATTTGGCAACTCAAGCTGCAGTCAATAAAGCCATGCAAAGATTCAATGATGTTGTCGCTGATATGGACACACCATCACCAAATAAGGCACGCAGATCAGCCGTATCTGATAGGCTTCGAAACGAGGAGCTCTCCACTAAGAAGACTCCTGCAGTGGAGCCAATTAGCACACAAGCCATGCTAGACCAAATGTCGCCCTTCACCATCACAACAATAAAAAAACGTTCGCCTATGCTACGTGACCGAACTGCTTCCCAGATTTCACCAAGCAAGCCCGCCGCCGCCCACTTCGCGAATTCACAAGCAGGACAGACGACCTTACCAACTTACTCCCCCAACATGTCAACCTCCCCCTCCCCGACCCCAACGCCATCCCTATCCCAAGCTCACCCCTCAACCTCCCCCTCAAAATCCCCTCCAAGATCTCCTCCAAAATCCCAAAAAGGCAAGCAAAAAGCCCCTCCAACCCCCTCGACTAAACGGCGGAAAACCGCTCTCGATTCCTCGCCGCCACCAGCACCACCACCATTTCTATCTCGCCAAAAGTCCTCAGTCCAATCTCACGCTCATCCAGAGCGTACCCCCAAAAGCACCCTCTCGGAACTGACGTCTTTCTCGATAAATCCAGACGGCACGCTGACGGAGAGAGGCTTGATGGATGGGCAGTATCCGGAGGGACAGATACTCGGGGCTCACGGAGACGGGGAGGGGGAGACATATGGAACGCTACCTTCACTGGACTTCAGCAAGCCCTTCGCTGGCATCGCTTCTGGTGGTGTAAGAGCAGGTGGTGTGCTGGGAAATGGCGTCACGCCTACCTCGACGGCCCCTTCTGTCGTCGTCGATGAAGAGGGAGAAGTAGATGGACTTGGGGATGGGGATTGGGGCACACCACACACCAATGGCAGCCTGAACGCTGATTTCTTGACCCCGACCACTATCAATAACCAAGACGGTGGTGGGGGTGGGGGTGGGGGGTGGGTTTCATTTACAGCTCACACCCGAGGATGTGCAAAAGACGGAACGGGAATTAGAGCTGGATGCTGCGGTGGAGGAAGCGGGGAATTTCCTCGCGGACTGGAATGTTGATGTTGATGCTAGGATGGGGGGAAGAGGAGGAAAGGGGGGACGCCGAGGAAGAGTCCGAGGAGGAAGAGTGCGTTGGCGGGGAAGGGGAGGAGGTGATTGATGGGGGTGGGGTGGTTTTTGGAGGTGCAAAAAGTTGGGTTGGGGAAGAGGATGGGGAAAAGGGAAAGGGGCGGGGAAGGCAAGGACAAGATTGTGTCGATTTGATTCTTATATCAGCTTGATGTTGTTCGATGGTTATGGATGATTGATTGTCGTTGATGATACCCCCAGGGCAGGCAGCTTTCAGACGAGCTGAGCTGAGCTGATGCGCGGACGCATAGATGGATGGATGGGGGTGTGTATATGCTGTGCGATGCAATGCTGTGCAAATGCAATAAGGATACAGAGTGGGATACAAAATCAATGTATTTTCGGTTTATAGTTCTGAGCTGGGGCTGGGTAGCCTAGCTTGTCCGTTTTATATTCTCCTTATTCTATGTTGGCTTGTTTTACTCTTCAATTCTAAGGTACCTGGGCCTCTGGTCTCCACGTGCATGTATACCTTTGTCTAGGCACTGGTGCAAGGGTAAGGTGTTCTAAGTCAGAGGCTTTGGGTCAGAATCGCGGGAATAGCGCGATTGGCTCGGTACATAGATGCGCAAATCGATCTTAGGGGTTTGGTACCCATGATTTGGGCACAAGATCTGTAGCGGTGTAAGTCATTAGGCGGGAGGTGGTAGGGTTGTTAGATCAGCGTCGTGGCTATATCTGCCGATATCACACCAAAGGGTTCAGCTCGGTTTTCCTCTCAGGAGTGGATCTTCACGGCTGGTTAGAATGGCTGAGAGTTAGGCTTGGGTACTGCGGTATCGGAGAAGCGCGTGAGAGTGGGAGTATGTGCTTCTGGCTGGAACGGCGCAGGTGTTGTTGGCGACCAAGCAGATGGCGCGGCTGTCAGGTTCTGAGGCTCAGATAAGGGCTCTTTGCTTTGTAGAGCTTTACAGTAGGAGCCTGGGTGCGTTCTTCCCTCTGACTGGTGTGTTGAAATAAGGTAGATCAATGTCGCACTTCTTTCGAGTTTATTCGATGGGGTTATTTCAGCCGTCAACATAATCCGCAGGCGTAGATTGAGGACGTAAATATGGGCTTCCTTGCATGGATGGGTCTCCTTAGCGTTGCACCCCCAGCTGAGATGGTAGTAAGGAAGCGCTCTAATCTCTGGTCATGGTCTGATGATCTGTATGCTGCTGGCGTACCTCAAGCTAGAACCACTCTGGGGATTGCGGTAATGGGGGTTGAAGTGCTTCCTGAGTCTGATGCTGTAATTACATCTGAAGGACAATAATTGAGCCAGCATTCCAGGCTTTGTGAGTCTGTAGCGTGAGTGGTCTGTATCCTTGGGCTCGTGGCAGACATTCAGCGGCCTCGCTTCTTTCCAGGCTTCGAATCCTGCCGCTTCTTCACCTGCAGGAAGGTGAAGTACGTGTCGAGATCCATTCGTCGCACTATCTCTAGTTCTCTCAATTCTTGACGGAATTCCTCTTTATCTATGAAAGATATTTATTAGAATTGGTCCATGATTTTTGAAGACTCCTCGCCACTTACCGTCAGCGCTTGGAAATTCGAGCCATAGATGCTCGGACTTGGGAACCACCTCCACCTTCTTGAATAGTGGATGTCGAGGCATGCGGAAGCGGGCAAGGTCCCAATTGTCCAAGTCACTTTCCGACGTGCCTTGAGTAGAGTGCCGTCTGATTTGCATGTGCTTATTTGTAGATTTCAGGACTGCGACCTGACACTGCGAGCCAGGTTTCCTGCATTCGCACTTTTTGGGGTTGACGGCTACTTCGGCTTCTAATTCCAAGTGGATGATGGTGTAGATACCGTGACGGAGAGTCATGAGTACCAAGACTGGGTTTTCTGGCATTAGAACCGCAGTTGCGTCGCTCTGTGTCCCATTGACGACAGTCGTCATACTGCACCCTGAAACAAATGTGGTGGCCGTTGACAACGTCGTAGATGCTCTTTTTAGATTGGATGAGTTTGGGCTACTTGTAGATGTGGCCCTTTGCATGGGGGGCCTGGGGCTGTTTTCGCTTGGTACAGGAAGCACTTGTCGCTGCCACAGCTGTAATACACCCTTGCCAATCTTGCCAGGACTAGATGAACCATTGATCGACCACGTTACATTTTCCATGCTGTGGTGGACACGGTAGCCCGTGAGAACATGCTGCAGGGCTTTCACATCTTCGAAGCTGCTCAGGTACTGCCATCTTGGGTCCTTGACATGCGAGCTTGAGAGGAGGATGTTGTTTGCACCAGCATCAGGGATGGCGTAAGCCGGCACCACTCTTATGACATCGGTATTGATTATGACCTCTTTTTGATAGTCTCCCGGATTCATCGAGTGCTTAGTGCTCGTTACGAAACGAAATTCGATTGCGCTTCTCTTGAAAACGGTAAGCGCTGTGGTGTAGGAGCCGGCTGATTCTGGGAGGTTCAATTCTAACAGGAGCTCCTCTTCATGTCTTTTCTCTGCCAGATCTGGAGGTCGCAATGGTGGAGCCTGCTTGGCCCAGATTGTGAAGCACTGATCAGGGAGCAAAACAATGGCGTCTTGAGGTGGCGCTCTGAGTTTCCGAGTGTGAAAGCGTCCGTATTCTTGAATAATATTGGTCTTCAACTCGCGCAGATAGCTTGCCCAGAAAGAATCTCTTCCTTCTAGCTCCAGATACAAGCTTTTCTCGAGTCTTTCCATGATCCATTTGCTCTTCAATAGGTTGACAAATTGCTCTTCGTCAGGGGTATTGTTGTACACCGGGTTGAATTCGACAGTACTCCTTGCAAACTGGTAGACGAGAGCATCGAACCCCTCCACAAGCGGCATGTTGTTATCCTTAACAGGTGAACCTTGACTATCCATCTTTGAGGCCTTGTGAAAGCGCTCCTCTATCTCAACCGGTATCTGTGGAAGAGAGACCTCCAAATTCACAGTATCCGGAAGCTTCCCATTTGCAAGGACGGTAATAAGTAGTCCTCGTATCTCCCGCAGATCGAGTCTGACCTCTTGCAATTCATGACGGATCTCTAGAAGAAGATGGAGCTCGAAGGGTTTGGTAAGGACAAGGATTTTCGTCGAGTGAAATTCGACCCGTTCTCGTAGTATGTCCACATCTCTTTGAGTGCCCATGTGCCACTGCACGTTGTCAATAAAGCCAGCGGCATCTCGTTGGAATCTATTATGATCGTCCAAGAGCTTCTGACAGTCCTTGATAGTTGCTTGGAAGTCGCCAGCAGCTTCTAGCAAAGGCTTGAGGGCTTCCCGGCAGTCGTCGCTGTGGTTGCCCCACGGGCGACGAGGTCGCTGTTCCGCCGCATGTTCAGCGACATCGACTAGGTCACGGAGGTTCTTGGCAAGCGATTGAATCTCTCTGCCAAATCTTGAGTATTGGACGTCTGGTTTTGTCTTCAGTCAGTTGAATGAACCCGATGGATCAAGTGGGCTGGATTAGTAAGCGGCGACTTACGAGCTCCTTGTGCTTTCGTAAAACACTTATCATGGAACCAAATGATTGTCTGGCAGATAACTCTGATGTCGCCGATTGAGAATCCAAAGGACATGCTTCTATCGACTAGCTGTTGACAGTCACGAGTGTGAGGTTAATAGAATGAGATGGCATCAAAATGTACTGGGGGAAAGGTGCGAAAGCTCCTCCACCCTCCATGTCATTACTCTCAGCCTCGTGGACCTCCTCATGCATATTGCACGGACCAATGTCGACCTCCAGCTGCAGTCTACTTGCCGGACAGCCGTCATGATCACTTTGCTCACTTCTTCTGCTTCGCCTCCTCTAGCCTTCTCGCTCTTCGGTGACTCGACGCGCAATCGCCGGCCCCCAAAGAGCCCAGACTTTAGGCCCTAGTCGGCCATCACCTGATGTGACAACATGCACAGCGCCAACTAGTTGACGCCTCCCACCATATCGTCCGAACTCTAGCGATGGGCCTTCCTATTGTGGACTTGCTATGGACGGATACGTACCGAATCAGCCTCAGCCAAGTCGGCCAGACTGCTCGCTGCAGCGCCTTGTGAATGCCCAAGAGTTTTTTCAGCCTCACGACTAAAGTAGAAGAGTCAGAGATGATGACTTCCTCGGGTCCCCCTTCTTGCTTCATTGTCCTCTCTACATTTCGTTTCCTTCTCGTCACGCTTTTTCCTCTTGTCAAAAATAATGCCTCTTACTGCGGCCGATCAACAGCGCGTCGAAGAGTATGAAGCCAGACTCGCGGCTTCAGGATCCTCCAAGATTGCTGTTCGAGTGCCCGGAGATGCTCAAAAGCTCGGTATCACTACCGTAGTCTGCCTCATTTTGAATCGCACGATTGGTGAGAAGTGCTCTTAATACACTCGCAAATTGACACTTAAACTTTATTCAGGGGCCGGCATTTACGTGAGTCCAGCTCTCGTGTTGAGAGCAACAAACAGTACTGGCGTTTCGCTTGTGCTTTGGGTCATTGGTGCCATCTTCGGGGTTTGCGGCGTGCTCATCTGGCTCGAGTTTGGGCTCAATGTTCCTAAATACGAGCCCTCCAAGATTTCCCCCGAACTCTGCTCGGATGGAGAGGGGAAAGATGGACCGCGAAAGGGCGTGCCTCGAAATGGAGGCGAGAAGAACTATGTATGCATCTTTTGAACTTTAGGCGGTAGCATGCTAATCAAATACGTAGCTTGAGTTTGTCTACGAGCACCCGCAATTTCGGACGACGTGCTTGTATGGCTTCTCTTTCGTCATTCTTGGCAACCTTGCAGGAAATGCCATTGCTTGTGGCATGTATATAATGAGAGCTGCTGGCCTACCAGATCACAATGCAGCAATTCGAGCACTAGCAGTTGTAGTGCTAAGTCTGGCTTGCATTCTCCACGGCTCTTGGCGTCAAGCGGGCATTGTCATAAACAATGTTCTAGCAGGCATAAAAGTCTTGATGCTTGTCGCAGTCATCATCATTGGATTTGCTGCTGGTGGAGGAGCTTCACTGGGCGGAAGTCTGGATGGGAAGGCCGCAAGAAAGGAAAATTTTGGTGGGACTTCGTTCGACAGTGCCAGGGGCAATGTCAGCGACTACTCAGCTGCCATACTTCTCATTTGCTATTCGTTTAGTGGATTCAAACAACCGTTCTATGTGAGTCCTGGTCCTGCCAAAAGACTTCGATCGTCTTTGCAGTACTGACCGTGCGCGCCGAAAGATGTTGAGCGAAGTCGCTATGCCCAAAAAGAAATTTGCGATCACGACCATCTCCACAACTGTATTCGTAGGGGTATTGTTCTTTCTGGCAAATGTCGCATATGTAAGTAATTCCTGAATTGCAAGGCCTCTAATTGACAAGTCGTCCAGCTTTGCGCCATCAAGAAGGGCGATGTAGTCAATGACACCAGAGATATGGCCATCATACTCTTTCAGGAGGCTTTTGGAAATGAAATCGCTCCAAGAGTCATGTCTGGCATGATTGCTCTATCGGTCCTAGGCAACATCGTTGTCATGACGTTCACTGCCTCCAGAGGTAATGGTTCTCATCGGATCGTCCAAAATTGTACCGCTGACATTCTCTCCCTTTGCCAACAGTCAAACAAGAAATCGCTAAAGAAGGAATCCTGCCATTCTCATCATTCTTTGCCAGAAGCACCGTAACGCCTTACGCCAGGTTACATTCCTGGCTTTCCAAGAGCGACACCAAAGAATACCCAGAGGAGTCTCCTGCAGCCGCCTTGCTTCTCCACTGGATCTTCGCCGTGTTCTTGGTTGGCGCAACCTCCTCGAAACCGCCTAGCGTCGCATATCCCCTATTAATCGAGCTTTACTCATACGTACTCGTCTTAATGGTCGGACTTGGCGTCTCTACAGGTATCATACTCCTACACTGGTGCAGCTTCCGAGACTTCAAGAAAATGCAGGATGAGTGGAAAGAGACATCTGATTGGACGTCGTGGGCTAGTCCTGCTGCAGCGGTTTACTACGCGTTAGTTCCCATGCCTTTTCTTCCTTCCCATCTCCAAGCTTCTATGCTCACATATACATTCAACTAACAGTACCATCTGCGGCTACCTAATTATCACGCTCTTCTTGACCCCATCCGACGGCTCCGTTTACTCATACTCTAAAACTCACATACCCTCCTACGTTATCCCAACCGTTGGTCTAAGCACTCTCCTCATGGGCTACACCTATTATCTCATCTTCACGCGAGTAGTGCCAAGGATTAAGAAAGCTACCTTGATCGTTGAAAGGGATCCGATTATCGTAAGACAGGGCGGCAAGCCAAATGGTGCCTGGGTGCTCTTCATGGAGGGGATCGATTTCTGGTGGGCATCGAGGTCGCCCAATGTTAATGCAGCGTAATGTGTACATGCTTGCTTACTGGAAGACTTGGTCTTATATATATATAACGCTGTCAAGGCAGTGGCTGGAGCTAGAGCGCCACCCTTGGCCATTTCCCGCACGAATAAAATGGATTCATCTACCTTTCCACCCTTCTTCATCCTCCATCTCTGCCACCTCACACTTCTCCTCAATCATAATCATGTCTCTCAACGCGGACTCTCAGCCCGAGCCCAGCCAAACTATCAACGAACATGTAAGTATGCCTGCCTGCCATCACTCCCTCGCCTTCGGCAAACGAAAGCAGCACAAAACTAACCAACACCCAGGACACCCTAACCATAAATTTATCAATCGGCCAAACCGATACTTCAGCCCCCCCTCCAGCAGCACTGACCACCACCCTCCCTCCCCCTCCCCCTCCCCCCTCCCCTTCCTCAGAACATCAACCCTGCCATTTCTGCCCCCCACCCCCCGACCCCGCCCAAGCACCCATGCTCTCCCCCACCTCAACCGATCCACATTCCCAGCCTATCATCAACGCTGGACACCAAGATCGGGAGGAAATGGTAAAGCAGTGTTTGAGGGGTATGATGGAGCTGTTGGGGAGAAATGATGTGAGACAGAGGGAGAGGGAGTGGGCATCGTCCTGGTGAGATGGAAAGGGGGAGGGAAAGGGATGTTACCTATTCTTAAAATTTAGAGGAAGTGGTACTAGTAACCCTTCTCAGGGAAGAGACTCGTTATTGATTGTTGACCCCCTGCTCCCCCCCTGGGACGCTTTATAAACTGAATAATTCGAGAAAATTTTTTGTATAAGGTACTTTGTATTCTTAGTAAGGGAACGTGCTTTGGACAGATTGTGTATGGAATGCCTAACACTACCTTGTTTAGAGTGTACAAAGGTTTGCTCGACGGTGGTAGTTTCGACATCGTCATCGTCTCTCTCCTCTCCCTATCCCTTCTCTCGAACCTTTTCCTCTTCTCGCCGCCCCTCCGCTTCAGTGCACACAAGAATAACACCCGAACTTCATTTCATCCCTTCAACCTCCTACCCTTCCCTGTCCCCTTCCCCTTCTCAACACCAAGCCCCCTCATCATTCTCTCAAGCGTATTCTCCCACTCCTGCCTCACCGTCTCGCGCTCCACAACTTCCATCTCCAACCCCGCCGCCTCCGCCTCCTTCTCCCTACCCATCGCTCGCAGCACCTCTCTAACCAGTTCTCTCCAACCTCCCGCGTATTTCTTGCCCATGCGAAACTCCACTTCCGCCATCAACTTCCCCACCGCTGCCTCATCGCCGGCAGCGACCGCAGTCTGTTCTTCAGAGGTAAGCAGGCCGGTCACGTCTGTTCTCCTCATCACTTCGTGAGCGAGGGTGTCGATGGAAAGTGTGTTGTTGAGTAGTGTGTCGTCGGCGGCGGGGAGGACGGCGATGACACGTCTCGGTACGGCGGGTAAGGACCCACAGAGGAGCCATTCCCCTTCATGGCTATACGCCTTGCGATTCCCATCCCCATGTTCGTCGTGGTAGCCCAGTTGCCACGCGCCCACGCTGGCACTCCTAATGCTCGCGGCTAAGCCGTCGGTGTCGATCGCGATGAGGAGGATGTTGGTGGCGTTGGCGGATCGGAACAGCTTTATGTACTCACATGCGGTGGGGAAGGTGCAGAGGGATATGAAGGGCGTGGGGAAGCGGGTCCAGGAGAGGTGATTGTCGAGGGCTAGGGGGTCGAATGCGCCACGGGGGTTTCGCGCGGATAGGGCGTTGGAAGATGGGGGGGTGAGAGGGGCGGCGTGGGTGAGAAGGGGATTCCGGCTTTATGGGTGCCGCCTGAGTGGAGGATTCGGAAAAGGATTGGTGGAATGGGGCGGGGGGCGATGAGAGTGAGAATGCCGTTGTTTTTGGTCGACATTTGAGATGGAGGTTGATGGGGGATTTTGAGGCAGGCGATGATTGTTGACAGAGTTGATTTTTGGAGTCGATGAGTGGATGTAATAGGAGTCGGAAAATTGGTGTTTAAGACTGGGTGACATATAGGCTGGACAATACATTGAAGATGTTTCGTGATCTTTGACGCGCGAGCCAACAGTTTGTTTGTTTGGTTTTAGCCCTTTCAGGCAATGTGTCAAGAATCTTTTGTGTTCCTGGCACACCAAAGGTGTTTTATGATCGTATCCGGAACAATAGGATTCAGGTCCTAGTGCTTGGGGCATAGCACCTGCTCTGTCACCAAAAATCGCTTCATCTTTTCTCCATCATCCTCCAATCTTTACGTGAATGGCGAACGAACCTCTTCTCCCCTTCACAGCCTCACACTTTGGCTCATGGAAACCTAATCAATCATGTCTCTGTACAATATAACTTCACATCTGGCGTACAATGACTCGCAAGATCATCGTGAGTGGCGAATCATCTTAAAACTGGGGACCTCTTGAAGTCCGTATGTAGTGCATGATCCCAAACTAATACATTTACTATATTTATGTATACTCATTTCTCTTTCTTCGTTTCAAACATGTCAGTAGTAGACAGTCCTTGGATTCAATCTTCCGTTTTTCATTCGTCCTGCAACCGAGGCTGGCAAGACGCTGTACTCTATCTTTGCAGCCCCAATTTCAACTTTTGGTTGCATGACTAGCTTGACGCTCTTCGACAACTTGCCTGAGAGCGTTGCTCCGGCTAATGTATCAAGACTGCCGCGGTCCACTCCTGCAAGGATGGAAATTAGCCCGAAATCTTTGTCTACCGGCGTCGAATGCAGTAGCAACGTCAACGCTAATATTCCGACCGTAAGCACAGGTTGAATGGCAAGCACGACATATAGCCACGGTGACCTCCGGAGAGTAGGCCGAATGTAGAGAATGTGGTCGTCGACGGGGTAGTACAGCCCCACGTCCTGATAGGTGTAGTTGTGATACTCGTGTTGCAGCACCGAGCTGCCTGACTGAGGGTCGAGATTGATGGCGCTATTGGCGGCTGTGACGCGAGACCAGAGCATAGCTGCCATGCTAGTCGCCAAATATGATCCTTTCCAGACAGATGCATTGCGCTCGACTGCAAAGGGTCCCAGAAATTCGGCTAACGAGGGCATGAACCAGACACCTGGGAAAAGACCTTTGGTGTTGTTTGTTATGGGCTGCTGTTTCTCGAGGGGAAGAATCCCTTTGTCGCAAGATCCGTCGACCAGCTGAATGCCGCCTCGAGTGATCGACCATGTACCTTTGCATTGTTGTCGGGTGACGTCGTGTGGTTGGACGTAATTGGAGAGATTTGAGCAGGAGGATTGATGCGTTATTCCTGGGTCTGGTGAGAGAGAGACGTATTGAAGTGATTGGTCGCCTGGCGAAGCGTGATCGATCAGATCGACGGCGTAATTATTTAGCATAGATAGATGATTGATGGCGCCCGAGCTGTCTTTCGCGTCTTCACAGAGATCGTCGAAGAAATCTGCGAATGCCTTTGGGTCCTGCGTTCTTGAGTGGTTGAAAGTCCCAATAGTGGCAGATACGGATGCTGTTATGTTCCATGATTCACCTCCAGCAAGTAGGCTCTGCACTGCTGATACATAGCTTGGTTCCGGAATATCCAACAGTGCGGTGCTTTCGTTGCTTAAGATCAGAACATTGAAGCCCGACGCTTGATATCCGCTCGGGAAAGGCGGCTCGGGTCCAGCAGGTGGAGAAGACGCCACTGCATACGGTATTGTGGCATTTGAAAAGAGTGACACCCCCGTCTTTTCGCCGAGGAGTTGCAGGCCAGGAGGAGCAAACATTCCGTAGTAAGAGGCTGCTGAGGCTTCCTTTATGTAGTCCTTAGCGTTGACAGTCATCATACTCTGGCCTCCGACGAACGTTTTGTATGCAATGCTCAGTCCGAGAGGCAATATGATCATCAATGCTAGAATCACCCGCCAGGCATAGCCAAGCCCAGAACTTAGAACCTGGTTGCGTAGGATACCCTGGTAGTTTTGGAGACTCGAGGAGCCAAATCTAGCTTCGAGAAGCAAGAAGATTGCCGGGGTGATACTGGTGAGGCATAGCTGCATGATTCCCAAGAGAAAGCCAAGCACAATCAGCTGATAATTTTTCTGACCTAAACGCCACGAGAAATTCTCATTGGCAACAGCTGCTATCGCAATGGCGAGACATAGAAGTGAAGAGCATGCTGAGAATAAATGCAATGGATATATCCTCTTCTTAGTGCTTGGCTTTCCGAAGGACAGTGTTGGTGGGTTGCGATTGAGTGAGGCTGCAGACGATCGGTGTCTATCATGCGCGAAAGTTTCATGTTCGCCGACAGAGTGTGACTTGGTATGAGTTCGAGGTTGGTCATATCTCTCACGGTCGTAGGAAGTTTGCGATGCAGGTGGGTTCAACTCAAAATACTGGGCGTTACTCCACCGATTAGTCCAAGGTAAAGCCATGGTCGGTGTAGTGAGGAATGCTGCAAGCCAAATTGTTGTACGTAGGGAATGTGAACCATGAACAATTCAAAAGGCTGAGACGAGATATATAGCGAAATTCGGCATGGCTAAGGTTCTGACGATTCCAACTGATGCAGCTATTGCGTGGCTTGGGCTTGACCGTCGTTTCAAGATCTGCAGGATCTGCAAGGCTAGCGCTTACGAGAGGCTTCACCTATGGAGGAGCCAGTCAGCCTTGTAGTCAGCGAGCTAAATAGAGCAAGATTCAGTCTGAAACGATGGGCTTGATCTTAGCGCTTACCACTTTCCACCTCTACTTATTGGCCTTGGGCCTCATCCACGTTCGTGTTCTACACTCGCGAGAGCCCATGTGAACTTATCATTTTGCAGCTGGCGAGAGATCTCCGCTTGCGATACTCTGATTGAACGGCAGTATGATGATTGGATTCGTAATGTGACCGTAGCTCGTGAATGATGAGGGTGCGGAAATGAGTAAGTAAAAGACTCCCTGAATGCCTTATTGGGACGCAGTGAGAGACTCATGTGCTTGTGGTGAAGGCTTCATCACGTAGAGTGAGGGCGCTTGAAGGTCAACATGTGGAAATCGATTGCCCCTTCGCTCTGCGTGCTGTTCCTTTGGGTAGATGCATAAAGTCTTGGTAGAGGAGCATGTGTTGAAACCCTGCTGTTTCCGGGTTGTTTTCTCCAGCCGCCGCGATTCACAGAGACAGCTGGATATGAAACTTTCTTGAGGGAAAGTCCTGGCTCTCAACCTCGCCTCGTTTGAAAAAGGTGATTGAGTGCGGGTTTCGCCTGAAGATCATAGAGCCTTGTGAATCGTTGGAGAAGATCTGTGGCGATGCCATGCCCAATCGAATTCTAAAGTAACCTGTCAACCCGGCATCCTTCTCAGCTCTACAGGCGAGAGGGACCGTCCAATGGGTCCAGCCAGGTATGTCGCGAGAGGATGGGTCTTCGTACGGCCCACCATCTCGCTGATAGGTCAGGTCGATCTCAAGTCCATAGTTGGTGATCGAATATGGCATTGGCCGAGGTCTTGGAGGATGGCAGGGAACGATGTCAACTGAATAAACAAAGTCTGCAGGTGATGAAGCTAGTATGCCATCGTAAGAGACTGAATCGTCAAACCGCTCGCGATCGCTTGCCCAGGCAAATATGGACTCGTCATTTGAGGATCGAATGATCTCTTCTTGAAGCCGGCGAAACGCCTTTGATCCTTCGCCGTATAAAAGTGGCATCGAGACATCGAGTAGGCCGAGCAGGCAGTAGGCAATGTCTTCAGTGCGAGTCGTAGACCTATGCGCTGCCCAAGACATTCTTGCTGCGACGCTACAATGCTTGGGGTCTGTTAAAAATATATTCTCGATATTTGTGGCCTTGATGATTGCTTCTGTCATATGTTTGTCCCTAGCATTTCCCAGGAAGCTCCAACGACAGTCAAAGAATACGATCGTGTTGGGCGCGAGGAGCTCTTGCAGCGTCCAGCCTCTTGTGAACCACCTGCTATACGCAATATCTCGAAGAAGTCTTGCTTCGTCAAGATCACTTGGCTCGCGGTAGACATCTGACAAGAAGACCATACAGACTTTGGAATTTTGGTACAAGTTGAACATTGAATTGATCGCTTCAGATAATTCTGCACTGCTTTTCTTATCAATGCAACAAGTATCAACCCATCCGTAGATTAGTTCAGGATACCTCAAAGTTACCTGCTTACAGAAGAGCAAGACCTTGGAGCCATCAAGCTTCCGCTCAGTGTCTGATGAGCGCGGTATCTGAGTCATTTCCTGGAATGAGATTTCGTCGCTTTTCCAGGTATGCGACAGGATCGCATAATCTGGGGCAACTTCATGGCTGATGAACTCCTCGAGCTGCAATGTCTTTGTATTGATTAACCACATCCTTATGCTGTCAGCTTTATCGTTGTGCAAGACCTGTCATCTAGACTTAGTCAACATATACCAGGGCAGCACGCCTGATATCGATCATGACCTGATAGTCAGATGACAACCGTAGAATTTTTTCTGGGATCAATAGAGCTCAGATCGAACCATGAATGGCAACATCAAGCATTCGATAGTCAAGATGGACGATGAAAGATTGCAGCCTGCCAAGAGATGCGTAAACCTGTCCGTAGTCTTGGCATAGCCTTATCTCCGATGCTTATATCCTGGTGATGACAAAATGGAAATATCATCGTGCTTCATGATCCATACGATATCTGGATCAATCACTCCTTGTCATTTGAATTCTTTTGGTTTCTGAACTAGATTCTGTACTATATGTAAGAATGTTCGAGGAATCGCCACATATCAATCCCTTCTACTTGTCAATACTTCCACATCACAACCCCGCCGCATCTGCCAGGTTCAAATACACCTCACTCACAGTGGGAAAGCACGGAACGGTATGCGCCAGTCTCTCTAACTTCACCTCTCCCACGATAGCCACCGTACCCGCATGTATCAATTCGCTAACATCTTTCCCCACCACTGTCATCCCAACCAATACCCGTTCGTTCTCGTCGATTACCCATTGTCCCCATCCTTCTTCATACCCATCCCCATGCAACATCGCGCCCACTGAGACGAGTGGTGCCTCGACAACCCTCACCTTCCTCCCTTGCTTTTCTGCCTCGGCTCTGGTGATCCCTACACTTGTCACAGCCGGCTGCGTGAAGACGACCTGTGGGATCGCCTTATGATCCGCTGTCGCGGAGAATGTATCCCATGCTGCTCTTTGGGGCAAGGACTCACCTTTGGCAAGGTGGACGATAGTGTTGCCGGCGATGCGCCCTTGGTACTTGCACATGTGCGTCAGAGGTGAGCGACCATTTACATCGCCGATTGCGTAGAGCCAATTATTGTTGGGAAGAGCGGTCACGAGCATGGAGTCGTTGACCGCTAGGAAACCCGGGGGTACAGAGAAGTCTTCGAGACCAAGGTTCGTAGTTGCTGGGGCGCGGCCCGCGGCGACGAGGATTTCGGTGGCTGTGAAGGTGGAGCCACCGGCGATGGTGAGGTCGATGGAGCCGTCGGGTTTGCGTTCGACGCGGGAGAGGGTTGTGTTGAGATGGAATTTCACCCCGCGAGTTTCGAGTGCTGTGCGGACTAGAGCGCCGGCTTTGGGATCGAGCTTTGAGAGGATCTCGGAGCCGTGCACTATGACCGTGACTTGTGAGCCGAAAGAGGTGTAGGCAGTTGCCATTTCCATGCCGACAGCCCCGGCGCCGATGACTACTAGGTGAGAGGGGACCGTGCTGGCGCTTGTGGCTTCTCTGGGGCCCCAGGGTTTTGCTTCTTTCAACCCAGGCACATTGGGCGTAGTGGGCACACTGCCTGTGCAGACGCCAACAGCATGGCGAGCAGTGAGCTCTATTGGGGCGGTACCCTCTGATGTCACGGTGACTTTCTTCTCCCCCACGATTTTGGCTATTCCGCGCAATACATCGGCTCCAGAACCCAAGGTCATTGGTAGCATCAATTTCGTATCATCCCAATTTCTGGTAAAGGCATTACGTCGCGCGAAGACGGCGGAGACATCGACAGCGGGCCTGGTTATCTGCTCTTTCGCGCCACCAACCGAGTAGGCGGCGTCGAGTGCTTCGCTAGGACGTAGGAGGGCTTTGCTAGGCACGCAGGCCCAGAATGGACAATCACCGCCCACGAGCTCTTTCTCGATCACGAGAGCTGTGAGCCCTGCTGCCACAACTCGCTGAGCGGCCACACGGCCGGCCCACCCAGAGCCGATGAAGATCACATCATACTCTGGGGTCTTGAGTGATGAGGTGGTGAAGACGGTGCCTTGTGACGGGGTGCTAGGTGTTGGTGCCATGCTGGTGAGAAGATGAATTGACGGGCGAATCTAATTCTCAAAATGAGAAGAATTCAACGGTGATATAATCCTCCAAGTTACTCACCGAACATTTTCTTCTGTGGCCTGAGAGCACCTAGCGCCTTGAGTACGTAAGAGGAGGCGTCCACGCATAGAGCAATAGCTTATTGCTGAACTAAGAAAAATAGCCCACCCCCATGTCGGCGGATGACTAACTTCGCACTTGGCGAACAAATTGACTCGTGATTCGGACACTAGATGACACATCCATGAAGGCAACGCATGGGCTACCAATCGGGTGCTTGTCTCCCATGCTGACCGAGTGTCTTGCATTTGAATGTTTGCGATCCTCCGACTTGTGGGCTTGTGCAAGTTGCATATTGGCAGTAGTGGAACGGCCATGATCACTCATCATGATCAAGCTTTCTCTCAAACCCAAGTGAGAAGACTTTGGACCTCTCTACGAGCTCTATGTGGTTTACATGAGAAAAGTTCTTTCCGTGCCGGTCCGGGATTAGCCAGGCAGGCCCATACATTTACAGGACTGCCAAATGTACTGAGGAATCTCTGAAGGTTTTGAAGATAATTTCAACGATTCCACATGTGTGGCCAAATTCTCGGGATTGTTAGAGATAGAATGCAGCGGTGACTCAAGGCAGATGAGACTAGACGTGGAATTGATGAAGTAATTAAAAGAAGGAAGTGATAAGTTCAATGGAGAAAGTGTGGGTTTCCGTAAGAAGTATAACTTTAGGGTTTTAGAGCCCTTAGTCTCATTATTTCTGTCATCTCACTTCATCCTCATTTGATGCCGGCGGAAAACTGGCACGTCTTGTTGCAAACGAAAGATGGACTTGCTCATGGAAGCCTGTCATGACGACTGGCTTGAATGTGTCATCTTCGTTGCTTGTCATTAATCATTCTTCGTCATCTACAATCCTTCAACGGCGCTTTGCTGGCTACCTTGATAAAAGCAGCCATCATCACTTTTACCTGAGACAAGAGAGGTGCGCCAATTGCACACCAATACGCTCCAAAATGCCAAGTATTTGATGAGAGTGTCATTGCGTCGACAGCAGCGCTCCGAAAGACAAGCAAGCTCATAAACCTCAGGACATCGATACTAGTACGCTTCGCACACGGCCATCATGTTCATCTGCTCCCAACAGACCACGAGGACGCCCAAAAGTCGCCCCGGGTGCCAAATCTTGATCGTTGAGGGACTGACCTAATTCTGGCCTTTTTGGTACAGGAGTGCTCCTTGTCGTAAATCTCACAGGCTTTCTTGAAATTGTAGGAATCTTGGTGACGATGACCACGACCCTCGCTTGCAAGGCGCCACTCCTCCTTTTGACTCCTCTTGATTTCTCTGCCGACATTACTGGTAAAGCACATCTTACAAGTGGCGTTACCGAAGTCATCACCATCATCTAGATAAGATTTAAGATCGGCCTTGAATTGGTTGCATCGAAAATCTGGACCCGGTTCGAAGTGGTCAGCTTTGTCAACCACGTCCTGATCATTTGGGAAGCGGTTTCCTAGGGTGCAATACGTCAGGAAGACGGAGACGGGATTCGTATGATCATGATTGAAGCTCGTTTGGATGGCCTGCGAGAGGCCCCTTCCCGTGGCAGTTCCAGCAGCATAATGCGTCCAGCCCTTGATATTCATCGCTTCGTAGAAATGGAGGGTCTCATTTCCCATCTCGTTTCCACAAACAGAAGGCATGACCTTATCGCGATTATCGTCATGGACCAAGAAATTGTCTGGCGCCATGAGGGACCAGCATACCGGTAGAGCACCATACATCGTCGTGTCCTTCAGACAATCTGAAATGCGCATACAGATATTGGGTGCGGGAGAATAATGATGTTCTTCCCAGGCGTAGTAGGAGTCGGTTAGGACCTTGTCTAATGGGAAATCCCATTTGTTGTGGGTATTTATTAGCTCGTCCATACCAAAGAGTTCCATGTTTCTTGTGATATCTGTATTACGCCAACATTGCGCTTGGCACGTCACCCCTTCCCTTGGAGTAAATCTCGATCTCTTGATCAGAATGTTTCCAGAATCATCTAAAGGGCTAGGAGTACAATGAATATGACACTGTCCGAAAGACCAAGCAGCTAAAATTGCGTGGAATGTAAGGATTTTGGTGAATTTCCTACTCAACGTCAATACAGCACAAACCTCAGGGTTTGGTGACCTACTCTTCTGATTTACTTGTCTCCTCTATCACCAACGTGTTTTCTTCGGGAGTCAGCTTAATGAACTCACCACCAGCAATGACTTGAGCGAATCTCGTCATGTTAGACTGGTCGAAGGCGCCTCAACGGGTGTTAGCCATCAGCGCTGAGGTGAAGCAACTTTTCACTCACCGCTCTCTCCAGTGCCATCAATGTGAACAACCGTCATCAAAGACGTTTCGAAACGCTTCTGTAGCTCGACAATACCTTTTTTTATTTCATTATGAATATACTCCAAGACTTCTTCTTCCTCATTAGCCGAAGGCTGTGGGTATTTCGCGCAGATTTTTGCCTCAAAATCCCCGCCAAAGACCTAAGAGAATTTCAGGAATAAAGGCAACGAAAGACAGTAATTTATATACGTACGATATTCACTGCATTGGCCTCGGCGCCTGTCGTTTGTCCCACTAGAAACTTCAATTGGTCCATGGATTTCTGCGCTTTCTTGGAGGATTGGTCAGGCATCAGCAATCCAACCGTACCACTGGCTGCGCCCAACACAGTCGCAATGGCGAACTTGGCCAATCCTGCTTCACGCTTGCATCTTTTCAAGCCATTCTCATCTATCTGCCACCGGAAGATGTCGGCAATCTCTGGTGTCAAGAGGGCCATAACGCCAGGAAGTGCGTGCATAGCCCTCTACATGCTATCAGCCAGGTCTCAAAAACTTCGACAAAGTTGCGAACGTATGAAATTGTGTAGGTCATATAAGGTTGATTTCAGAACTTACAGTCAATCCATAGAAGATATCGTGAAGATTTTCCATCGAAATCATGAGAAAATATACCTGACGCGCAAGCTGCCAGTCTTGACCCCGCTTATTAATAACGGTCAATATCTGAGTACATGTCGGCAAGTCACAATCGTTTCCCACACCGCATAACATCGTTTTTTCTGGGTTGACGAAGTGCCGGATGATATAGTCCAAATATGACATTGAACTCGTGTTCTCTTCGGACGACCAGTCAACCTGTTGCTCCCATTCGTGAAACCAAGCAGTGACGTTAGCGGCTTCGAAATTTTCTGGCGTGGGGGCAAATCTAGGGTCGTCTTCACAGATCTCAGGGTTATTGGTGCCAGTCGGTAGAAGCGAGGAAGATACGGAAGAGGAACTTGATGTTTGAACCGGTGTCGGCGTCAGACTTTGCGAAGAGGAAGATGATGTCCGTGAGGCGGAAGATGAGGCCGGAGGAGAGAGCGAAAAAGAAGAAGAAACGTTGGTCGATGTCGAAAGAGTAGATGATGTCCGAGGAGAGAGTGAATAAGCAGAAACTCTGGTCGATGTCGAAAGAGGAGATGAGGTCGGAGGAGAGAGCCAAAATGTAGAAACTCTGGTGGATGTCGAGGAATGGTCCACTCTATACACCCCGCCATTGACGTTGCCACATGAGATTGGGTAAGATATACTGCTTAATAACTCATCTCGCTCGACAAGCTTGCTCGGCGGGCATGCATTTTCGGAATTCAACCCGGAACCTGTTACGGAGACGCAAATGGATTTATGCAGAATAAGCGCAAACACAAACAATCGATTGAAAAGCATGTTGGCACTGAAGATTTTGTCAAATGTATGATTGAGATATGTTTGAAAGAACTTGCGGAACTTGAGCAAGAAGATATATGTCCGAATATATGCTTGGTTTAAAAGGTGGTCACACGCGTAACGCCCGCTTTGCGAAAAGCTCCACTTCGCCCCACCGTTTGCCTCCACGAATTGTGAAAGCGGAGTTTGTGGATACGAAGTAGATAGTCAAGAGTTAAGAAAGCTTCTAGAACTTCTGGAAAAGTCATTTCAGATCGTACTAAACGTGAGTTGCAAGCTCAAGGCCGCAATTTGGGTGTTTCGTTAGGGCTCGAAACCATATATATTTACACTGATGGGTACAAGACCCAATTTAGCCGGTCGCCATGAACTAATAGTTAGTATATTTTATTCTGGATAACGACATCCCTTATGAGATGCTCTTTCATTGGTTCAGAAGAAGCCACTGGGCGCGCACTAGCGGCAAATGAGCAGAGCGAGCATGAGTAGGACAAATCCCAATGAGGACGAGTACTTGATCATCTGATCACGCGCCATAAGCTAGTACACGGTTGGTACGCGAAGGCGTTAGAAGTGGAAGCCACCGGAGACTTTATTAGATTATCGATGCCAACGCTAGCCTGGTCCTTGACAGAACATCGATTAATCAAGTGAATCTTGCTGGAAGAGACCGAACAAGTAAGTACACATAGTTCATGCTTGTACGAAGAGTTTGGTGGTCGTGGCGCTGGCGACTCAAAGTTAGTCAAGAGCGATGGCCAAGGCGTATGGCAAATGACGGATTTCCTCTGGAGGACCTCACAGCATGCTTGCACTCGTTCTCCATCCATTGCACTATAAAGGGTGAAGGAAGCTGCACCTTTGCAAGTTGAAAGAGAGATTCAACGCTCTCCTGGTATTGAATCACTTGACATCCGTCGCGTTGAATGACACCACAATTTGACGATTGGTGATATTCTTTGAGAAATACTGTCTATCGAGAATTGCCCAAAAAAATGCTGCTAATTTGCCAACGTTGTCGCGTTGTAGAGTCAAACGCCTTGGGCCAATCGATGGTGACGAGACTGAAGAATAGTCTGTGTAAGTCACTCCGAGCTTTGTGCTATGAATGTAGTATGTAGGGACATTTAATCTCCATTATCGAACCTTCAAAGCTATGAGCTTGTGACTATTTGATCCTCGATCCTGCAGCTAAGAGTACTTGAGAGCCCTGCGGCCTGATTTGTTCTGTAGTAGAGGATCACGAGTGGATTCACAAAGGCCAAATCGTGGTGCCCTTAATTAGGTTCGATGAATAATACTTGACTCATCTTAAAGGCATTCTAATTGTTTCACGAGATTCTGAGAGTGGATTTCAATAAGAAGAAATTTGAGGCAATGAGGTGCTCCGTTCAGAATCGAGTTCTTTCTGCACTTCTCCGGTGGACTATAGAGCTCTATGTGCGCAGTATATACTTACGCAGTCGTGCTTATAAGTACGCATGATCCCCTTCCGGTAGAATAGGGATGGTACCGTAAGCCGTGGTGAGCGCTAATGCTGCAGGGTCTTACCCCACTTTCCAGCATCCCACTTAATGAATTTTGCCAGCTCAATAACGCCCTTCCCACATCTTCCCATTTCTCTATCCAGGACAAGTGCAGGGCTTGGTAGTAGCGAAGACTGCAGTCATGAAGACCATTCTAGACGCTCCGCCTGAAATCATTGATCTTGTAAGTGAACTCAATCCTAAGTCTTCTCAGACTGATAACACGTCGTGCCCTAGATCATCTCTTTCACGATACCACTTTCGTATAGATATCATGGCCAGCAGCGCAAATCAGATCTTTATTTCCAGGATCGCGAAACCCTTAGAACTCTACGGCTTGTCAACCACACCTTTTGTCAAGCCGCGACGCCACTTCTTTTCAAAAAGATTGTACTTCATTACGACGGTACTCTACAGAACCTTCTGAGGATATCTAACAGCAGGTACGTGGCAATGGTACGCCAGATATCAATTCAAACTGGTGTTCACGTGGACTGTCTGGAAACCTTCCCGGACGATTTGGCGACTAACCTGCCCGTCTGTCTGAAGAGTCTTCCAAATCTCCAAACTCTTTCTATCAGCGATCTCGTGTTCTCGCATCCTCAATCCAGCGCCAGATCTGCTAAGATTGAACAATATCTGATGACCGCCATTCAAGCAATCCTGCACCATGCCAGATTAGACAACCTTGAAGATCTCCGTTTGAGGCTCCCATTGACTTACGATTTTGCCACGCTTGCCAAAGCACCGCTTCCTGACGAGCAAAGCAAGCCTGGCAATGATCTTCCGACCGTCATGAGACGCCTTCGTCATCTCAAGGTAGGAATCAGCGACACGAGTGGCCCGGGCGGTCACATGATCTACTTCGATCCGCCAACGATGTCTCAAGCACAGTGGCCTAATGTGAGATACGCCCGAGAATTCTTCGGCTTTCTCGAAATGGCACCAAACATTCACAGTCTAGAGGTTTCATGTACCCACAAACTCGACATGGACAAGCTCAACGTCGTTAAATTCCAGAATCTTCGAAAATTGTGCCTTAATCGCCTTACGGTCTCGCCTGAGCACCTCCAGACTTTACTTTCGCAAAACCAAACCGCAATTAGGGCTTTACGGCTGAACGCCATCGGCTTGAAAGATGGCACATGGGAAGAGATTTTTATTTCCCTGTGCTCTTTTCCAAGGCTAACTCAGTTCTGGGTTGAATACTGCGGTTACGATCCCCGTGGCGCATCTTCTGGCTTCATCGACCCATCAATAACACCCTATGATATTGCCAAAGACCTTGTATCTGTTCACCGCGGAGATTTTGATGCGCTAGGCGACTTACAGCGCCATGTCATGCGACTCCGTGATGCTGCTAGGTTGACTCAAATCAGCAGAGAAGTCTATCAGTGGGGTTTCATGCCGTCACTGGACTCAGCGACAAGTCATGAGTAGGCGGAATCTCTGATAAAAACAGATGAATTTTTGTATCAATTTAAACAACACATCCAAGCTATTAGAACGTAGACCATTGAAACAAGGCAGAACACCTGAACCAGAAAGGCCGTCATGCTAGTCTGTCCAAATATCTTATCCTCATCTGTACCCTTTTAATGTCACGATTCAATTCGGAATGTATAGCAGCCCTTTCCAGCAGATTCAAAATTTCAACAGATCGCGCAAAGACTACCAAAGATGATGCTTTCCAAGAACACGACTTTTGAAAGTTCAGCGCTAGCTTTGGTAGAATCTCCACATTTGGCCACTTCCCATTCCAATTTACCTTGCCATTTGGGCACGTACAATATCTCGCCGGAATAGAAATCTACGTTGGACTCGAACGGATACTTCAAAATCTATTTTCAACATACTGTCGGTACAAGTTGAGAAGTGTCCAAAGGAAAAGAAGAGGGATCTGATCGCCATTTTTGGAACGTGGGCGGGCTGGAAAGTGGTTTGGTAAAGAGGAGGCAATTTCGAGCCAAGTCGGCGACTGCGAGAATTTCGTTAACGAGGTGGTATTCCTAGGACAAGATCGCTATAGACGGGGACAAGCGTTCGGAGTTGTTGGCTGCGAGTGGACGTGCGACCTTCGTGCTCGGTGAAGTGTGCCGCTCGAGATCTGCATTTCTCTGATGCGTTTATGATCGAACGACCGCATGGCGAGGGAGTCGACTATATATAGAGTGCTGTAATGGCGGGGAAGTTCGGCGTTTTAAGTATCATTCTTGTATGTGCCACCTACAGGGTTGTATCGTTGGTTTTACGCCTCTTCATTTTCACCGCGCGCCACAAGGAACGCCTATTAATCTCCGAGAAGCAGGGCCGAGCAGCGGGCAGTGAAAGAGGAGGTGTGTCCACCAACGCGTCCGCCCTGGTGGGGCATTTGACTCCCTTGACCGCAGAATCAGTTCAGGCAAGTAGCCGTGGATGAGGTGCGGGCTTCTGCCACCATCACCAGCACTCGAACGTGGGGAGAGTCTTGGATGGCGTGCTTCGAAACGACTCGTCACTTTGGCAACAAGGCGGCGCCCTCTCCCAGTCTTTGCTAGATTGCCCCGCTCTATCCTCCACAGCGAAGGTCAAATGCCCAATTGACTTTCCTGGATAGAGCCTTGGGGATTGGCTTGCAAGTGAACAGCTGAACATGAGCGGGCTAATGACGCGGTGCGGAGAATAATAGGAGGCTAGGCTTCTTCTGGCGAGCATCCATCCCACGGCTCTGACGGTAGACTATGCGATACCTGTGTCTATCCGCTTTCAGCTCACTATGTTCAGCCACCTGCAACTCTGAAGATAATCACAGGAACACTACTGCAGTCGACAGCCCTCGAGCGGTCTGGACTTTTAGCCCTAGACTCATTTCGTTCTAGGCTCACTTGGCATCACAGAGGCTCAGAGCCTGTATCAATCATCAAGACTTTTGCATCACCTAGACAGAGACGAGTATTTTCAATCTCGAAGGTGAAGACGAGACTCTACTTTGGCCCTAGGTCTCTACTACAGCTACGCTGGAGCAGAACATGAAGCGGTTTAGTGCCCTGTGAGGTCATGTTTGTTCCCACAAACCTCCGTTGAAACTACATGTGGCGCTACTGCATGGCTTTTGGGAATCGTGATCCCGCGTGGTCTGGAATGCTCGAGAAATGTCCGATCCTTGCAAACGGTAACGGCCATTGCCATACGTACTGCCCAAAACGCGATGCTCCAGGCGCCATGCATGGTGATCGGTGAAGGCTCAACGCCCAGCCTTGCTACATTGCCCAATCAATGCATTGAATTAAACTGAAGGCTTTTAATGGACGACCACATGACCATCGGATATCAGTATGCAACTCCCCGAAACGCAAACTTGTGACGCCTCAAAAGTCTCTTCTAGTGATTTGGAAAGTCGATCTACGCTACCGTTGACTACCTTGTCACAGGATGCATGGCGTTGCATGAAATGCACTTGTGTGGTATGGAGCTACCTGTGTGCTAGAGCCGTTACCGACGATTACTCTCATACAAATAGGCGGGCTTGCCCAAGTCTTGAATTTCCTAGTCCACTCAGCTGTTCTTGTCCTTGAAGATTTTTCAGCATCAGAGCCTTCATCCTACCATCAAGCATACTTGGCTAGTCGAGGAAGTATTGATAGCACAAAGTGAAGCAACATCACCGCGTAATCATCGTAGACATTGATTCAAGCTAAGTCTCGACGCCTGATTATGACTACCATAGATGAGACTGAGCTCCAGAAGCTCCGAGATGCAAACACCAAAGGCATCGTCTTGGGCCTCAAAGCCTTTGCTAGCGTGAAACCCAGGCTAGACATCGATGACCTGCTTGCACAGCTACCCAAAGCGTTCAACTTGTTTCTTATTGCTCTTGATGATCTGCAGAAAGATAAAAGCAAAACTGGATACGCTCAAATTGCGGGTGAGAGTCATCCACACTTGCACACTAGATGTTGCACTGACTCACCTGGCGATAGGTATCCATGGACTTCCGAGGGCTAGTTGGGATGGGTTTGGCACAAAGATGAACGTTATAAAGGACGTAAAGTACGGTTATGCTCCGTCTGGGTATTGTGCCCACGGCGAAGAAAGATTTCCTACTTGGCATCGTCCGTACCTTGCATTGCTCGAGGTAGGTCTCTACATCACTGCTCGGGAAGCTTGGTTAAGGACTACAGCAAACACTCTTCATAAGAGTCATCGACCTTGCGCGTTCGTTTACTGGTAGTCTGAAGGATGATTACCTGCGCGAAGCACTTCAGTTCCGCCTTCCTTACTGGGACTACTACCGTCCTCGAGGCGGACCAGTCGAGTTTCCTGGGGTTATTGACAAGGGGACAACGACCTTTGACTGGGACTACTCAATTCCAAGAGTCTTCACGGAGAAAAGCCTCAGGGTCCGACGTCCTCCTGGGAACCAAATTGATACGTTGGAACGCAACCCGCTGAATTTCTTCGATCTAAAGAGTGCAAACATCATCCCCGATGACGACTGGAAGATGTACGGAAAGGTGAGTTGTATATTTTGCCAAATCGTCCCACCCTAGGTGAAATGTACATCCTAATTGGCTGGTAGGTCGACCTGTTTCCGAGAGACCGGACTGTCCGCTACCGCCTTCCCAATAGCACAAGTGATACAGACAGTACTACTGTGGCAAACTCTACCATAAATGAGCTGCGTATGGACAGCAACAGACTGATGTTAAATATGCTCTCAAACAAGGAGACTGATGTGTACAACAACTACGACGTGTTTTCGACCAACAAGAAGGGGACACCCACGGTCGCGAAACCCCCTCAAGATGCCAAAGAAGCCGAAAAGACAATGTGGTATGGAAGTGGCTCTCTAGAAGCATTGCATGGCATTTACCACGTAATCATTGGAGGATTGCCCAACATCAACACCAAGACTTGGGCGGGGCATATGACTCAAGTGCCAGTCGCGGCTTTTGACCCGATCTTCGTAAGTCAAATCATACAATGGTCTGGATCTCTGCTGACATCTGTAGTGGGTTCATCATTGGTATGCAGCTCAATCTAGCAATCTACCAGTAAAGCGAAGACTAATTACTTGACCCAACAGTCAAATTGATCGTGTGTTCGCTTTGTGGCAAGCTACTCACAACCGGAACAAGCCTGAAGAGTGGTTTGGAAACCAGTCACTTTCAACCAAGCCCTTGCTTCCGTTTCGCATCAAAAATGACAACAATGACCCAACGGTTTGTTGGAACTCCAATCAATCGAGGCAATGCGGCACCTTTGGATATGATTACCCAGAAATACTAGCCGGAGGAGACGTCTTGACCACTGTGAGGAAGATGTATGAGTGGTCGGTCAATCTCACGGCTGCAGGCGATTTCGGCGATATACCGTCGAACATGAAGCCAGCACCAATCAGTAACGCTGAGATATGGCTTCCAGGCGCAACAAGCGACCTTCTGTCGGCGACTAACCCCGGGAGACCGAAGGCGCCGAAGCCACAGTTTTTCGCCCAAATGCGTACACAAAACATCGCATTGCCGCCCGCTGAAGTCGCCTTGTCACGAGAATGGTACATCGATGATGAAGTCGAGCGGTGAGTCATATACACTTCCATTCTTCTCTCTCCTCCCCCTACCTCATACCGATCACTCACAAAACCAGTCTCGCTCTCAACGGCTCCTTCACTATCTTCTACTTCCTCAACGACCTCGACAGCTCGCTGAATCAAGACACCAATCTCGCAACCGAGCCCACGCTCGTGGGTCTCACGCACGTCTTCGCCGCCCCAGTCGAGTACTGCGACAACTGCGGCGAACAGTCGCTTCAGGGCAATGTCGTCACCAATACCGTGCCCATCACGTCTATGCTGCTCGATTACGTCGAGACTGGTGCTCTGCAGAGTTTGCATCCGGATGATGTGGGACCGTTCTTGATCAGGACGTTGAGGTGGAGGATCGTCACGGTTCGCCCCTCCCTCACCTTCCCCCTTTTCCCCATTCCCCTCCCTTCGCCAAACCCTAGCCGCTTCTCCTCTTACTTCCTTCCGATCTCATGTTCTCACCTTCCCCCTTCTTCCCTCGAGACAAGTTCCGCACGCTATGGAGAATCACCCGCTGACTCCATTTGGTACCTTGTAGACCGACGCCCTTCCCAAAGACCCACGCGAACTAGCCCGCGAGAAAGCGTTCAAAGTCAATATCAGCTGTAAGAAAGCTAAGCTACCTCGCAATTCGGATGATGAGGTGCAGTATGAGGAGTATCCGAGTTGGATCGAGCAGATTACGGGGAATGCTTCTACGACGCAGAGCTCTTGAGAGGATGGTCTGGTGGGTGGAGAGATAGATAGTGTGGGGGGCAGGGGCGGGAATGGGCGGGAATGGGCAGGGAGATGGTTAGGGAGGGAACGAGGGGAAAAAGAGAGGAGAAAGGGTTTTAGAAAAGCCTATTTGACATCTGACATGAAGCGGCCTATCTCCTCAAGTTAATGGGTGGAATGCATGACTTCAGTAATCGCGAGTCGCCAGCTGTATAGAAGGGCTACCCAGCACACAGCATTCCCATGCAAATGATCTCCAACCTCTCTAGCTATTTTACCTTTGGAAGAATTACTTCTGGCCACGCTGTTTACCATCGAAACATGCCTCTTTCCCTTGAATCGACAATCTTCGTCAGGTTGATGGTTGGTGTTCAGCATTCAATGAGCGATACCGTTGTCTCTCACATCTAATGGCTTTACTAACGTAAATCTGCATGATACTCCTTGAGTGAAGAAAATGGTGTCATCATTAGCTCCTCTGTCATCTACCATTGCCAAACTTTGAATATCTCTACTTTAATCTCTGCAAAACCGAAATGCCCTCGTCGTCGCGCGATAGAAAAATACAGCATCGTTAGACCTGTAGATGAGACCTACGTGGACTGGCAGCCGGCATCTCCAGCCTGCCCGTCGATATTTCATCTCTGACTCCACGCCATCCCTTCAACCATTCAGAATCTCCAACAGTACGATATTCGCAGACCAAACGGGTTGCAGGCCTTGAAGCATCGCAAGCTTCAAAGAACGATCTTTAGAAACATCTGCTCTGCTTCCGCGAATTCAGGGTAAACACCACCGCACAGGCTGACAAAGCCAGCCTGACGACTTGTTCGTTTATTTAGTGCATTTACGGTACGGACGGCTTATGCCCACGTTCTGAGGTCGGTTACTGAGATATTGTTTGGTGGGTTGGTGTTGATGGGGTGTGAAATCGTTGGCATATTGAGTTCGACTTTTTGCTTCAGATGGGTGGGAGTCGGGTGCGTTGGACGGAAACGAGCGTCCTTCCTCAGAAAGGTCGGTCTAGATCGTCCTGAGTGGTAGAATATGCGGATCGAGTGCGAGTTTTGTGATATGTTGTGTGAGCGCCGCAGCCGGCCCATAGATTGTGTAGATTGGTTTCAACCCCTGGAGACTTGCCGCGTGTTGAGAATGATAGCGGAGATGGTTTAGGTAAGGGTCTATGCCTGTTTATCTCGCTAGTCTGTAGCTTCTTGCAGATGCTTCGGTAACCCACTACTTCAGTCAGCGGGCGCGGAGACATAATTTATATTAGAGGACCTATAGCTAGATTTGCATTAAAGCTATCGAAGCCTAGGTGTAGGAATAGTTTACTAAGAAGTATTCCTTATAGACGCTCTACGCTTATTGAAGTAGTGTAAGCTTAGTTATAAGTAACTTTATAATTATAAGAAGTCTTAATATAGTCTTAGTCTGTAATAATAATAATTGCATTAATATTATAAGTCATCAAAAGCATGGCTTAAACTATCTTATTCCTCCTTTATGATTAAGAAATATAATTTGCTATTAACCCCTCCGCCTTGTTTTTTAACCCTGAACGATTTTATTATAGATTATCACTATCGCACTCACCACCTTATTAAAGTAACACCTTCCGAGAGCGTCCCTTGCCACCGTCTCTAGTCATGCAGTGGGCGCATTGGCAAAATGGGGTTTTATTGCATAATATACACCAAGCTGAGCGATCAGGGAACTGTTGATCTGTATGAAATCCGCGTGTAGCAGGCCATCGAGATGAATTGAATGGCCTTTCTCATTAGATCATCTTCATAAAGTCGAGGTGTCTGGACTTTCCGTATTCTTCCATTGCGTCGACACACTCCGTAGAAGCGTAGATTTTTGCTGCTGGCAGGGTGAGGGAGGTTCTTGCTATCACTTTCGTGCACCCTCCCAAAATGGATCGACTCAGAGAGACCCCAGTGCAATGCCTGCCTTGTAGGGCATCGAGAATTATATGTGCCAGATAGTTTGCTTCCCTATCTCATTAGGCTGTCGGACATCTGAGTTTTGCTGGTAGACCCACTGCTATAGTCCGGTGCATTGTAGAGTGGCGATCTCACTTCTTGTAGATAAATATATGACATTTTTCGTGGGTGACTTCATCCACACTGTTCAGGAGCTGCTAAGTCTCGTTGCTGAATAGCACTGGCTGCGATTTATACTTCACACCTAGATCGATAGTCCCGAATGTTGTAAACTCGACGATTAATTTCCGGTCATTACTGACTTTCAGGTTCAGCCTGCACATCGTCCAAGGCGCAATAAGAAGTGTTCCCACTTTAGTATCACGTAGCAGAAATCCCCCGGAGGTTGGAGTTTCGCTTTCGAACTGATCTCAACTGGCCATGGGACTGCTCGATCATATAGCTTCATCTTCATCATGCTCGACTCGAGCACAATCGTGTCTTGTTTACCTGACTAAGAGATTCAATTGGCATATCTATCTCATGCTGGTTAAGTCCGCCAACATATATGGCCCAATCATAATCATCCGGAGCTCACCTGCATGCGGGCTCCTGGTGAGAAATCACTTCACACTCTCTCCCTCTCATGGCATGATTTGGCGTGATTTAAATGGTCTCATTCTCAGCAGCCGGTATTGGTCAGGCATATGTTGAATTTTAGGGACTAGGAAAGATCCTCCAAGAGAAGCTACGGCGGTCTCTCGATTTCGCGAAGATCAGCAATGCCTACTTGATCATCTTGACGCGGGCTTTGAGGCATTTCCTTTGACTCTCACTTGTGTATCGCTCTCTTCAGCGAGCATCAAGGCTAGCGTTACCGCTGGACATAATGTTGTACGGTGATAGACTTTCGAGGCATACCATGTGTCGTGCTATTCACCCAGACTATGCCTCTTCATAGCGAGTTGAATGATAGCACGCACTTGTAGCGCGATTCATGCGGTGCAACACATCGTATGCAACCGCGAGTTGTAACTTTCGTAATCTCAGGCAGTCCGTAAACATCGAGGAGTGGATTCGCGATTTTGGACAAATTCTCAGAATTCAGGCTTGCCAGGTGACTGGACGCTTGTAAAGTGATGGCTTGTCATCATCATGACCTTGAAGTGTTACATGTGCCTTGTCAGATGGATTATCAGTGTTGCTAAGACCAGATCAGCAAGCTGAAAATTTCCAGACGCGATTAGTCGATGGAAGAAAGTAGCTGAGCTTATACTTTGTGCTTCATAGATCACTTGCTAGAGATGTGTCTTGTTAGTCAATACCTGATTGAGATTCGCCGACCCGTTGGGCCCCCGTGCAAATATTGACGTTGTTTCGCAACGAAATAGTCTGGAGATGCGCAAGTAGACCGACCTAGCAGAAATGCGAAGCACAAGTGACTTCAGGGGCAGCACTAGTAAGAATCATTCTGTCCGACTTGAATCTGATTTAAATCTCTTCTCCCCACGCAGTCTCTGCGTTGTACCCGTGGTGAAGCCAGTCCAACTCTCGAGCGTAAGACAGCATGATAGATTCGGGAATGAAGCCCAAAAGGCAACCAGGAAAATGGCAAGTGACTTATTTGGCACTGAATTCTTGTCGCTCAGGCATTGTATAAAGTTGCGTAAGTCCTTATGCCTCAGTTGAACGACGGCATCTTTTTCCGGAGGTAGGAATCACCACCGATGGGCGGAGAGAGAGTATCTTATATTTCGCAGCGATAGTCCAGAATGAGCCACGAGTACATCCATAAACGAGCGCGCGGATGGAATCTGATGGCTTTGCAAGTCACTTTCAAGATGCGTCGGCGTCATGGACGCATCGCTTGAAAGTATTGTAGTCTCCCTGTCCGGCCTATATGGATCATGTGGAATTCTTCTCTCAAATGGGTTGTGTCGGGTACTGTATAAGACGCAGAAGTTGTGCCTTCGTCCCTGTTCCTAATCCTAATCACCGGAGCTGCACAAGATTAGTCTTAGTTGCGGAAACTGGCGGTGTGGTTACCTCCAAGTGCAGCAGCTTGGGCGTTGACACCAACCAGTTTATTTGCTTCTCAGAATCGGTAATAGGTGCGTGGTGCAGGACGGGTGAACGCGACTCCGATTTGTGGATATCAACTGCCACGGCAATAGATAAACTTCCCAATCGATAGAAGGATAGCCTTTCGAGTAACGAAGACGATCATGAGTCCTTCGGCCGCATTCAATTGTTTCGGATGACTGCGTGCACATCACACGCACTGCATCGAGTCCTTGGCATGGAGTTCATGAGTTATAGCTTTTTCCTAGCTAGGTTATCCAAGGTGCGTCAT